GCCTTTCGTGCTTCCCCGTTTACTTCGATAACCAAGAATAGTTTTGAGTACCATATTACTATGGCCTCATCGAGAGTGGCAACCTTTTCCTTCTGCCAACTGAAGTGCGGCCAACAGATGCACTGCCTATGCTCTTCGTCTCCAAACCAATGTCGATCCTTTCGTCCGACTGTGCATCCTCGCACATTTTGTCTGTCGAGTGACAAGGCAAAATCTTTCTGAATGGTACTGGTCGTGCCTTCTCCCCAAGAGAGCAGGTATCCAGTGCATGGCTGACCAAACCAACAAACACAAAAAAGGCGATAATTGGTGGATAGAATTGTCTTTCGGTGGACAACCTATCTGCCAAGTTGTGTGTGCTGGTCCACAATGAGAACTCGTTGCTGGCCAAGCGCAGTTCGAATGCAATTTTTTTGATAGCTGTTTTCTTTGAGCGTGTCGAGCGGCTGGAATGGACTGAGTCGGCCATGATAAGCTGTTCAAGCATAGCTGCATCATCGGCTAGTATGTGGTTGGAGCTGGACGCAAACATCTCGACGCCCTTGTGGATAACCTTTGAAACATTTGCCGCGCGCTCCCTGCGATCCGCAGCTTTGGGCTCAGCCAGCTCAAGCACGCCTGCTTGTGGTTTGCTAATGTAGTGTTCCCACTCGCGTGCGGCCTCATCCTTTACCGAATCGCTATGCTCTTTGGGCGTTTGTATCCATGTGGAAAGTGTGCATGCAGAAGCAACAGTGGGCTGTGTCAGAGTATTTGTGCGTGCTCTGCCAGTGGGTTGGGCTGCTTCCTCTGCCGAGTCTACATAACGCTCAACATTTTTATGTGATAATTTATAATTTTATTTGAGTGTAAATATATTGAGTAATTAAATATTATAAAATGAACTTTCAAAATTACTATTATAGTGTTATTGGTAAACTACTTACATGGCGATGCAGGTTGTACACTTTTCTTCTTTAGGCGATCTCGCATCTCTTTGTGGCACCAGTGCAAGTTGGTGGTGACGATTTGGGCGTCCTCAGGAGGCCCAGTGGCCTTTCTCTTTCGTCTGGATTCGGGCATAACTAAAGGGGTGAAAATGAAGCAGAGAACCAAACAAAAATATGGAAATATAAAATATGAATAAACGGTTGAAGAAAAATTACAAAATTGAAAACTTGTAAGTTGTCAACAGCTTCTCTTCGTAGCAAAACATGCTAATGTATAGTGTTAGACATTGTTTGCATTGTACTTGTCATAAATAATAGACAAATTTACCAAGTTTCCGGATAAAAACAATGTGAATTATCGATATTCAAATTCAAACTTTTGTCTGTCATTGGTAATGTCAGGAGAGCGTGGTTGCCAGACAAATATAAAGAAAGCCGGATGCACAATGTGATAGAGTATGCGAGCTTTATTTGCACTACTTGGTAAGTAATTTTGCATTGACCGGGTTGGAAACATTATTTGAAACCCATTTCAAATCAAGGCATAACAGTGTAATGTATGTACAGTTGGCTATAACTAGTTACGAATAATTAACAAACCCGTTTCAACAGCATTTTCAAGTAACCCTGGATATAAGATGTAATATTTTCTGTAAAGATAATGCCACAACATATGCATACACAAACTAAATCTACCTGCACCGTATGTTAGAAGGAATATAATGTCCGTATGTTTACGTATAATGTAGTCGAAAATAATATTATCGAAATTTCTAATTATGTAGCGCCTGGGTGTTGATGTACTGAATAAATTGAATTGTTGAATAGTGTAAAAGTAAGGAGGGTTTGAGGGGGAATGTCTGGTATGGAACTGAATAAATAGCGCCGTGTGTGTGGCGCTGTAAAGGCCTTTGTTGACATTTGATGTGAGCAATAAATATTAAAATAAACACTGCGGCAACACTAACACTATTAGTAATGTTGTCACATCAAGACGGCAAGAGAAATCCGAAATGTGACTTGGGCACCACAAATTATGTATCTAGTTATTCAAAACTTAAAACATGATGGATAAACACAAATTTCAACATTCTTACAGCTGTAGTTATTATTTTCTCTAATATATAGTCTATTTCATTTACTATTAAACATGTTATATTGCATATGTACGCGTTTCAATTTACCATTAATATTTGAATGCAAACAATTTATAATTAATATGTAAAATATATTTCAAAATTAGCATTCCTAAAAAATAAACAAATGAACTAGTTCGTCGCGTTTGGCTCGTTTCTCTCAGTTCCTGCCTTGTTCAATAATTCTCGGCAATACCCAGCGCCATCCTCCAACATAGTCAACAGCTCCTTGGCAATAGTTGGTGCCATGTCAGTGCGCACCTTAAACGGATCAACCATTGGAGTGTTCATAGCTTCTTGCCATTCAACCAACAATGCAAATATGGATAATGGAGAAAGTGAACCAGGCGTGGCTTTTGAGGCAGATGATTCACAATTGCCATGGTTAAAAGATTGTTTCATATTTGCGCCCCTGCCATCCTCGCTGCATCCTGCATTGTCGATTAGAGTATCGCGCATCATAATCAACAACCTGCAAGGACATTGATATGATCCACCCTACTATCAATTCGTTGAGAATAGATTTAAAACTGGAATTGTTGTCCAAATTGTCGCGCTTGTATCTGGCAATGTCCTTCAATGTTGTGCTGTCAACCCAATATTTGATTTTAGCACCTGCAATTCTTCTGTGCTCATCTGTGTCACTGTTATGTCTAGACATGCCATTGAGTCCAAATGTCCCAAGCCACACCAAGACATATATCAGAGCCTCCCAGTCGTCGAGCTCAGTGCGCGTGTTGCTGTTGCCCTCGAGGTTGTTCACGCTCATGAAATTCAGTGTGCCGATATGCTCGTTTTTCGGCATCGCATCCAGATTCTCGCAGTCGATCGCATGGTCAAAATCAATCAACATGCCCTTGACAGTGCCATCCACCATACGCCGGAAAAGAAAGTTGCCTGCTGAGATATCACGGTGCAATATATTACAGTGCTCAGCAATGGCACGGTGAGCGCGCATAGCATCAGCAACAGCGATGATCAGCTCGGGAACAAACTGGAGCCTATCAAGTGGCATGCCAATTGGCGACGTGGCAATGCGCTTGTGTGCACAAAATGGCAGCTTCCGAATCTTCTCGCCGACTCTGACATTGTCAAATAGGCCACCAAGAATATTGCGCGTCGTGTCCTCAGTACATGTATTGCTGCTGCAACTCTGGAATTTAATGCGACCGCCGGCTTCGAGGACCGGGTATGTGCCCGCAAGCTCTGGATAGCGCTCGAGTGTCCGGGTGATCTTGCGCAGATGGGCAACCTCGTCGCGCACGTCATTGTCGCCACTTCCATCAGCCACCTCGGTCCAGGCGTCCTTGATAAAAACGGTGCAGTCCTTGCTTCTGATGCGACTGTCTCTGGTTGGCTTCTTATCCGTTGCTAGGAAGCACCGCGTGAGCCGCCCAAACAAATGACTAGCCTCAATTGATATGTGGCTACTGTAGAATGTGCGTTCAGTATATTCAGAAGAATTGGCATTGCCACCGCTGCTGTCCGTGCTGTCAGCGCTGTCCGTGGCAGCTGTGCCAGGAACCGTAATCTCCAACAGTCGAGGTCATGCAAGTGCTTAATGCTTGGGTCAAACCCAGCCGGTGGTCCTCGCTAAAGGACAAATTAACAAACAGCTTGATGACCTCGCTACGGCCCGCCTCGGTGCAAATGTCCATGGCTTCAGAGACCAGAACAAAGTTGCATCCAAACAAGTACACCCGGACAGAGCTGCCGCAAATAGTCAGGCCCCACACAAAGCGCCGGTTGGGCTGTGCGCGATAAATGTGGCGACAGTGCTTAGACAGCTGCAGCGCGGCGCTGTCCACGTCATCCGATGACGAGCCCTGCCCGACCTCGATGGCGGCAAACAGACCGGCGTACCACTCGTCGTTGTTGTTGATTGCGTCTACATTGCCGTCCAACGTTGCCTCGGAGCTGTCGGTCGTAGCGACAGTGGCCAGCGCAGAGTCGATGCCCAAGCCAATCCGACCAATGGTATGGTGGGTGCACTCTTCTCCAGTATCTGTAGTGCTGACTGGCGCAGTGGACAGAATGAGCACCCGGCGTGGCTCGGGGCGTCCTTGCCCTCCCTTGGCATGCTGATGCAGTCCATGGATAATACGAGATACGAACGAGGTAAATGACTCGGCACCTTTGCTTACGTCACCACTGCTGCTGCTGCTTCCGTTGTGGTCGCCAGATGTGTGTGTGCCTGTCCACTTGGAAAGTGCATTGTAGTCCTGCCTGAGCCTGCTCGCCAAATAATCAATGGCGGCGTAGTTCGAGCGAGCTAGCCTAACGGGCCAGACCGAGTCGGCGTTGATGAGCTCTTCCAAAATAGCCAAGTCGCTGGCCGGCATGTGCTTGGAGCCAGATGAAAGCTGCTCCATGGCCCGGTGAACAATATCAGCAACCATAGCCGCCCTCTGCTTGTATTCTGCAGCCACTGGTGCTGCCAGTTCGACGACGCTGGGATGTGGTCCACTGAGGTGTCGCTTTAACTCGCGCATAGCCGGCTCCATACGCTCAAACATCATTTGCCTTTCCGATGAGCTGGGCTTGGCATCAACGTGGGCGTTGCTGGGACAAGGGCCGGGTGCTGTGTCGGCCTGCTTGTCACCAGCTGGACTGCCTTCTTTTGTGTTGCTGCCTACAAAACAATTTCGGAATAATAAAATGCTGTTAGTATGTTGTGAGCGCACCAAAGCACTTTACGCTGGCCGCAAGAATATGTATCGGCATACACAACTGTCTGCAAATAAAACAAACAAGCACTTACTATCGGACGGCGTAATAGGCACAGGCTGGGCTTTGTTCTGGCGTGGGGCTGCTTTCTTCTTGTACACGCGTTTTCTGTTGTTTTGCGGCTGCGCGGAGTTTGCAGCAGTATCCGCGTTTCTCTTTGCTCTCTTGCCTGGCGGTGCCTGCTTGGAGGCCGCGGCTGCCTTTCTCTTTGTGTTTGTTGGCTGAGAAGCGTTCATCTGTCGCCTCTGCCGCTTTGCGGTAACTGGCTGCGCACAGTCGTTTTGACGGACTCTCTTTGTCGGCATGTTTAGAATATGTGTGAATTAAACAAAAAGGTGATGCTGGTTTGCGAAGCGTGTAACTATTGAAAATATATCAAAAGAATTTGAACGGAGAAGAAAAAGGAAAAAAAGAGAAACAGTTATGCGCGTGATGATTTGCAATAACAAAATACAAACAAAATTAATGGTAAATATTTTAATCTTTGCGTTCCGCAACACTAATTCAGGACAGCCGCCTCAACTACCGCGCACGACACAATCCCTCACATTCGGAAACCACCACCACTGTCCCCTCGATAGCTATAAACGCAGCTCCGCCGCCCATAGCAAGGGAATTATTGTGGATTACTCGTTTAATGTTTTATTGGGTTTTTATAATAAGAATCGCACCAAGGTACTGTGTCAAAAATGGTAAATATTTTGGTTTTTGTTTACATTTGGCAAACAAATATTCAGCGCTTGTCTTTTATTTGCATCTATGATTCTTTTTGGATCTTGCAAGCAGTTGTATAGCAAGCAGCTTATTATATCTGCTGCGGCTGCTCCTTCTGCCTGGCGTACGAGTCAAAAGCGCAGCGAGCTGCCGTGTAGATAGATAGTCGCCAAAAACCTTCTGTGGTCGACTTTTCCTTTTCTATTCTTGTTTTATTTTTTGCATTTCTGTCGCTGTGTTCTTGGCGTTAGAGGCGCACAAGTATTCCTTCAAATGCCCTTTCTCTTCGCTTCTTGCTGTAATCCCATTTACTCCTGTTTTAGTGCTTGGGTCTTGTCCTTCTCTCTGTCGCTCTTTCCTCTTTCTTTCGGTCATTCAACTTTTGCCCATTTGGCACTTTTATTTTCACTTTAGCGCTTTTCGAATTTGTGCATTCGAATTTCGGTTTCTTTTTGTTTGTCTGTTTGCTGCTCCACTGTTGCCCTCGCCAGACCGCTCGTGTGGAGATGCGCTTTCTCTGTCACGCTTGTGCGCACACTGCTGGTCTACCTTTGTCTTACTCTATCACCGCTCCCTCACACCCGCTCGCTCCTCTGTTTGTGTCTGTTGCCGCAGCCCGCTTTACCACTTGTGAGGATGTGGCCCACAGCTGCCGCCTTTGTGGCAATTGGGAGTGTCACGCTCTGCACATTTGTTCCTACCCGTCATGTCTCTCGTACATTTTTTTGTCTCTCTCGCGCTTTTCTTTGTCTCTCTCGGCTTTGCTCTGTTTTTCTTGTTTGCCCGGCTGCCTCTTTTTGCACCTATATTTGTCCCTGGCTGACCCTTGCCCTTGTGAGTGTTTATCGCTGTGCTGGTTTGTTGCTGCTCAAAGAAGATACTTGGAGATTGATGGCGGAGCCTGAGACCGAGTGGATATATTGTGGCTGACCGCCTATAAGCCACGGATAGCACCATTGCATGGCGTGCATGTCTTTTTTTCTTGTACACAGACAGCCACGCGCACGCATTTGTGTCATTTCGCTCTTGCCTTCATCGATATTGGATCCTGATCAACTCACGACCTGTGAGCTGCCCTCATCTTGCTCAGACATTTCGCACTCTAGCACCACGCTTTGCCATCACTGTTTTTTCGTTTATTCGGCGACTGTTGTGCACTTCTGCCTTGGTTGGCAGTTGAAGACTGCTCACTCAGGCACATGTGTGTGCCTGCTTGTCTTGGCTACCTGCATGCTTCACTGAGCATTGCTGCTCTTTCCACTTGCTCCCGCAGTTATCAATGACCATTCATTTGGTGATGACAAGTTCCTTCCCCCTTGTCTCAGTTACACGCGCAAATGCTGTGCTGCTTAACTGTTGATGGCATAAAATCCGATGCCGCGTCCTCACTCCATGTTGTGCTGTATCGAATTCATATTTCTTGGTCATCATTGAATTGTGCTCATCAACCCGAAAACGTTAGCTTTTTCTTTTATCGATTCACATTGTTTTTTAGTTTATTGTATTTGTCACAGTTACGGCATATGGTGTTACATGTTGCCTTACTGAGATTAATTGATTACCCGCGTGGCAATTAAGAAATGATGGTAGGTTTTATTATAGTTTATTTGTACACCAGGGGAACATAAAAGGTGTGGCTGTCGGGCAGCCAGGAATTGTTCTCCTTGGGAGAAATAAATACTCTCTTTGCTTTTATATCTTTTGTAACATATATTTTACTATTAATGAATTGTCAATTGATAAAAGGAATACTTGATATTTAGATGAAAATGGAAATGATAAATGACTAATATAATATAAAATGGTAAAAATGACTAAGCATCTGTACTTGACTCGCTGCTCTCAGTTCCTGTCCTGATCAGCAATTCTCGGCAATACTTAGCACCATCCTCCAATATGACCAACAGCTCCTTGGCAATAGTTGGTGCCATGTCAGCGCGCACTTTAAACGGATCAATCATTGGAGTGTTCATAGCATCTCGCCATTCAACCGTCAATGCAGATTTGGATAATGGAGGAAACGAACCAGGCGTGGCTTTCGAGGCAGATGATTCGCAGTTACCATGGTTAAAAGATTGTTTCATATCTGCGCCCCTGCCATTCTCGCTGCACCCTGCATTGTTGATTAGAGTATCACGCATCATACTCAGCAACCCTGCAAGAATATTGATATGATCCACCCTACTATCAAGATCGTTGATGATAGATTTAAAACTGGAACTATTGTCCAAATCGCCGCGCTTAAATCTAGCAATATCCTCCAATGTTGTGCCGCCAACCCAATACTTGATTTTAGCAGCTCGGCCATTTGCGCCTTTAAATCCATATGTCCCAATCCAAATTAAGATATAAATCAGCGTCTCCCAGTCATCGAGTTCGGTGCGTGGGAGCTGGTTCTCTCTAAGGCATGAATGCACATAAACGGGAGAGTACCTGTGCGCTCATCATGTGGAGTATGAGGGCCCTTTGAAGAATTGACCGTGATCAAAGTCGACAAGCATACCCTTGACGGTTCCATCATTCATGCGCCGGAACAGAATGTTTCCTGGCATAACATCACGGTGCAGGATGTGGCAATGCTCGACAATAGCGCGGTGAGCACGCATGGCGTCGGCAACGACAATGATGAGTTCTGGGACAGACTTGAGCATATTGAGCGGCTTTCCAATTGGCGACATGGCAACACGCCTGTGTACACGGAGTTGTGGCTTGTGCTCCTGCTCTTTTTTGTTGCCAACCACTAAATTGGAAAAAGATCGCCAAGAATACTGAGGGTCGTGTCCTCAGTAAATGTGTTGTCGCTGTCCTGCTGAAGGCGCACTAGACCGCCACGTTTGAGTTCTGGGTATGTGCCTGCAAGCTCCTGATAATGTTTCAGCGTCTGGGTAATGTCGTGCAGATGAGCAACCTCATTGCGTGGATCCACACCTTCATCACCCACAGACTCTAGCCATGCATCCTTAATTAGGGTGTCGCAATCCTCCATCTTGATGCAACTCCTTCAGTCGGCTTGACCTCTGTTGCTATAAAGCACCGTGTGTGCCGCCCAAACATCCGATCAGCAGTCAAAAGGATAGTGCTGCTGTAGAACACCTCCTCAGTAGACCCAATGAAACGGTGTCAATTGCTGCTGCTGCTGTTATCTGTGTCGCCTATAGAACCGCCAGGCACTGCTATCTCCCAGCAGCCAAGGTTATTTAAATACCTCACTGAGGAATCATATCCGAGCTGATCCTCGCTGCAGAAAGACCAGTTGACGATCAACCCAATGAATGCACCACGGCCTGCCTCTGTGTGTGCATCCATTTCTGGAGAGGTCACTACGAAATTTGGGCCGAAAAAATGGGCCTGCACAAAACTGCCACAAATTGTCAGCCCCCAAGCAAAACGACGATTGTGCTGGGTGCGAAAAAGGTTGCGGGTGTAGCGGAATAATTGCTGTATAGCATCAACCTTGTCGCCTTTCGTGCTTCCCCGTTTACTTCGATAACCAAGAATAGTTTTGAGTACCATATTACTATGGCCTCATCGAGAGTGGCAACCTTTTCCTTCTGCCAACTGAAAGTGCGGCCAACAGATGCACTGCCTATGCTCTTCGTCTCCAAACCAATGTCGATCCTTTCGTCCGACTGTGCATCCTCGCACATTTTGTCTGTCGAGTGACAAGGCAAAATCTTTCTGAATGGTACTGGTCGTGCCTTCTCCCCAAGAGAGCAGGTATCCAGTGCATGGCTGACCAAACCAACAAACACAAAAAAGGCGATAATTGGTGGATAGAATTGTCTTTCGGTGGACAACCTATCTGCCAAGTTGTGTGTGCTGGTCCACAATGAGAACTCGTTGCTGGCCAAGCGCAGTTCGAATGCAATTTTTGATAGCTGTTTTCTTTGAGCGTGTCGAGCGGCTGGAATGGACTGAGTCGGCCATGATAAGCTGTTCAAGCATAGCTGCATCATCGGCTAGTATGTGGTTGGAGCTGGACGCAAACATCTCGACGCCCTTGTGGATAACCTTTGAAACATTTGCCGCGCGCTCCCTGCGATCCGCAGCTTTGGACTCAGCCAGCTCAAGCACGCCTGCTTGTGGTTTGCTAATGTAGTGTTCCCACTCGCGTGCGGCCTCATCCTTTACCGAATCGCTATGCTCTTTGGGCGTTTGTATCCATGTGGAAAGTGTGCATGCAGAAGCAACAGTGGGCTGTGTCAGAGTATTTGTGCGTGCTCTGCCAGTGGGTTGGGCTGCTTCCTCTGCCGAGTCTACATAACGCTCAACATTTTTATGTGATAATTTATAATTTATTTGAGTGTAAATATATTGAGTAATTAAATATTATAAAATGAACTTTCAAAATTACTATTATAGTGTTATTGGTAAACTACTTACATGGCGATGCAGGTTGTACACTTTTCTTCTTTAGGCGATCTCGCATCTCTTTGTGGCACCAGTGCAAGTTGGTGGTGACGATTTGGGCGTCCTCAGGAGGCCCAGTGGCCTTTCTCTTTCGTCTGGATTCGGGCATAACTAAAGGGGTGAAAATGAAGCAGAGAACCAAACAAAAATATGGAAATATAAAATATGAATAAACGGTTGAAGAAAAATTACAAAATTGAAAACTTGTAAGTTGTCAACAGCTTCTCTTCGTAGCAAAACATGCTAATGTATAGTGTTAGAGATTGTTTGCATTGTACTTGTCATAAATAATAGACAAATTTACCAAGTTTCCGGATAAAAACAATGTGAATTATCGATATTCAAATTCAAACTTTTGTCTGTCATTGGTAATGTCAGGAGAGCGTGGTTGCCAGACAAATATAAAGAAAGCCGGATGCACAATGTGATAGAGTATGCGAGCTTTATTTGCACTACTTGGTAAGTAATTTTGCATTGACCGGGTTGGAAACATTATTTGAAACCCATTTCAAATCAAGGCATAACAGTGTAATGTATGTGCAGTTGGCTATAACTAGTTACGAATAATTAACAAACCCGTTTCAACAGCATTTTCAAGTAACCCTGGATATAAGATGTAATATTTTCTGTGAAGATAATGCCACAACATATGCATACACAAACTAAATCTACCTGCACCGTATGTTAGAAGAAATATAATGTCCGTATGTTTACGTATAATGTAGTCGAAAATAATATTATCGAAAATTCTAATTATGTAGCGCCTGGGTGTTGATGTACTGAATAAATTGAATTGTTGAATAGTGTAAAAGTAAGGAGGGTTTGAGGGGGAATGTCTGGTATGGAACTGAATAAATAGCGCCGTGTGTGTGGCGCTGTAAAGGCCTTTGTTGACATTTGATGTGAGCAATAAATATTAAAATAAACACTGCGGCAACACTAACACTATTAGTAATGTTGTCACATCAAGACGGCAAGAGAAATCCGAAATGTGACTTGGGCACCACAAATTATGTATCTAGTTATTCAAAACTTAAAACATGATGGATAAACACAAATTTCAACATTCTTACAGCTGTAGTTATTATTTTCTCTAATATATAGTCTATTTCATTTACTATTAAACATGTTATATTGCATATGTACGCGTTTCAATTTACCATTAATATTTGAATGCAAACAATTTATAATTAATATGTAAAATATATTTCAAAATTAGCATTCCTAAAAAATAAACAAATGAACTAGTTTGTTGTGTTTGTCTCGTTTCTCTCAGTTCCTGCCTTGTTCAACAATTCTTGGCAATACTCAGCAATATTCCCCAAAATGGCCAACAGCTCTTTGGCAATAGTTGGTGCCATGTCAGTGCGCACCTTAAACGGATCAACCATTGGAGTGTTCATAGCACCTCGCCGTTTAATTGCCAATGCAAATTTGGATAATGGAGGAAACGAACCAGGCGTGACTTTCGAGGCAGATGATTCACAATTGCCATGGTTAAAAGATTGTTTCATATTTGCGCCCCTGCCATCCTCGCTGCATCCTGCATTGTCGATTAGAGTACCACGCATCATACTCAACAACCCTGCAAGGACATTGATATGATCCACCCTACTATCAAAATCGTTGATAATGGATTTAAAACTGGAACTGTTGTCCAAATCGCCGCGCTTAAATCTGGAAATGTCCTCCAATGTTTTGCCGTCAACCCAATACTTGATTTTAGCACCTGCAATTCTTCTGTGCTCATCTGTGTCACTGTTATGTCTAGACATGCCATTGAGTCCAAATGTCCCAAGCCACACCAAGACATATATCAGAGCCTCCCAGTCGTCGAGCTCAGTGCGCGTGTTGCTGTTGCCCTCGAGGTTGTTCACGCTCATGAAATTCAGTGTGCCGATATGCTCGTTTTTCGGCATCGCATCCAGATTCTCGCAGTCGATCGCATGGTCAAAATCAATCAACATGCCCTTGACAGTGCCATCCACCATACGCCGGAAAAGAAAGTTGCCTGCTGAGATATCACGGTGCAATATATTACAGTGCTCAGCAATGGCACGGTGAGCGCGCATAGCATCAGCAACAGCGATGATCAGCTCGGGAACAGACTGGAGCCTATCAAGTGGCATGCCAATTGGCGACGTGGCAATGCGCTTGTGTGCACAAAATGGCAGCTTCCGAATCTTCTCGCCGACTCTGACATTGTCAAATAGGCCACCAAGAATATTGCGCGTCGTGTCCTCAGTACATGTATTGCTGCTGCAACTCTGGAATTTAATGCGACCGCCGGCTTCGAGGACCGGGTATGTGCCCGCAAGCTCTGGATAGCGCTCGAGTGTCCGGGTGATCTTGCGCAGATGGGCAACCTCGTCGCGCACGTCATTGTCGCCACTTCCATCAGCCACCTCGGTCCAGGCGTCCTTGATAAAAACGGTGCAGTCCTTGCTTCTGATGCGACTGTCTCTGGTTGGCTTCTTATCCGTTGCTAGGAAGCACCGCGTGAGCCGCCCAAACAAATGACTAGCCTCAATTGATATGTGGCTACTGTAGAATGTGCGTTCAGTATATTCAGAAGAATTGGCATTGCCACCGCTGCTGTCCGTGCTGTCAGCGCTGTCTGTGGCAGCTGTGCCAGGAACCGTAATCTCCCAACAGTCGAGGTCATGCAAGTGCTTAATGCTTGGGTCGAAACCCAGCCGGTGGTCCTCGCTAAAGGACAAATTAACAAACAGCTTGATGACCTCGCTACGGCCCGCCTCGGTGCAAATGTCCATGGCTTCAGAGACCAGAACAAAGTTGCATCCAAACAAGTACACCCGGACAGAGCTGCCGCAAATAGTCAGGCCCCACACAAAGCGCCGGTTGGGCTGTGCGCGATAAATGTGGCGACAGTGCTTAGACAGCTGCAGCGCGGCGCTGTCCACGTCATCCGATGACGAGCCCTGCCCGACCTCGATGGCGGCAAACAGACCGGCGTACCACTCGTCGTTGTTGTTGATTGCGTCTACATTGCCGTCCAACGTTGCCTCGGAGCTGTCGGTCGTAGCGACAGTGGCCAGCGCAGAGTCGATGCCCAAGCCAATCCGACCAATGGTATGGTGGGTGCACTCTTCTCCAGTATCTGTAGTGCTGACTGGCGCAGTGGACAGAATGAGCACCCGGCGTGGCTCGGGGCGTCCTTGCCCTCCCTTGGCATGCTGATGCAGTCCATGGATAATACGAGATACGAACGAGGTAAATGACTCGGCACCTTTGCTTACGTCACCACTGCTGCTGCTGCTTCCGTTGTGGTCGCCAGATGTGTGTGTGCCTGTCCACTTGGAAAGTGCATTGTAGTCCTGCCTGAGCCTGCTCGCCAAATAATCAATGGCGGCGTAGTTCGAGCGAGCTAGCCTAACGGGCCAGACCGAGTCGGCGTTGATGAGCTCTTCCAAAATAGCCAAGTCGCTGGCCGGCATGTGCTTGGAGCCAGATGAAAGCTGCTCCATGGCCCGGTGAACAATATCAGCAACCATAGCCGCCCTCTGCTTGTATTCTGCAGCCACTGGTGCTGCCAGTTCGACGACGCTGGGATGTGGTCCACTGAGGTGTCGCTTTAACTCGCGCATAGCCGGCTCCATACGCTCAAACATCATTTGCCTTTCCGATGAGCTGGGCTTGGCATCAACGTGGGCGTTGCTGGGACAAGGGCCGGGTGCTGTGTCGGCCTGCTTGTCACCAGCTGGACTGCCTTCTTTTGTGTTGCTGCCTACAAAACAATTTCGTAATAATAAAATGCTGTTAGTATGTTGTGAGCGCACCAAAGCACCTTACGCTGGCCGCAAGGATATGTGTCGGCATACACAACTGTCTGCAAATAAAACAAACAAGCACTTACTATCAGACGGCGTAATAGGCACAGGCTGGGCTTTGTTCTGGCGTGGGGCTGCTTTCTTCTTGTACACGCGTTTTCTGTTGTTTTGCGGCTGCGCGGAGTTTGCAGCAGTATCCGCGTTTCTCTTTGCTCTCTTGCCTGGCGGTGCCTGCTTGGAGGCCGCGGCTGCCTTTCTCTTTGTGTTTGTTGGCTGAGAAGCGTTCATCTGTCGCCTCTGCCGCTTTGCGGTAACTGGCTGCGCACAGTCGTTTTGACGGACTCTCTTTGTCGGCATGTTTAGAATATGTGTGAATTAAACAAAAGGTGATGCTGGTTTGCGAAGCGTGTAACTATTGAAAATATATCAAAAGAATTTGAACGGAGAAGAAAAAGGAAAAAAAGAGAAACAGTTATGCGCGTGATGATTTGCAATAACAAAATACAAACAAAATTAATGGTAAATATTTTAATCTTTGCGTTCCGCAACACTAATTCAGGACAGCCGCCTCAACTACCGCGCACGACACAATCCCTCACATTCGGAAACCACCACCACTGTCCCCTCGATAGCTATAAACGCAGCTCCGCCGCCCATAGCAAGGGAATTATTGTGGATTACTCGTTTAATGTTTTATTGGGTTTTTATAATAAGAATCGCACCAAGGTACTGTGTCAAAAATGGTAAATATTTTGGTTTTTGTTTACATTTGGCAAACAAATATTCAGCGCTTGTCTTTTATTTGCATCTATGATTCTTTTTGGACCTTGCAAGCAGTTGTATAGCAAGCAGCTTATTATATCTGCTGCGGCTGCTCCTTCTGCCTGGCGTACGAGTCAAAAGCGCAGCGAGCTGCCGTGTAGATAGATAGTCGTCAAAAACCTTCTGTGGTCGACTTTTCCTTTTCTATTCTTGTTTTATTTTTTGCATTTCTGTCGCTGTGTTCTTGGCGTTAGAGGCGCACAAGTATTCCTTCAAATGCCCCTTTCTCTTTGCTTCTTGCTGTAATCCCATTTACTCCTGTTTTAGTGCTTGGGTCTTGTCCTTCTCTCTGTCGCTCTTTCCTCTTTCTTTCGGTCATTCAACTTTTGCCCATTTGGCACTTTTATTTTCACTTTAGCGCTTTTCGAATTTGTGCATTCGAATTTCGGTTTCTTTTTGTTTGTCTGTTTGCTGCTCCACTGTTGCCCTCGCCAGACCGCTCGTGTGGAGATGCGCTTTCTCTGTCACGCTTGTGCGCACACTGCTGGTCTACCTTGTCTTACTCTATCACCGCTCCCTCACACCCGCTCGCTCCTCTGTTTGTGTCTGTTGCCGCAGCCCGCTTTACCACTTGTGAGAATGTGGCCCACAGCTGCCGCCTTTGTCGGCAATTGGGAGTGTCACGCTCTGCACATTTGTTCCTACCCGTCATGTCTCTCGTACATTTTTTGTCTCTCTCGCGCTTTTCTTTGTCTCTCTCGGCTTTGCTCTGTTTTTCTTGTTTGCCCGGCTGCCTCTTTTTGCACCTATATTTGTCCCTGGCTGACCCTTGCCCTTGTGAGTGTTTATCGCTGTGCTGGTTTGTTGCTGCTCAAAGAAGATACTTGGAGATTGATGGCGGAGCCTGAGACCGAGTGGATATATTGTGGCTGACCGCCTATAAGCCACGGATAGCACCATTGCATGGCGTGCATGTCTTTTTTTCTTGTACACAGACAGCCACGCGCACGCATTTGTGTCATTTCGCTCTTGCCTTCATCGATATTGGATCCTGATCAACTCACGACCTGTGAGCTGCCCTCATCTTGCTCAGACATTTCGCACTCTAGCACCACGCTTTGCCATCACTGTTTTTTCGTTTATTCGGCGACTGTTGTGCACTTCTGCCTTGGTTGGCAGTTGAAGACTGCTCACTCAGGCACATGTGTGTGCCTGCTTGTCTTGGCTACCTGCATGCTTCACTGAGCATTGCTGCTCTTTCCACTTGCTCCCGCAGTTATCAATGACCATTCATTTGGTGATGACAAGTTCCTTCCCCCTTGTCTCAGTTACACGCGCAAATGCTGTGCTGCTTAACTGTTGATGGCATAAAATCCGATGCCGCGTCCTCACTCCATGTTGTGCTGTATCGAATTCATATTTCTTGGTCATCATTGAATTGTGCTCATCAACCCGAAAACGTTAGCTTTTTCTTTTATCGATTCACATTGTTTTTTAGTTTATTGTATTTGTCACAGTTACGGCATATGGTGTTACATGTTGCCTTACTGAGATTAATTGATTACCCGCGTGGCAATTAAGAAATGATGGTAGGTTTTTATTATAGTTTATTTGTACACCAGGGGAACATAAAAGGTGTGGCTGTCGGGCAGCCAAGAATTGTTCTTGGAGGAAATAAATATCCTTATTTGGTTTATACCCCTTTGTAACAGATATATTGAGATATTAAAATTAGAGTATTTATTTGGACATCCATGCAAAGTCCAACTTTTGGTGACCGCCAGGAGCAATCAGGCAATTGATCAGCGACAATCCTTTATGCCCTAACGCCCTCTCCACAGCACCACCCAACTCCTCGGGGGTCCTAACCAACTCACCCCTAGCGCCTACAGCCTGCGCAATCATCTCGTACCGAACCTCCGGTGTCAACGAAGTAGCTGGTACTATGCCTCTCTGATCCAACTCATTAAATTCGTCCTTCTCAAATCCATAGTATATCCCGTTATTGTTAATTACAATAACCACCAGGGGCAAATGACTACGCACAGCAGTCTCCAATTCCATAGCGCTAAATCCGAACGCGGAGTCACCGACAATAGCAACAATATGCGACGAAGGGTAGTGCAGCTGCGCGGCAATGGCAAATCCCATGCCGACACCCATGTTTGCATATGTGGCGCAATCCAGGCGGCGTCGAGGGAGTTGGAAATCATACACAGTGCGCGCAATATCCATCGTATTAGCACCCTCACTGATTAAAACGACGTCCTCGGGCAGTCTGATCTTGATCTCGTAGAACGCCCGATAATAGGTCATGGGCAACACATCCGAGTGGTACTTGATCTCCTGCTTGGCGACATTAGCAGAAGCATGGCGGGCTAACTCTGCGACAAAGATGTTATCCTCAGGGTTGGGCACAAATGGACCATCGAGGGCATCTATGAGCTGGCGGACAACCAGGGGCAGATGACCTTGGAGACAAACATCCACAGGCGTGTTGACGCCCATTTCTTCAGCACACACGTCGACCTGGATAATCTTGGCATTGGGGTTGAAGCGCTTGCCAAAGTGTAAAATCCAATTAACGCGCGCGCCCAGCAGCAAAACAACATCAGCGCCCTTGAGTGCCCCCGATCGCGCACTCGATGCATTGCGCGGATGAGCATCCGGCACAACACCCTTGCCCATTGGTGTCGGGAGGAACGGCGCCTGATAGACATTAATGAGCTCGCGGATCTCTTTTTCAGCCCTAGCGTACGCCGCGCCTTTGCCCACCACCACGAGGGGGCTTTGGGCCTGCTTCAGCAGCTCGACGGCTCTGCGGATGTCCTCAGGATCAGCCTGCGCAAACGTCGGCCGCACCTCCCTGACAACCCGCACATCACCCGATGATACCCGGCCCTGGATGAAATCCGCCGGCAGGTCCACATATGCAGCCCCGGGTCTTCCCACAATGGAATGCCTGAATGCCCTCTCAATGATGTCCGGAATCTGCCCGATGCTCGCCGGTCTCTGGGCAAACTTCGTGTAAGGGCGGCACATCTCCACCTGCAAGCACTCTTGGAAGGCGCCGGAGCCCTCCAAGGAAGTCTCGCAGGAGCCGCCAATGAGGATGAGCGGCCAGGTGTTGACTTGAGAGTTGATGACGCCAGCCAGTGCGTGTACCACGCCGGGGCCCGAGACTACCAGACAGATACCAGGCTTTTGGTTGAGGAAGCCCCAGGCGGAAGCTGCGTAGCTGCAGGACTGCTCGTTGCGGAAACTTATGAATTTGATGCCTTCCGCTTGGATGGCCTCGGCCACTTCGACCACTGGGATACCGACAATGCCGAAGACGACAGTGACGCCTTGTTGCTTAAGCGACTGCGCAACGATCTGAGCACCGGTAAGAGTGGTGGCAGCGGTAGACATTAATGAAGAGACAGTTATAAATATATTATTCTGACAAACAGTGTTGGCAAAAAACCGGTGTAAATAGTATAATAGATGTAAAAGAAAGATTTGAGAAGGAAAAGTTAACGTGTGTTTAGGCCTTCAATTTCCAGTTTATAAAGCAAGAGCAGGGACAGGGATCAACACCAATCAAAAATTATCGCGTCATACCCCCAAGCAATAGCGTAAACGAAACGGAGGATCAACGCGACGCCTAATCCTTGCTGCATTTATCAAGAGTTCATCGATAAAGTCGATAAGGTCAAATACTCACTTAGACGCCACCGCCGCTGCGATAAGTGGGGATCTGATTGAGATTCAGATCCTCCTTAGGCGCACGGCCTTTCGAATTAACGGCCTCCTTAATCTCGCGCAAGATATCGAAGATCTGCTCAAACTCAACGTGGCTTCCGGGGTCCGTATGCTCCACACGGGCAGCGCTCAAATACGAAGTGATGCCTCCCTCGGGCACAGGCACGTTAATGGAGTCAAACAACGGCTGAATATCCTTGACCTCGATGTGACCATCACCATCCAAGTCAAACTCGGAGAAGGCCGCCAGGATAGCTCCAATCTCCTCGGCAGAGAAAATACCGCGGCGGTAGTATGAGGCCGGATCAAGGAAGTTCAGCGTAGCCGTAGTCTGCATGTTGACCACTCCCTGGCGCGCACCAGCAGCAGTAGCAGCAGCAGATGACTTTGGCTGCTCATCAAGGATCGAGTCAGGCAGGCCCATTGTGGTCAGGAACACCAGAGCCTTCCTGGCCTCCTTCGCCTTACGCTTGTCGTCCCACTTGAGCTCGGCGGCCATCAGCTCGATGACGCGCGGGATGGACTCGCGTGCAGCCTGGGCGTCCAAGAAGGCCAAGCGCATGCGGCGCGCAATAACGTCGACAGCGGACAGTGCATACTCGTACTGCACAGCGTAACGCACCTCGGCGTCGACGAACGGGTAAAGCGGGTGAATGCGCTGGCTCTGGGCACCGGCATGGTCAGCCAGTGCGCAGACAGCCCAGGCGCGGTCTCCGTAGTTGTGCGCCAGGTGCTTGGCGACCTCAAGGTCGATGCCAAAGTTCTGCACGAGCTTGATGAACATGGTGTCGGACCATGCGTGGGATCCAATCAGCCGCACATTCTCAGTCTGGCAGTCGCGCAGAGGCTTGAGCGAGTGCAGGCTGATAGCGCGGTCGATGGTCTCCTTGGCCATTTCGCGGTACGTCGTCCACTTGCCGCCGGCAATGGTGATCAAACCAGAGTCGGACTCGTGAATCATATGGTTGCGCACCAGATCCTTGGTGTTGGCCGCCTTGGGATCGCGCACCAGGGGCCGGATACCTGACCATGCGGCCAAGACGTCGCCGCGGCGGATCTTGACGTCGGGCGACAGGAAGCGGCGGATCTCCGAAAGAATCCACTCAATCTCCTTCTCGCTGGGCTTCGGGTCAGCCTCCACTGAGCACAGCGTGTCCGTGGTACCGGCAACAACACCACCCTCCCACGGCAGGAAGAAGACCACACGGCCGTCGGTCGTCGCCGGGTCCAGCATGCCCATGTTCTTGGGGCTGAAGTACGAGGGCAGCACCAGATGCACGCCGGAGCTGGGCGCCACAATGTCGGCCATGGTCGGGTCGTCCATCTTCAGGATAGCGTCGGAGAACGGGCCTGTGGCATTGATGACGCTGCGCGCCTTGACCGCCCACTCCTCGCCAGTCTCGTTGTCGCGCACCATGGCGCCGCGCACACGCTCAATTCCGTCAACCGTGTCTTTGATCAGCGACGTCACTTCGACGTGGTTGGCCACCACGGCGCCGTGCGCAGCCGCTGTCACAGCCAGCGCCGCGTTCATGCGCGCATCATTGTGTTGGCCGTCAAAGTACACCAGTGAGCCCACAAGCCCCTGAGCGCGCAGCATCGGGAAGCTCTCGATCGTCTTGCCACGGCCCATCAGGTAGCTGCTCGTGATTCCCTGCTTGCCAGCCAACAGATCATACATCTTGCATCCAATCCAAAAGTACGGCAGCTGCCACCAGGTGTAGACTGGCAGCATGATCGGCAGCTCGTTACTCAAATACGGTGCAATGTTCAAGAAGGTCTTACGCTCATGCAGCGCCTCCCTGACCATCTTCCATTGCTCGTAGTCCAGACCCATGATGGCCTTCTGCAGGTACCGCACGCCGCCATGCACCAGCTTGGTAGACTTTGACGAGGTGCCCGATGCAAAGTCATCGCGCTCCACCATAGCCACTCTCAGCCCTCTGGTGGCCGCATCCAGCGTGCACCCGGTTCCTGTGGCGCCGCCACCGATGATCAGGACGTCAAACTCGCGCTCCTCCGCAGTCTTGTTGTCCGCCCCATCACGGCTCAGGCCCTTCAGGTCGTTGAGCATTTCTTCGCGCTTGGGCGGGGTCCAGAAGGCGTGTGGCCGCATTCCGGGGGGTGTCGGGGTCTCTAGGGGGTCGGCGTAGATCATGTTAGAGGAGGATGGAAGTCTTGGGCTAAATTGCTTGCCAGCGCGATTCTGGTAATACTGTGTTCCCGCGTAGAGCGTGCCTGCTGCCATTGCACCGGCCGCTCCGTACTTGAACGCTTTGGCTGTGTGTTGCCGCCACATTTTTGTCTTGTATAGATATGTAAAAGCGGATGTAAAACGAATGTAAGCGTTTTGCTGTAAGAGCTGGAGAAAATAATATAAAAAACTAAAGAGAGGAAAGAGAAGAGATAGATATCTCTTATCGGGCTTGGAGATATAAATCCGGAGAGGACTATGAAGTTACAAAATCTGAGAAGCAACAGGTTGGGCGCGGTGAGAGAGGCGACGGACAAATAGAAAACGCGCTCCTTGCGTTTCTACAAATGAATGCTATTTCAATATGCGCCTTATCGATTTTTTTTTTAAAAAAAAGCGACAGGCCATTGTTGCGCTTTTTTTACTTGCATTCCAGGCCCTTCAATGATAAACAATAAACAAAATGCCACATTTTATATTCCCTTTTGAGCACCTGCTTATTTCCGCACGTGCGAAGTGGGGTTGGATGATCAGACATTTCAGTTCCACCCTGTGGCCTCTCTTATTTTTAATTCCGTGGATGAGGGTGGCACTTGGTTCTTTCTGCCCGGCGGCCGGGCTTGGCTTGTATACCAAGGGACAATCCTAAAGTTTAAAAAAAAGTGAATGAGATCATCCTGCCTAATCTGTACATACACGCGAGTGTAGAAGAAAATATATTTAGTTTTACTTGGAGGGGGGACGTTTGCTGGCTGAAGGTTTAACAATACTTATTTCCGCTCTGGCCACCGGCTTCACTCTGTCCAAAAATGTATAAACCAAACGGGCTTTCACTGGGCAGTAGTTGCCCGATACGTCGTCAACCATGTGAATTAACAGTTTTTATTTTTGGCTTTTGCCAATGCCAGATGACACAAAAGACGCAAGACAGTGGTGGATCGGCTTTCCATCTTCGGCTGTTGTCAGTTGCATAAATTTGCGTCAAAGCTGCACTGTGCTCCCCCGGTCACGATCCCCAATACGTACAGAGGAAAAAAATCCGTCACGCCACAAATATCCGACCACGATCCATCAACCCATCCACAATCCGCTGATTATTTAATTTCCAATCGCGCGAAAGGCGAAAAGCAGAAAAATTTAATTACCCAAAAGATAAACCAAAAAACCTCGAAATTTCGAATTGCTCGCCAAATTCCAAGCCTTCTTGTTGCTTACCAAACCAAAAAAATATTTCTTGTTCCAATTTGTATATTACCAGCTATTTATTTCAATATTTAAAGAAATGTCCAATCCCTTCACACGCATGCCCTCGCAGGACGAGCGAGCAGCAGCGACCAAAGTGACGGACTCGTGCGCCTTCAAAGCTGGTTTCAGTGGCATAGCTGGCTACGGTATCGGGCTTATGTTTGGCCTCGTCCTCTCTGGTATTGAATTTTCCTCACCCGTCGACACTACGGCGTCAACCAAGCAGCAGATCAAAACTGTTATCAAGGATATGGGAAATAAGAGTTTATCTTCAGCGAAAAATTTTGCCATTATGGCTGCTATTTATTCGGGGTCAGAGTGTATGATTGAGAGTTATAGGGCGAAGAACGATATTTATAATAGCATTGGTGCTGGTTGTATTACTGGTGGTACGTTGGCTGCAAAGACAGGGCCTAGAGGGATGGCTGCTGGATGTGCTGGCTTTGCTGCGTTTTCTGCCGGTATCGACTGGTACATGCACAAGGACGACTAATGAGAGGCGCTATGTATAAAGTATTTTATCACCATTTTAAAAATAGACACGTTATTTACATACAAAAACACAAACACGTGCATGAATTTGCTTGCTTATTGACTATATCCAGGCCTAATTTTGTTTTTAAAACTCAGTTGCCAGTGCACGTTTAAATAGCAAATAAAATGAGGGACGACAAATCCATATTGTTGGGATTAGCCTTAGGCTTTAAAATTAGCTGCAAACGTGACATCTTAATCCCTCTTCCTCCATTCAAGGTTAAGCGGTACAGACAGAGAGATGGTCACCGGATATATACTCGCGTAGAACAGGCAAACTTTGCTCTTCTTTGGTGAGCTTTGTTGAATTTATCGCTCTTTCTCTTTCTTTTTTAATTTAAAAAGCTTTGAATTTCCATTCGTCATCTCGTTGTGTTTTCCTTCACTTTTTGTTTTTTTTATTTTTTCACCTTCTCAACATCTTTTTTGTTAAAAATATATAATAATACTTTGACGCGCTTGAGCCAATAAATTCTCACCCAATGCATGCCTCTAGCAATTCGGGTCACACTGGTGTACGTTTTCTTGAAACAAAACAAAAACGCAAATTCAAATCTGTCTACTTGCACTAGCTCATTTCGACCTGGCCCAGCATACAAAAAAACCCAAATAACCTGTAATTTTTCTTCTTTTGGCACCAGTGTGCACATACACACCTACACTTTTAACTAAACCCTTGGCTTTTTTCAAAATGTTTTTTTTACTCTTTTTAGGACTTGGATAGCGCAATCAGCAAGGTTCGCGAAAAGCTGGACAAGGAGAGAAATATGCTCGAAAAGACGCGCCAGATAGCCACGCAGGTTAGCAACCCCAATGCAAAGGCTGACGCTCACGCGATGATTGCTGAGGCTGAGCAGCGTGTCACCTATCTCGAGGCAGAGTTCCGCCGGTTGTCGCAAAAGAAGGATGACCGCAATAGCATAAAGTCAGGTACAGCAGCATTATTTCATGCATATATGCCTCAATACCAATTTTCATGCGATGTTCAGCCTTTATTTTTTTCTACTTTGCGAGAATGTACAAAAAAAACATGCTTTTGTTTATTTTTGGATTATTCGCGCGCATGCAATTGGCTGCCAATCTCGCTCATCCATCCCTCTTCTCCCCCTATCCACGCACTCCCCCAGTCATAAAAAAGGATGATGATGTGTATAGCTCAATGCGTCCGCCTACATTGTTCACATTATTTACATTTATTGCATACGCACTAACCAAGTCTGTTACCAATTTCTCGCTGTCGGGATTCTCTCATTTTTATTCGTAGGCGGTAACGGAAGCGTTCTTGACAACGGCTCTCCCACCAGCATGACGGCCTCTGAGAGGAGCGGCGGGCGCCCGCACTCGCAGTCGTTCTCCAAGTTAGACCTGCGGAAAACGTCATCCCACCTGTCAGTGCACAAGATCTCGCTCAAAGTGCACGAGGTTGCCTACAAGCTTGAGGTTGAGCGCAAGATTCGCGACAACGCCAACCGCATCCGCCGCTTGTACAGCAACGACTACCGCCAGGGCAGCAAGGACAAGATAGCACAGATCACAGACTCTGACCGCATTCTTCACGAAACCAACGATCGCATCCGGCTGCTCGAGTACTCTCTCAAGATGTACCAGTCCTTGTACGTGGACTACGCCGACGATGATGACGAGACCGTCAACGAGGACGAGTACTCTGGGGGGCTCTACCAGCCGGCCATGCGGCGGCCGATCACTGGAAAGCTGCAGCTTCGTATCCATCGTGCAAAGAATTTGCGCCGCGCGCCTATTCATACCAGGTCGTTCCGCAGCCCGCAACAGTTCGTTGTGGTCAAGATTGACGGTCGGGCCTGTGGCACGACGCCAATAGTCAGGGACTCAGTGTTCAATTACTATTTTGAGATCGAGGTCAAGAAGGCGTCTGAGGTTGAGCTGTCTATTTTTGAGCGCGGCGACAAGGACTACCTGATTGGCCTGATGTGGATCCGGCTGTCTGAGATCTACGAGGACATCCGCAAGAAGGAGATCATGGCCGAGTCGTCCAGCGGCTGGGCCACAGCCGACCAGATGGCCAGGAGCACGCAGCCCCAGCAGCCGCCCCACTTCAACAGCCCCAGCCCTAGCATGGCCTCTCTAGGCCACACGAACCACCCGGGCTCCATGTCGCCCGCTGTCCCGCGCCTCTCCGACGCCATGGGACCCGGTGTGCTCAGCGAGTGGGACGTCGAGTCGCAGGGCCAGATCGAGCTCTGGATGAACTTTGTCAAGGACACGACCAAACGCCGCCAACAATCGCGTCTCGGCCGCAAAGCCGCCGTGCGCAAGCGCCGTGGGCCTTGTACCGAGATGTGCGGCCATCATTTTTACCCTCTGCATACGTACTCGATCATGAAGTGCGCACTGTGTAACGACCACATTGTCAACGAGGTCGGGCAACAATGCGATGACTGCCAGCTGTTTGTGCATCAGAAATGCGTTGGCCGCGTGGTTGCCCACTGTCACTACGACACAAACAACACGGAGGAGGTTGTTGAGCTTGGACATCGCATTCCGCATCGCTGGGAGATGTCCACCAATATTGGCGCCAACTGGTGCTGCCACTGCGGTACCATGCTGCCCATTGGACGTCGGGCGTGCAAATGCACGGAGTGCGAGATGACTTGCCACCAGGGGTGCAAGAAGTACGTGCCTAATTTGTGCGGTCTCGATATGGTCAAGGCCAGTGCCATGATTTCGGAGATTAAGCGCGCAAAGGGAGCCGCTGTGCCCCAACCAAAGGTCCTGAACAAGCGCGATACGATGGCCAAGAAGCCCGGCCAGTCTGGTTCTCTGCTGGCACCGTCGGCTGACGACCAGGTGGCTGCCATCCAGAACCGCCTCGAGCAGATGCCAATGCCCTCGGCAGCAGCAGCGACGGTGGCCGGATACCAGCAGCAGTACCAACAGTCGCCTTCGCCTATTCCCTCGAGGCTGAGCCAGGGCGGCGCTTCCAGCCACCAGCGCAATAACTCTAACGAGTTTGTACCAATCAAGTCGGCCCCGCCGCCCCAGCAGCAGCCTCAGCAGAGACCCTTGTCTGCGGGCCAGCCGGCTGACCATCGTCTGAGCCAGGTCGGCACTGGGTATGCGCCGGTTAACGTGCAGCCGCCCAGCTACTACCAGCAGCAGATTCAGCAGGCAAAGTCGCACTACGTCCAGCAGCAACACCCCCCACAGCAGCAGCAGCCGCATGGGTACGCTCCCCCCAGGCAGCAGAACGCCGGGTATCCTCACAACAGCCACCAGCAGCAGCCGCCGCAACAGCAATATCAGCAGCTCCGTGTGGACAGCATCCCGCAGCTCCGTGTGGACAGCATCCCGCAGCTCCGTGTGGACAGCATCTCACAGCAAATGTCGCCCCAGCAGCAACAGCAACAGCTCTACCAGCAACAGCAACAACAGCAGCAGCAGGGCCGCATGTCTATGTACGGCACCGCTGCCAGTGCTGGTGCTGCTCCTCCTGTTTCAGGCCGTCCCAATTCAATGCTGCCAGGCGTGAGCTCCGAGATGAAGCAGCAGATCTACCAGGCCATGCAGCAGCCGACAGAGGCACCCCTCGGTTCCATTGCTCTCACATCCAACCAGCCGCCTCGCAAGGTCGGCATCAACGACTTCAAGTTCATCAAGGTTCTGGGCAAAGGAAACTTTGGTAAGGTCATGCTGTCTGAGGAGAAGAGCACCTCCAAGCTGTACGCCATCAAGGTCCTCAAGAAGGAGTTTATCGTTGAAAACGACGAATTCGAGAGTACTCGCTCTGAGAAGCGTGTACTCCTGATTGCCAACAAGGAAAGACATCCGTTCCTGATCGGTCTGCATTCGTGCTTGCAGACAAGCAACCACATTTTCTTCGTCATGGAGTACATCTCTGGTGGTGACCTGATGATGCACGTGCAGAAGCTGGGCACTTTCGGCGAACGCCGGGCCAAGTTCTTTGCTTGCGAGATCCTCCTCGGCCTCGCATACTTCCACAAGGCCGGCATCATCTACCGCGATCTCAAGCTCGACAACATTCTTCTTGACAAGGAAGGCCACGTCAAGATTGCTGACTACGGCCTGTGCAAGGAAAACATGGGATATGGGCAGACGACCATCACGTTCTGTGGCACGCCTGAGTTCATGGCTCCCGAGATCGTGCTCGAGCAGCGGTATGGGCGTGCTGTCGACTGGTGGGCCTTTGGCGTCCTGATCTACGAGATGATCCTTGGCACATCGCCATTCCACGGCGAGGACGAGAACGAAATATTCGAGTCCATCCTCGAGGACGAAATCCTCTACCCCGTGCGCATGTCCCGCGACTCCGTGTTCATTTGCCAGGCGCTGCTCGAGAAGGATCCTTCCAAGCGCCTTGGGTCGAGCCCTAATGACGCAGAGGATATCATGAGGCACTCGTTCTTTGCTGGTGTCAACTGGGACGACGTACTCAACAAGAAGATCCCCCCTCCATATGTGCCCGATATCCGCGGTCGCCTGGATGTGTCCAACTTTGACCCAGAGTTTACAAACGAGAAGCCCGGTCTGACACCAACCAACACTATTATCGACACGCACGACCAGAAAGAGTTTTTGGACTTTGACTACGTCTCTCCATGGGCCGGCATTGCCGAAAAGTGGACGCGCTAGATAAAGAAAAAGAAATAACGATTCATTTTTTTTGGCCGAGCCTTTAAAACAACTATACTACTGCCATCATTCTTTAATTTTCATATCATAATACATTCCTAATACCCTCATAACAATAAATGTGCTTAATATTTCTATTTTTCAAAAATAAAATAAAATAAGGCATCTCAGCTAGTTTGCTGGTGCAAAGTGGGTTGGGTTGCATGATCCGTTTTTGGGGCACACAACCTCGCAGGTGAGAATCTTTGGGCATGGCTTGGTCGCGCACGGCTTTTTTTGCTTCCTGCATTCTTCCAGAACTGCTTTATTATTGCAATTCCACAGGCATATCGCTACATTCACTATTACCTCCATGCAAAACCGACCAGAGGGACATACCTTCGAAAGTTCAGCATCGTAGCACTGGCCAAGCTCCGAGCAAATATTATTATTAGCATCAACGGCATTTTTGGCGTCATTGTTAGCCGTGTCCCCAGAGTTGGCAACATACACAAGAGCTCCATAGGACGCTACAACAAGTGCAAACACAATGGCAGAAGAGCGAATAAACATGGATGTAGAAATAAACCAGTTTGGTATTAAATGTCAAATATGTATTACACTTAAGGTAAATAAATGTATTTTAGAATTTCCAGACACTTATTGCGAAAGTCCAGATTTTTAAGCAGGGGATTTTCAAAATCCGTTTTTCACGCAAAAAGGTATCTTCAGAGTCAGCTGAACCTGAGTCTACAGCGACACCCAATACTTTATTTAGGCCAAAGCTTAGGCCAAAGCGCGTGCGCAAGGATCCATCTGCCCCTGCTTCTTCTATTCAAAAGAAGCAGCGAACTGGTTAATATCGTCAGCCATAGTGGTCTATTTGCCACTAATTCCTAAATACCTATCAGGTTGCTATGCAATCTGAATGGGAAGGATGTCAATTTGCAGGATACTTGTAGTCTCATTCTTTTATTTGGTGTATGTGAGATATGGACGAATAAAATGGACGCAAGACGAATTTTGCATTTTTATATTCCGCTTGCTTGCGAATAAATTTGGAAACATATTTTATTTTATTTTAAAATATATACACAGCATTGCTTGAATGCTGTTTCACTACATATCCCCACTTGTCAATAGAAAACGCCACCACGAATTAATTCGCTTGTTTTTGATAGCAAAAATTGCTGCGGTGCGCGATATTTGTACAAAATACATAGTCTCTTTGCAAATTACACATTTTTCGCACCTCTAATTTATTTCGCCAAGCATGAGCACATCCCAAAGTTATTTATTATGCCATGACATTGGAAAACACATAGTGCTCAATACAACGCCACTCAGTTGAAGAAAAAAATAGCATCCGACTTTAGATTTAACTGTAAAATATGTCATAGTTAAGGCGTATGGCTTTGCATGTTGCCTTACTAAGATTAATTGATTACACGCGTGGCAATTAAGAAATGATGATGGGTTGTTATTATAGCTTATTTATATACTCTCCCTGGCATATAAGGAATGGCTGTCGGGCAGCCAGGAATTGTTCTCCTTAGGAGAAATGAATATCCTTTCTTTAATTATACCTTTTGTAACAAATATAACAAATCATAATTATTATCTATTTGCACGAAAACGTGCTGTCAATCAGTCCTTCCACGACTTGGGCAGACGGTCCACCCAACTGCGCAAACCAGCCTTCTCAATGACGCTGACGGGCATGCAGTACACAGGATCAACCTCAACCAGCGGGTACTTGTCAAACCCAGCAAGAGACAGCCCGGCAATACCAAAGCACGTATGGTAGACATCAGCGACATCCCCCGGGCGATCAGCAATCCCACCGACATCCGCGTCCTGCGCGGACAAGATAAATTCGCACAGCCTATCCCTCTCAATCCAATGCACCCTGCCCAAAATCTGCAAAGACGACAAGACCCACCATGAGTAGCATACGTCCTCAAGCTTCTGCGGCCTGCCATTCAGCCCGCCAGACTTTAATTGGCGCTCGGATAGCCACCGAGACAGCCTCTCGCGGTCAACTAAGTCCAATCTTCCGGCGATCGCTAGGGCCGCCAGGCAGGTAAATATCTGGGCCGAGTGCGACTCTCCGCCGGGCCCGCTCCCAAACCCGCCGTCGTAGTTCATTGACCGGCGGACGTAAGACACCACACCGTCCACATTGATCCTGTCCACGGCGTCAAAGAATGACAGGATGGCCAAGGAAATAAATGCAAATCGTGTGTCCTTTTCACCCCAAGAGTCGCCGCTCACGTCTCCCGTCACAGGGTCCTGCAGTCCGATAACGTAGGAAATGACAGAGGCGGCGGACACTTTGTCCAGGGCATCGCACATAACCAGTATTTGAACTGCACTCATTGTGTACAGCAAGTGTGAGTCATGCCCGGTGTGCCCGCCAAACCCGCCATCGCTATTTTGGCATTTCAGAACGTATTCAATGACGCCTTGCCGGTCTAATGCGTCTTGCTTGCCCAGCAGATGCAGGGATACGAGCCCCCAATAGATGCCGCTGATGCGCAGGTGCTCAGACATCCAGTATTCAATCTCGTCGTGCCGTTTGTCGAGGTTCTTGATGTACTTTACATGCTTGTCCACTAGCAGTCCGCCGTAGCAGCGTTCAGCGAGTTGCTCAGAATCGGTCATTATTTTGATGTGCTTAGAAAAATTTGAATTTATCGGATTGTGATAATGATATTTTAAACGAATAACAGATATATATAACTGCTCTCTTTTACAAAAAAAAACATCACGTGGCGCATCAAAAAATAACCTTATGCAGTGCCTTCAACGCACTTGTGGGAAGAGGCCTAATGGATATCAATAGCGCCTTTCAAGCATCCCAGAAATCAGGTCGTCGCGGTCTACCTTGCCATCGTAGTCCCGGTCACTTCTCGAACGGCGCCCAACGTTCTCCGTGCTGGTGCTAGGCCTGAACAGCCCGCCTTTGCGCCTAGGCCGCTTTACCGATGACGTAGAGGGCGTTCCGGTATCCGACGATCGCTTGCTGCTGTCCTTGGAGTTGCCATGGCGATGTCTGTCTCTTGATCGATCGCGCCTGTCTCTATCTCTGCTGCCATCGCACCTGTCCCGGCTTCTTCTGTCATCACGTCTGTCATCACGTCTGTCGCGATGCTTCTCGCTGCGACGCAAAGGCGACCGACTGCAATCGCGAGAATTACGCCGGTTAGAACGGGAATTGTCCTTTGATAGCGAGCGCGACGGCGGCGAAGATGATGAGGGAGGAAGTGGCAGCGGTAGCATAGGTGGTGGCAGCGGAGGATGGGCAAATTCCCGAAGAACCGCGGGTGGAAGTGACTCAGCCGGCAAAGTGTAATTCAACGGTTTGCCGGAGGGCGCCTTGCCAGTCGCCGATCCGCGCATGCCACCGCCTTGCCCGCCGCGTTTGCTCGGAATAAACAAGCTGCTGTGCTGCTTCTTGCGCTCCAATGCCATCTGCGCATGTAGATTGATTGGTGGTCTAGAGGTGTTGAGGACACGGGTTGGCGAACGGGCCGGGCGCCTGAAAGCAGTGCTCGCCGACATCTGGATGTTGCTTTCGGGTCGAACATCGCCATTGATAGGCTCGTGCGACACCGCATTTGGCTTTTGTGCGAAATGTTCTCTATCGCTGCTAATGCTGCTCGCATTGCTGGGTCTGCGACTGTGGGAGAATTTGCCCTGGGCTGCCACAGATGGAAGCTCTCTGCTCGTGTCAACCTCCATAGCCGAGCCAACAGTTTCATCGGCAGAACTATCGATAGGCGCGTCATCGTGTATGGTTGCTTCGTTGCGCTTCTCCAATGCCAGCTCGTCGATCGCCTCCATGATAAACTCCGACTTGTCGCCCTCGCCATCCACACCACCCTGCGCGTCCGCAGCCTGGTCGCTGAACAAGTTGTCGAACCTTTTCCCCGAATGCACTTCGCAGCCAAACAGTGGCAGTGAGCTCGCTCGCAGCAACCCACGGCTCTTGGAATCCGCAATCAACTGCTTCCAAAGCGGGCTGGATACTAGCAAATCAGCATTTCCCAGGACAAAGAGCGATTTGCGCGCACGTGTCAGGCCAACGTTCATACGCCGCTCGTCAGCCAAAAAACCCACGCCCGAGCCGCCGGCACGCACGCAAGAAAATATAATAATATCTTTCTCCTGGCCCTGGAACCCGTCGACCGTGTTGAACTCGATTGCGTCCATGATGTTCTGCCCAAAGAATCCACGAAACCTGTCGACCAGTTTGCGCAGCTGCTGCTTGTACGGCGTAATGATGCCAATTTTCTGCTTCCAGTAAACGTGCGGATAGTCGGTGCACAGGTTGTATACCAGCTGGATAGCCGCGTTGATCTCGGCCATATTAAACACCGAGTGTGACGAACCTGTCTCCTCCCTGCCGGACGAGATGTTGAAAAATGTGTACGGCGGGAACTTGGCGCTCTTGTGCCACACAGCCAATTGCTTCTTGGCCATCTCTGGGCCGTCCTTTAGCCGCGACTCGTAGAACAGCCGCGACGGGAACACCGAGATCTCCGGGTGCATGCGGTACTGGATGCTCAAGAGACTGACAGACTGTGGCGAGTTCTTCTGGATGCGCACAAACATGCTCTGGTTGTACATGTATTGGGCAGCCATCTGCGAAAGCACCGTCGGCGGCAGCTGGTTGGGATCTCCAACTAGAATGCATCTTTCGCACCCGTACTTGAGCGGAATAAGGCAGGACAGCTCTATGCTCTGCGCGGCTTCGTCAATGATAACCGTATCAAACGTGCAGTTGAGTGTGGTCAGGATCTCGTGCCCACTGCCGCTGAGCGTGCAGCAGAGAATGTCTGTCTTTTGCAAGATCTGCAGCCGCACCTTGTGCTTTGTCGCGTCCATCGTGCGCGTGGCCTCGCGGACCCTGGCGCGTTCGTTGTCGAGCTTTTGGTACAGCGCGCGCTTCTTCTGGTGCGCCTGATGCAGCGTTTCTCGCAAGCCGAGCATCGTCGAAATATCGCTAGATTCGACCTTTGTCATTTTCTCGTTGAGCGACTCTATCTCGGCCATGGTCTCGTTGACCTGGCGGCGCAAGTTCTGCTGGGAATCCATGGCTGTGCGCTGGTCCTGCTTGGCGCTGACCGCCTGGGTTACGATCTTGCCCTCACGCCGACTGCGCCCGGCAATCTCCAGGAGCATGCTGCTCTGCGAGTCGCTGATGCCCTTGTCTTCCGTGATGCTGTTGCTGTCGCCGCCACCGCTGAACGCATTCAGGGCCTTGTCCAGCAAAAAGTCCAGCGTAGTGTCGCGCACTGTGCTGCTGATGCTGTCCGATTGGCCAACGCGCACGACGCGCGGGAAAAAAGTGCGCCCGTCGTCGTTCCGAATGCCACACTTGAGCCGCTTAACAATCTCGTCGACCGCGGCATTACTGGGCGCACAAATCAACAGCTTGTTGTTGATCTTGGGCGCCACGGAAGAGGTGTAATCCGAAGGGTCAGCATTCAGGGCCTCTCTCCCGGCATTTTGCTTGGCCATGGACAGCAACGCGCCAGCCAGGCCCAGAATGGTCTTGGTTTTGCCCGTGCCCGGCGGGCCTTGAATCAGCGTAAACCCGTTGTCGCGCTTGATCGCCGCCGTGACCGCCTCAGCCTGTGGCTGATTCAGCGCGTGGGTCTTCATGCACTTCTGAACTTCTGTCCGGCTCAGCACCTGACCGACATTCGATCTGTGCGGCTGCAAGATCTTCTCAACCAGCTGCTCGTTCAAGTACGGCAACGAGCGCAGAGCCGCGTACTCACGGTGGATCGGCGTGATGCTGAACAGCTTGAGAAAACTCCATGTCGACTTCAGCACCAGAATGTTCAGAAACGTCGCTAGCCGTGCCCCTTCAAAGTACACGCGCACAACCACCTGCCCGCCATCGCGCTTGAACGTGCGGCTCTTCACCATGGCCAGGAACGTCTTGCGGCCGGCAAACTGCCTATTCCCACCGCTGCCGTTGTTGTTGGCAGTCGCGCCCGCAGACTTGCCAATCGCCGGAATGCCCTGGAACTTCCGCTTTTCGCGTTCCATGCTCTCGGCAAAAACCAAAATATCGTTCTCCGATAGTTCCTTCATGTCCGCCAAGTCCAGATTGTAAGTGATTTCCTGAAACGCATCCATGCTCATCCGGGACTCAAGGATAGCCTCGCCAATGTCACTGGACAGGGTCTCCTCCTTGGCACGCTGGAACTGTGCCCAGCTCTCAAGCAGGAGAAGGGGCTCGAGGACCTTGATGTACTGGTCGCAGTCATTGAACCGGTCAGGGATGCGGCAGATATCGGACTTGCGCATCTGCGGCGGGATGTCGCCTGATTCATCGTATTGCCACTCTAGCATCTGGGTGTGCAGCTTGGACATGCTCGGCATTAGGCGTGCCTTGGCCTTGCGCTCGGCCACCGCTCTGTCGCGCGCTTGCTGATCGAAAAATACGCTACCACCGCCGATGGAGCCAAACGTGACACCATGAGCTCCGCCAAGCAGCGGGAGCAGCTTCATTCTCCGCGCTGGCATCTCCTTGACGGGAGTCTTTGCAATCTTGATCAGCCCCGCCAACCCGCCTCCACGCTTATCCGCACCACCATCCTCCTCATCTGAGGAGCTGGCAGAGTCGCTGTCGCCGGACTCTATGAGCTCAATAGATTTGGTACCGCTCTCCTTCTCAAGCTCAATGATGGCCGCCTTGGAGACATTGCGCACATACATGGGCGGCTGCACCTTTGGAGGCGCGCTCGTCTGGGAAAACCTGTCCTCCGCCCACCTGTCAACCGAAACTGTGGCCATGGCGCGAGGCGCCTGGACAATCTGCTTCGGAACAGCCGGTGTTGTCCTTGGAAGGTTCAGTGCCAACCCTTGGCGCTCCTTAGCAAAATTGCTGCGCATCTGGCCCAGCAGCCCGCCGCCCGGTGGCTTCTTGCTCCGCGTTGAAGACACTGTTGCCGCCGACGTCATGCTACCAGCCCGTGGTTTTGCTGCAGCCGCGACGGCCGCGGCCTTGGATTGTGATAGCTGGCTAGTGAGGCTGCCGCTGGATTTTGGTTTCCCGAACCAATAATCCATGGACGACTGCTTGCGGCGAACAGACATCAGCGCATCTTCAGCGGTCCACTGTATTTCCCTGACATCGTCATCAGACTCGTTCGTTGGGGCCTTGCTAATATCCAAAGACGCCACGCCGCGACCAACGTCGGCAGAGGCGGCCGGTAGAGCATACGTGCTGACCCTGCTTGTGCCTTCGGCGGGTACTGTAGATGGCTGGTAAACGGGCTTCATAACGGGCGTTGGCGTGCTCTCATAAGTAGGGCACACGGACTGCTGCCGGACCGGCAGCAGAGCTGGCTCTAAACCTTTTCTGGGCTCTGCCTGCAACTGCTCCTCATCATCAAGGTTACCGAGAATGTCGCTCAGATCGTAATCGTTCATTGCAGCAAATGCGTCCTCGTCGTCGTCGATGATAATCCGAACAGATTTGGTTGTGGAAATAGATATGGATCTCGGTTCCCAGACTGATTGCGATGTGATGGACCGCAGCAGTATGCGCAGCTCGGTTGACAGACGCCCAGTCCTGCCGCTGATCAGCCCCTGGACGGTCTCGACAGGGTACAGCATAGATGTGCCCGGTGTGGCAGCCAGCCCGCTGGCCACCAAACCAAAAGTCTTAATGATTCCAGACGCAACATGCAGCTCGTCATCGCCCTCCAAATAAGTAAACATTCGCGCGACACAGTTGGACAATGCGTCAATGGCCTCAGTCTCGTTCAGCCGCTTGCTGCCCTTGACGAGCCGCACAAAGTTCGAAAACTCGACGGCATTGAGCATGTTGTACACAGTCTGGAAAACAACAAGCACAGAGTCCATGTAGATGCTGCGGTTGTCGATCTGAATGGCATTCTCCGAGCTTGCCTTGAGGATCGAGGCCAGCAAGCCGCAGAATGCAAAAAACAGCCGCGCCATGGCCTCAGAGCTGCCGGGATCAATCAGACCGCTGGCGGCCGATATCGACGACCGCGTAAGCAAGGCAACGTTGGCTGCACAGGTATAGGCTGGCCGACTAAAGTTGACCAGAATCTTGCAGTCGTTAGATATGCCCGCAAGACAATCAACAAAGTACTCGTGATGGCGGTTGAACAGCTCATAACAGACCATGTCACGCTCGGCGTCTCCCAGCTCGGAGATCGACCGTCCGCCGCCCGCGCTGTCTTCGCTGTTTTCAAGGCCACCACTGTCGCCGGACTCGAGTAAGTTGATGCGCAGAATACGTAGCACCACCGCATGGATGAACCTTGCCGGCGACACGAGACATCGCAGCTGGGTGGCGAGCGCCTCGCGTTCAAACTCCATGCGCGTTTCAGCGTCGACGCTGTCAAGGCTGTCGGCCAGGATCTGCAGGAGCTGCTTGGCCATATCGGCGATCGCATCCCTCTTGCGCTCAAACCGCGCATATGATTTTCTCCAAAGAGGCGGAAGATGCCGCGTGAGGTCTGGGGGCAGCGGGTCGAAGAGCATCAGATACGAGGCTGCGAAGAGCGCTCGGTTGACCACGTTGGTATTGTGGGGGTTCTGAAGTACAGCCGCCCACAACTCAGGGAACTGAATCAGCGTGGGAACCGTGCTAAGATTCTCAAAATCATGTTCTTCTAGGACCACAGGGTTGTCGCGAATGCTCTGTGCAGTTACGCTGATCTGGCAGAACGCGTCGTATGTAATTTCCAGGTCCTCACGCAGCATTGTGTCAATAAGCTCCTCGGCCCTGGTGATCAGCATCTCGCTCTGCGACAGCGGGTCCTGACCCTGCGCGATGCCAACGATAGTGCTAAGGTTCTTGTTGAGAAAGTCGCCCAGCACAAAAACACCAAACTCATCAAACTTCTCCACTGTCGGAAGCTTGAAGCAGTGCTTGACGATGGCGATCGCCGTATGCACAGCCAGAGCCAAGTTCGCGAGGGGCACGGTGGAGTCCTGGCGGACAGTAAACAGCAGCCCGTTGAGCAATGCCACAATGGCTGGCGCATCCTGCGGCAGGGCCAGAGACCCGATGAGCGGTGTGACCCACTCAAGCACAGGTCGCAGGTGCCGATTCTGAGTTTCGAGCATGGCGTCACTGTACTCGGCCGTTGTGTCCCCCGCATGGAATCTGTCGCGCACGGCCGGGTGGTTGATGATGAGCTGCACAAAGTCTTTGGGCGTGCAGAACATGGCCTGTGCGACCCGGGGCCAGATTTCCGAGCGGTCGGCGGCGCTGATGATGTCTGAGAATGCGCGTATGGCGTCAATGAACTCAGCGCCCTCGATGCCGAGCAATGCTTTGCAGACAATCGTCGGAAATCCGTCGAGCTGCTCTATGACGCCCTCCTTGACCTTTGCCGTCAGCCGGCCCAACACCACGCGCAGCCCGCGCCAGATGTCGTCAGCTGAAAACTCGAATGTGATGCTGGCCATACCCTCAATCGATTTCTTTGCCACAGCGTATGGGTTTGCAGGGTCTAGCCGGCCGGCCAGCATCTGCAGCACGCCGGCAAAAATAAGAAGCACGGAAGCGACCGGCGTCTGCACGTTCTTGTTAGTCGCAAGTTTGATTGACCGCCACGCCCACGTCCTGATCTTTGAATCTCCACTGAAGCACAGGGTGATAAACCCTGGCAGCAGCACATTGCCCATATTGAGCACATCCCCAGAAGCAACCTTTGATCTAATGTACACGCACGCCGCCGCAGCCACGTCCTGGTAGCACAGCAGGTATCGCCTCTCGTACAGTGCTTCGTAAAGCACAATCCGTGCTGTGCCGTTGTCGCCGATACCAGTTAACCGTGTGAGCTCGCTTTTGACGCGCTGGGCGTCCCACTTTTCCAGCGATAGAAAAAAGGTTTCGACCAATGCCGGATCGTACCGCGTATTGTATCTCTCTCGCAATGCAAATTTTGCTTGGTGATATGAGGCAACACAGGATGTGCACTTGAGAAACTGCTGTGCGAGTGCTTTTTTGAATGCAACCACCTCTTTGCTCTCCTCCAGCGAAAAAAGATGGAGCATTTCGGCTGCTGCTGTGCATGTGGCTGGTGTGCACCACCAGCACTTTGCATCGCCCTGCACGAAATAGAGCAGACCTTTAACTAGGAACTGCTCTGTAAAACTGCTTTCGCCCTCGCGCAGGCGCATGTTGCCCAGTGCGAGCAACAATTCGTCCAATGAAAGAATTGACATTGCTACATGAGAAATAATGGAAATGGTAATGAAAGTGCAAGTTTAGTGTGAATGCATGTGCATGTGTGTGTTTGAATGCCTGGTTTGCGCAGTCTAGACAGGTCAGCAAGCGAGTGCCTGGGAGAGAGAGAGGTTTTGGCCGCGTGTCCGTGTTTGTGAAGCGTACCATTCGACGGGTCTAAATTCAACTGGGGATAAATTTACTTTAAGAATATATTAACAAATGTAAAATTCAGAATGAAAAAAATGGTTTTATTTTTGGAAACTGTTGTTGTAAAGGGGGGAAGTATATGCCCGCAGTGCCGGAGGCGAAATGGTCGGTTTGATCCTGCAACACTGAAGAAAAAAGTAGACTAGAGTGTGCGTTGCACGCGTGCGCAGTAGTTATTCGAGCTTGGTTTTCAAACCTTAATTTACAGTGATCAAATCCGCTAATTTACGAGTAAAATGGCCCTCCAGCCAAAGTGGTCCACAATTTATTCGGTTGCAGGTTAGTCATCCATCATCAATGTATTTAAAATATAATAGGACTGGTAGAATGGTGAATGTTATTTATATGTTGCAAAGTGGGCAGCACTGACTATGGTTTGCCCATTGCAAGAAGCAAGGCAAGCGGTATTGGTGGTGGCAGGGTGTCGGTGTAGCATTTGTTGGTAATGGATTGCAGACATATTGGATACAGATGCTGCTGCTGCTTCCATGTATCCGAGTTCTCGCCACCTGATGATTGAGGTTTGGAATCAGAACCAGAATCAAAGTTTGAATGTGAATTAGCTTTGTGGTCACTCATAGCTGAAAATAACGCAATAACCGAAGATTCAAAAATTACCACACCTTTATTTTTTGTTATGTACAATACGCATATTTTTTATATTTTCCATTGCATATAGTGTTGAGCAGCCTAATGATATGGAAGTAGATGTTGATAAAAACTCATTTCACGATCCTTAACCTCAACATGCCGATTAACAGGACATTGATGGTACCATGAGGGATCAAATCAGGGGACATAATAATGACACCCTGATATGCCCCCCATTTGATAATGTATATGCAGGAATGCGCACATGTAAATATTATAACATTGACATGCCAAGACACCAATCTGGCTGCAGAAGAACCAGTTCTCGACAATGGAGTGCACAATTGGTGAAGTGCACAATAAAGGAAACGAGACATATATATAAGATGAGGTCGGCCTTAGTTACGCTTGTGATTCTATTGATAATAAAACCTTCATAAACTAACACCCCATCTTTTTAACACTACCACAGTAGTGCTCCCTCACCACCCCCTCCTATTATACCATTGCCTTTTAAAAAAATTATTATTGCCTCTTTTTCTCATTCAAAAGTGTTTAATTACATGATGACGCACATTCCACAAACAGCCGATTTCTTCACATCTGTGCTCTCACTCCTCCGGTGGTGCTGATGCGAGTGCTGGCGATGCTGGCGATGTTGGTGAGAGGGTGTGCGCACATAGACGGGATCTTGCACGGTCATCGGGATAATCTGACTGTGGAGTTGTCTAGGGGGAACATATCCCATGCCATGGTCAGTGTCGCGAAGCCGTGCGCGCGAGGATACGGACTGGATCGACTGGACCGACCTGTATTTTTCGTCTATGTGAGAGTCGGCCCGACCGGGGATTTCCCGTTCGGGTTCGCATGCGGACAAGCGCTGCACTGGATCATCTTCGTGGTGGGCGCACTCCTGTAGCACCTCCTCCCCCTGCTTTGTCGGCTCCGACACAGCAACGTCGTCTTCCTCCTCTTCATCCCCATTCTCGTCCTTCTCTTCAATATTATCGCCATTCTCATTACCATCCTCCTCCTTGTGCTGCACATGAGGTACGGCCTGAACATCAGCCTCAGCCGCAACCTCCTCAGCCAACTTCAACACACCCTTGATCTCGGGCACAGCAGCCACGATCACAGGCTTATCCGCCACAGGCCCATCGACCTCTGGTGTCTCGACCGGCTTGGTCCTACCCTTCACAGACTTGTGCTTCTTCTGCACCGCTCTCACGTGCGGCTTGCTCCCACCCAAAGTAGCAGGACTAAACGCCATCTCCATCTGCATACGCTCCTCACGCACATACCAGCGCTCGGACAGCTTAAACCTCCGATAAGTCTCCTCATCGATCTCAAAGTTTGGATCCTCTAATGCTGCCCGCAGGCGCTTGAACGCTGTGGGAATCAGCACCTGCTCGAACGGAATATGCGCTTCATCCACGTCCTCAATCGGGGGAGTGAGCGGAGCCCGGTGCTTGTTGTTTTCGAAAATCAGGCTCTGCCGCATATACAGAGTGTCCACTTTGTTCATGTCGATGCACATGCGCGGACTGCTCGTGTGAGTACCCAGGGGCGCGCGCGTAGGTGATTCCGGCCTGAGTGATGGCGCAGAGGGAATTGTTGGCCGCTGCAAACCCTGCGGCCGCGCACTTGGCGTCACAGGCGACTCTGGCATCGGTGACTCGGGCATCGGCGAGTCCAGCGGCTCCATCTGCAGCGACTCCATCTCCACAACACGAATGCCCAGCTGCTCAGCTGGCAGCCCTGAGCCGTCACCCCCCAAATGCTCAGTCTGCGCCACCGCAGCACCGGCACCAACACCGGCACCAGCACCAGCAAAAGGCGCGGCACTCTCGTCAGCGATCGACGGGCGGTGTTTCCTGGGGATCTTATCGCGCTTAGCAAACGGATCCGTGATATTTTCGAAATCCGGGTACTGGCTGTACATGACCTTCTTGGATGCTGGTGACCCATGCGCCGTCGATGGCCGCCTCTGATGACCAATATCAGCCAGTCCGCCGGTCTTGCGCCGCTGTGCCCTGGCGCGGCCGGTCTCTTTGATGGGCTCGGGCTGCCCCCGTGCCTCGTGCATATCTGGATCGTCTTGGGCTGTGTAATCGATGCTGCTGAAACTGCGAGAGTGCCGAATGCGCCGCCGCGGCTCTTGCGCACTGCCTGTGGATGTGGCTGGCGGGGGGTCGCGGCGCTGATTGCGCAGTGATATTGGCACGGGGGTTGATCCGGTGTTCAATCGGCCAAGCTCGAACTCGCCGTGGGTCTATAATAAGAACACGTAAAGCAAGGGGAAAACAACAACAAAAAACAAAAACAATGAATTTGGTTTTACTTTTTGTTGAGAAATTCAATATTGAATGCGTTTGTCGGAGTATGTGTGTGTGTACTAAAGTGGTTTTATGAGTGAGAGCGAAGCGGAAAAGATGGCTTTGGAGCACAACAATGCTTTTTCTCCTTCTCTTCAGTCGTGAGAACCAGAAAGGGGATCCAATATATCAGGCAAATGCAATATTGTAAAATGAAAATGAAAACGAAAGAGAAAAAATATTACTGAGATATAAATGGAGTATGGAAAAATGAGGGTGGTTCTTCACACGCTCGGATATATGTATGAATGAATGTATGAATGTATGCTGTGGATATATCCTTGTCGACATCAAAGTCAAAATAAAAAGTATGTATATGCGCTATCGTATATCGCCAGAGGAACCAAAGAAAAAAGATATACAGGCGGTTTGTGGTACCTTTGCAATAACGCTGGCCATTGTAAAATAACCGTGCGTTTATTTGATTCTAGTCAACTGTGCTGCCAATGTAAACAAAATATATATAGAAATATATGTAGAGAAATAAAAAGAAGAAAAAAAAGAGAAAAAAGAAAAATTGTGTATACAGAGGAAAAAACTAAAAAAAGAATACTGCGGCTAGGGAAACAAGGAAGAGAAATAAAAAGGGGAGAAAAGAAAATGCCAAAAAAAAGATATCTTTGGAGAAACCAAAAAAGAAAGAAGAGGTCAGAAACGTCAACATATTTTTTTTGGGTTCTGTTTTTTTCTTGTATTTTTTTCCTACTACATTTATTAACCGGGCAGGGAACCCTTTCTTCGTTTCTTCGTCTCCATCCATTTCTGTCCCCTCCTTACAGCCTGATCACGCATGCAAATCAACGTCTATTAACGCTGCTTTATCTTTTAGATAGCCAAATCCCAGTTGCCAACGTTGCTACACCCATTATTGATGGCACGGCACAATTCGAAACTGGCGTGGCTCCCTCCTATGGATGATGTGGCTTTCTCACCTAAAGAAACAGGGCCTGGAACCAGACGGGGCTTTTGGAACAGAGACATTGCACCAAGCCTAAACATGCGCATCATCTTCAACTGCTTCAACCGCTCCAGCGAGGGCTTGGGGATTCCTGTTCGGTTCACTCGATCAATGACAAAAGACGATTAGGACAAATATGCGCAGAAGTGAGATAGCCAGCTCTTTTTCTACCACATATTTCTTCCATATTCTGGTGGTGCTAACGCCTCACTTATCCTCATAAGCGCTTCTAAACCCCGCTCTCGGCTAGCTGCCTGAGTAATCAGCAAGCAAAGCGAAGCGGGTGATGATGATGACTTGTACTTTTATTGTTTTTGTTTTCGGGATCGGGATCGGCAAGCAGAGAAACCGACTTTTTTCAAGTCAGCTTTCAGATAATATTTATTTAATTTTTTTACATGTAGATGTACTCAATGCCACCATGTGCGTCAAACAACTCCTTCAGTGAGGCAATATCCCTATCCAGCACAACGCTGATCTCGTCCAAATGGTGACTCCCATCAACCAGCGCCACCACCTCCTCCGGCAGCGCCTCCGCCGACCCACCCAGCACTGGATAACAATGCACGCGTCTTAATATCCCCTGCATGACGCCAAACGCAACAAACCTGCGCATATCCACGCGCTCCACCAAATCCGTGCCCCTCTCCAAAATCCACTCCCCCACCGGCTGCCGATTCCTCAGCGTCCCGTACAGCCTCACAAGCTCCTCCACGCCCACCAATGGGTTCGAGCATCCATTAGTCACAAACCGATGGCACTCGCGCTGCAACCAGGCATTGCGGTAAATGTTCATCAGCGGATACTGCGTCTCGTAAATATTGCCAAATTGGAAAATATCTATCAGCGCTATGCACCCGTAGTAGTCCAAATGCCTAAGCGCACTTACGACCAAGTGTGCGTCAATCTGGGCCAGTTGCGCGATGCGCCCGACGTGGTTAATGTTATCCATGTATAGTAGGACGTTTTCCAGAACCAGGTCCCACAGAAGATCGCCAGCCACCTGCTCCTGGTACACGGTCATCGCTGACTTCATCCGCGCCATTTCAAAATCCACCGTGCGCACCGGTACATGCCAAAGCCCGATCTCCTTGGGATTCTCATAGTGCGGAAACAGCTTAATGCTGATTCCCGTGAACGCCAGTGACGGCGACAACCCCTTTAAATCCAGCTCAATCTGGTACTCCCCGTGCGCGTTCAGCTTCCGCACCAGCTGCTGCATCAGCGTGCGCAGTGCATGTCGACCCTCTGGGTTGCTCAGTAGCCGCCCGCTGGTTTCCAGCTCTTTCAAAAGGCAGCCGACGCGCTTGACCACTGGCCTGTAGCACTTGGTGTTGGCCGAAATATCGAATGCAAAGCACATGTTGAAGATCAGCGCGTTGCGCGCATATGCGCCTTGGATGCAGATCGGGTAGCACATCACTTTGTGCGGCCCTGTGCTCACCGTGATCAGCCGCTCGAAGAGTGTCAGCTTGGGGATGACGAATGCCTCGATGGAGTTAAAGTCGATTTTGTCGCCACTCCCCGCCATGCCGGCTTTTGAAGACTCGGCGGATGCTGCTGCTGCTGCCGCTGCCGCTGGCCGCTTTATTAGGTGGATTATGTCGGGTCCGTTGCTGCTGGTGTTGTAGCCTCCCATGGTGGATGTGGAGCCGTGTCGGTGGAAAGGGTGGTGCTGCTGCAAAGGCGGTGAGTATGTTCGGACTCCGCTGGCGTTGCGCGATGCGTCGCTGAAGCTCTTTTTCCCGCTGACTTGCACTGCGTCCTCAGGGTACGATATCCGCACGAGGGGGCCCTTCTCGGTATCAAACTCGGCCAAGAATACCGCCTTGATGTCAGGGAATCCGCCTTCATCCGTATAGCTCATGAATAAAACTTTTAAAAATAAATGAATGAATGAATAAAATGATGGTATTAAAATAATTCGTTTTTTTCAATACTTTACCTTAAAAAAACATTTATCAAAAAATAATATCGGCAAACTGAAATCCTCGATATTTAAGGGAATCCACGCACGTGTACAAATTTTTTTCCTTCTAATTTTTTGCTAGCAAGACGCAGCAATATCGGCAATATACCGGTACACCAGCTCCGGAATCCTCCACTCAGAATACGTGCTCCAGACATCGTAAACCGCCAACAACTCCCCAACCACCTGCAAAACATCCGTCATATCCACATTCAAATCAGCATACCACTGCAGGGCATCGGTCTCGGACAAACTCCCCTGGTCCACTACCCTGGAAAGAAACATCGCGGCAATCGCAATGACATGCGGCGGGTACACCAGTATCATGTCTGTGCAAAAGCTATCGTTGATGATTGACCATGCTGCCTGGAGAGAGGGTTTGGCCAACTTCAGATGCGTGTTTAGGTCGATGAGCACTTGGTACGGGTGGTATACGACAAGGTAGAACTTCATTTCTTCCAAAAGGTAGCTCTCGCACTCGGCAATATCGGAAACGTCAAAGGGGAACCTGATGTCCGTCGAGACCTCTAAATAATAATAAATAGTAATGTGCTTGATTTTTAGGCACTAGCCACTTGAATAACACTCGAATAGTTTACTTTTATCTTTCAAGCACTTACCAGCAAACGCCCCCTTGGACTCGCTCCAGACATACTTGATATGATGCGGGTTTTCGTCGACCTTGCACGCGAGATACACGCAGGTCGCCGTCATCAAATAAGGATCTATATCGTAAAACGAGTTACTACAATATTTTAAAGGAAAAGCTAACACATGCACATTAATACTACAAAACAAACAAACAAACAAACAAACAAACAAAACTTTTCGTTTATACCGAAAACACTATAAAACAATTAGTAGTCTTACTTTATATAAAACCGCTTAAAATACACCACGGCCGTAGCAATAATCTCCTGTCTAATCCGAATACGCTTCCCAATCCGCATAATCACTACAACGCTCATTTAAATCATTATACCCAACCACATGGATAATTAAAATCACGTTTAGTTCACATTACAACATCATGTGTGCATGCAATAAAAAATAATTTATATGAAATTTTAATAGTGGATACTTACTATTTGCAAAAAATATTTTTAAATGCGTGACCTCTGTCACTGAAAGATTATGCACCATGTGTCCACTCTCGAGCTCGGCAAGTTCATACCGGGTGAGCAAAAACCGCTGACTAGCATGAAAGATGCATTACAAGAAATTTGTTATTTCATTTAGTCATGCAGTCAAAATAAAAAACATTTTAAACACCCATCTCGGGTTTGTACTCATATGCTGTTCGCGTAACATGAAAATACAAGAAACTTACAACTGCGATGACTCCCAATAGTTTGCCGCCATTTTGTTCCCGCTAGTATTTCCTTTTGTTATTTAATATAAATATATCCTTAAAGTGGTAATACACCAATAAATTAGAAGCAAAATGAATAAGGGAGATTCAAGGTGAACAAGTGCCAAAATGCGCGCAGTCAATATTACCGCCGCTGTAGCTATTCAAACCGTAAAAATAATTGCGCTGCATATACTTTTCAGCAAACAAACCAAACTTTTGGCAGTAATCACGTGTATTTAACGAGCAAATTAAAAATAATAAATGCACTCAAATACACAAAATGTGATATTTACGCACATGAATTGAACCAAGCAAACCCCAATTAATGCAAAAAATGATAATAAAAGGGATGAGCAGAGAAACCTAAATGGTAAAAAGAAAAAGAAGCTAAATGGCAAAAAAATAAATGTGTGTTTGAAATCGCAACCCTTGAGCCCTCCCTCTCTAGTAACAAAAAGAAAATAAACAACCACTATGTTTACTATATATCTAAGAAATAACAACAGAAGCTGCTTCCGCAGACACTTTGGGAGACGCATAGAATAGCTTATAGACAAGCCAATGGTGGGCAAGCACAGCATGGATACGCATGGACAGTGCAGATAAGGCTGGCTGCAAAAAGTGCAGCTGAGCGCGCTGTAAGGCATCCATTGCACCCTGCGGCATGGAGTCGCACTCAGTACCATGAGCCTTTGTGCGAGTGTCCGCCAGTGAGTTTGTGTGCAAGCGCAAAGCTGCATTGACACGCTCCTCGACAACCTCGCGCAGGGGGCACTCGTACCGTGCTGCGCGCAGCAAAGTTCGCTCCAATATGGCCGCCTCAGCCGGCAAAACGGTGCGACCCAGCGCACGGCAAGCCAGGCACAAGAGATCAGCGACAAGCCGGCTCAGTGTGACCTCGCCAGGAACGCCAGGCACGGCAGCAGAAACACCAGGCGTAGCGACGTTCGCACGCAATGGCTCTGTCCACCGCACAGTGCATGCCTCGGGCAACATCGACAAACACTCGGCAGCCAGCAGGCCATGATCGACGCGACCAATGGCAGTGCGGAACTCGGGTGTCTGCAGCTTGGTTTGACTCTGGTTACGCGCTGCAGCCTGCAAGAACTGCATGAACGACAAAAAGACAGTGCCTGCCACCGAAAGCCGCTCAGCCTCCCGACGCATGGCAGCAATACGCACATCATCCATGCGAAAGAGCGCTGGCAGCGGCACGCCGTCATCCAGAACCAGCTCCCGCGCCGCCTCAAAGAACACTGCATCAGCAGAGGCGCCCGACCCACGCGCATCAGCAAGCGCGCGCTGCCACCACTCGCGAGAGGCAGCCAGCCCAGCAACAGCCCCGCGACGGACAGCCAGCGCAAAGTGCGAACGCTCAAAGGCCACAGCTGTCGCGCGCATGTACTCGCGATACATGTCGATGCTCGAGTTTGCAATGTCGATCTTGATTCCCTCCAGCACATCAAACGCCAGCCGAAGACCACGAACCATGCGACCGCAAGCCACACACACACCGATGCGTGCGATCGCCGCCGAGTGCCGCTCTGCCGGTGCCAACACCAACATCGTGTCGCCAAGGACAGAAATCGCTGCTCCGACGTCAAACGTGTTGCGCAGCAGCTGCTGCTGCACACGCGCGTCGTCTAGACGCTCGCGCAGATCTGTCGCGTGCTGTGCCAACTCAGGTTTGCCTGTGTCCTCGGCCATTTCCGCCACGATCTCACGAAGCTCGATCACCAGCATGGTAATCGTGGTCGCGCCGCTCTCCCCGTGCAGGTTCTGCTCGACCGCCGACCAGTACTGCTGCGCCGCACGCTGCTTGGCCTCGGCCAGCTGCCCGCTCGAGTTGGGCCGAAACTCCAGCTTCGGCTCGAACAGCACCTCGTGCCGCAGCCGAGGGTTCTGCAAAATGTTCTGGATCTTCAGCTCGCGCAGCGTGTACCGGTTGACCGGCGGCAGCGTTGAAAGCGGTGTCGGCGCAGGGATAGCCGCTGCGCTGCGCGGCATCCGTACAGTGCTGACCCGCACCCGCGCCATCGGCAGCGGCAATGGCACTGGTAATGGCGGCGGCAAAAGCACAGGTGATGGCGCCGCCTCGGATGAGTCACATGCGCCATTGACCCCGCATGGCTCGCACACGTCACTGGAAGCTGCCGTTGCCCACCGCCCCTCACGGCTGGCCGCGTTCATTGAGCTCGGCACGCTTCTGCCTTTAGCCGGACGCAGCCCATCACCTGCATCCAAGCTCCGCTTGCGCTTACTGCCCATGGCTTGCACAGATGCCGATGTTGCTGCCGCTGCCATCACTGCTGTTGTTGCCGCCGTAGTGCTCGCTTGGTACACTCCCTGTGCTCCAAGGCTGCCGTCAGCTGTCATAAGCATAACTGCCGAGTCCGAGCCGCGCCGCTTTGTTGCGCGCCTGTTGAGATGCACTAGCACCGGGCCGTGGTGCATCTCTGATTCTCGCCGAACAATCCTTCTGCTTGTGTGCCCCATTGTCGAAGTCATCGCTCCTGTCCGTCCGCAAGACATGTGGGGCCACGACTGTCCCAAGCGCACGGCTGTGGCCTCGCTTTCTGCAATCACGCTGGCACCCACATTGTTGTTATTGCTGCTGCTGTTACTGGCGTTCCGCTTCTCGCTTGACCCGCCCTGCTGACACACCCCAATTTCAAGCGGGATTTTTGCGTCTTGTTGATGCGACGTACTGCCAATGTCTGATGTGTGCGTGTCCGCTTCCGAATTTCTCGCTGTTGTGATACTGTTGCCCACCATTGATGTCGAAACTGTATCTAATGATGCCGACCCATCCTCGACTACAGATGTGCCCATGCTGCTGCTATTGTTGCTGATGCTGCTGTTGGCGGTATTTGTGCTGCCTGTGGCGCTCAGGAATGTGGGTGTAGCTGTGGAGTTGCCTCTGCTCGCTGATTCCCCACTACTACTGCTGCTTCCATTCCCACTGCCCCTTCCATTGTTGCCATGTGGTGCAGATGTCTGTGCATGGTGTGTGGACAAGTAGTCGCTGTCCTGTGTAGTATAAGACTCTGACATGACAAATGTTATCTTTGTGCTTGTGTTCGCGTGTGTGCGTAAAAATAATAAGGTAAATGAAGTTTCAGACCAAAACTATGTAGACAGCTTTCTATTTATCAAAAACAGCAGTGTAATAGGAAATATAAAATGGCTGGTAATTAGTGGTAGCGTGCAATATGATATGACAATATGAGGAATGGGTTATAGTTTGAGGCAATGATAAAAAATGAAAATAAAGGGGTGGGGGAAGGGATGAAATAAATAAATATTTGCAAAAAATTAGCCTGACAAAAAAACAAAAAAACAGAGATATGAGAAGAAACAAAAATAAAAATTGTCCGCCCAAGCGGAAAATATATATACCAGAAATGTGGCAAAAAAATGTGAAAGACTTGCTGTCGCCCGGTATAAATATAGCCCAACCGATTGGACATGCACAAGCAATGTGCCGCAAGCTGGCCCCGAGCACACCAAGAAGAATAAAAAGAAACAAAGAGGTGAAAATTGGATGAATGACTAAAAAAGAAAAACAGCACAAGGGGAGGGGGGCCGGTCAAGTGGATGACGGGTGGGTAATTGGCACCCACATCGACATCGTATTTTTATTCGACATTTTTATTTTGGCAAATCGATGTAATTTCCTTATTAGTTTCGATTGCAAGCATTGCCTAACGATGAATAAACCATCTACAGACTAATCAAAAGAAGCAAATGCGAAATCCGATGCGCACTTGCAAGAAAAATATGAAAAGGAAAATTGAGGTGTGGGTGGGTGGGGAGGTGTATGTAAGTTATACAAAAATAAGAGCAAAAAGAACACTGAACATAAAAAAATACGATTCGAGACACCCCAATAAATAGCCAAGTGGGCAATCGCGGAACTGCGCGTTTTACACTGCACGGCTTCAACACACCTGTTGTTAGAAGGGGAATCCTGTGCAGCTGCTTTTTTTTCAACAGTGATGCAAACAGCGTTTAGATGTGTGCGATTTTCCCAACTCACGATGGCTTGATGGCTGCATCGCCTTGCCCACTGGCCAAAAAATTAAATAAGAAAACAAAGCTGCAGAGCATTTCGCATTAAATTTAACCCACTTGGTCATGCCAATTTAGGCCAAGCTAGGCCACGTAAGGTTAAGCAAGGCACAGCCATGCTTCTGCTGCCGCAGTTGCAGCTGTTGATAATCGGCAGGAAAAAAATAGATGGAAAAACTATAGGATAGGTGGATGGATGGGCGAATAGATGGATGGATAAACAAATGAATTGCGAGGCTGATGTGCTGGCATATTCGTCGTAAACCGTGAAAAAATATAAAACAATATACACGTATAGATATGCCAAATTTAGCATCAGGATACATTTGTACTTACCAGGGGGTACAAGGCTTGATTTTTCTCAACTAGACCCGATTTTGTCTTTGGCAAGGTGGGTAACAATTTGTTTAGTGCAGCCTTAGTGTTTATGTCGCTCGAGCGTTACAAGATGGTAATAAATGTTAAAACTAGAATGTAAATAATAATAATAATAATAAAAAGTGTAAAAAAAGAGGGCAAGTATGGAGTGAGAAAAATAGGGGAATTATAAAAAAAAAGGAAAGAAGAGAAGAGAATAAAGCCAAAAACAAAAGGCTCGTGCTGTTGAAAACTGTATTTAAAAGCGCAATATACTGAATGGAAAGGACAAATAAAAAAGGAGGTTTGATAGAGTGAATGAGTAAGTAAAATACCTATAAGTTTCCTTTATTAAAGACAGAATATAAAGGGTGGAAATATTAAAACGTTGGGAATAAAAGTGAATAAGGCTTTTGATTGAGCGAGACTGCTTTTTTTTAATTTTGCAGGTCTTATTAACGGCAAATGAAAGCGGGTAAGGGCAAAGTGAAATAGACACGGGTCTTTTTTAACGACTTTTCTAATGCAAGAATAAGAAAATATTTGAAACTGCCCAGACAAAAAATATTCAAGTGTTATGTAAGCGGGGAGAGGGCGCTTGTAGGATTTTTATAACTGAATATTAAAAATGAGAGAATGCCGAATATAAAATTAAAACAATGGTGATGGTGGTGGTGTATTTTGTAGAGCTGGGCGATAAAAATAAATAATAAATAATAAATAATAAATAATAGTAATGAAGTATAAGTCTTTAATCTCAAAATTGGCTTGCCATTTTATCTTTTAACACGCCCATTTCATGGGCCCTCCTGTGCCGCTTTTAAGCCAGGAGAAACAACCTCGACCTTTGAGTATCCCCTCCTAAAAAGTCTGGGCTTTGTTTGTGAACGCTGCCAGAAACAAACTGAAATTTTTTTGTGTACAAGGATCCAATTTAAATTTAAGCATTCATGCCACATTTTATTTTTGCAAAGCTTGCTGCAGTGAGAGCGCAATTCTATCAGGTCTGGTGGCAACAAACATGACATTTGTTCTTCTGAGCTCATTTCCCAGGCAAGCTGCTTGCGCGCAATAGGGCTAAATTAAATGCTGTTTCGTAAAACACGCAGCATGCCTTTGTATGTTTAATCTGTTTATTTCACCTTGTTTCACAACTGGAAAACAAGCCAACTGACACAATTGCAAAAAAGATATCATTGCACTTTTTTTAATAAAGGTGCAATTCTGAAAAAACACAAATTAATTTAGGAGGGGGAGCGGGCCGGCTGCCAAACCTCCCCCTTTCTCTTTTTTTCGATTTGAGATCCAGACGTCCTAAATATTGCCGCATCTGCCATGACATTCAAAGCAATCCTATGACTAACACCTTTGTAGTTTTCCTGTTTCTGGGTCGCAACCCACTTGACCTATCTTTCAACCGCACGATTTTGTATTTCTCACATAGCCCTTGGCGATCAAGCCTGCCGTTTCATGCCTACCATTAAAGGTGTACAGTGAAAAAACATGTTATTTTAACCTTTGCATACACTGTACTTTATCTCTCTTGCATTCGGCCCTTTTCATCCCATCTTGACCCGCTTCCATAAAAAAATTGATAGTAGAAATATAAAAAGGCACAGCTTGATGCTCGATTTGCTCTCCAAAATATTTTTTATTGTGTCTGGACCTGCCTGGAAATTACAAAGAGTTTTAAACAGTGTTGTCATTTTCAGCCATCTCGTCTTATTTACACACACAAACAAAATACAATGCTGATGAGCCTGAATCCTTCGAACGCTGTATTTTTTGCCTTGATAATCAGGTTTGTATTTTACGCAGAAAATAAACACATCAAAACAAAGTTTGTGTGCAAAAGAAAAACACAGAAATAGTATCATAAAAGAGACAAAGTATATGCCATTCAAGCGCCGCATTTCTTTCCATATTGTGTCTCGCCGAGTTGTTTATACAATTGAAAGTATGGCCCATCTTTATTTAAAAAAAACCATTGTTGAGATAAAAATTGACAAAACAGCTGTTTTTTAATTCATCTTATTTGGACTTTGAAATGTGAACAAATAATAAAGCGCTTGTTATTATCTTCAAAACTTTTTTTTAAAAAAAAACTGTAACTGAATAGAAGTAATGTGCGCATAGTTGATAGGCACAATCAATGTGATTCTGTTCTGTTTTTTGCAACAAATAAAAACATAAAAGGCTGCATATCACTATTTTTGCTGTTTGTTTTCTCTTCTACAAAGAAAACAAATTCTAAAGGGGAGTGAAAGGAATGTCAGTCCCAAGACCAAGGCGCATCTAGCCCTTTGTATTTCTCAAGCAACTGTTTTTTTATTTAAAAGTTGTGCAATTGGCCAGTTGGATTTCAAAAATAAAATTTTATCAGCTTCCAATTTGATAGGAATTGTAAACAAACTGGGCGCCTCAGCTTGTAAGAATATACTACCAGGTTTTAAGATACAAAAAATAACGTGGTATGGTTAATACAGCAAAACAAAAACAATTTGCATTGGTCATGTCCGCACACTAAAAAAGCCTCATCACATTATTACGATCTGAAGTTGTAGCAAGTGAAAAATAAACACTTTATCCTCCAGCTCAATCATAAAATATATATTTCCAACAGCCACTCGTCTCGGTCACATCACCATGTTTCCTTTAATGACGGAATCCAACCTTTTTGTTAAACATGGTATTGTGCACTTAAGCTTTGCAATGATATGATCATTGAAGATATAATGTAGAAAATTCGTGGCAAATGGCAATAAATGGAAGACCATTGTCGGACAGTTTATTTTTTATTTCTCACGGGCTCATTTTATTTTACACTATGTGTAATCGAAAAAACACGTTTGTTTTTGTTTTCTTGTTTACCAAAAAATATATATGGCGCGGCACTATCTCTTTTTTAATTTATTCATGTTGTTATTGCTTGCCATATTTTCAAATGAATAGGATTTTTGAGAAAGACAATGCCCTTGACGTCTGATTCCAGAAAATACAAGCCAGGTTGCAAAACATGCATGGAATAGTGGCACAATATACACCGAATTGGCGTACATATATTGTCTATAGTATAATATTGCAATGTTGAAAAAGGGAGAACTTATTCTCATTTCAGTAGGCATTTTTCAAAGACTAATGTCATTCTTTTTCGTTGAATAATCTAAACAAGTGAACACATATTTCTCGTCACTTATTAATGGATTGGACACAATATATTACAATATTAAACACCTCGAATCAAAATAAATCATCCTATTTGATTTTCTTGTCATCCCGATCTTGCGCATCCTGAATGTTGAGGAGCGGCAATCGTTTTCTTGCTGATCGCTCAGCACCCATCACGCGGCTTCTAAAAATCCAGCAATATTCACTGACGTGCACAAAAATCCCGAACAAACAGACTGTTTGACTGCTTCAAGATAAGAACCAATGTCTATTTTTTCGTATTTCGAACAGTTGTTTTATTTGCCAGTGGTCCAGGAATAATGATCGGAATATTCGCGTACCAGACCACCGAAACGAAACCCCAGTCTATATTTGGCATAAGCCCAAAAATTCTAAGACAAAGATCCAATTACCCTTTCATAATTTTTTTGGGTACGCTGTCATGTACATATACAGTCATTTGTGCAACACTCGGGCTTATCCCTCACATCGTAACAGTATAATATAGAGGGAGAGAGAAAATAGACCATCAGAACAGTATAATTAGTCACCGTGCAAAATCCCACATGTCAGCAACACGCAATAGGCAAAATGGGGTCACCGAAACTCCTGTTTCGGGCGCGCACAAATGCAGGAGGTTGGGTAAACCACCGGCAATCTCAGCTTGTATTTGTGTCCTTATCTTTCTTTTTTTCTTACTCTACTACACATCACAGAACATTTGATCAAAAACATGGCAGACAGCACTGACGAAATCCGCAGGGAGTCGCAGGAGAAGGATGCGCGAAGGGTCACACTGAAGGAATTCCAGAACAAAAAGTCGTCAAAGTTCATGGATCCCTGCGCGATCGAGGCCAAGGCAAGCTTCAAGTGCCTGGATGACAGCAACTACGACAAGACTCTATGTAGCGACTATTTTGCCGCGTATAGAGAGTGCAAGCAAATGTGGATCGCTGAGCGCAGACGCGCTAGAAGGAACGGCGAACTGTAAAATAAAAATTTTATACCTCATTTTATCGACAAGTAAAGAAAATTTGCATGGTGTAAAATTAAGAAAAAGGCACACCCTTTCAGTAGTACCTGTTGTCCCTGCGTCGTTTGCTCGAGCTATCCCTGTAATTCGAGCTGCGATCGTCGTAGCCGCGCGGCTTGTCGCAACGCGAATAGGGCGATCTCGAGCGCGACCGCGATCTGTTGCCAGCTCTGCTACCGCTATCGTTGTACTTGCGGCGATGGGGCCCAGCACCATAACGGTCCTCTGACCTCCTGTAGTCGCTGCCAGTCCTCCCCTCACGCACGATGCCGCCCTCCTTCTTGTACTCCTCCAGGGCATTTTGGATCTTAATATATCCCTGATGCTGCTTGCCCTCCTTGTGGGCATCCAGCCTCTTCGACGCATCATTCGGAACCAAAAAAGCACCACAAACATCACATACCTCCAGCCTCTTCTCGTTTTTAAACATGGGGTTGACAGAGTCAATCCTCTGTTTCAACGCCTTCAAATCGGTCTTGAGCGAGTCAGTATGTAAGTATAGCTTGAGTGCTTCCTCTACTCGCCCGCTCTCGCCATGCTCCTGCACTTGGCGTAGCGCCTGCTTGATGCGCTCGTCGAGGATGATAGCCTTTTCTTCCTTCTCCTCCTTGAATGGATTGGTCAGGTTCTCATCAGCCTCAGCTGTGACACGGTCCATAGCTCGGCGCACCTTGCGCTGCAGATCGATGGTGAGGCGCTGAATACGATCATAGAACGCCCCTCATACCCCAGGCGGCCGCGGTCGGGTGACTTTTGGTAGCCTCTCGCAGCCGGTCGTCGTGTAGCAGATTGCACATACCGAGGTCTGCCTTAGTGTTGACGAACAGCTGGTGCGGGCAAAAATCCACGAGGTGGTCTTTGCAGATGTTCGAGTCCGTGTATTTGCTGCCGCTGTCCTGGAACTCGCCCATGAGCTCCTGTAGGAGCTGTCTAGCCATGTCCGTCATGGTCTGCAATTAAATATCTATAAGCTGTTTTGTTGTCTTTAAGTGTATTTTTTATAGCTGGTTTCTACAATATTGAGAGTGAGAGAGTGAGAATATACATACAAATGAAGGTGACAAAGCAGATGATGCAAAAAAATTAAGTTTTGTATTTTTTTGGCCCGCTTCCTCTGAATATGTATTTGTATTTTTCTGCTCTCAGACACAACAAATTTTCAGTTATGCTACTACACGTGCATACACGTGATGCATTCCCATTAGTACTGGCAGCGCTGACTGGGCAGCCAAGGAAAGTACAGTGCCCCTATGCGATTGCTGCGCTTTTTTTTATCTTTTCAGTTATTCGCGCATCTTCACAACTACACAACACAAATAAAAATTTATAACCATGCGGTTCTTTATTGACGACCTTCCAGTTATATTCCCCTACGACTATGTGTACCCAGAGCAATACCAATACATGTGCGGCTGAAGAAGAGTCTGGATGGCCGAGGCCATGCCATGCTCGAAATGCCCTCGGGGACAGGAAAGACAATATCACTTTTGTCGCTGATCATTGCATACCAGCAGTTTTATCCGGGCCGCAGAAAGCTCGTGTACTGCTCGCGAACAGTTCCTGAGATTGACAAGGCCCTAGCCGAATTGAAGCGGCTGATGGAGTACCGGCAGACACAAGGATGCTCCGACAAGAACTTTATAGGACTGGGCCTAACGTCGCGCAAAAACCTGTGCATCCACCCGTTGGTCAGCAAGGAGCGCAAGGGCACTGTGGTTGACGTCAAGTGTCGGCAGTTGACGGCATCTTGGGTGCGCAACAAGGCCAAGACGGAGGAGGTGGAGTTGTGCGATTTCTACGAAAAGATCCAAACGATGGAGCCAGCGGATTTGCTGCCCACGGGCGTCTACACTTTGGAAGATCTGACAGATTACGGCAAGGATAATGGCATCTGTCCGTACTATCTATCGAGACGTGTGATTCCCTTTGCCGACGTCATCATATACAGCTTCCACTACATGCTCGACCCCAAGGTGGCCGAGCTCGTGTCCAAGGAGTTTGAGCGCGACTCTATTATTGTGTTTGACGAGGCTCACAACATTGACAGTATTTGCATTGACTCCCTGAGCATTGACATTAACCAGAGCACGCTGCGCGCGAGCACTGCCAGCGTCGAGAAGCTGGGTGAGCGCGTCGAGGATATGAAGAAAGAGAACTCAGAGAAGCTGCGTGATGAGTACAATAAACTTGTGGACGGGCTGAAAGACGCGCTGACGGCTCGAGACGAAGACCTGGTCTTGGCCAATCCGATTCTCCCAGACAACGTCCTGCGCGAGGCTGTTCCCGGCAGCATCCGCAAGGCCGAGCACTTTGTGCGCTTCCTCAAGCGCTTCATTGAGTATCTCAAGGCACGCATGCGGGTGATGCACGTTGTGGCCGAGACCACGCCGTCATTTTTGCAGCACATTCGCGAAATCACATATATTGACCGCAAACCGCTGCGATTCTGTGCTGAGCGGCTGGCATCACTGGTGCGCACCCTGGAGATAACAGATCTTGAGGAGTACGGGGCGCTGGCACGCGTTGCGGCATTTGCCACGCTGAGCGCGACGTACGACACCGGCTTTATGGTGCTGTTTGAGCCCCACGAGGGCAACAGCAAGGAGGTGATTAACCCAGTACTGCATCTCGCCTGTCTGGACGCGGCCATTGCCATCAGGCCCGTTTTCCAGCGCTTCCACACGGTCATCATCACGTCTGGAACACTGTCGCCCATGGAGATGTACCCGAAGATGCTTGAGTTTACACCCGTTGTGCAAGAATCGTTTACCATGACGCTCGCGCGCCAGTGCTTTGCACCCCTGGTCGTGACACGAGGCAGTGACCAAGTGACAATCAGCAGCAAGTTCGAGGTGCGCAACGACCCAGCGGTGGTGCGCAACTACGGCAATCTCCTTATTGAGGTTGCGCGCGCAGTGCCTGATGGCATTGTGGCTTTCTTTCCGTCATACCTGTATATGGAAAGTATAGTGGCCATGTGGAATGAGAATGGTGTGCTCAAAGACGTGTGGAAGCACAAGCTGATCTTTGTCGAAACGCCCGATGCTGCCGAGACGTCCGTCGCGCTGCAGAACTACCGTGCTGCTTGCAACAATGGCCGCGGCGCCGTTCTCCTGTCTGTTGCGCGCGGCAAGGTCAGCGAGGGCATTGATTTTGACCACAACTATGGGCGCGCTGTCATCATGTTTGGCATTCCGTACCAATACACCGAGTCGAGGATCCTCAAGGCGCGCCTTGAGTTCATGCGCGAGGCGCATCAGATCCGCGAAAATGACTTTTTGACATTCGACGCCCTGCGGCACGCCTCGCAGTGCATCGGGCGAGTGCTCAGAGGAAAGACTGACTATGGCCTGATGATCCTAGCCGACAAGCGCTACTCGAGGGCCGATAAGCGATCCAAGCTGCCGCGCTGGATCAGCACGTGTTTGACTGAAAATAGCCTGAACCTGTCCACGGACATGGCCATCAGCATGATGCGCAAGTTCCTTAAGGTCATGGCCCAGCCTTTTGACCTGAAGGCGCAGTTGGGAGTCAGCATGTGGGCTAACGAGCACATTGTGCAGCATGGCGGCCGCGGCAATGTCTCTGCCATGGATGTCGACTCTTGATCGCGCCCACCCACTAACACCCCGCTGCCTCGTCCCATACCCGATGACGTCAGCCACTACCCACGATGTGGCGGCTGTAATTTTTTTAACCCAGTTTGGATATCCTTGCTCTTTCAACACCAAAAATATTTATAAATACACATACATTCAGACACAATACACAATTAATTATGCCATTTGGACAGATTGTTATTGGACCACCAGGGTCGGGAAAGACCACGTACTGCAACGGAATGCATCAGTTTCTCACAGCACTTGGACGCAAAACGGTTGTGTCAACCTAGATCCTGCCAACGACTGCATGACTTACGAGTGCGCAGTCAACATTGAAGATCTCATACGCTCGACGACGCGATGGAGGCGTACCAGCTGGGGCCCAACGGCGGCATGGTTTACTGCATTGAATACTGGAAAAGAACATACAATGGCTGGTGGACCAGCTGGCCTCCCACCCGGACTGCTACTTTATCTTTGACTGTCCCGGCCAGGTCGAGCTGTACACGCACAACCAGGCAATAAAGAACATTGTACGGCGACTGGAGAAGCATGACTTCCGCCTGGCCTGTGTGCACTTGGTGGATGCAGCTACTGCACCGAGGCCGCGCGGTTCATCTCTGTCCTAATGCTCTCCCTGACCACCATGACAATGCTCGAGATGCCACACATCAATGTGCTGTCCAAAATAGACCTTTTGGAGCAAATGGGCGAGCTCGACTTCAACCTCGAGTATTACACCAGCGTTATGGACCTGAGCTACCTTTTGTTTCACCTGAATGAGCGCGAGACCAGTGCGCGGTTCTCTAGCTTGAACCAGGTTATCTGTGAGCTCATTGAAGATTATAGCTTGGTTGGGTTTAGCACTTTGTGCATTAACGACAAGCACTCGGTGGCCGCTTTGCTGAAGGAAATTGACAAGGCGAACGGATACATTTTTGGCGCGTTGACTGAGGGCAACGAGAGCATTCTTATGGCTGCCGACTCGACGGACTTGCTGCTGGAGGCGCGGGACGCTCAGGCGCGATACAGTGCAATGAGGTTGGCGTCGGCGGGTGATGATGATGATGCTTTGGAGCGACCAGCTGGGCTGCTCTCCTTAGTTGATAATCTGTCTATCGTCGAACACCAAACTGAGCAACAATAGAGAAAAGTTTAAAAATAAAATTGATCGGTCGATCGATTAATGTGCCCTTGAAATGATTTATTTTTGGAAATCAAGTCATGGCAATTGCCAAACCTTGTTTTTTTCTCATGAAGATCCAGAAAGCGTGACCTATGCACCTGAAATTATCTTTTTTCTTCAACGCCGCCCTCATCCACATCCGCTTTCAAATATCTTTTGTTTTTGTTTGCGGCTATTTAACTGTTGCAATTTTCAGGTGTTTTTTTCAGGGTGTGGTGGTGTTTTTTTCTTGGAATTTTTTATTTGGAATTTTGACTGCATTTCTTCTCAACTCGACTCCTTTTTAATCTTTCTTATTATTTGAACAATGTCGTCGACAATTCGTGGAATTTGGCATCAGATAGCCCAGCAACCTCAATCGTACGAGCGTAAGCAGTACTACACCTTTGGCAAGGTGCTGGGAGCGGGTACTTTCGGCGAAGTCAGAGAGGCCACTTTCAACCCAGATGGCCGCCAGGTGGCCATCAAGGTCATCAAGAAGGCAGCAATGACTACCGACGAGCAAATGGTTTTGAAGGAAATAGACATTGTGCGCCACCTGAACCACCCCAACATCGTAAAGCTCCTTGACTGGTTCGAGTCCAAGGACAAATACTACCTGGTATTCCAGCTGTGCACAGGCGGTGAGCTGTTTGAGAAACTCAGCGACTACGGCCACTTTACGGAAGATGACGCCCGCAAGCTCATCCGCTGCGCCATTGAGTCCATCGCCTACCTTCACAAGCACAACATTGTTCATCGAGACATTAAGCCTGAGAACCTCATTTTCTTAGACAAGTCGGAAAACGCTCCTCTTATGTTGGCAGATTTTGGAATTGCCCGGATTATGCGCAGCAACGACGAAATTCTCAATACCATGTGCGGGTCGTTCGGATACGCGGCGCCGAGATTCTTCTGCGACATGGTCACGGAAAGGCCGTTGATATATGGTCAATGGGCGTGGTGACCTTCTCGGTTCTTTGCGGTTACAGCCCCTTTTGGAAATTTGAGGAGCCCCGGCTCTGCTGACTGCCATGCAAAGCGACAATGTTGAGTTCCTCGAGCGCTTCTGGTGGGGCATCTCGGAGCACGCCAAGGACTTTATCCGCCAGTGCCTCAGAGCTAACCCCCAGAGCCGCATAACAGCGGAGCAGGCCCTGAACCACCCATGGCTAACTGGCAGCGACGTGTCCACGCGCAATCTGCTTCCCGACGTGCTGGAGAACTTCAACGCAAAGGCCACGCTTCGCCGCGCTGTGGTCAAGCTTAGGGCTATTAACCGCATGAAGAGGCTGAGCATGGGCTCAACGTCTAAGCAATCTAGCAGCCAGTCGTCATCGGAGAACGAGGCTGGTGAGGGCCAGATGGATGTGGATACCGAGAAACCTGCTGCTTTTGCTGCTCCTGCTGTTGCTATTTCCTCTGGTCCCGCTGCTGCAGTCAAGCCGGAGGTGCCAGAGCAAACGATTCCGGGTGCTTGGACAGCATAGTCATTAGTTGCACCTTTATATCTGTGTTGACAAACATACAGTTTTCTTACTTGTCCATTATTATCTATTTTACGTCTCTAGTCTTGAACTATTTCAAATATATGCATTGACCGCTGATGCCAACGTTAGGGCATGTACACCTTAAAAAGTATTGCATTCTTACTCGCCAGCTTTCTTGACAGATCCAGCGGCAACTGCTGTCTCCTTGGCCACAAACTTTGTATGACTACCAGTAGCAATCATCTTGTCGTTGCTAAAGATGTCTACCCTGGTGTATGCCAGCGTGCGCCCCATCTTAGCACTTGCGCGTCAAAAAAACAGTGCTGCCTTCGCCAGATGCAGCCAAGAATGACACTGACAAGTCGGTTGACACGCCAGTGTCGGGAATCCGTGAGATGCAATGGCCAAGGAGCCGCCGACGTCGACCAGTGTCGAGAGCCATCCACCGTGTGTGCCTCCAATGGCGTTCAGATAACCCTTGGTGATTGGGATCTCGCCACGCACTCGCCCGATATCGGCCGAAAGAAGCTTCATCTAAGTCAAATATAGAAATGAGTGAATGAGCTTTTGAGTGGATATGTGTTGGTCAGTGAAGTCCATTGGACTAGCAATGTTGCTGTCGGCGGGATGATGTTTAACTTACGTTTTCAAAGCAATAGGCATCAAAGCCCTTGCGCTCGACGACGTGCTGCATGAGCTTGCGGACGTTATTTAATGTACTGGTACCGGCGGCAGACATTTCTACTATTGAATTTGAATTTTAAAAAACTTGTAAATGTGAAAATTATGTGTGAATTGAAAGCTGTTAAAAGGTATAGTTAAAATGAAAAAAGCATTAGCCTGACAAACGTCACTTGCTCTGCCAATTTGTTCAAGCGTGCTATTTTAATGTTTGGACTTGTTGCGATTGCGCATCGTGTGAACTTTTTTCATGTTTGTTTGGCGATCTGATTACTAGCTTCAGAAAAGCAGTGATGTTTTTTTTGATAAAAGAGATAGCAGGCCAAGTTGCTCATTGGAAGCTTTAGAACCAGGGTTTTGGTAAAAAGGAACATATCTTAATTGTTTTGTGTTGAAATAGAATGTGGCACATGGTAACATAAATATCCATGATAATGGAAGTACTCCCCTTTATTGAAACCAAGCACTGGAATAAAGTTGGGTTTATAATACAAATATAACCAAGATACTTTTTAACTTCAAGTGCAGTCACGCGCATCAATTCATTCGGTATACTAAAATTATAAAAAAAGTAACATATATATTGGTTTTAAAGTTTTAGAGTTTCAGAGTTTCGAAGATATTACAGACGGCTTGACAACCACCTTTCCGTATGTCTCGCGATTAGCAATGGCTTTGAGCGCATTCTTGACACTTTCGAGGCCATGGTACACTGGCGTGTATACAACAGGGTTGATCTTTCTCTCCTCAGCCATTTTGAACAGCGCATCCCAGACCTCAGGGATTCTCTCAGGCTCGTTCAAAACGTATGCTCCCCAGTGCACGCCGGTGACAGCGACATTCTTGAGCAGAATGCGATTGGCAGAAATCTTTTCAATAGAGCCCGCGGCAAAGCCCACAATAACAACACGGCCATTCCACGCCACACACTTGAGTGACTTTTCAACTAGCCCCACGGGGTCAAAGACCACATTGGCACCCATGCCGTCGGTCAAGTCGAGAACTTTGTTGGTCCAGTCTGGCTCGCGGTAGTTAATACAATGGTCGGCACCCTGGGCCCAGCAAACATCAAACTTGCTCGCGCTGCCTACTGCTGCTATAACCCTAGCGCCTAGTGCCTTGGCAATTTGCACAGCCGCAATGCCCACGCCACCCGCGGCCGCATGCACAAGTACCCAGTCACCTGGCATCACCTGGGCACGCAATACAAGCGCTGCGTAGCTAGTAGGGTATGTGATATACAGCCCGCTGCTTGCTCAAAGCTTAGGGTAGACGGAATGTGGAAGCACTGCAGCGCCGGAACCGCAATGTACTCGGCGTAGGCGCCCGTTGGGTTTGACCCAAATATGCGGTCTCCGACCTTAAACTGTGTGCTGTTGACCGAGTCCGCTACGCGCACTACTGTGCCTGAGAACTCTGCTCCAGGAGTGAATGGAAATAGCGGTTTGAACTGATACTTGCCCTGAACCATCAGAATGTCAAAAAAGTTGGCCCCAGCTGAGTCTATCCTTACGAGCAACTCGCCCTCCATTGGTATCGGCGCCGGCACATCCCTAACCTCCATATCGCTTGGGTTCTTGAGCCAGCTTTTTACCACTATGGCGCGCATTTTTATTTTGCTTAAGTAATATGTGTACGTTGTTGGAGAGTATGTAAAAAGTATATGATAGTAGGTATGCAAAAAAATATGTGTTACCCTGAGCGAAAGGGACAAAGAAAGGAGAATGCACATGCATTGCTTCGCGTACTGCTTAATAGCATGCTGCCCCCATGAGAAACCTGTGTTTTTGATGCTATCGACATATTAATCGGCATATTAATCAGCGTTATTTTTGCCTTCACATGGTGTTTGTAGTTGCCAGTAAAAACAATTTTCGCTTCTCGGAGCTACCGGCGGACCCGGTTTCGCTTTGTTTGTCTGGCGATGAGTCATGTGCCTCATACGTCACCATCCTGGCTTTCGATATTAAAAATCAAGAAAAATCCCCAGAGCAAAAGCGACGGGCCAGCAGACCGACAGACCGACTCAGAACCCGATTGCCTCTGCGCAGAGAAAATATAATATACTAGGGGTTTGAAAATTCTAGGGCCTGATGAAATGACCTGATTGCCTCAGCCCACGCAGCAAATTTGACCCATGCCCATACTGCAGCTAGGAAAGGATGTACCCTTAAATTTGATTTTCATTCAAAAAATTGCGTGTTTTGCCGCACGCTCTACCCACTACTACTCATATATCTCAAAAAATAAACTATTCAACCTAGTTTTTAAAATGTCTGTTGTTACCGTTTTTGTCGAGAGCAATAACGCCAGCTCGGAGCGGAGGTTTCAAAAGTCGCTGACCATCGACGAGCTTAAGATGCGGCTCGAGCCCATTGTCGGCATCCCCTCTGTCGACCAGCGGATCACCCTACTGCGAGGCACAGCGCTGATTTGTGAAATTAGTAATGCTGACGATCCATCGCGGATGCTTGGCTTTTATCCTGTAGAAGACTACATGGTGCTAAACGTGGCCAACACCAATCCCTCTATTGCAGCGCGTTTAAACTTCAACGACGAGTCCCAGGTGGAAAAGTTTGTGATGGACGACGACGAATATGACAAGCGCAACGACACTGTGCGAGCTTTCAAACGCCGCCACAACATGGGCAGATTTGCAGACGGGAAGTCGGCCATGTCAATCGACGAGGAGGATGAGTTCAAGGAGGATGCTGCAAAGATTGCCGTTGGAAGCAGATGCGAAGTGACCATGGCGGCCGGCGATCTTGGGAGGCGTGGAATAGTGCGGTTTGTTGGTAAAACGTCATTCCGCCCAGGTTTCTGGGTTGGTATCGAGTATGATGAACCTGTTGGCAAGAACGATGGATCGATGGATGGGGTTGTGTATTTCAAGTGTGCAGCTGAACATGGATCCTTTGTCAGGCCAGACAAGATTGTCACTGGTGATTTCCCCGAGGAGGATTTGTTTGGGAGTGATTTGGAGGAAATGTAAAGGGAACAGGGATAAAATACAAACCTCATGTATTATAATGCCTTGCGACAGAAATGAGGAGAAATCTGGCCGACAATCTTGATGCACGCAACTGCCCCTTTCAAGATTTTTACCATGATATTATGTGTTTGTTTCCGAAACAACAAAATGGTACGATGTTTTAATTTTTGAAAAGTACATTTAAAAAAGTAGAACTATATTTAAAATATGGCATGATGCTTGGTTTTTACAAGTTGTTTATATTTGAACTGTTCCCTTTTTTCCTTATTCTTCTTTCGTTTAGTATAGTATACCATACCTTTTTGCTCCACATTTACATTTAAATTTTTTACATTATTTACACCACCTCCTGCTACTTATCAATGTCCAATATTGGCAGACTACCACAGCCCGTTGTCGAGAAAATCCTAGGAGAAGTGCTCAACAACCAGGCCCTGGATGCTTGGTCCTGGAAACAGCAGTTATCATTGCTAAATGTTTGTAGGCAGTGGAGGGAGATTGCCCTCCCGCGCATATACGCACTGTGCTTTATCAAGATCCGCGAGGACTTTGTCTATGACTCAGACAGCAACGAATTTGACAGCGATGACTCCGACAGCGAAGATGCCCGTGTTGTGCTAGAATCCAGTGTCAACGCAACAGTCGTCCGCGGATTCTGTCACTACGTGCAGCACATGCACATTACCCTGCTCTGGCCGTCGGATCCGCTGGTCTACATTGAAGAGGTGCTGCGCATGCTTGGCACTCATTCTGCCGATTGGACTAGTGTCACCACATTATCGATCACTTTCTCATCGGCATCATCGGACGAGCGCAACACCAGCTATGTGCGCACCTGCCGTGTAAAAAAGGCAGTAACAAAGTCGGCCAAACGCATTGCCGCACTTATGCCCTGCATCACGACATTCAACGTGCATGGCTACACGTCAAATGGAATGGCTGACATTTTTGTGCGCCAGCTTGCAGAGTCGTACTCCGAGCAGCTGCAGACTCTCAAGTGCAATATCCCCTTGACCCTATCTGGCCTGCACTTGTCCAAAGCCCTAACACACCTGCACCTGCAGCTTGACTCTGGCAGGTCTCAGCTAGTCTCCCGGTTCCACGCCGGGTCTCTGCGCTCCCTGGTGCTGACAAACGTGCCGTGCGACTTTTCCTGGCGCTACTTTATTGGCGATTCAGCCGATGAAGAAAACAGCGCTACATTTCACCAGCTTGAAAGCCTCTCCGTGTCGTATACAACCCAACCAGACAAGCACAAGAATACTGTATTTGACGGATATAAGTTGAACTTTCCAAAGCTTGCCAACATGTCTATCCAAAACTGCCCAGAAAATTGCAGCTTGTTACGCGCGGCCAGTCACCCATTGACTTTGTGCAGCGTATCTGTTGCCGGCCCGTTTTCTGCATTTACAGCATTATGTGGTATGCGCATTACCTGCGTTGGCGACTTGGATGTAGCCATTACATCGATTGGCGAGAGCAACATGCCCAGGTTTTACAAGGCCGCAAACCAGCTATTCGGCGGAAACAAGGTGTCTAAATTTTCGAAACTGAGCTTGCCCCAATGCGGCTTCGTTTTGGACCCTCAAAACATCGAATGGAACAATATGACCGAGCTCGTTTGCCAGGATCCAATTGAGTTTAGTGACTTGGTCAGCCTCATTCCCCGCTTACCCAGAGTTGTCAAGCTAGATATTACCAGCGTCACATTTGGCAATTTACCTGTCGCTCTGCTACACCAAGACTCAAACATGGATCAAAACAACTCTGGCCGAGCTCCAACAGAGTCGCTGAACGCTCAGATCAAGGAGTTGCGCCTGTTTGTCAGTGCCTACGAATACCAAGTCGAGCAGGTGGTAAGTGCCGTTCAGTACTTGATTGTGCGCATCCCTTCCTTGCGTGTGCTGCACCTGGCCGAATACATTCACCAGGACATTCTCAAATTTATCGAGCAGGCCAAGCAGCAATATCCACACGTGGGGAACATTATTGTCAAGCACGCATTCCGTTGAAACTAACCCGCTTTTGCACTAGGAGTTAAATGTTATATCCGCTTTGATTAAAAAATTACTAATGAAATATGTGAATGAAAAAATAATAATGAAAAAAGAGAAAAATAAATGTTGGAAAATTAGGCGAGTCACTCAAACATAGCGACGGAGGTTGCCCATGCCAATGTTCATGGCTCGGTTCTGGCTCTCCCTGATGAGTCCAATATCAGATGTGGCATCAGCGCCGCGGACAAGCTTCTCGGGGTTAGAGTCCATGGAGTCAATGACATTCCGCTGGAGGTGGGTTGCAGGCAGCTCAAAAGAATTCACAAGCACATTGTGGCCTATAGATACTGGAGCCGGAGCGGGCGTAGGGATTGCAGCCTTGAGTACAGGCGTAGGGATCATGACTCTGTTTGCAGGCGCGACAACCAAAGCGTTGTGCGCCGGCATGTTTCTGCTGCTCGCAAAGTACTCCTCCTCATACTCTTCGTCGATAGTATCCCTGAAGACAATGCTGGGTGTCTCTTTGGCATTGAGCTTCCTGAGAACCTCTTCGGGGACCATCTGCGTAATGAACTGGACCTCCTCGCCATCAGAATTTACCCCGTTGTTGGTCTCATACTCAAATTCAAGGTTCGAAATGCTGTCGGCAAACTTGGCCTCAGAATTGTCATCGTTGTCGCCTTCGTCACTAGCATCACCGCTGAGGTCGCTTGCATCTTCCTCACTGGCATTGTCCTCGCTGGCATTGTCCTCGCTGGCAAAGGCGCGGACAACACCGCCGAAATCGCTCTCAACAGAATCACTGGCAACGTTGTCGAGCTCGGAAGCAATCTGGTTGATCACCTGGTTGACAGACTCGGCAGCAGCCTCAGACAAGGCCTCATCCTCAGCATCGTTGTCGAGGTCAGCGTCAGTGTTCATATTGCCGGGCAATGCAATTCTTTCGTCGCGGTTGGCGCTGTTCTTCTTTTTCTTGAGCGGACGGGTCATCTCGTCATCGCTATCGTTGTCAGAGTCCTTGTCAGAGTCGCTGTCCGAATTGGCCTTCTTGCGTCTCTTGTTAGAGTCGGAGTCAGAGTCGGAATCAGAATCGGAGTTGTCGCTATCCTTCTCAGAGTCCTTGTCGGAATCTTTGTCAGAGCCCGAATCCTTGTCAGCAGCTGCGCGTACAGCCTTGGGGCTTGGTTCAGACGCCGGGGTGGAGTTAGCCACTACGCTGGACACAACGATGGTTTCAGCCAGAGGGCTGGAGCTAGACGCGGCAACAGAATCGTTCGAGACCGTGGAGCTGGGTGCAGCATTAATATCAAACACAGAGTTGACCTCAGTCGCGGTGCTGGCCTCGGACACGGGGCTGATCACTGCCTCTGTAATTGAGGCAACCGTGGCAGCGGGCTTGGCATCCTTGGTGGTCAGCATCTCAATGTCGCTAACATCCGAGTTCATCTCATAATCCTTCAAAGCCTGCTGAGCCTCGCGCAGACCAATGGCAGCAATGCGCTGGATAGCGTGGAAAGGGTTGAAGTCACCCTCCTCTCCCTCTTCCACCGTGAGCGGGTTGTTGGCCAGGTGTCTCTTGGGCTGGGCAGCCTCGGCATCAGCCTCGTTATTGCTCTTCTCCTCGCTGTCGCTGTCGCTTTCGCTGCCAGAATCATCGCCGGCGTTTCTCTTTACATCAGACTCGTTGTCGGAATCAGAGTCACTTTCAGCATCGCTTTCGGTGTTTATGTCGCCTTCAGTGCTAATATCGCTTCCATCAGCACTATCATCGCTGTTGTTGTCAGCACTGGTCACTGCGCCTATGGGGCTTGATGCTTCAGTGGTGGCCGTAAATATCTTGTCACCGCTGATTGTCTCAATAACCAATGGCTTGAAAGAGGTGTTGCGGGTAGCAAGGGCAGGGTCGTTGAACTCGGAAGCATCTACAACCTCATCCTCATCCTCATCTTCATCCTCACCCTCCTTGCCTGCCTGAGTAGAGTCGGCAACAACGGAGGTGGATTCAGTGATAGCGGCGGTGGTTGACACAGCGGTGGCAGATGTAGACACGGCGCTGGTTGAGGACACCGCGGCGGTAGACAAGGTTGTCACAGCAGTAGCGGAGGTTTCCGTGACAGTAACAATGCGGGGCTTCCTAGTGATACTACGCGGGCTCTTGCTAAGCACAGCTGCCTTATCCGATGACGACTCAACAGAAATCGACGACGACTCGGCCAAAACAGACGATAGGGCAACATCCGACAAGGTCACGTCAGTGGTAGCAGCAGGAGCAGCATTCAACAATAGGCTTGCAGACTCTGAAGCAGATTCAACTGACGACCCGATTGATGGCTCAGCTGAGGACTCAACCGAGGACTGCTCAGCAACAACATCCGAAGCGGCCTTCTCAAATTCAGAGTTAGCCAATCTGTCGCGAGCAACATCGCTCTCACCTTCCTCCATGTTGCCAGTATCGTCCTCAATATCGCTGTAATCATCGTCATCCTCCTCATCAACCTGAAGACGCTGCATGCTGTTGACACGGATATCCACATATGGCGTGTTGAGCACCATGGATGTCTGCACCGAGGACGCCTGTGCAGCACCAACAATGGGCGCAACAATATCATATATGGGCATCATATCACGCTTGCGCAGCATGGCCGAGGTCGACGTGGCAATGGTAACTGATTCGGCGCTGCCTGACTGCTTGTTCTTCTTGACCTCGTAGACATGCACAATGTGCATTTTGCGGCGCTTGGGAACTTCCAAAGAATGAGCACCGATATCCGCCGAGGTAATGCCATCGGCGTGGGTCTCAGGGCTGGCATAGCTGCTGCCGATGGTCACGGCGGGCGAAGCAACCTCGTTGGAGTCTGCAGACATGGCCAGGCTCGAGAGGCTCGAGGCCACGTACATCTCAACAGTGGGCTCGGCAATGGTCAGCGGGTCATTGGACGTAGCGAAAATGTCACGACGGACACTTCCAGCCTGCGTGTTGCCGCCAAGGTCAGCCTTGACTGGGGCGGAGGTGGAGTGGTGCATATTGGCAAAGCGCAAAACTTCATTGGCCTTGATATCCTCGTTGGAGGATGCCTCCTCGTGGATGATCAAGGAAGAGCTGGAGCTGAAGCTAGTTGCCGGCAGCTCGCTGGAGGATGGCGTGGGGGATGCACTGGAGCTGGTGGGCGATGGGCTTGATGAGCTTTGCAACGACGCGGCGGGGATTATAATGGTGGTCCCATGGGTTGTGGCGCTGGACGAGGGTGTGAACATGACACCGTCATTGATGATGGTGATGCCACCGTCGCTACCCATTGATGCCCTGATCTGCGCGCTGGAGCTGGCACTGGTGGAGGGTTTAGGGAGGGCCTTCTTGATGGTCTTCTTCTCGACCTTCTTGGAAATAGACTCCTCCTCGTCCAACTTCTTGGGCGCAACGGTGGGCAGTGGCGCCGGGGTCATCAGGCCAAAGGGGAAGTCGGCGCGCGTGAATGGGTTAATAAAGGCCGACGTCGGATCGATAGTCTCGAGACTAACAATATTCACGTTCTTCTTGCCCCTGTGCTTGCGGGAATAGTCATCATCCTCATCCTCGTCATCGCTGACATCCTCGCCGGCTTCCTCCATGCGGTTGAGGGCGCTCTTGAGGCTCAGAATGTCGGTGATTTCCTCAATAATAACCGCTGCATGGGGCTTGTTCAGCGTGTACGAAGGCGTGTAGGGAGAGGCAGCAAACAGGTTACCGTATGCCGCCTTGATGCTGGCAGCAGGGCCATTTGTGGGCTCGCCGTTGATATTTCCCGTGGGCGTCGGCGTGTAGAGCATGGCACCTCCGGGCAAAGGAATGACGTTGCCGGCAAGCGGGTTGGGCGGGGGCAGCTCCTCCTTGTGGAAGATCAGTGCGGGCTTGATCATGTAGGTGACAGATTTGGAGGAATCGTCGCCGTTATCATCCTCGTCGTCATTAATTCCTCCATCCTTGAGGATCGACTTGACCTTATTGAGAATGCGCGTGGCTGTGTCAGAGGCAAGAATCTCGGACTCGGCGCGTTGGTGCGAGGTAGCAGCAGTGGGGTAATGGAGAGCCCCGTTGCCGATGACTCCAGCACCGAGGGCCTGCAGGAGACCGCCGAGACTGGCAAGCTCTGCTGCGGTTGCAGCATTATCGCCAGCTATAAATTACACAAAAAGAATATTTGAAAAATGTATAATGTTGTGTTAGTTGCAGTATTTTTTTTATTGGAACAAAAATGTACAGCTGCATCTTCAATGTGTATTGTGACTTTCTTACCTATGGCAATCGGACCAGCATTTACTCGAGACGCAGCCAGGAGCCACGCCACGGCTATTAGCGAAAGCGTTGTGCGTGCCATTAGCCTTAAAAAAGAGGAATATCGAGAATTATAATGCTTTCTGTGCAATGAACGATGGTTATGTTCAGTCTACAAATAAACCAAATAAAAATATTAAACAAATATTAAAATTATTAGCGACAACGTGTAAATATTTTGAAGATAAAAAGACAACAGGAACAAGAGGAGATATAGCGTATATGTGATAGGGTGAGTTTAGATGGGATTTTTTGGTAGTTAGTGTAACTTTTAAAAGTATAGATTATAGTCTATCGGGCTTAATGCTATTTTAGATGTTTGTTCGTGTTTAAAGAATGCAGTAATTGGAATTTACTGGAATAAATATAATGGTTGAAAAATAGCACATATCATGCTATATGCGCTAATTTTTTTGTACCAGGTGCGGGGTGATTAAAATGGAGAAAAAGCTTTTGCATTGAAAAATAGCCAAAGAATGAGACATGTGAAAAAAATATATATATGGTGTGCAAGCAAGAGAATGTGAATTGCCATAATATTTTTAAAGAGTAGATTGCGAGTCCCCCACTCAAAGAAAAAAACAAGAATAAAGGCAGTATAAATAATTTTTGAGAAGGAATGTTTATTTTCCATTGTTAGAAAATGAAAAACCCAAATTGTGCCATGTTTATGTTTATTGTTTGTTTGTTTGTTTGTTAAAGGTGTAAAATGATTGCACGAGCTACTTACTATATATTATGTTGTAAAGTTGCTGAGTAAAATAAATGATCTGTTTGTAGTAATAACAAAAAAGCACGGGAAGAAAATTCCTGATAAATTTGTGAATATAAGCGGAAGTATTACAAATAAAGAGGAGTTTTCCTTGTTAGAGATCAAAATTAAAAATTACAGCAAAAAAAGAAAGATTGGGAGCAAAAGAAGACAAGTACGTGAGTTTATCATATACAAATTTAAGAGGATTTGTAACAGGCTGGAAAAAAAAGGTTGACAAAAATAGAGTCTAACTTGAGGGTCACTATTGGAAGTATCGATAAATAGCATTCCAAAAAAACATTTGATGTTATTTTTTCAAACATTGTGTGAGGGAACACTTAATTTAAAGAACTTTTATTTTATCTCCACATATTTCTTGAGAGCAAACAGTCACTACCAGTTTATTTATCTCCACATCTCTTTATTTCTCCAGCTTTCAGCCTCTCCGCATATAACCAACACAAACAAAATAGATACATTTTGAGCAACTGCGGTTTGCATTTCTGCACAAATGAGTGCTTATTTGGATGGTGGGGGGAGCGAAATAACTTCAATCGATGGTGCTATTTGCCGTTACAAACATTCTGTCAACTTGTCTACTTTGCATTAAAGTTACCCCCCGCATAATTATGTGCCATTTCGAAAGGGGTGGCCGAAACATTATAAACCTCAAGGCAAGTAGAACATGATTGACAAAGTGAGACACACAGATGACTCGACAAACGCTTAATTTTGTCAGCGCCAATAGAATATGGCATATATGAGACACAAGCGGGAATATATTTATTTATTTATAGATAAGATATCGATAATTTTCTACTACTATGTAAGGAAAAATACAAAAAACACAAAAAAACAAAAAAACAATCCTACTGCTCTGTGTATTTTACTCTAAACATCCAATTTTGTATTCTCGACAAGCTGCAAATGTCTTTTCGACAATTCTTCCACAAGATCCTGCTCGATATCCCTGCCAGCATCGAGCTGCTCTTTGGTAATCTGGATCAAAAAAGCATCATCAGACTCCCTTGTAAACAGCCACACCTGGAACTTGCGCGTATTCAGCATATTAGCAATAACAATCTGATGACCATACTTCTTCAAAGCATATTTAGCCTTGGGACCCAACAGCAGTGGGTCGGTTTCCAACTTGAAAGAAACAATGAAACATTCCGGCGCCCAGTTTTTCACCAAAGGACCCAGGAACTTGGGCACTTGGTTCATACGCAGGGTTAGATCACCGTCACCTGATTGAATCTTGTGCTCGGACATTATATGCGAAGGAATGAAGAAATCGCTGACTGCTGCTGCCAAGTAAAACATCGCCAGGGGGCCCAGGTGCGCCAGCAAAAGGGAGACTTCGCGCAGCAAAAACAAGTAATCCGACAAGGTCGTAAAATTAATCATCAAAAGCTTCCCTCCCTCGACGTACTGCTGATAAAGCCCCAAATCACCCTTCACCCTATCCGCCCACTCAGGCTTCACCCTAACCTCGCCCTCGGGGCTGAGCTCAAGATAGGATAAGAGGCCCTTTGTGCTGTCCGAGTAGTGTCTGTTGAAGGGCTGCAGGGACTTTTCGCGGTACAGGAAGATCACAGCGTAGCCCATAGCCAGGAACTGCTCGGCCGAGCAGCTTCCGCGTGTACCTTGGCTGAAATTATCGACGAACCTCACGGTGTTGTTTTCTAGCGGAACCGTTGTGCCGCCGCTGGTTATCAGTACTACACGTTGGTTGGCCGGCTGCTGTTTGAGAAAGGCTTGGGTTGCGGTGTGGGCCCATTGGAGGTTCGATGGTGGCTGGTTGTGGTCAAAGTAGGTGTCTGGGTCGATGACACTGCGGGATTCTGCGCAAGGCGATACTGCTTCGGATGGGTGCGTTTTGCCGAGACTCATTGCGTTGGTTTCTTTTTTGATTTGATCAGAGAGGAGGGGTGGTTTTTTTTGCCACTGTGTAAAGGCGACGGCTATGTAGGCGAGAGTACTCTTATATATTTTGCGAGCGAAGAAGCTGGACGAGTAGATTATCAATTGAAGGAGAGCGATAGAAAGAAAGGATGACAGGGCGAACTGATGAGCGCGAAGAAAGAAAGGGGGGAGGAGGGTGGGAGAGGAAATTCTGTCAGAAAAAAGGGGGGCGGGGGGGGGACCAACAAAACCATTCTGGGTTTGTCTTGCACTACTCTTTCATGGTGTAATTTCGATGAAATCTCCACGTGTTTTTTTGCTCGGACAAGAAAAAGCCCAAAAGAAAACTAAATTAAAACTTTATCATGTAGAGGTAAATCAATATGTGGCGATAAGCCAAATCCGGTTTAATGCAATTTAAAACATGCAGAAAAACGAAACAAAGCGCTTTTTATTTCTTCAGCCCTGCTATTCTGCGCTGCCGCTGCCGGTATCGCTGCCACTGTCGCTGTCACTGTCACCATCACTGTCACTGCCGTAAGATGCCAACAACCCGAGGGGATTCAATTCCTTATCATCGCCGTCATCATTATCTTTAACGCCATCACATCCCAGGCGCAATTTCTTTTTCTTGTTCCCATGCTCCACACCACAAGCACTCTCTGGGTTCTTCTCAAAGGCAGAAGCCGGCCTCACAACCACGCCACGGATTTTATCCAACAGGCTTCCCCTTACAGCGCTCACAGGCCCACTCGACTGTTTCCTCTTTGGGCGCTCCCTCTGGCTCTCCACGACCTCCTCTCTGAAGGCAGCCAACGCGGCCAATTCGGCTCTTTTCTGAGTTTCGGTTTTCTCGCGTTCCTCGTCATCTACGGTTTCGAGAAACTCTGTTTCTTCGGGGTCGAGTTTGCGAATTTGGTTGGCGAAGCGGCGGGACTCGGCGAGGGTGTCGTCTTTGAGCCGCCGCTGCTCCTGCAGCCGCTCGTAGAGTGTGCGCGTGTCGTACGAGGCGTCGCTTGGTGGCGGCCGTTGGTGGGAGTCGTAGGCCTTTTGCCAGGCGGATTCGCGCTCTTTGCGGGATTCTTCAATGGCGGCTTCCGAGATGAAGCGCGAGTTGGGATTGGTGCTGCTCATGGTCTGGTAAAATAAAAAGATAAAGGGGGGCTTACAAAGTATAAAATACAGTACACGGAATAAAAAAACACCCCCGAGTGAAGCGGAAAGGGTTTGGAGCAGGGAGCAGGGCACTAGGGGGGCTTGGTTATGGTGACAGGTCATAGGAGGCGTCCGAGTTGAGGGTCAGTGTCATTGAGGCAATGCGCTTTGCCTGCGCGTCGTCATGAGTGATCCACACGCAAGTCCTCTGTGCCAGCGTGTCCTCGACCATCAGGGTAGACTGCGGATCCAGCGCACTCGTGGGCTCATCCAGCAGCAGCACTTTGGGATCACAAGACAGCGCCACCGCCAGCGCAATCCTCTGCTGCTCACCACCGGACAACTCCGGCCACTTCTTCTCCCATAACTCCGGCGCAATCCCCCAGTCCTCAGCAATCTCCACCGGATCATAATGCTCTCTCTGCGCCTGCACGCCAAAGGAATTCACCATGTCTATGAAGTCCAGCGGCGTTCCGGCCAGTTGCGCCGGCCGCTGTGGCACGTACATTACGTCGGCACGCCAGGTGGGAATGCCAAGCTGCGCCGGGGTGCGGGGGCCTTGGGCGGAGCTGAGCGTGCAGGTGCCCGCCTCAAAGGTGGTCAGTTGGGCGATGCACCGGAGGATTGTGGTTTTGCCGACGCCGCTGGGCCCTCGCACGACGAGAACCTGGCCCTGGCGCAGGCTGAATGAGACGTCGTAGAAGAGATGCGTGTCGTCATCCTTGCGCTTGGTCAGTTCTTTGACCCACAGGACCGGCTCGTCGACAGTGCTATCCGACTGCAGCGTATCTGTTGCTGCCGATGATGCCGCTGGGTTGTCCGACAAAGCGCCGTAGTTGTTGGAAATAAGTGACATTGGTTGGGCAGGCGACTGAGGGCTAGTAGAGATTATCTATGAAAAATGTGCAAATAAGGAGAACGGGTGAAAAAGGGGGTGTGAAAAAGAGAATCGGACTATTTATCTTGTTTTGGTGTGAGAATCAAAAAAGAAAAAAGAAAAAGATTCGCAGATTTGATTGAGCAGTGGAGTGGGGGATGGGGGCGGCGAATTTATTAAATTTCCGAGGTATGTAGAAGAGAAGGGCATAGCTAACCCGCCAAATAAAACATTTACTGCCATTTTCCCATTTCCTTCTCTCTTGCGCCAGTTCTACAACAGCAACAGCAACAGCAGCAGCAGCAGCAGCAGCAGCAGCAAAGGCAGCAGCAAAAGCAGCAGCAGCAGCGCATTACTACTGGTAAAAGCCGGAGAACATTTAGCTAGAAATATAAACTTTCTATTCTCATCTTCTCGTCTGATCATCTGCCCATCTGCCCAGCCCTTCCGTTCTTGTGTTTAGGCTTGGGCAACCGAGACGGTCCTAAAGGACCAAGCTTTAAAACTATTTTTTGCCAAGGCAAACAGAACAAAAAGACTTGTTTGGCGAGAGTGACGCACTGACCAAAAAAATAAATAATAATAAAATATTATAGGGGATTGGGGGTGGGTATTGGACCCGTCTGCTATGCCTCCCCTTTCATCTCCTCTTTAGACCCCCCCCCCCCCCCCACCCTCTTCCTTCACAAAAATTTTTTGGCTCACAGTTTCAGTTTTCCAAAGACTCGCTTCCTTTTTTCCTTTTCTCTTTGCTTTTTTTGTATCCACCTTGTTCATTTTTACACTTGTCTTTATTGTCCGCGAGACGATAAACCTACATCGCCTTTTTTCACTACGTTTTTTCAACTCTCATTACCATCCCTTCCTCTGTGTGTATCAATAGAGGTATATGCGTTTAACTCTCATAGACAAGGATCCTTACCCTTTTCGCTTTTGTCCATTATATTTGTAATTATTTGTCTTTACTTCCACGCTGTCGTTGGTTTATCTCACACAGAACATACGCACTTTACGCTAAGTCAGGCATGTCAACCACTGACACCAACAGCTTGAGTAGCAGGGGCAGGAGCAGGAGCAACAGCGCGACCATCACACCGCCCACACAAATACCCGACGTTGATGAGGAGGCCAAGGGCCCAACACAACAGACAGCGTTGATATCTGCTGTGGAGTATCGGTGGCGCGGCCGCGACGTTGTTTTCGTCGACCCTTTGGACTATTCCGTCCCTTATTGGTGGCCCGCAATGGTAAGCCCTTTTGAATTCGGTTTAATGAAACTTTGCATTTCGATAAAGATAAATAATTTCCCCTGTTTTTCTTTTCTGCCAGAGTCTAATAATTTTCTTTTTTCTTTATTGGTTGGCAATGTAGATCGTGCCGACAGATGAAATTGATGCAACCATGGGCTGTTTGAGCCTGGGACCAGAGGAGTATCTGGTCAAGTACTTTGAGGACTTTAAATAGTAAGTAAACCTACGCCTTTAACATTCCTGATTCATAATGTGTGTGTGTTAATTGATTTTTTTCTTTTTTTGTGGAGCAGTAAAATGCAAGCCATCCCTAGAATAAACAGTTCTTGTGATTAATGAGTTTGCTTCTGGGACGATTTTTAAAATAAAAATACATTGTGTGCATCGCATGCATATCGGCATTGCGCGGACTATATTTTTTTTACTTTCTGCTATACCACTCTTCAATCTTTTATATTTTATATTTTCTTAGAAAACACCTTGCTTTTTCATTTTTAACACCTCCGTTGTAGTTCTACGGTCAAGGGCAGTGAGCTGCGTCTATTCGACACCAGCCAGCCGCCATTCACAGATTTTGCTGCCACATCACCGTCGTTTCTCCGTGACAAAGCCATCAAGGGCGCACTGTCTTATCTGAGGACCGGTCTGGTGCACACAAAGTTCCAGTGGCGCCTGTGGCAGACAGGGAGCGAAACCATAGTACTACCCTTCACGCTCCAGGAAACTGCCACTGGTACTGCCCATCAGGTGAACATGTCGCTGGTGCCGCTGATTGGCGGAGATGCAGATATCCGAGCGGGGAATCATGTGACATATGATCAGCTGGAGGCCAGTAGCGCTGCTGTTGCTGTTGCTGTTGTGGAGGAGGAGGATGAGGATGGTGGTGTTGGGTCTGACGGGTCGCCGCTGACATCGAATGCTCTGCTAGACTCTGCGCCTATGGGTGCTGAGAATGGTCGGTTGCCCAAGCAGCAGCAGCAGCAGCGTGATGGGCAAATCCCAGATGCCCAGGATGACTCAATCGTCGAAAAAACCAAGGACACCACAGAAGCATTGCATGGGGAGATAATGTCCAAAATCTGCGATGTATCGCAGGTGCAAACCCCATCTGCCGACCAACCACCTTCGCCTTCATTACAGCCAATAGTGCCCTCAGAAGATGCTGACGACGCCAACGAGGCTGATGACGAAGACGCGCAGCAGCAACAGCGGCAGCTCACCGTGGATACTCCAGCATCCACAGCTACTGCCGACACAACACCTGAGATCACCACGCCCCAGCCAACCGCACGCAACCGCCGCCCACGCGCCCCACGGCCCAACCCTACCACCGTGGCAGCAGCAGCGGCATTACCAGGGACCGGGGGCAGACGCGGCCGACCGCCACTGGCCAGCAAGCTGGGCCAGGTTCAGGCCAAGCACAAAAGAAATGCCAGCTCAATTGGCGGCGGTGGCGGCAACAGCGGGTCAAAGAGGCAAAAAGAGATCACACCCGCACTTGATGATTTGAACAAGCCAAGCGATGTTGCAGCTGCAGCACCAGGAGGAGAATCGTCAGAGATACGGGATATTGTTAAAAATATGGAGGAGGTCCAGGAGGAGTACAGGTTTTATAGGGCGCTTGTGCGCAGAGCTGCAAAGGATCTGTGGACAGAAATGGGTAACGAGTGGCCGCCCAACCTTGGCACGTCTACGCGATTCGGAAAGCGTAGAAAGATTGTCTAGTAATTGCTGGAGGCGTTCCATTTGGCTTTCTTGCACTTACGCGACCGAGAAAGAGAGAAAAATAGATATTATTAGGACTCGTGACTGGCTTATACACGGGACTTCACCCATAGCCCTTTTTGTATGCCAGTGTTTCCATAAATCATTAATTATAATATTTTTATATATTTTTTACATTAAAAAGATTAGAAACTATTATTTTATTTACATTATTATCACATTAAGGATATGGTCAAACTCACAGCGCAGGACAAGGTCAGAATTAAACAGGTCCAGGAGATCGAGGCGCAGCTACGGGCATCCGCCAACGGTGCCTCCGACCTAGTCAACTCATGGCTCGGCGACGAAAGCGATAACGAAAACCAGAGCAAACCCAATTCTGCCCCAACCAAAGCCCGAGATATCTTCAAAGGACGCCCAGCAAGACTCGGCGTCGGTGCGAAATTCCTCTCTCACAAAGAAATGATGTCCAACATGCACTCCGGACCCGGAATACTCACAGCCGAGGAACTCTCACTGAAACGCAGGTTATCCAAAGGTATAACCACCGAAAACCTCGAGACTAAAAAAAAAAATAACGAAGATGAGAAAAACAAAAAAAGGGAGGAGAAAGAGGAGAGCGATGATGATGGCGATAGTAGATCGAAAATGGTTTCGAGTATGGTGACAGAAACCAAAGCGGCGGGTAAGCAGGGGTCAGTTGGTGATAATAAATTGGCTGGTGGAGAGCAACTACAGATGAAGAAAAGAAAAACTAAAACTACAGAGTTTCTTGATTCACTTGTTAAACGCCGCAAACGCTAAACTGTAATATTTGTGTATCGTTTTTTGGCAGTATTTCAAGTTACTATTTATTAAAAAATTATTTTTTTCCCTTAGCCTTGAAAGTTTTACTTTTATTTCCTTGTTTCTATTTTTAGGAGAAAAACAATATATTGAGAAAAAACTTTTGAGAAAACTTTTTTTCATATATATTTTAATAGCTTATATCATATTATATTTACAATGGTATTGTTATTATGCAAAAAGGTAAGAATGACGGAACTAAGTTTATTTTAAATGTACATTGCAAATGACAACAAACAAAATATAGACAATGCATTATATTTTTTGTGCATTTGCTCATTAACTCGTTTGTTCAACCCTGGTCTTTTAATGGTTGTTTGGCGCCACTCATTTCTTGTTTCGAAAATTCTGTCGTTCGAATTTCGCCAACACCAAATACTGCCAATATGTATATCCAGAGAGAGAAAGGGAAAAAACAATAAAATAGGAATAGAAATAAAAAACGGGTTACTCCCAACAACATAAAAAACAGTTTGACTTTTTAGCAGTAGATTGCTCAACTAAACAGCAATAGCCAACAATGTACAGTCTCAACAATGAACATGTTTATCGGTCTAGTAGCACCTTTTTATGCACAAAAATAGCAATAAAATAAAAGTAAGATAGCAGTAGGACCAACATTACGTTTCTGTCCAGTTTTTCACTTAATGCGCATATATTTTGGAAATATGACAAGCCTTTCTTTTAGCCTTCCATAGAAACTTTGTCTTAATGGAAAAAGAGCAAATATACCTAACAATGCAAACATATTCTGTAAATGGAAATCTACTGCATGCGCAGCCAAAAGGAACAATTGATAATGGTCTGTGAGCTGAAACAATAGCCGAGCAATATAGGGACCACCATTCAGAAAAAAAGACGACCACACCTTATTGAATCGGACACACTACTGAACACACGGAAACAATGCAAATAGTAAGATAAAGCAAACTTACACAATAAATTCAAGTGGAAGAAAAGAAATAGAGTGAAAGTGAGCGCTCGCACGCGTCAAAAAAACAACTCAAAGTACAAAAAACGCGGTTCATGTCCCAATTTAAACCTCCAACATATATAAAAGGTTGGCAAGACGCCCTCCAAAAAATCATTAAACCATCATCCACACCTCCCTTCTTACCCAAAAGAACTACTTCATCCTTCATACTTCTCGTTCTATAGTTTTAAAGCGCTGCGCGTTTTATACACCTTTTAAACTCATCCCATTCTCAGTGTCTACTCTCCTCCCCCTCCTTTTCAATAAAATGAAGACCGCCGCTATTGCTGCTTTTGTTGCCATTGTCGCCGCTGGTGATGTTCATTATGAGGCCCGCCCTGCCCCTCCTGTCCAGGTCATCCCTGTCGGCGATTATCAGACCAAGCCTGAGACCAAGCCTGAGATCAAGTCTGAGATCAAGCCTGTCTACGAGGAGCATCCCGCTGGTGGTTATCCGGCCGGAAAGCCTTACGAGTGGAAGCCTGAGATCAAGCCTGTCCACGAGGGGCATCCCGCTGGTGGCTACGAGGCCAAGCCCGAGATCAAGCCTCTCCACGAGGGTCGTCCTGCTGGCGACTACCAGGCTGGCAAGCCCTATGGTTGGAAGCCTGAGGTCCAGCCCGGACACGAGGGTGGCCGCCCTTCCGGTGATTACCAGTGGAAGCCCGAGACTCAGCCCGGATATGAGGGTGGTCGTCCTGCTGGCGATTACCAATGGAAGCCCGAGATCAAGCCCGGCCACGAAGGACGCCCCGCCGGCGACTACGCCTCTAAGCCCCAAACTCTCCCTGCCCACGAGAACCACCCCACTGGCAGCTACCAGGCCACCAAGCCCTACGACTGGAAACCAGAGACTCTGCCCGCCCATGAGGGCCGCCATAGGGGCAATTACCAGTGGAGCCAGGAAAACAAACATTTCGTGGAGGGCCGCCCAGCCCACGGGGGTCATCGCCCGGCCGGGGACTACCACTCCAAGCCTGTCGCAATATACGTGACCCCAGTCTACAACGCCCCGGGCCACAACTCTGGCAGCTGGTCGCCCTACCCTATTGAGGGCCCGGCCCACAAGGGCGAGTACTCCAACGGCGGTGGCCACTCGGGCCCCGGCTCTGTTATCCCCGGATCTAACCCCGACAGCTGGTCGCCTTTCCCCATTGAGGCCCCTCCTCATGGCTATAAGTACCCAGTAGGTGGCCACTCTGGCCCTGTTGTTGCTGGTCCCACTCACAATGTCCAGCACTCTACTGAATATGTCGCAAAGCCTGCTCCTTTGCCCCTGCTGCCCATTGTCGCTCCCGCTCATGATGACAAGTACACCAACGGCGGTAGCAGCTCGGGGCCTGGTCCCATTGTCGCTCCTTCCCGCGAGGGTGCCGCCCCGGCATACCGGGCCGATGCTCCTCGCTACTAATAAACTTTTATAGCTGGCCTTGTTTATTCATTATCAATAATATTATTTGATTGACAAATAACATTCAAATTATTTTGACTAAATAATGACTATTAGTGGTTTATTCTAAATACTTTTTGGTTTAAATACAGAATAATACCTTTTGGTTTAAGTAACGAATACTGTGGATGAAACAAAAAAGTATTAATTATTAGAACCAATCGCCATTGCTCGACTCGTCGGCCAAGCCATCCTCGGCAACACTGGACTCGCTTACCTCAGACTCTTGGTCGGCTACAAAGCGATCCAAAGCATCCAACGTGGCCTGGATCTTCTTCACCACGTTCTTCCTCTTGCTACGCACGGCGTCATCGCCAAAGCTCTCGACAGAATCAAGCTTGATCAAAAGCCTCTGCAAAACCTCTTGGTACTCGTGGAAATCCTTGTTGCTGCTATTGTATGCCAGCTTCAAATTGCCCTTGTTATCCGAGACAAAGGACAGCTGGAGATTGCGCAGGCGCCAGTTGTAGTCCTGGCGCACTTTCTCGAGGTCGTTGTCGATATGGCGCAGGGTGCGCAGAGATTCGAAGATTTTGTGTGCTTTGCGCATGTTGCGCTGGCCCATAATGTAGTTCTCCATTGTATTGACTGCGCGCTTTTGCCGCTCTTGCTCAGAGTCCTCGGGTTGTACCTTGGGAGCTGGAGCTGGAGCTTGAGTTTGATCTGGGGAAGAAACAGGGATATTATCCTTGCTCGGGCCCTGTGCCCTTCTAGAGCGGCTGCGGCGGAGACGCCGGTTGTGGCGATGGCGCCGATGGCGGCGGCGGTGGCGGGCAGCCTCACTGTCAGGGTTTTTTGTGGCATCCTGCAGATTGCGCAGCTGCGACTTGCAGCTGTCCATCATACTGGCAAACTCACTGTCCGTGTGCTCGCCGCTGTTATTGTTGCTTGACTGCTTAGTTGCAGGGGGGTCCAACTGCTCATCATCAGTATCAGATCCAAGGTGCGGGGTCGGTGGAACAAACGTGTTGTTATCGCTGAGACCGTTAACGCGGCGACGCAGGGAATCAGCCAGCTTGGAGTAATCGACGGGCTCCTCGATCTCGACACCCTTTTGCGCCGAGGCAGGACGGTTAGCCGTCTGTGGCTTTTCAGCTGGGGCTGATGCCTCGTCAATAATATTCACGCGGATCTTGTCATCTTCAGAGGACTCGGGCTTGGACTCAGCCTTCTCGGGTGTCTTCTTCTCGGGCGTTTTTTCGTGCTCCTCCTCCTTGGCAATCTCATCCAGACGGTTGTGCACCACGCGCAACACGTTATCCAGCACCGCAGGATCTAGCTGTGAGCTGCGCACACCAAAGGGGGGCAGAGCCTGGTTGCGCCAGCAAGAGCTGTGCCGGCCTTGGCAGCTGCCTCGGGCGAGGCCACGCGAACAGGTGATTTGAGCGTGGGCGGAGGTGATGCTTGTGGAACGGAGGGAGACGACAATTCAGGCGCTTGCTTGACAGTCTTCTGGCAGCGTTCGCGTTTAAATCCTGTTTCTCCGTCTGCTTCTTTTCCGCCGGCTCCTCGTGGCCAAAGTATGTCTCGAGAAGATTAGTCAGCGCTGCTTTCTCCGCGCGCTTGCGCTCGATGCTGTCCTGGTTCTTGATTTGGTTGTCTAAAATATGGCCAAAGAAATGGAACGGCGGATAAAACACTGCCTCGTCCTCATCTCCGCCTTTCCTATCTGCAGCAGCCTTCTCTTGGTAGGCCCGGTTCAATTCCTGCATTTGTCTGTGCCGCTCTTCTTCCTGCATTCGACCCAAATACGCCGCACGGGCTCTCTCCGCCGCGACACGAGCGTGCGTACGTCTTTGATGCTCCAGTAGCATCTGCTCTTCGTACAGTGCGCGTTCGCGTTGCTCGTGCTCGCGCAGCTGTTGCTCAAGAAGTGTACGGTGGAGCTGTGCTTGAGCGCGTTGGTGTTGAATGCTGCGCATGCGGGCTTGCACTTCGGTCAGCGGCGATGACGCGTAGGCTCCGCGAAGGTCCTGGAAGGCGTCAAAGGGGTAGTTGCCGTCCAGATCAGAGTCTTCGACAAACCGGATGTACGGGTGGCCTGGTACTGAACGGTGCTGCTGCTCTTGCTCTTGCTCTTGCTCTTGCTCTTGGGGATGGTGGTCACCATGGTAAGTGGAGAGAGCATGGTGGTGCGGCTCACGGCTGGGAGCGTTACTGGGTGCAAACAGGCAAATAGGAACGGCGTCCGCTTCGTCCAAGTAAAATTGCATTGTTAGGTTGTAATAAAAAATATGATGTATATTTAAAGTGTAGGAAAAATGTGTTTAAAAGGAGCTGAAGTAAATAAAGAATGCGTCTGTTCAAAGCGGATGTAAAAAAACTAGTGAATTAGTTGGTGGGTGAAAAAGAAGTGAAAACAGGCAAAGGTCCTTTTGTCCTTTATATATAGTTTTTTTTGTACAAATGAAATATCGGGTGATGACGTTTTATTCTACCCCATGAAAGAAAAGAAAAATAGCTGCCAAGCTTTTTTAATTTTTAAATACAGCGAACAAAAAATGGATTTGGGGGAGTACAAAATCGAACAGCCTAGAATTTTCTCAATGCGCACAGAATAGAACTGAGGCAGTAATTGATTGGTTCGGGAAAATTCTCGAAAATTCCAAAATCCCTTTTTTATTTTTTCAGCCGCCGATGTATGATCAAATTAAATATCAGCGATGTGATTGCCGCAATAATGGACGGTGCGGCGTAGCGCATGATGATGCGGAGCCAAACCATCCACTGCGCACGGCTGCCTTTGGCAGCAGCCCTCGCCAGAAGCTGGTTCTGCGCAGCTGGCAATACTGGTGATGGCGCCATTGCTGATGATGACGCTGCTGGTGGTGGCGGCAATACAGCCAACGCAAAAGAAGGATCTGGATTTCGGCCCAGCTCATCAATCAGCTTCGAGTCGAGGCTCGGCGGCAGCGTGGCCAGCTGCTTGCATACCTTTGTCAGCGACCGGGGCAGTGCCTGCGTGGCAACAAACTTGATAACGCTCTTTGGAATCCACCCCTTCAGGTCACCGTCAGCAATTTGTACAACGCGACACCAACTGCCCTCCTCCAGTCCGAGTCGCGCCTTGTCCTCTAGAGAAGCCTCTGTGACTAGTTGTCCAGCAATACCGGCCTCCATACGCACAATACCCTGGGCGTCCTTCTCGGGCATACGGTCGTCGATGATGCTCTGGCTGACATTGAGGTATGCGCGCTGTGGTAAGTCGCCCTTTCCCAGGTGCTGGACCGAGGTGATGTGTGAGAGGAGGACGGAGTCGCGCGAGGCCGTTGGCCAAATGGCCTTCATCTTGAGGTAGTGTATGGAATCGCCCTGTCCCAGCCTTTCAATAACCGCGGTGGCCTCAGTCAGCTCGTCCCACTTGGGCCTGAGGAGAACGTTTGCCAGCAGGTCGAATGCTGTCGCTGGTGCGGTTGGCGCGTAAAATGTTACGCGGAACCGGAACGGCTTGCTGACGTGCCCCTGCACAGTTATAGGGTACGGCTTGCTTATCGACACCAGTGGTGTCCATGGACTGTCTGGCGCCTCGCTGTCGTCCTTGGTCGCCATATCCAAGAATGTGCGCTCCAGCTCGGCGCACTTTGCTGCGTATCTGTGCGGTGCCGACGGATCAGCATTGGAATTAGAGTTTGATTGGGCTGGCGGCGTTTCTACAAAAAATGAAAATATGACCCGTGGGAAAAAGTGAGTTGAAAGTCAGCTTATGTGCGGCAACTAGTCCAAATTGAATGAGTGGGCCATTCTAATGATGTAGGAGAGAAAGTGCAGTAAAAAAGTAGGAATGCATATGCATTCGGGTGAGGCTTGATTCACCTATTCAGAATTTCCAAATGCGCTGCAATCCCCTCCTCTTTTTTGTCTCCATACGTCCTATTTATTTGCGCGGAATGACTTACCCAGATAAACTATTTGCGACTGCTGTAAGGGCTTTGCAGTGCTGTTGGGATAAACTGCTTTGGCATGTTGCAGAGACTCTCTGGTCTGTGTGCCGGTAGCACACACGGCGGCGGGCACTAATGCGCAGAACAGGAGCTGGAAAAGCGCATAATGCAGTCGATCCAGCGGATAATTCAATGCACCTACAATAACAATAACAATTGATATTAAATGAATATATGCAAATTGGTGAGCATGTCAATAGTATTCAGAATGCATACCCAAAAATAAAATATCCATATTGTCTTTTGTGGACGTACATTTATTGAGAGTTGTCAGAAACGGAATGGGCAGGACCAAGGACGCAGCAATGGCCATTATCACCCTTGACTCGGTTAAACCCGACACCCACTTCCCCGAGATGTAGCTCAATGCTGGCTGCATTATTACTGTAAAATTGTTTTTGTTGAGATAGGCTTGTGAGTGTGAGTATATGGATAATAAAAATGAAATAGATGAATAATGAAAAATGAAAAATGGCACAGCAAAATGTAGAGAACAAAAAGAGAAGGACGCAACAAAGTCACAAAATAAATATTAAAAGGTGTGTAGCAATATATAAAAAGAAGGGGAAGGAATTCGAGAGACGTAAGGCGTTCGACTGGATTCACGCAATATAGATGCCTCTTATTTTCCTTAGAAACAAATATAAAGAAGTGAGGCGAGTGCAATGGAGAAGAGTGGGTTGGAGAGAAGAGGAACACTGGAAACGGGGGTATTGTTAAAAGTCAAAGCTGTATGTGGCAAATATCATTTCGTTTAACGAAACAAAAAACTTACTTTGCCGCTCTATTTTTTGACAAACTTTGGCAACTTTGTGAGAGCGTAATTTTACACTTTCACATGCAACTCCAACTAATGACAAAAATCCCGAGACAGATAAAATGGCAAAGTACGCAGGATCATGTGAGGTTTATTGCGTATGGTCTCGCCAGTGACGAAAGCACTTCCAATCAATCGATTTATTAGATTGCCGAGGCTTGAAAATGCTAAATTTTATTATTTCGTGAGGCGCTAATCAAATCAACCAAGTGTGGATATTACTGTATGTCGCAAGTCGACAAAAATCGCTATATTAAAAATCGTCTGAAATGGCCATTCCAGTGGTCGCAGCTGCCATCGCGGCTGCGGGCATAGCCACACCGCCAGCAGAGTCATTATTCCCGCCCGAGCGACCATGTCCTCCGCCTCCTCCGCCACTATAGTCGCCAGCCGAATGATGATGTGTACTCGGACGATGCGAGCGCGAATTCGGTCCATGGTACATGCCATTGAAAAGATCGTCATCCTCATCGCTACCCCCGGACGACCGCGGCCGAGACCCACGAGACACAGGTTTGTCTACGGGATTCGTCATCTCGTCGTATTCAGGCGGCGGTGGTACCATGGTGACGGGCTGCAAGGGCAGCGCGTACTTAAGCCCCAGCTCGTTGATATGGTGGCGCAGAGCAAATGAAAACTCAGTTTTGACAAGTGCACGCTTGCCACCATCCTGCCAGTTGCTCCTATGGCTGATTCCGAGGCTGATCAGAACGCGGTTGGAGTTCTCAAGCAGGTCAACGTTAAACCCGATGGGGCCCACAAGGTCACGCGGGTTCTCCTCAACGTAACTGTTCATGCGGTCGCGCAGCTCATACAGTTTCTCCGACGGCGTGTTAAAGTCGACGCCTATGACGATGGATTCAGATTGCGGGTTAGAGCGGCGCAAGTTCTGGATCTTCATAGTCGCCAGTATGTTGTTCGGATACACTGTGTAAGTGCCGTCGGTCTTGAAAAACACCGTGCTGAGAAGCCGTATTTTGCTAACAGTGAGATTTTCCGTGGCAATAACAACGATATCGCCAACATCATACGAGTGCACCTGGAAAAGAAACACAAGGCACTCAAAAATCGTCTTGAACGTGTTGCCAAACACAAAGCTCCATCCGATGAACAGAGTACCCATGGTGGCCAGGCTCTTCAGCGCATCAAGCCCAAAGACCAAAAGCGCAATGATCAGGATAATCAAGAGAGCAAAAACCGTGAGGAAAAGATCCAACTTGCCAACCACCTGGGACATATCGCTGAGGGCGCTGAGCAAGGAGCGACGCTCCTTGTAAATGAGCATCACGCGGTCGCGCATCTCGCGCTTGCTAATGTCGCCGTTGTTGTCCTTATCGAACAACTCAAAGGCCTTGATTGCGTCCTCCTCTTTGTCAAAAAAGGGAAGGAAATCATCGACAAGAAGGTAGTTGCGGTCCTTGTGCAGGGCACCAAAGAGCTTGCGCGCAAGACGAGCGGCGTACTGGCTCGAGTTCATCCCGACGCCGCCATCCAAAGCCCGGTCCTTGATGTTCCAGAGCCTGGTTGCGATTCCCTTGGATGGCAATTTATGATGTTTGGGCCGCGGCGAGTTACTAAAAGTATTGCGCCGCCAGAAGCTGCTCCTCCCTGATTCTGATGTTCTAAAAGGGGGTGGTGTTGCCGAGCCAGGCAGATGTCTGGCACTTTTAGGCAAATAAGTCTCGTTGGTGCTTGTTTGGGTAGCATATTGGTGTTGGTGCAAAAGCTCCTTGCGGCTGCTCATGGGGTCCAAATTGCCGCTGTCAAATGTGGAGATATTGCTACCCATATATGGCGTGTTATTCCCAGCGCTGCCAGTCGCATTGCTTTCGCGCGCCTGGTTGAGGTGATCCAACACCCAGCTGGCATACGCCTGCTGCTGAATGCGCTCCTTATATGCAGACTTGTGGAACCGCGTAGCGATAACTTTCAGCACCAGCTTCTCTACGCCAATAATCGTGCACGCGAATAGAACGAGAACGTTGATTTGAAACAGCACCTGGTCCCACGAGGACGAGCCATTCTCAACCTTGCCGACAAAACGGTACGAGGCATTAGGGAACATGACAACAAATGCCACGAGCGACGTGGCCGAAATGAGAATTATCTTGATGTACAGCTTGACAGCGACAAAGAACTGCATGCGGTCCTTGAGTTTTTCAATGTTGCGCTTGCCACGGAAGGTGCGCACTACCCGCAGGGCGCCGTCAGGGATCATGTCGATGAGGTGGTAGATCAGCACGCCGAGTATCCAGACGGCGGTCATCAGGGCAAATGACCGGGCGACGCACTGCAAGTTATAGTTGGTCTGGAAGTTGTCCGACTCCTTGTCCAGCGACCCACGGAAGGGCAGGTCTCTGTGGGAAGCCAACACAGACACCACGGGGATAATCAGAATAATTCCGCCTCCAATCATGATGATGAAGGCGCGGATGAGTGGGTGGAGGCGCCAGAATCCCTTCAATGTGCGCGCGCCCTCATCCTTGGGGTCGATTTCAAGGCTGTTTTCCGACACGTTGTCCCAGTTGAAGTCGTCCTGAAGAGTGGATGGCAGATCTACCGATGGCATGGACAATGTGCTGTTGTTGTTGTAAACCGACCGCCTTTGATTGTTATTCTGGTGCTCGCTGTCGCCATCGCCATCGCCATCGCCATCACTGCCGCTGGCTTGGCCTGCGCCTGCGCTGGCCATATTGATGACGGCAGAATGCCTCCGTTTTTCGTTTATCTCGGCACCATCCGATTTAAACTTGATGTTTACCATCGCTTGCAAAGCTGAAAGAGTGATGTAGAATGAAAGACAAAGAGGGGCCGAATGCTTATATAGAGTACGATAAATGTGTTATAAAAGGGCAAAATATGTGTAGGTATAAATTTGAGACCGATACGAAACACAGAAACACTTTGGTAGGTAAGGAAAAAAGTTTTTGTCAAAGAAATAAGCAGAAAAAATCCAATACAGTGCAAATAAAAATTTGATTTTTTGGAGTGGTGGTAGGGCTGTTTTGCTCGGTGGGCGGAAGGTGTCTATTTATTAATAATTTTATTTCCAACTCTACAACCTCGTTCTTTTTCCTGCGATTTTCTCGTCTTTCGGCAATTTTTTCATTTCCATATTTGGAATACCATTTCGTCATTGAGGCATCTGTGCATGATTCCATTTGTTTACATGAACTCATGGCTATGCTTATTTGGACTGGGGGAGGGAGAAAATGATTTGCTAAGAAAGCCATTCCCAAATGGAAAGTCGAAAAAAAACATTGACAAACAAATGAAATGCATGTCGCTTTTTTCTCCTATGCCCAACCCCAATGCAGCGAAATTGAAATATAATATTGGAAAAGCCAAGTGTATGTTCGGTCCACAGTGCGATCGGCATCAGCCCAACTCAAATAACAGGAATAAAAAGTTAGAGATAAAAAAGATAATCAGTTGGATTTCAGAAATATAAAGTCCGAGCCCGAGTAAAAGAAGAAAAAATATTTTGTATTGCACATTTTAGACTCGAATAAAAAACAATAACAATACAGCGGGTATCGAGTTGATGCTGTTGATATGGAAAAATGCAATGTGGTATGTGGTTGGGGTTTTCTGGAGCTGCAGATTACAATATGCATGGATTTTTTGTGAAGGGGATATTCACCACAGTACAAGACAAATAAGGAGACCACAATTTTGATGACATCGTGGGATGATCGCGAATGACCAAGTGCATGAGCTCACAAGGAGCACCCAGTGGCAACAGTGCGGGCGAGGATGCAATTGGTTGTGTCAGTTGCCACTTTTCCATCCAGTGCGTACTAATGATACCCCTTGCAATTTAATTTAAATTTCAGAAATGCACACACACCACGCGCAAGTGGGATTAGGCGAGCTCTGGCCATCAACATTATTGCTCACTCACTATAGGGGTATGTAGCCAGGTCTGCAATAGGGCCCATTGATGGGCAAGGTGGCGTAGTATACGATCGGTCTTAGTCATTAACTTTCGTTTTGTCCTTTGCTTTTCTATATTTCGCACAATGTGTCTATTTTCTCTCAACATTGTTGTTCACATGGTCAACTGCACGGCATCCCTGTAAAATTCCACCTAAATAATTAGGTATATTGTGCAATGGCAACTATTCATTTATCGTTGTTATTCCTATACCCCCTCGTGCTGTGCCGTGCCATGCCTTGCCTAGCGAATATATGCCGAACACTTCAATAAAGATGCATCGTCCAGTGATCAAACAAGGGTCAGTGTTTTGTTTAATTAAACACGTGTGTGGAGGGTGAGGGATTCGTTTTTTAACGCAGTAGAACGGCTAATTTCAGGCCGTTTGTTTTGATTAGCTATTTTTTATTCACAAAATGCTCGCGTGGGGGGAAATAAAGGGCTGTATGAAACACTAAGCGGCGAAAAAAGAGCAGTGTGTCCCGCTTGTTGGTTTTTATAACTTTTTATTATAAATTTGAAAAGCTATATTGATGGGAAGAAGAATAAGAAAGAAGGTTAAATCCGGCCGTGTCTTTTTAGTGTCTTTTTGGTGTGCTGTTCGGATGTGATCACTCAGAAAAGCAGATGTACAGTGGGAAGTAAAAAAAAAGAAAACAGCAAAGAAAATCATTTTCACCCCTTCATTCTTATTTTTGTGAACTGTTTTATTTATTTATTCACTATTTATTATTTGTAAAGAAAATAGCATACACACATTTACATTACTCACATTTACACTTTTTTATTTATATATTTCGCCTAGCTTACTATCGAAACTATGGTCAGCAGCGAAAAGATCCCCGGACTGTTAGCTGACAGACGGCACGCGCATGGATTCGAACAGCACCGCCGACAGATGACGCTCGTGCGCAAAATGGGTGTACTCCTGCTAAGCATCCCGGCGCTGCTACTGCTCCTCTGCGCTGGCGCTTACCTTTACGGGGTAGAGTTCCCTGAGAAGGCCAGCACACTGCCAAAGGCGCCGCACGAGTACCTGTCCTTGTACCCGACCAACAAGCACCTTGGTGCAGAGGACAAGGGCCACAGAATGGGTCTTGCTGAGCGCGCTCTGGTGTCCAATGGCACGCACTTGTTCCACCCGACGCTCATATTGGTGTCCCTGGACGGGTTCCGCGCTGACTACTTGGATCGTGGGATTACGCCCGAGCTGCTGCGTTTGGGCAAGCGTGGGTTGCGGGCCGACTACATGATTCCGTCTTTTCCGTCGTCGACGTTCCCCAACCATTATACCATTGTCACGGGGATGTACCCTGGCTCTCACGGTATTGTCAGCAACGAGTTTTACGATACGGAGCTTAACGACACTTTTGTGTACAAGGACGCCAAGCGGAATATAGAATCAAAGTGGTGGGAGGGCGGCGAGCCCATTTGGGTGACGGCTGAGAAGCAGGGCATTAGGGCGGGCATCAACATGTGGCCTGGGTCCACAGCGGTCATACACAGGACAAAACCAACCTATGTTCTGCCGTATAACGACAACGTGCATCCGACGAAAAAAACGCAGCAGCTGCTGGAGTGGCTGGATCTGCCGCTGGAGAACCGCCCAGCGTTTCTAGCCACGTACATGCCGGAGGTCGACAGCGTGGCGCATAGGCTGGGCCCGGATGCACGCGATGTCAACAACGCTATAAGCCTGGTGGACACCGCGCTGGGAGACTTGTGGACGCAGCTCGAGCAGCGCAATCTCACGCACATAGTCAACCTCATGGTGGTCAGTGACCATGGCATGGCTGCTGCCAAGACGCAGGCAAACGCAATCTACCTCGACGGAGTTATCGACCTGACCAAGGTGCGCGGCATCTACAACTGGCCGCTTGGCGGCATCCAGCCCCTGGACGAGGCCGATGTGCCCGAGATGTACGAGCAGCTCAGGCGCGCCAGCGTCGGCCAGCCGTGGTCGGTGTATCTGCGCAAGGACATCCCCGAGCGCTTCCACTACACCAACAAGGCGCGTATTGCGCCAGTCTACATTATCCCCGAGCTCCCCTACTACGTCACCACCAGGGCCATGGACAAATTCCATGCGAGAAAGCAACTGGAGCTGGAGCAGCAGGACTCGGGCAAAAAGAACCGCATTATCGGTGCCCATGGCTTTGATAACCTGCATCCGCTGATGCGCGCAACATTTGTGGCAGTTGGCCCGGCCTTCCGCTCGCGCAACGCACCGGCACCCGATATCGCCGTGAATCTCGCGGCGCTCAACGCAACACTTGCTACAGAGGCTGCCACGGATGCTGCCAGGGATGCCGCCACGAATGCTAACACGGATGCTGACACCGTCAGCATTCAGATGATGAACGAGGGCTTGCAGATTTCGGATATGAATGCTGAGCAGGATTATTTAGAGCTTGTGCGAAATGCGGTGGTTTCGGAGAGCGATGTCAAGTACCAGGCAGAGTACGATAGGTTGTGGGGCGAGGATATGATGGGCGAGGATAGATTGCGTAATATTCGCCATCCGCCGTTCGAGAACGTGGAGCTGTATGGGCTGATGACACACATACTGGGGCTGGTGCCCGCGCCCAATAACGGCACTGCTCAGTTCAGTCGCTGGTGGCTGCGTCAATAGCTATAATTTCCTGTGATGAAAGCTTGCAGCTGCATGATAATTTTACTAATAATTTTGCTTATTTATTTAAAAACAATATAAATTGGAGTACATAATGTCTGTGAGAAACAGCATTTTTTGCCGAGCGGCAATGCAAGATATATATATATATATAAAATATACAGGCCAAAAATGAATTGGCAACCTAAACTTCTAAGAAATTACCCTTAGCTTCCGTGTAGGCATCCCTGTATTCGTCGTAAATAGTTTTGAGCTTATCCCTAAGCTCATCATGTTCTTCCCTGGCGGTTTTATACTCGCCAGCAAACTTGTCATACATGGTCCACATCCGTTCTAAATCATCCTCCGCATCAGTAACCGTATCCTTGTCCTCAATCTTTCCGCGCTTATAATCGTAGCAAAGCTCTGCGCTCTTCATATTGTACAAGTCCGCGATGCTCTGCCAGCTATTTCTGATCTTCTCGAGGTGCTTCATCTTGGCTTCGCATTCTCGAAGGTATCTTTTTATAATTTGCACTTCTGGGTTTCTGTCCGTGAACTTGCACTCGAAATAGAGGTTGCCCTTTACGAGGGATGCGCGGAGGGCATAGATAATCTTGAGTTCCTTTATAATCTGCATACTTTCCTTATTTTTGAGCCTCTTTTCGATGTCGGCGAGTTCGATGAGTAGTGCTTCCCTTTCGTAGTCGGCCATGGTTGCTTGGAAAAATAAGTGGCGATAGTTGTGAATCAAATATAACACCAAAGTTTAAAAAGTGGTGTTGAAAAAATAATGAGTATTGACGAAAGAGTTGGATGGAAAATATGTGGGGAGGAGAAAATACATGGTTTAATTATAAAATATTTCCACAGCTCTCACAAGCACCTATTTTTCCTGCTTTGTGTGTGCGGAGTATCAGCTTGAGAACACCCCCCCCCCCCAAGCAAAAGCAAGCAAAACGAGGCAAGGAATATCAAAAGGAAAAGCAAAAAGCAAAAAGCAAAAGGCAAAAGGCAAGGGGGAAATAAATATTAAAAATAAATGGAGGCCAGGAAAAAAACAAATTTACTATATAAAATAAATTGTCAAGGTAAAAAAATAGCAAACGTGGACTCAATAATTAAATAGAATAATGTCCCCACCTTTTTATAATTTGTCTGGCCAAACGAATATCTGGGCGCTCAACACACTAAAAAGCATCAATTGAAAAGTATTACACACAAACTCAATATGCATTTTAAAATAGTTCAATAATGACAATAATACCACATACACACATGTATCGCTTTGGACCACATTGCACAGCTTTTTAAATCTCGAATAATTCTGTTTTTTGAGGCTCTTGCAGTTAACGTATCTATTTATAATAGTTAAAAAACAACCAGACGTGCTTTGACATATACTTAGCTACCTGAGGTAAACTAGTGCCGAGTGATACAAGGCAACGTGTCAAATATATTAATTAAAAAAGCTTAATTGAATCAATCGGTTTGCCAAATGGTACAGTCATTTTTTAATTACCACTGTAATGGCAATATACATACATACATATACACATGGGTGTATGAATATTAATATACAACCATTGATGGTCCTTAAAGCACCATAAAATAAACAAGAATTTGACTTGATAATAAAATGCATTTAATAGTTAGAACAGACAACATGAAAAAATAGAAAGATAGAAGAAAAAAGAATAATAGTTGTCCATCAAGGTCGTTAATCGTGAGTTACCGCCTTCAAAACCACAATCGCACCCCTCCACTTTCAATTGAGCTCGCAAAAGTCTGCAGCCCTCGCGAGAAATGATAAAGTAAAAAGTAAGAGAGCGAGTATGAAGAAATTTACTCAGTCAGCCATGACATAGTAGCCATAGCGCAACCAGTAGTGGTCAAACTCATAAAGCACGCGGTCCACAGACTTGTACCCGTCGACCACCTCGAACGCCGGAGGAGCGACATCCGCCTCAGCAACGGCATAACGCAGTGCCTTCCTATCCTTTCCAGCACCAGCAGCAGCACTAGCGGCATACCCGCCAGACAACTCATCTCCGCCACGAGCCTTAAACACGGTAACAGTGACATAGCGTGGACCAAACGCCTTAGTGACCTTCTCAACCAGGCTCTTGATCCCCTCAGGCTTGTGCAAATCAATTCCGCTGTTGTTCGAGATGTTGGTTTCGAAGCTCGCGTACGAGCAGTGCGGCTCTGGCGTCACATGGATGGTATAGTAGCCATCGTCCTGGACGCCGTTAAGCGAGAAACCGCAGGGCGTGAACAGGTATGAGTCGCTGGCAGACTCCGGGTAGATGGCCGAAATGCCCGATGCATGCTCGACAGCCTTGCCGCCGATGGCGCCCTCCTCGGAGCTGACGCCACCGAGGTACATGACGCGCATGCGCTCGGGGTCCAGTCCGGTCATCAGGATCTCCACAGTGGTGTCCTCAACAGCCAAGCTCGCGCGCGGCCCATGACCGCCAGCGGCGGCGGCAGCAGCAGCGGTGGTAGCATAGTCAGACGAGGCCAACATGCTATGCACGGTAGAGCGCGATGAGCTGCGGCTGATAGCGCAGAACAGTGGCGAGCCCTCGGCCGAGTTATTAACGGCGGTGTCCGTCTGATTCTCCCTCTCCCCCCCTTCTCTCTCCCCTCCTTCCCTCTCATCTACCTCTTCCTCCTCCTGCTCCCCGCCGATGCTGCGGTGTCCGTTAGCGAGAACGCACTCATGGGGCCCGCTCATGTACACGTGCCAGTGGTCGCGGTTGGTCTTGCCAATGAGGTACGCGGAGCCCTCGGGGAACCGGGCATCCAGGTACGTGACCTCCTTCTCCCATGAGCGGTGCAGCTCTTCTTGCTGGTCGGGGAACATAAAATTTTTGCGCGAGTAGAACAGCTGGTACGCTCCGGTGGCTCCAAGATACGCGCGAGCGATGTCAAGGATACGCGGGATGGCGTACAGCAGCGTTGTCGTGCCGCAGGTCTTGAGAACCAGCTTGTGCGAGTAAACAAAGAACGACGACTCGCTACCAAAAATAAAATATAAAATGGAATTAAAAAATTGGACACTTAATTGTTAGATCGTCATATGGCTTGATTACTGCATTATTACTGCATTTATTTATGTTGGGGAGGCACAGAAAGAGGCACAAAAAGCGGCGGGGCACGCAAAAGAAAGGAGAAAGAGGATAAAAAGGAGGGCAGGCGTGTTTTGAGGGAATGGCTGAAGCAGTAGAACAAAAATAATACCAGCCGGGCATCAGACAATGAAAAATAAAAAACAAAAATATAGAAAACAATGGTATACTACTCACCTCAAGAGATACGAATCGATGTGCTCATTGCACAAGGTGCTCAGCACCTGGCAGTGTACGAGGTCCAGCATATCGCGCCACACTGCGCGAGGCACGCACCTCAGGCCACTGCGCAACTCGGACCACTGATCCTGGTCCTCGTCGCTAAGCTTGACCTCCTGATTAATGCAGACTGCAGCCTCGGCTGTTGGCGCAAACCACATTTCCAGGAGCTTTTCGGGCCCCTCAAAGGCACCCGTGTACCCCTCGCTGTGCGTCCCGTTGGAGCTGCAGGTCTTGGTACATAACTGATTGCTTTCGGCCTGGTGATTATTATCGGTGACGCCCACGGCGTTCTGGGCGCCACCGACCTTCAGCGAAGACGAAAGCTGGGTGGTCATTTGGTATATCAGTCACACAAAAAAAAGGAGTTTGAAGAGCAGATAAGCTTGCTTTATAGTTCACTCTACCGTCGTCAAAAATGACTTTTGGTGAGAGAGAGGTTTATTGTTATGAGAAAGAAGAAAGAGAGGAGGGCCGAAAAACAACTATGCCAGCCGCTGAGTTGGTTGCAAGTAAAAAATGAGGAAGAAAATTCCGCTACTTTTTAAACAAGTATTAAAAAAAGGAGATGAGAAGAAAGAACCAAAAGGGGGAAGGGAGAGCGGGCAAAGTAATATGAGGGGCAGGGCATGGCCATTTTATTTTACACTGCAAGCATGTTTTTTTCTATCTTCTCTTTTCATCTTTTTCTCAGGCTTGCCATTATTTTTTTTTTTTTTTACCAGCCGAAAAAAGAAAGAATGGATGTACGGAAATGGCTCTGCACTTCTTATCTTTCTGGAAAAGACAATGGGTCAATTTTTTATTTTCATTTTTTGGGATGTCCATAAGGACAGTACAAGAGGAAAAATTACGCATCGCTCGGGATTGCATTCGAGTGCCAAGTTGATTAAAATGGCAGCAAGAGAGAAAACATTCTAATATTTACGCGTTTTGGTACGGGTTTTTTCTTTTTACATATAATTTATATTTCGTTGCAGTATAAAATCTGATTATCGTGCGTTGCATAGCCAAACGATAGAGTGAAAGGACAAGGAGCTCCTTGATTCCTGCGTGCGTGCGTGCGTTTGCCGACGCCGCTGCCAACATCACAGCGCGCGAGTGTATATGATTGTCGCCAATCGCTGCAACAGCTGCCACACACCACGACAAGACAAGAGAAATCTCGATTTCAAAAATAATCATTACAAAAAATAATCACTACAAAAAATAATCGCTACAAAACAAAATCACCTATTGTCTCAACATTGGGCTATATTCCCGAGTCCCGTGTCCCGTGTCCGAATGAAAAACGAGACAAGGAAAAAAATATTGGGGCGATAAATTTTTTAGACGCTGTTGTCATGTGATTGACCAATTAGGAAACAGGATCACTATTAGGGATTTATCAACCTTTTTCTTTCTTGAAGTATCCTAACCAACACGATTTCACTACTTCGAGTGCAATACTCCATATTTGTATTATTGAGCAAACGCTCGTATAGTTTGGTTGGTATTAAAAAATAAACCGAGAAAATTAAAATAATGAAAAATGGAAGAATCATGCGCTGGATTGGGTGTCATGTCATTTATCCTTTCGAGATCTATAGATAGCACAATTAATAGTAATTTTAAACTGCGCTTCTAGTATGTAATAGTTTAGTTTAGAAAATGTAGCTGTAAAATAACTATATTAACAAATAGTTAGCAACACTAGTTTAACTATTAGAACAATGTACTATTCAAAATTTTAAAAATGCAAATGCAAAGCACTTGACTGGTGTTGAAAATAGTTGGCTTATAATTGTATTTCTTAATTGTTTCACAGCTCGTTCAAAAAGTCAGTATTCACAACTATACCATTTATTTATAACTCCAGATAAATCATAAAACGAGGTGTGACACTTCAAGGAATTTGGAGCCGATGCTCAAGAACAAGACCAAGGCCGCTATCGAGTCCAACTTTAAGTCCGAGTATTGGAACCACGATATTGCATCGGTGTGCAATTTCATTTTGATATTCCTATATCGTCGCGAATTTGGTGAGCGCCACCTAGCTTTCAAACGCCCTGGTAGACTGCCAATTGATCCGAATGCCACACCCAAGCGCAAAAAAATAATATTTTATCATTTTCTTCACATCAAGGCAGCTATTACTGCCTGACAGCTCAATACCCACTGGTTTTACCCAGCGAATACTAAATGAATGGACGGTTGCGTCTGGAGTTTGCACCAGTGCATCCATCATCAGGGCAATTGCAAAACGGGCCACGCTGGTATCCGCGCGTCTTTTGATGCAAAGCCAGCAGATTAGTATGCTATTATAAGACTAGCGCTGGCTGCAGATGTGGCGGAACATGTCCTTTTCGCCACATAAACCGCAGGCAACTGTGCGCGGGGGTAGTCCAGCACTACGTCACAGATTTTGGGAAAATAAAATGAATTGCAATGCCAGTCAAGTAGCCTGGCAAGATCATCAATTGGTTTCCCAGCGGCAGCTGTTCAAACTATCGCAAAACCGCACCGTGCCATTTTTCGCGTCTGCAATTCAACCGCCGAACAAACGCCCAATCAACTTCCTCCGCATACACAGTGGCAGAATCAGAAGTGTGTCAACATACTTTGTCTGCCATATTGAAAATTTTATGAATTGAAGAGGTCAAGTGCACGTAGCCTTCAACATGGCTGACAACTGCCCCTGTGCTGAGTCGAGCACCCATTTAAGCAAGAAATGCATTAAAAGTTAACTAATTCGACTGGATTTCTGCTCTGCTTTGGCTGTCAAAAAGAATTTTGAACAGCGCACGGGTGCTTTAAAAAAGAATGTTTTGGTCCATGACATGTAGAAATAAAATTGAATTGGAAATTCAAATGTAAATTTTGAACGCTGCCTTTTCTGCAGAAGCGCTTTGCATTTCGAATTTTTGATTATCCATATCTAATTTATGCTCAACACTAACCCTAAACGCTAAGCGCTCCTATTAGAAGGAAGCGTTTGAATTTAGCTTATTTTATCTCTTAATTAGGGGGTGTGCTTGATCATATCTGCAGGGTTTTTAAATACCCCCGAAGGTATGGCCAAGCACGCAAGTAGGACTCTTCGAAGTCGCACTTGCAGCAACAACGTTTTAATTTTCCAGGCGTGCAAACTAGGGGATTGTTATTACCCCCGCATCACCTTAATGTTCGCATGTTTAATTTATTAATATACCATCTCTTCCCCTCTCCTTCCTCATGTTTCTTAAGGCAGGACTATTTTCCTACCCATTTCCCTTTTCTTCCGACCACCCACTATTTGTATTACCCCCGTGGGTGGGTTCTTGTAGGTGACGACCTAAGTTGGTACCGATGCTAACATGAACGAATCGCTAACGACTTGAAACTTGACTTGAAACCGACGAAGTGAATTTTTTGGGAGGAAGGCAGAAAGGAGGAGGACTTGTGGAAACAAGAGGAAAAAAGTTTGAAAATGTCGGGAGCAGCACCATAACCTTTTATACAATTTCGAAACCACGTTTTTCTTCTTCCTCAAGGAATAGCACACCAAAACACCGCGCAGCATCCCATCTGTCAAAAAATCTTTTTGCGCCTGCTTGAGCCGGAAAATGTGCAAATTTTAGATTTCTATGCTGGAAAACCATAGCATTTAGCACAAAATTTCCCCTACTTGACGTTATCGTGAATGGAACAATGGGCGTACCCAGGTATCTGTTTAAAATCACTGTGCTAAGTGTGGATAACCGGATGTTGCTTTACAATTTTATTTGAAAATAATATAAACAAACATACGTGTCCAATTGCTTCCATACCATGCGGCTAAAAAAGTAAAAACAAACAAAAAATTGATGTGTAAAAAACTACCCAGACGCATGACATGCATTGGGTATTTTGTTACAGAATGTACAGTTTTCATTCAACCGGTTGTTGAATGTCATTTTTTTGCATTTCCACAAATAAACAAACACTGCATGTAACAAGCCACATTGATTGCATTATTAATTTCAAGCATGATTGTTTATTTTCTTCGTCTTGCCTTGCCCTACCTTACCATGTATCCAAAACCAGCTCCCTGTATCCATTTGTAATTATAATAATAATGGCCAGTTTGTGCTCTTCCCATTTTGCTGGCCGCTTTACTTTTTTCCTTTCAAAACGCCTTTTTTTTCAAGAATTATCTATTTGAAAATACGTGTCTGTTTGTTGGTTGTGCATGTAAATAATTAACGTAATTTTTCTTTGGCAGTGGCTTAGAATGAGAGCCAAATAAATACGGGAATTCTCAATGCTAAGGCGTTAAAAATATTTAGCTAATAATGTATGCACGAATCTTGTGTTTGACTAGAAACACACAAGCAGCAGCATAGTAATCCTTGAGAACGAATCTAGCGCAGCTAATGCTTTTGAATATTTACAAAAAAGCATGACCGACTACTACTTTTGGCAGAAAACTAAAAATAAATTGGATATTTCTTTATGGGTACACAAAAAACCAAAGTAAATAAACGTTTGTTAAAAAGCGTTAGCAGAAATTGTATTCTTTCGTTTTATTTTCAATGTCTCTCAAGTGCCAAGATAAGTGCAGAAATATGATAATTTATATTATGCTTGGCAAGAGAGGTTGGTAAAAGTAATGAAGAGAGCGTACACATTGCTTTTACGTGAAGTACCACATGAATTGAAGTTAATACACTGCCACAACAACAACCACGCAAATTGATAGCGTTAAATTGTTAAAACTATAAAAAGGAGAGGATGCTGTTCACCATTTATTTTTATTTTATTCTTCTTTAATTTTTACTTTCAATTCCACTGCTTTTTTATTTGCCTTATCTGTTCAACGTGCATTATAATACGTCAGTTATTTATTGTAAGCTATATGGCTATGCATAAACTCGGCTTTAAGAATATTAAAACAGGGAGTCATCAAGGATTAACAGACATTATAATAAAATTTGAAGCATATGGAAAAGTCAAATCTATGGATTTTAAAATAGATAACACCAAGTCAATAAAATACCTGAAAATCTATTTAATTAACAATTTTGAACTCGATATACATCAACCTAACAGTAAAAGAATTAATAAAAATATTAAATTGGAAAGTGTTTATTTGTCTAAAGCTTCCATTAAAGATAACCATGTTATTCCATATCCTGATAAAGCAATAATAAAAAACTACACCCCGAAACTTGCCCGTTTACGCTATACATGTTGGTACAACCAGAAATAATCAATATGAATCCTGTGAACAATAACGATATTTTATCCAATAAGTCCAAATTATTCTATTTTGATGTATATTATTATAACTTTGATTATCCTCCAGAAGTCGTCAAAGGATGCAGTACAATTAGCACTAAACTTGGTGATATATTTAAAAGCAACAAAGCAGAGGGTAATAGCAAAAAAGATGTGTACTATTCACCATTTAAACCCGTAATGACAAAATGCATTGTGTACAATGAGAAGTGTACTATAGAAATGTTTTCAGAAATTGTAACAGACAAGCTAGAATTGCATATTTTCCCCAAGATTGACCTGAAGGGTTGTAAATATAAGAGCACTTAATGTTTGCATTGTTTTTTTGGTTTATTCATACATATACATTGTTCATTAAAGTTGTAAAAAAGGAAAAGGAAAAGGAAAAGGAAAAGGGAAATGTTTTATTTGACACCTGAGTTAATTCCCCGCTACAAAATTCGCAGAAGCCAGCGTCGCGCACAAGTCTTCAATCTCCGTGCCAGGCGGGATCAGACTATGGCGAACAATAGCCTGGCGACACTCCAGTACAGATACATCCTCTTTCCCACACGAGAAGCAGACAGGCAGCGAGTAGGAAGGTAATTGTCTCCCAGCCAAACTCTCCATCGCAGTCGCCTGCAACTGCAACCGCAATATCGAGCTTTCATCTTCCAAGCCCAACCCGGATGATGTCTGTATGAGCTGATCATTTGGGGAGCTCTCATACAGGGGTAGTTCAGATCCACCACTGATGGCTGATTTGGGCAACACAGAAAATTGCGCCGGAATAGTCACCTCTGCCGTATGTCCCTCCGGCGCCCGCACTGAAGCCGTCAGAACCAGCCTATGCGAAACCAAATACTCCACACACTCACACTCAAACTGCACGCCGTCATTTACTCGAGGGATCGACAGCCGAACGTAAAACTCATCTTGACCACAAAGTTTGGCCCCCACAGACCCGTAGGACATTAGTTTTTGGGAGACTATGCGGGTCACCCTGTGGACACGACTGCTGGTGTGCGCTGTGTTATCAAAGATGGTTTGGGTTTCGCGCAGTTGCAAAGTGAGCGCCATTAGGTGGTGGTTTTTGGCATTTGCAGTGATTTCGACTAGGAAGGTTGCAGTGGTGGCGTCGTTGATGGCAGATTGATCAAAACTCAATGTGACGGAAACGCGGTCCTCCCACTGTGTCCCGACACTCAGGGAATCAAACACAGTGTGTGCCCAGTGTCCGCCGTCCCGGGGACACCTCAAAATAACCACCGGTTGCTGGACAGTGCTGCTGGAGCGCAGTCCGGTTAAAACCAATTGTGCATCCATAGTGTATTTAGTCTCGCCCGTAATAAGATCAGCAGTAGCTGGCAAATCGCCAGAAACAATAAATTCAAAGTGCAGTTCGTGCGTGCCTGCTGCGTACTGCGTGTACTTAGCCTGCGGCTCAATGAGGTTTTGTGTTTCAGATACAGCCAAGCGGTTGCGCTCGATCATCAGCGGGTTAAGGTTTGTATTCTGGGTAGATTTGGGCGTGGGTGTGGGGTATTTGAGCTTTTGCTGGCCTTGGAATGTGATGTTGAGGGAGCGGATCTTGGTGGGAACGCGCAGGCTCATGAGAACTTTGCCGGTCAACGTGCATCCCGAGGAGGATGCACGTTCGCCGTATAGGTGCACTTCGGGAGTGTCGAGCAGTATGGAGATCGTAGCAGGCTTCATTTTTGATAAAGATAAATAAGAGAAAAATAGGCCTGAAAAATATGGACAAAAATATGAACAGAAATAATTTGAATAAAGAGGCAATATTTGGTTGGCGTTGATTGGAGAATGGAAAAGAGAGAGAGAAGAGGGTGCGGCTTTTTTATTTTTATAAAATGTAAAAAAAAATTATTTGTCTGTATTTTTATTGGGTCTACCATAGGAACATCTGAGGTGTAGCCAACGGAAAAAAGGAACAAAAAATTTGTCATTTTAGGAAATTCGAAAAAAAGGGATTTTATGCAGGAAACCTGTTTAGTTAAATTCAACAAGGAAAATGTGAAGCGTAAAATGTGGAGAGAAATAAAAATATGCAGGACCACGGGATTCACTTTCAACAACAAATAATAAAGTGTCGTTGTGGATTATCTTAAAAGATTTAATGTCATTGAGAAAGAGAGCTTGTGTGTTTGTAGGGGTAAAATGCTAAAATATAGACAATAATCAGACCGGTCTAGAATTACTGTAATGTCTCCAAGAAAAATAGGAAGAGCCCGCTGCATGAGAAAAAATAAATACATTGTGCGAGATAACCAAACAAGTAAATGCCAAATACTCGATTTAATGAGCGTAACCCAATTGGTGACCAAGCCATCCGATTCATAGTGGGATTTATTGCAGACCTGGTTACATACTCCTCTTATCACAAATTATTCTAGGGGCAGCATGGTCGAGAGTTATCCGGACCTGTGTCTAATGCAATGATAGGCATTTGAAAGTTTTATTGAGTTAAAGACAACAGAGCAGTACCAATTGTAAACTTGAGTATGGATAGGTGTTTTATGGTGTTTTTAAGTTCTGCAAGTCAGATACTTGCCAAATGATTATTGAGCAAGGATAAAACGATATTCAATTTGTTTTGAATAGAGCCATTTGAGGATGCCCGCCATATAATAATAAAATAGATACTTTATAACATAATGATACCCGCCGTATGCGTGCATTCAAAAACCGCCACCATAAGTGTGGTGATAGCGAGTAAGCTGCGGACTTGAGTATAATCGCTAAACCCATCATTTTTATAATGGCCAGTTACAATCACAACACACAAAACACAGTTATTATCCGTTATCCACAAATTCGTTTTTTAAAACATGCCATTGATTGCACGGCAGCTTTGGCAGCAACATAATTGCCACTTTATCCAACAAAAGACGCGGTCATTCACCGTCACATCATCGCAGCGGCTCAAGGTTCTTTTTTTCGGCACAGATGAGTTTGGAGCCAAGATTCTCAAAGCGCTTGCGGAAAACAAGCGCAACCCAAATCCTCTGATCACCGAGCTCGCAGTGGTCTGCCCGGCGACACAGTACTACAGCAAGCTGCGTGCGAACAAGCCTCGGGTAATGTTCCAAGCGCACACGGATATTCTCGCGTACAGATACAAGCTTCCAGTGATGAACCCGCCAGAAGGCAAGTCGCTCACCGGGTGGGCGCCCAACGGCATTGACGGGAAGCCTTTGTTGGGCTTTGGCAACGAGTTTGATATTGGCGTGGTGGCTAGCTTTGGGATGTTTCTGCCGCCGAGGATTATCAACATGTTCCCCAAGGGCATGATCAACGTGCATCCGTCGCTGCTGCCACAGTATCGCGGGCCATCGCCGATACAGGCGGCTCTGCTGAACGGTGATACACGCACGGGGGTGACAATCCAGGAGGTGCACCCGCAGGTGATGGACGGCGGCCGCGTGCTCGCCCAGCTGCCATACGAGATCGACCCGCGCGACAAATACATCGACATGGCGCACGCCATTGGCCGCCTCAGTGGCAGCCTGACCATCCAGGTGCTGGAGAACCTCGACTTTGTGCGCCGCCACGCCGTCGACCAGGACGCCAGCCTTGCGACACAAACAAAGCTGTACAAGAAAGCCGACGCGCAGATCATCTGGGAGCAGATGACTGCCACGGACATCATGCGCATGCACCGCGCGTTCTACCAGAAGGAGCCGGTGCACACTTTCTTGCGCATCAAGAATAAGATCCACCACGTGCAGTTTATGGAGCTGGTGGAGCCAAAGAGGGACCCGCTGAGCGACGACTTTGCCGCGAGTGACCCGGGCACGGCGTTCTTCATGAAGAAGGTGCCGTATGTTGAGATCAAGTGCATTGATGGGAGTAGGATCCATGTGACGCGCTTTAAGGTTGCTGGCAAGGCAGAGCGGGACGCCTTCCAGTTTGCTGCCGGTTACCATGACCGCCGCAAGGGCATGCGGCTGCTCAGCCGGGCGGCGGATGTGAAGCGGCCAACGCCGCCGTTTGTGTACCCGCCAGGGTACGAGAGACCCGCTGCGCCAGGGCCGGCTAGCGATGGTGCTGCGCCAGAGCCGGCTAGTGATGGTGCTGCGCCAGAGCCGGCTAGTGATGGTGCTGCGTCGGATGTGGAGACGCTAGTTGATCTGGCCAGTGACAGCGAGGGCCGCGGCGGCAGCAATGGCGATGGCGACAATTCAAAGTAAACTCGGAGCTTTAGACTTATTTACACAGCCCAAAAAGCTAATTGAATCAAAAATCAACAGATCAAAAGTCTTGGCATTTAGTTCTCCAGCCAAGCATGGCATTTCCACTCACACATGACATATTGACGGCGCGACCAAAAAATAAAAGCCGCGCATTTACTCTTTTTCTTGGGCCCAGAGCCTATGCAAACGCAAGCAACCCCCTCCGCCCCCGCGTCGTCAGCATCCCTCCCTTTCTTTTCTTAGGCTGTCTTCAAGTTAGTGTATTTTATTTATATATTATTTCTTTCTAATTCATTTTTAAATGGGATTCAAATTCGGGCGAGGCCTTCCCGGCGCATCAAAGCAGCACGGGCGGTTGGTCCGGCGCTCGCTTCTCGCATGCACAGCGCTGGCCGCAGGCTACGCGTATGACCGGCAGGTGCAGGCATCCTCGATCTCGCGCACGCTACGCACATTCTGCGACATGGCCATAATCTGCCTTGACTACAAGCTGAACTTTCTGCCGGAGCGCGGGCCCGCACACCTGGACAGGATCCACCGGCGCGCGGCGCGGCGGCTACTGCTGTGCTGCAAGGAAAATGGCGGGCTGTTCATCAAGTTTGGGCAGTCGATCGCCGTGCAGAGCTCGCTGCTGCCGCCGCCTTTCCGCGAGGAGCTCAACGAGCTGTACGACAATGCGCCGTCGGTGGGCGTGCGAGAGATCGCCCCGGTAGTGGAGCGAAGCTTCGGGCGGCCGCTGGAGGACGTTTTCATGGACTTTTCGGAGGTGGCCGTGGCATCGGCTTCGGTGGCACAGGTGCACACGGCGCGGCTACGCGCGGACCCGGCGGCCGGGCTGGTGGCTGTGAAGGTGCAGAAACCCGAGATCAAGCTGCAGATTGACTGGGACCTGTTTACGTTCCGCGCGTGCGCGTGGCTGATCGAGCGCGCGTTCGGAGTGCCGATTATGTGGTCGGTGCGCGAGGTTGAGCAGCGGCTGCGCGAAGAGCTGGACTTTGAGCGCGAGGCGAACAACAGCGAGCTGGCGCGCGGCGATCTGCAGCGGCTGGCGGACCGGCAGCTGCGGCGCGCCGTGTACGTGCCACGGGTGTTCTGGGCGGCAACGCGGCGCGAGGTGCTGACCACCGAGTGGGTCGATGGCACCAGCCTGGTCGACCCCGCGCGGCTGCAGGCCGAGGGCTGGGCGGCGCGCGACGTGATGCAGCGCATGGTGGCACTGTTTGCCTTCCAGATCTTTGTCTCCGGCAACGTCCACGGCGACCCGCACCCGGGCAACATCCTGGTGCGCCAGAATCCACACAACCACCTTTGGCGCGAGCCGCAGCTTGTGCTGCTGGACCACGGCCTGTATGTGCGCGAGTCGCCGGAGTTCCGCCGCCAGTACGCGCAGTTCTGGCGCGCGGCTTTGGTGGCGGACCGCGCCGAGATGACGCGGATCGCGGCCGCCTGGGGGATGGCCGACGCTGCAATGTTCTCGGCGATGGTGTCGCTGCGGCCGACGGCGCAGCTGCCGCGCGACGATGGCCCGGCGGCGTGGGCAGATGGCGGCCCGGACGGCGGCTCTGGCGGGGCGTACGAGCGGCAGATGGAGGTCAAGCGGCGGGCGATCAAGGCGCTCAAGGAGACCAGCGGGCTGCCGCCCGAGCTTGTCTTCGTCGTGCGCAACTCCAACATTGTGCGCGCAAACAATCAGAGCCTGGGCATCCCCGTCGACCGCATCCAAATCCTCGGCCAGTACGCGGCCCTGGGCCTGCGCCGCCAGCTGGTCGACGATGCGCTGGCGCCCAGCAGAAAGTACGACCGCGCAAGGGGCGTTGTTTGGGAGCGTGCGGCGCTGGCCAGCCGCGCGCTGGGCGTACTGCGCGCCGAGTGGAGCTACATCACCTTCCGCCTGGCGCTGTGCGTGGCCGGCGTCGGCGTCGCCGTGTGGGGCGCGTGCGGCCGCGCGTATGCGCTGGTGACTGGAAAGAAGTGGGGCCGCGATTTGGACGTCGTCCTGGACGATGCTATGCGCAGGGCCGTCGAGAGGAAGCTCGGTTATCGCATTGACACAAGTCTGTTCAACGCGTGAAATTGGGGTTGCGAGGATAGAGGGGAAGCGGGGTTGGCAGACACGCTGTTATCACTTTTTGACTCCGCTTTATTTTTTTTACTTTTGTTGCTGCTCTCACGATAGATAGTTTTGTAGCACTTTTTTGTACACACTTTATATTTTTTTATTTTTCATTTCTTCATTTTTGCTTTGTGATGCTCGTGTCTGTCGACCAGATTATAGCCGATACCATCGGCAAGGCCAGCACCGATCTGCGCGCGCTCTCCCTGGCCATCCACGATCACCCGGAGACGGCGCTCAAGGAGGCAAAGGCAAGTAAAGCCATCTGCGACTATCTCGCTCAACGCGGATTCCAAATCACTCGGCAAGCAGGCAGTCTCCCCACCGCATTTGTCTCCACCTATACGTCGCCCAAAGGCGCGCATAGCGGGCTGTGCATTGGGTTCTGCGCCGAGCTCGATGCGCTTCCAGGGATCGGCCACGGCTGCGGGCACAATCTCATTGCAATCTCGGGCGTCGCCATGTTCCTGGCACTGGCCGCGGTCATGGAGGCCTGCGGGCTCCCGGGCACGGTCAAACTGTACGGGACGCCGGCAGAGGAATCCATCGGCGGGAAAATAATCATGCTGAAGGAGGGTCTTTTTCAGGGCTGCGACCTGCTGATGATGCTGCATCCGGCCTCTGGATACACTGGCCAATGGCATTCGCAGTGCTGCGTCTCGGTCACTGTTGAGTATTTCGGCAAGGCGTCGCATGCGGCGATGGCGCCCTGGGACGGCATTAATGCGGGGTCGGCGGCCACCATTGCACTGCAGAGTATGGGTGTTTTGCGCGAGCAATTGCGCCCGGACTGGCGCACGCACGGGATTATTACGCACGGAGGCCAGGCTGCAAACGTTATTCCGGCGTACTCTCGCATCGAGTATACGTACCGCACGGGGTGGGAGGAGGACATTGAGGTGTTGCGCGAGCGCGTACACAACGTGTTTGCCTCGGCGGCGCTAGCCACCGGGTGCACGCATAAGATCACAGAGGAGTTTGCGTATTTGGACAACCTGGACAATCCTGTGCTTGGCCGCTTGTACGAGGATCTGATGCAGGAGGAGTATCGTGTGCCGCCGGTTAAGGGTGATGAGCTTGGGGGGTCGACTGATTTTGGCAATTTGTCCAAGGAGTTTATCAGCCTACACGGGATGTTTGACTTGGATGGGAGCGGTGTACCGAACCATACTTTGGAGTTTGCAGCGCGCGCGAGGTCGGAGATTGCCCATGAGAGGGTGCTGTTTGCTGCGAAGAGCTGCGCCAAGGTGGCTGCCAAGTGCCTGGTTGACGCTGAGTTTTGGTCAAAAGTCAAAAAGGCCAAACGGGCGACTAGAAGCCAAATGAATCATAATTAGTATTGTTTTCTGCTTTCCCGTAGTTTCTCAACTTGCTCCCAGTACCTGTCTTCCTTGGTGGCGTCGGACGCGGATACTTTGAGTCCAGGGAACACTTGAGTCAGGTCCAATATTGCTTCGGCCACGCGCCGGCATGGCGTATACGGGTTGAAAGCTATTTTCCAAATATGCAATTCAGAGGTGCCACCAAACCACGTGTATTTCTTATCCACATGCTGCTGCATTGAAGGCTGTTTGTTATCCTGTTCACTACTATCCAATATATCGATCTTGTTGCTTAGCTGGCATTTGATTATCTGCAGCGACGGGATTTTCCCCGCCACATCAATGATCTGGCAAACAGTCAGTTCGGACTTTGGTAAGTTCAGCACCTGCAATCCCAACAGCAATGGCCCATGCTCCCCCGAGGAAGACATAAGGGTGAGGAAGGGAGTACAGAGAGTAAACTGCATGTTACATTGATGTTATCCAAATCCACCACCGTAAGCTGCCTTACAGACTTGGCACCCACTATTCTGCGCCCGCTGCTCCCCCAGCCACACCTAGAATAAACCTCGTTAGTCTCTGCACCTTATTGTAATCATCAATGGGTGTGGGCGACGGACAGATAAATTTTACACTGGCTAAGCTGGAGAACAATTTATGGTGATGAGAAAATGTCTGAGATTCCTCAAGTGCTTGAATGGTTTCGTCATCGAGGTACATTGTCAAGTGTTGGAGTGTCCGATGAGTATTGCGCAGCAATATGTCGGAGGGAAAGGAGTGAATGCCGCCGGCCAGAAGGAGCCGCTGGACGTGGGGGAATGGCCCTGGGTGTTGTGGGCAAGGGTGTATTTGGTTGCTTAGATAATCACTGTCGTTGAATTGCAAAGTGACAGATTTCACTGACGGGTAGTTTACATAAATACCATCGCCCATGTATATGTCCATATCCGTGTCCATTTCCGTGTTGCTGAGGAGTTTGGCTAAATCATCTGTGATAAATCCTTTTATTTTAATTTCTCGCAGTGACTGGCTATTCGACCGCAAAAGTCTATAGAACGAATCTGCGTTAATGTCACGTTGAAAGTGGATACTCGATAGGTTGTTTTTTGAAATAAAGTCGATTCCAAGATCATAACCGTATGCCACCGAGAAGGAAAAAACGGAGGATGCGGAGTATCGTATTTGCCTGGTCTTGCGTCTGTACAGTTTAGAGGCCATAAGACCAAATACCCAGTCTGCCTCAATGTTTTATTTAAATGTGTATTGGGTTGGTGAATATGGATGTTGAATCCGGCCGTGGTTGAGTTGGGCGAGAGTTGGTGGACAGCTTGCATAAATTTATCCGCATTAAGTAGTGCCTCCTGCAACGAAACCCCCGATACTGTGTTTAAATATGGGGTTTTGCCGGTGACTGTTACTTCCAGCCGCCTGGTTTTGAAAAACCCCTCCGGAATGACCATCAGATGCTTCTTCAGGGCACTTGCCACAGCTCCCTGACAAATCCCAGCATAATCCGCGTTGACTCTGATATATCGAACAAACCGCTGTGCCAACCACAGTGGGAATTCCTGCCGTGGATATGCCCAATTATCATAATCCAAGGTTAATTGTTGTCCGGGGACCACCTGTATGATAATTGTGATGGTGCCGAGTATATGCGATAGGGCGGCTGTGCGCCAGCGCTGGGATGATGATAAGAGTTGGTGAGTGGTGGAGAGTTGGTGGTTTGGTTTGGTGTAGGTTTGCAAAGTTTGCGCTTGTCTGGTAGGGTGGTGATGGAAGTAGCTGGTGATTGTACGGATTATGTGCTCGGGAAGTGTTTGGAATGGAGATAACATGTATGAATAATTGAAATTAAAAATGTAAAAAGTAAAAGTGAAAGTGAAAAATTATTGTATAGACAGTATATTACTGGATAGTCCCCCCTCCCTCATGCACTGGTTTTCTTCACCTTTTAAACTGGGTAGGATGTCGCTTGGTTTGTTTCTTTTAACAAATATTTTTCTTCGTTCATTTAATAAAAAAAATTGTTTTGTATAAAGACCACAGTCCTTTTTATAATCACTTTTTTTCTGAATGGGCAAGAGGTCGTATTGACAGGACACTTTTTTCATTTATTGAGGTTTTTTCCATTATTTATATTTTGCAGCTCTGGAATGTTAACCAAATGTAATTTTTTTTCCATTTTTAAGTCTTGTAAATTTTAACTCATTCCCACAATGTAATCAATTTTAGAACTATAAATGTATTAGACAAAGTTTTCCCTCTAGATTCTATAATTTCAAAAACATATACATTATTCCTACTATATATAATATTCTATATCAACTCTTATCTCACAGAAATATTTGATTGCGTTATTATGACCAGACATCCATCATACGCCCTGCGCAAAATAATCCCACCACCGTCGTCCGAAACCCCCATCTGGAAACCAGGCCCCCCAACAGCGCTCCACAGGTTAATTTGTCTAATTACAAGCCACCCCGTAGTTCTCTTTGCCCGCCGAAATGACTGCGCACACAGCCAACAAATCCAACGACTTCTTCAATCCACTTCTTCCACTTCCCACTCCACCACCGTGCATCCCTACAGACTCGTATACCTGGATGACATCCCATTAGGCGACATGATTCAACGCAGACTGCAGGATTTGACAGGACAATGGACTGTGCCGCATTTATTATCAAGGGACAGAGTGTCGGCGGGCTGGAGGCGACCAGGGAGGCGCTGAGGGTAGGCATGGTGGATGAGTTGGTGATGGGTGAGTGGATCGATATGGTTTATTCTATCAGGCCGGATGCTCTGGTTAGAAATGCGAGGATAAAGGAGAAATCACCATTGTCATTTGCTATGGGTGTGCAGGATTCACATAGGTTTAGTTATGTGCATAGGGAGAGGTGGGCCAAGGTTAAGCGGTATTGGGGGAAACACCCAGAGATTGAGGAGTTCCCTGTGGTACATCGCTCTCGCCACCAAAAGAAACCATAAAATTTTTTTTTCTACATATTTGTAAACATTATAATTCTACGAGAGGGGCCCAGGAGCGGGCGACTGACAATGATAGGTGGAATATGCAGAGAAGCGATGAGCTTGGAAATATTCGACACGGAGGTCTGCACCTGCTCCACTGAAATCGTAGTGGCCCTCGACCTGCTAGCCTGCGATTCGTCCTCAGAATTTACTGACGCCCACATGGCATATTTTGGTTCTACAATTTCAGCAAGGAGCAAAGATGTGTTCTTGTGTTTGAATTCGCTTTTGCTTTTGACGCCATCAATGTCAACGTTGACCAAGGTTTGGGCGCTGATCTTGCGCAGACAATCTGTATCCGGCTCGGCAGAACCAAGCGAGTAGATAATTCCCAGGCTAGATATTGTGCCAGGATTATCTGGTAATGGTGTTGGCGACTGTAGCTGGATTTTACAATGGATAGGTAGAATATCTTGCAGGATATCCGCATTGCCAATTTGACCGTCACACGGTGTGACAGGTTCACCCACGTAGTGTTCAATTTTTGGAATCATATCGACAGCTTGCTCTGCAATATTGGCACTTCCAAGCTGTGCAATGAGCTCACTGATATAATGTTTGATATTCAGCACCCGCAAATTCTCTGATTCACGATCCACTCTGTCCAATGCGCCTTCATCGGCCATATCCTCAGCTGCTCTAGTATCTATGCATTGCGCACTCAAATATGGATCCGATGGATTGTCTGCCAACAGGTCATATTCGAATCCAAATAACTCAACACCAATGCTCTCGTTTGAAATGAGTGCAGGTAACTCCTGTGGAATACTGGGCAGCAGAATGTCAGGTACTGGCAGGCAATTGTAGTTGTGGCTGTGTAAAACGGGCACTGATAATATTGTCTGTAAAGCATATTTTTGCTCGCTGTTCTCCTTGTTTTCTACCATGTTGGGGCCATATTCCATTTCGCATAATGTCGGGTGCACAAACTACATTGTTGTAAATAGAAAAATCCAATCAAAAAACAAAATATTGAGCGATGTTAAATAAATAATCTCTCGCCACCCTCTTCTGTTAATTGTAAACATTATTATCAAATAACAAAAGCAACAATGCAATATAAGTGCAAAAATAACATAAAAACATGTCGCAGTTTTTTTCCCCTATTGTTCTCATCTATTTTCAGTTATCACCTTTTCTTCAATAATCAATAAAATTCAAAAATACTTACTTCATCGTGGTGGCGCTCCTTAAGCTCATTCTCCCATGTGTGCGCTGAAAGTGGCATCGACTCACACCTGGATTTGGCAAAAATAGATGAGGTACGTCGTGACAGGCGTTTCACAGAAGAAGATAACCCACCAAGAATGCTCCTAGTTGACCTCAAAGACACTGACCGTCCCTGCTCTGTCTGCAAACCAAGTGTTGGTATGTGTTTTGATGGTGCAGTTGCTGCACCGATGTCCAGGGTATCGTTAGCTTTAAACCCAAGAAATCCATGGCTGCTACTTTTGGCTCGGAATAGTTTTCTGATGGACGAGCGTTTGCAAGGCCCGGGGGCTGTATTGGTTGTGTTGTGCATCACGTGTAGGTGTGATATTGTATTTGGGCGTTATTTAATATAAAAATGGTAATTTTGCAGTGGTTATAATTAGAAGCAAAAAATATAGTAATAGAAATAAGAAAAGGAGTTAAAGACAGCTTATAAAAATACAGAGCGTTAAAAAGGCATGGAAAAATGTTACTTTACTAGTGCGAACTAGGAAAAATAAAAATAGAAGAAAAATAAAAGGGGATAAAACAATAAAATTATAAAGACAATCTGCACATTTTACTCATACAATGTGTGGCCACACAATCAAGGTCATGCCACTCGCAATTTAAAAATGTACGCACATGCAGTTCATCGCGCCTTTACCAAAAAAAAATGAATATGCAAAACATTTTCCAAGCTATTGAATATGAAATATTTTACATGTTCAACTAACCTTTACCAAAATTATACTAAGTGCACAGCTTACAGACAGGGATGTACAAGCACTAAAGTTATTTATTTATAAAATATGTCACAGTTTAGGCACATGTATTGCATATTGCCTTACTGAGATTAATTGATTACGCGTGTGGCAATTAAGAAATGATAAGTTTTTATTAGTTTATTTATGTGCCAAGGAGAATATATAAAAGATATGGCTATCGGGCAGCCAGGAATTGTTCTCCAGAAGAAATAAATATCCTTTTTGATTTATACCCCTTTGTAAAAAATATTGCACATCTAATTTGTAATAAGTACCTGTAAAATACAGCAGTCGGTTTATTACACAAAATATGATAATGGAAATAATGAAATGTGGATTTGCAAAAAAAACTAGCCCATTCAACTGCTGTTGCCAATCAGCTTCAGTGGTTATGATGCCCGTCGCAATCAGCTTCCTTATCCGAGCTTGCAGCAGCTGATGATATATTGGCTTCATTAACCTTAACATTAGGTACAATAGTAGCTGCACTAGAAACTGCACTGCACTGGAAACTGCTTTGCTTATTGCTTTGGCTGTTACATCTTTAGGTGAGTCTTCACTATATAGCTTAGGGCCAGGGATGGTATAACTGGGGTTTTTGTTACCATCATACAAGTCAAAAAGAATGCCCGGGTCAGTGGTCTTGTAGATACCTGGAATAGGGTAGCCTTTAGGTTCGAGGGTTCCAGAGCCAGAGATAGTGATATGGGCACAATTAATAAAGTACTGGGCACCATTATTCTTATCCTTTGCGTAATCTTTGTAAGCCTCGTGCAGGCCAATAATTTCACTGCGTAGCAAATAGTCGCCAGGTTTGATATCTGAAGGAATAGTGATAGTGAGTTTTCCCTCCTTATCACTGCGAATTAGGTCTATTCCCCATTTACCATCACTGTATCCATGCTCGAATATCTTGAACCACACATCACCCTTGCCGGCAGACTCTAGCGGAGCCAAGTACACCATGATAGGGCCTTTGTGCGAGCTAGAAATAATCCAGTCCTCTTTTGACTCATCATCATAGTTTCGGAACTGGAGTCGCATCTCTGAACCGGCTTCGACAGGGCAGAGCTCGGCGTCTATGCTTTTGCCGGGGATACCACAGGTCATGTCGGAAGAAGAAGGGTCTTTGACGGGGTCAGTTGGATCACCTGGTGGGTAGGGATTAATGCATTGGCCGACGGCATTTTCAGTACCATCGATTGTGAGCGTGCGCAGGATAGTGTGCGCGTTAGCCACTGCTGCCATGCTGGCAAAAAGCACAGGAGCAATGACAAAAATGAACGAGGATTTCATTTATTGAACTTGGGAATGGACAGAATGATAGTTGACAAGGGTGTGTCTGAAATAAAAATATAAATAAAACCTTTTAAGCGGACCAGCCAGTTAAACAGATATAATAATAGTAATACAAAAGGACGACTATATACTAAAAACAGATGTGTATAGAGTACAAAATTGGATAACAGAACCAAATATAACCGAGTGATTTATAAAATAAATAAATAAAATATATTGTTGAGATATAGGGATAGATAGAAAATAATCTGTGGAATTATGCTCCAAATTTATAATCGGCAAAAAACACTCGAGTAGTTTTTGTACGCCCGTTCAAATAAATAGCTCAAAAATGACAATATATATTATACTTAAAAGTATATGTGGCCAGTACTAAATAATAGTACTGGTAGTGCAAAAAAAATAAAACACTTGATCGACTGTGCACATGCTGATGTAAATATTTTAGGATTATTAAATGAAAAAATAAAAAATAAAAAATTACAAAGGGCCAAATTTCCAAAGGGCCAAAAATTGAAAGGATTGAAAGGTAAAATGTATTTAAAAAGGCAATTGATTGGCATACTCCTACCAATCATGGGAACGCAACAATAAACACATTTTAGTTAATGTTTATCAAGTGTATGTGAGAAAATTTTATTATAGGCACACTTTTAAAACTTGGCATGCGACCATGTGTATGCGCACACATGAGTACATTTGTATTTGGTTGTTTTTATAATGATTTTGTCGTCCCCATCATTATTTTTTAAGGTGCGGGTGGGAACAATTCATAGTAGACAATTTAATAATGAAAACTAATAGGCACGGTGACATTGGGAGTAAAAGCTTGGTTTTATTTTATTTTTAATGGTACCAAAAATTATTATGATGGGGTATTATCCGCGCTTACAAAAGTGCTTAAAGCCATGTGGTCCTTTTAGGGTAATCATGTGTGCGCTGCCGTTGCTTGGCACATTTCAGTACCAATCATTAAAATCATGTAGCAAGCAGGTCCATGTGTGGTCCAAATCGAGGAGGGTCCGCTGATAATCAAATAATTCATGTGCGCTATCTATACTATGCATGAGCTGCGGACAACAAGTGTTACCAATAATAGAGAGACAACAAAATGAATGTCAAACTTGTATATACTACTATAAAATTGGGTGGGTGGATGGTTGATGTTTTGTAGAGGAGGGGCATATTGCGTGCCAATTAAATCATTTTGTTTTGTTTATATTTAATGCAATATGTATTGTGCCATCTACATTCCATATATCATATTCAGTTTTACTGCCAGCCTCGAGGAATAAGGAGCACTTGATTCAAGCTGGTACTGAAATAACAACAAAAATAAAGATAACTTATTCTACAAAATAATATTTATAAATAAAAGCATACAAACTACTTTCACATCATTGTCTTTATAGCTCTTCTACGACGACGCTTGTTGAGGCAGTCTAATTTAGTTTTTTTTGTGGCAGATGTGGAGCTATCCGCTACAACCTCGACGGCCTTGGGATTTCCCTGTGCTTGCAATGTATTGTCGTTTTCATCGGATGCGACTGAACTAGTGGGTTTAGTTTTTTTCGAACTAGGGCTAGAGCTGGAGTTAGGCACATTAGAGCTAAGGTCATTGTTGGATGTTACAGAGCCAGAGGAGCCTGCAACATAGAGCTTGGGACCAGGGGTGGTATAACTGGGGTTTTTGTTACCATCATACAAGTCGAAAAAATGCCTGGGTCAGCGGTCTTGTAGATACCTGGAATAGCTAGCCTTGGGTACGGAGGTTCCAGAGCCAGAAACAGTGATATGGGCACAATTAATAAAGTACTGGGCACCATTATTCTTATCCTTTGCATAATCTATGTAAGCCTCGTGCAGACCAATAACTCACTGCGTAGCAAATAGTCGCCAGGTTTGATATCTGCAGGGATAGTGATAGTGAGTTTTCCCTCCTTATCGCCGCGAATCAAATCGGTGCCCCATTTACCATCACTGTATCCATGCTCGAATATCTTGAACCACACATCACCCTTGCCGGCAGACTCCAGTGGAGCCAAGTAGACCAGGATAGGGCCTTTGTGGGATTTGTCAATTACCCAATCGTCTCTTGAAGGGTCGTCGTAGTTTTGGAACTGGAGTCGCATCTCTGAACCGGCTTCGACAGGGCAGAGCGCGGCATCTTTGCTTTTGCCGGGGATACCGCAGGTCATGTCGGAAGAAGAGGGTCTTTGACGGGACTGGTTTGTCTGGGAGGATAGGGCTCAATGCATTGGCCGGCGGGCTTTTCAGCGCCGTCGATTGTGAGCGTGAGCAGGATTGTGTGCGCGTTTGCCACTGCTGCCATGCTGGCAAAAAGCACAGGAGCAAGGAAAAAGATGAACGAGGATTTCATTTATTGAACTTAAAATGGATAAGGTCTTGCAATAGACAGGCTGTGTCTGAAATAAAAAATAAAAATAAACTGTTTAAGCGGACCAGCCAGTTAAACAGATAGCAATGTTTTAAAAAAACTAGAAAAATATAGATGCGTGCGGAATACAAAAGTAGACGAGTAAACCAAAAATTGCGAAATATGTGAAAATATAAATGAGAGTGAAATTAAAAAATGGAATAGGAAAAGGTATACTAATATAAATAAAATATGTTCCAACCTTATAGTTGGCAAAAATAATTTTTGCATATTATTTTCGTTTTTTATTCTCTCTACACCCTCCATAAAAAATAAGTGTAGGAAAGTACAGTTTTTCTTTTATTCTTTTTAAAAATATTAAGCAGAGGATTCTTTTTGACAATAGGCATTTCAAAGTAAAGCTTCTAGAATATTGGGGTTTATTATGAAAAAAGAATGGAGAAAATGATGAGTAGAGTAAAAGAAATTGCATGGTTTAATATATAAAGGGTGAAAGTATTTTTTACAATGTAGAGCGAATAGCATGGCAGCCATCCATCACGAGGAAACGGTGTAAAAGGGATACATGAGCGCACTTTGGACGTATATTTTATAAAAAAATTCAAATGCATTATAAAATGAGGCCATAAGATTTTATTTTGCACACGCGCTCGCTTTCTTTTACATTATTGTTTTCTCACTCTGAATATTTGAAGTGCTAAATATATGTCTGTTTTAAAGTCACACGCCATTTATGCGTACAGCCAGCCAGTCAGTCAGTCAGTCGAGTGGTGGGGGGTGGATTATGAGAATACAAATATCCTGTCACAAGCTTCAGTCCTTCAGGAAACAGGTCACAGGTGTGCACAAAATCCTCGCGGGATTTACTAATAAGGTAATGCAGACCAAAACGCATTTAATATTGTTTTTTATGTATGTTAAATATTTTGTATTCGAGAGCCATTTACACGTTTACAGAGAAAAAAATACAATCGCCATAGCGTTAATCCGGAGGTGAGGATAAATGCGCCCAATTTATTTTTTTTGGAAAAAAAAGGGGCGTTGAAAATCGCGATAAGGGATCAATATTTTTCTTTTCTCCGCATCGCTCATTTCCACTTACCACTTTGCTGTTTATCTTTCCGTCCAATTTTTTCTTCCTCCTTCGTTGTGTTAAATTTGTCAACCAAATTGAGAAATCTCACTTTAGACGTGCGCTGCATTCTATCTTTTTCCTTTTCCTTTTCCTTTTCTTTTTCATTATCCTCTTTTGTATTTGTAAATTTTATTGGCATATACCCACCGTTCTTCACTTTCCTGTTCTCAATTTGGTATATGGCAGGCCCTTGCTCAAACCACTAAGACACACACACACACACTCGCACAAAAACACAGGTTATATCAATTGAACGATGCATGAGCGAGACCACTACTGGGCATCGGGCGGCATCCCGCCCCACCGCGAAAAGGATCACACCGATAAAGCACCAACAGAACCAGGGGCAGCAGAAATGAAAACATCAGTGGAGGAAAGTTTTTCACATGATAAGGAATGCGTAGTACAGGCATTGATAGCAGACATCAAGACAACAGGGGCGCTTCTTCCCAGCACTTCATCGGCGGTGCATACAACAGACTCCGACACAGCAAGCGAGGCGCCCTGCAAGGCGGAAGAAAGCAAGTGGCAGCAGTCGTTGAAGAGCTCTATAGCGGGTGCGGGGGCTGGGTGCGTGTCCTCTGTGGTGACGTGTCCGCTGGACTTGGTCAAGACGCGGCTGCAGTACCAGGGCGTGCTGGAGGCCAAGTACAGCGGCAACAGCGGAGGCATTTCAGGGTATCGGCCATACGGGGGGACTGTGAATACACTGAGGCGGATTGTGGGCGAGGAGGGGGTGCTCGGGCTGTACCGCGGGCTGGCGCCGATGCTGATGGGGTACTTGCCGACGTGGGGAATCTACTTTACGGCGTACGAGGCACTAAAGCGCGAGGTGCCGCGGCAGTTCCCCACGGTGAGCAACACGGGGGTGCATGTCGTGTCGGCGATGGGCGCGGGGGCGACAACGTCAGTGCTGACCAATCCGATCTGGGTGCTCAAGTCGCGGTTCATGACGCAAAGCAAGTTCACCGAGTACCGGTACTCCAGCATGTGGGACGCGGTGACGGTCATTAGGCGGACGGAGGGGCTGGGCGGGTTCTACAAGGGGCTGGGCAGCAGCCTGCTGGGGGTCACGCACGTGGCCGTGCAGTTCCCACTGTATGAGGCGCTCAAGGCGTGGATGGGCGTGGACTCGTCGCACGTGGAGTCGTCGCGCATCCTGGCGGCGTCGGCGGCGTCCAAGATGGTCGCGTCCAGCGTCACGTATCCGCACGAGGTCATCCGCACGCGGCTGCAGAACCAGACGCGGGCGCCGTTCAAGTACGCGGGCATCTGCCATGCGGTGGTGCTGATCTACCGCGAGGAGGGCGTGCGGGCATTCTACCGCGGGCTGGCCACCAACCTGATCCGCACGGTGCCAGCCAGCATGATGACTCTTCTGACGTACGAGCTGCTGATCCGAGTGCTTTGAGGTGGGGGGGGGGGGTGCGGATTAATAATCAAAATCAAATTAAAATGAAAGCTCAGGTGCCCAGGGGGGCGATTGCGCGCAGGAGGCTGGAGAACTCGGCGTGCGGCTGGGCGCCCAGCGCGGAGATCAGCCGCGCGGTCTCGGCGATGTCGAGCCACACCTGGCGGCGGATCTTGTCGTTGTCCGAGCCCGGCACCGAGCCGCGCAGGTCGACGCCGGCGGGCACCAGCGCATCGTCCGCTGCCAGCGCGGCCGGCCTTGCGCTGCGCGCCGCCGACCCGCGCAGGCGCAGCAGGCTGGCCTCGGTCTTGCTGACGGCCGCCAGCGCATCGGCTGCCGCGGCCGCCACGGCTGCAGACACGCCGTGGCAGACGCCGCGGCGCACCCGCAGGCACAGCTCGTCGGCAAAGCCGCCGTCGTACGCCTCGCGCGCCGCAGCCTCGACCGTGGCGAGCTCGCTGAAGAGCTGCGCGACGTAGGCGGAGGCGGCGGTGGGCGGCGGGCGGCCAGTGTGCCTGAACAGCGACACGGTGCGGCGCAGCTGCGTGGCCAGCGGGGCGCAGGCCCGTGCGACGATGTCTGCGGCCACGCGCGCCGGGATGGATTCTGCCAGCGCGTCCAGCGGCTGCAGCGCGTGCGCCAGCGCGGCGCCCAGCACCGACGCCGAGCCGCAGTCCGCCGCCGCGCCCGTAGTTTCCAGCGCCATGGCTGGCAGTGTGCGCGCGTGCTGCATCAGCTCGTGGACAGAGTGCGCGAGCTGCAGCAGCGCGGAGGGGCCGCTGCGGCCGAGGCGCTCGGCCGACAGCGCCAGGGCGGCCGCTGCCCACTGGAGCACCTGCAGCGACAGGTGCCAGAACCGGGAGCCCAGGGGCGGCAGCACCACGCGGGCGTCCCAGCACTGCCGCAGGGCGCCGATGGCGCGCACGGCCGGGTCCGGCGGATCCGATTCTGGAGCCGCCGGGTCTGCGCCCGGCCCCTCTCCCTGCCCCTCTACGGCGTCGATGATCTGGCGCCGGCGCAGCGAAAAGTACGCCGAGAGCTGCCATTTGCGCGCAAAGTCCGCCAGGTCGTCTAGCCCCAGCCCGAACAGCCGCGCAAATGCCGCGGCGAACGCCATCGCAGCCGTGTAGTTTCCGTGGAAAAGGTCGGGCGACCCGGGCACGAACACCAGCGGCAGCGCGCGGATGATTTCGGCCGCCGTCTCCTGCCAGAACACGCGCAGCGCCAGGTCGTATGTGGTCCCAGGCACGTGCTCGGCAACTGCGCCAAGCAGCGGGGGCCCGCGGTGCCGCGCGCACACCAGCGCCTGGCGCAGCAGCGCGCGGAACTCCGCCGGGTCCACCGACAGGCCCTTGGCGCGCACAGCGCCCATAATCTGCTGCAGCGGCGGGCGCACCAGGTGGGCGCGCAGCAGGGCCTCGGCCTCGGCGCCGGCATCCGCGGTTGCGAACGCGCGCAGGCAGTGGGCCACCGGCGCAGCCTCAGCAGCCGATGGCCGCGCGGCATATGCGCGCACGCGTAGCTCCAGACACGTGCCGAGGGCGGCCATCAGGCGCGCGGCGATTTCGGCAGACTGCCTTCGGGCGTCCTCGAGAAAGGCGTGCTGCGCCAGCCCGGGTGTGTCCGAGGCTTTGGCCACGTAGTAGCGGATCTGCGCGTGGTCCGCCGCCGCCCTCTCCAGCGCGTCGACCTCGTTGCTCTCCTGCATTGCGCCCTTTGCGCGCCGGATCAGCTGCGCGATGTCCAGCAGCATCCGCAGGTGCGCGCGTTTTTCGCGAATGCGCGCGCGGTATGCGAGCTTGCGGTCAATCAGGGCGAGTCTGCGGGAGAGGTCGGAGTGGGTGTGGTGGATCGCCTGCGTGATTTGCTGCAGCTCCGGCTGTGTCTCCTGGGCTATCGTCGTGTCGATGCCGGTGAGCTGCGTGCTGAGGTTGAGGAAGTCCTTGTAGCGGCTGCTTATCAGCTGGTGCAGCTCCTGTTGGTTCTGCTTTTGCTGATGCGCTAGCTCGGAATGCACGTCCGAGAGCGTTTTGCTCTGCGAGTGCCGCGCCGCTGCGTATGAGTCGACGTCGAACGGCTGCGTCATTAAAGGAATCCAAACTTGATGAGTTAGCTTTTTTAAATGCGAATTGTTATTTTGTTGTGATGAGAAAGGAAAATGAAATGCGCCTCGACAAAAGATGCTTGAGCAGCAGAAAGCGGGGATAGGTTTGTGTGGCTGGGGAAGCTGCAAGTAAAGCTTGATCACGATTACAGAATTACCTGCCCGTTCAATCACACTGATGCTTATTCGTTTTCTGTGGTTTGTAATTTTAGCGATAAGCGAGCAGCAAGTTTGCCGCACAACGAACGGAATGCAATCTTCAATCAATCAATTTTATTTTCACTAATAATTTTTTTATTCCCCCTTTCGATTTGAATTCAAATTTACACTTTTTTTATTACAATTACAATGCTGGAGCCCATCGCCCGTGCCGTTCAGAGCAACTCTGCTTTCCGCGCTATCTGCCGCCCTCTCTCCTCCGCCTGGGTCAATCTTTCTGGTTACCGCCGCTACGGTAAGATTTGCCCATTCACACAAACATACAAACACAAAAACATACCAAAAAAACCTTTAATTTTGAAACTATGAGCATACATTTGTACTAAAAAAAAACCTCCCATTCCATTATAATTATTTTCTATCTTAGGTATGAGGTACGACGACCTTTTGCGCGAGGAAACCCCTATTATTCAGGAAGCCATCGCTCGTCTTAATCGTGACGAAACCGACGGCCGTGTGTATCGCCAGAAGCGCGCTTTCCAGTTGTCACTTTCGCACCAGGAATTGCCCCTTACCCAGTGGACTAAACCCCAGGATGACTACAAGTACTTGCAGCCATTGATTGAGGAGGTTCGTCTGGAACATGTTGAGCGTGATGCTTTTAACTCAATGACTTTTGTCAAAAAGTAGAATATATATATATATATATTTACTTTTCAAATTGTTTTTCTCTTTTTTCATTGGAATAAGTGAACAATAAATATTTATTTCATTTTATCCGTATAGAAACAACCCAAACTGAATACAAAATATAATAGCCTTTACATTAGGAATGATTTTAAATGAACAGGGTGACCATGGGGGCAATAGAAACCAAATAAATGTATAATATAAAATAAGCTGTGGAGGCAAGCAGGCGGCCAAGAATAAATAGAGAGCAACATGTTCTTTATTTTCTTTTTACTTGCTATGTCCAGAATAAAGTGACGTTCCATGTTTTTTTTCACGGTACCACTTTTATTTTTTGTGAAAATATCATTTGTTTTATACTGCTATTGTAAACCTGGCCAAATGGGGGCCAGTAAAGAGACGAGACAGACAACTACTAGTAAACGCTGTTATAATAAAGATAAAGTATATTAAAAAACAATGTTCTCGTCCTCACAGTAAGAGCGTCTTAGTATATATAAAAAGCAACCTACGATAGCTGCACGACATCTGTGCTGCACACATGTACATAAATATCAAAAGAAACGACAACAGCAAAATAAATGCTATTTTGATCCACCTCGAAATTCTATCAATTTCTACTATCGTTAGGATCTGGCAAAAACAGGTGCAATCATAAACACCAAATGGCTTTGCAATTGATGTGATTGGATCAGGGCATTGGGTGACATCCTTAAAACGTGACAAGATGATGAATTTTGTGGAAGACAATGTTAATTGAGAGGTGTTGAAAAGTTATAGCTGTTTATTTATCCAACTAATTTTCTAAAAGTGAATGTGGTTTTTTTAGAAGACAAGGAATCCAGCTCCTTATTTGTATCACCTGGAGAAAATGAATGTAGTTGAGTTTGCCATGGGCAGCAAGAACCATTGGTCACCAATTCTTGTAAGAGGATTGTTGACACCTGTATTTAGTCAGAACGTTTCTATTGAATACAATAAAATGAGCCGTTGATTTCCTGCCCATAAAGCACCAATGAAATCAGCAATGAAACCTGCAGCATAACAGTCCTGGATCTTTCTGATGCACCTGTATGCGCCTGTAGGTTTCAGCCCAGGTCACTGGCCTGATTCACAGCCCCCACCCCCCCCCTTCGAGGGGTTCTCAACATCAATAATAATATATTATTATACCATTGTCACCAATACAATACAATACAACATTACTATTGTTATTATTTTTAATTAATTACACAAACGAAAAAGTATGCGTCAATATATGTTTACCATCAATATTGTCATTGTTCATAAAAAATATGTCGCTCACTTTTTTAGGTTTGATATCCTTTGCAAACTTAATTAGCAAATCTACAATTTTTGTAGTTGGGTTATAAGCTATATCTCTTAGAAATTTGTGTTTTTTGCTCGGGTCATGATACATGCAAAGTGCATTTATAACACCATCAGCTTCGAGCTCCGTACAACGATTATATTTAGTTAAATAATTTCTAATAGCTACTAAAAAATCTTTAACTGTAGCTTCTGATGAAATACTTTGAATCATTACATTATTAGGATATTTTTTTACGTCTATACACGAATATATAAGTTGTACCTCGTACATTATTATGTATTATATGCTTTAAATGTTTTGAATTATAAATTAAATAAAATGAGATAAAATAAAATGCAAATAATAAAAATGGATACAATTACCTTTTCTTTTATACCTGTAAGATAAAGATATTTTATGAGTAAATAATAGTTTATACTTTATACATTTGAACTAATAAGATAAATAACAAATTTTAATGAAGTACTTTTGGATGCTTTTCTTCTATTATTAAACTTTTTTATTGTTTTGATGAAAGGAGCCGTACTTATACAAAGCTATTTACTTTCTTTAACGCTATTTCTATTTAACCCAATCCGTTTATTATTTGATAATTTGCGCGCCTGTGTATTTCTGTTTAATTTTAGCAATATTTACATTTTTAGCATCTATTTTTAGTTTGTAATGGTTGTTGGATTAGCTGATTGACCTGCCATTATTGTTGTTATTAATCTACAAGAGCTGAATGCAGCCAGGCATGATTACACCACATTGCTTATCCTTTTAGCCACACAGTAACACACATCACATAGTTGTTTCTTAACTTTCCAGTTCATAGCACCCATAGTATACGCTTTATTAAATACATAGTACCATATTATCTTTAGCCCGTTTATAGAACAATAACGTTTTAACAGGATTTCTTCAGACCTAGGTCTAATTGCCCAGTAGTGGAAGTGTCCACCATGGTGCCAATAAGCCTTTTAAACCTGCGCACTTGATCTGCCAGCTAGAGCACCAATCATGGCCAGATAGCTAGTGTGCATATCTGCCGTCTTCATAGCTGTTTGTCCGTGACCACTTTGGCAGGCCTTCACCTTTGTCTTGTCACGGATTTGGTATTTGGGATGTTTGTTGAGATTGGAGTTATCAACAATCGGCGTTTCTTAGGGATCAATGATCAATTTGTTTCCTGTTTAAGCTGAAGGCTGCACTGTTCCTTGTACCAATCATGCTGTTTTGTATGATCTCGTTTACAAACATTGTTGCTTGTTCTGTGCATCCCCTTGGAGTTTATTGACTAATGTTGTATGCCTGCGCTTTGTCAGCTCCTTCTAGGCGCACCTCATAGCTAAGTCCAGCTTCTTGTCATAGTAATGGGCGTCCACACGCTCCTCGAGTTCCTCCAAAATGACATTTGTGACATCAAAAATGGGGCTTTGTCACGTAACATTATAGACCCATGAAATATGTTTATGATATTTCATGTGAGCAGCGATTTCTGGATAGTAAGCTCTTCAGCTTTTTCAGTCTCATTTTATTAATATATATTATATAACCAGCTCCATTTCTATTACACATAGGCTGAGCTCCCACATCTGTCTGATGTATCTGTGTGTGCTGACAGGTCTCAGCCTGGGTCACTGTGTGACTTATTGTTTGTGTGGCTAAACAGCCAAGACTGGTTAATCAGTTGATCGCCATCAACTAATAAAGTTACACTTTGGTGTGGACAAAGCTATACCCAGGTAGTCAGTCAGCATGCATCATATATACATTGTTCCCATAAGGGGGTTAAATAAAATAGCTTTAGGAAAGCTGGCCTGGGTCAAGAGCCTCCTATAGTTTTCAACACCAGAGAAGAGCACACAATTTGTTTTCACAGCAGCGTTCATGCCAAAAAATACAACTGCCACTACCACATGAACTGTTTGTTTTAAATCATTTTTTGCTACATATTGGTTGTTGAATTACACAAATACACTAGACTAGCCACTTTGCTAGTTTGTCACCTGTCTAATTTCTGCTACTCTATTAAATAAAATAAATGTAAAAAATAATTGGCGAGAACTGTAGATTGAGCAGAAAAGGATTATATCGTTTTATATTGTTCTTGGGGGTTCTTGTAATAATATTGCAAAAATAAAGTTCAGAATGAATGGAAAGTATGCGCACATGAAAATATTTTTTAGAAAGCTGCTTTTTTTGTTTAACAATAATTTATACAACAAAAATAAAATAAAAAAGGGTGTAGGCAAACAAAGGTTGATTTTTAAAAATTGTGAGCAAAAAAATGTAAATACAAAGAAATACAAAGACAAGAATACTGCAAGAAATATTTTGTGTGTCACAAGTGAATGATGAATAAAAATGAGGTGACATTCCTTTTTTCTTTATTCCTTACGTGCTGCAAAAATATATAATTTATTAAAATATTTTGTAGCTGCTAAAAGTTACACATGTGCAGGTATATAAAGACTCAAATGGGGGATAGCGCCTTTTTTTCCAAAAAAAAGTATTATTATTATTTCTTCTCCCAACTGCTTGTTATTCCTCATCCAAACTCATAATTTAATACATGCGCGGTCGTATATAGTGCTTTAATAGAACAGAACAACACGTACACATATAAAACAATTTACACATATAATACATTTCTTTAATGTCAGACTCTGAAACGTATTTTTATTATTTAATTGCATGCTCAATTAACAAAAAAATTACATACAGTTGGGGAAAAACAAAAGAAACACATGAAATCAAAGCTATAATTACAAAAACAATAGAAGCTCTAAAAAAAATTAAGTTTATCAGTCAAGATACCGATGTCACTTGGGATACCTTGCAAAATACATTGTCCTTTAGCCAAAAACCCTGCAAGGGTTCTGCAAAAGCTATGAATAATAATGATTCCAAGTTTTTCAAAAAGAATGTAAAGTCCGGCGATATTCCACGGTTAATGGGATACCCTAAAGGTAAAACAACTGACTACCAGATTGTCAATGGAACACTTCAAGACCCACACTACTTTGTTATTCAATTTTACGATGAAGTCGCACTAGGGGCTTTGTTCAATAAAAACACACCAAATGGTGCAATGAACAATGGTAGAGCTGACACTGTGTTACACACTGATGAGCCCACACGAGCAAGACTATAGAACCTGTAGGCATACAGTTAAAAATGATTAGCATAGTAATTGCCGGCATGTCAGCACCGGCTATTATTTTTAAGAAATAATATACAAACAAAACAATTGTATCGGCTTAGTCAAGTTCATTCATCATCACCATTCTCTTTTTTGAACCGTTTTTTCAATACATTTTAATAATGTGCACTTCGTATACAGCCGAAAAGAAAAAATAAGTTATATTTGGCATGGTTTCCAAAATAAGCCTCAATCCATATTCAGTGTATCCTTTTTCATTTTTAATTGCTATTACCAAGCCACAATTTCTTGTATTTATTGTTGAATTTTCTATGTATAGTGTATATAATTATATTGTTGTTCAGGTCAGTGTTTTCTAATATACTTTTTATTTTTCTCAGAGCATGCTAATTGAGCGGAGAATAAATATTTTCTTTAAAAACCCATCAACTTTTACCACACATTTTTAATTACTGCTTATTCTTTCTGGAGAGCAGTTTCAACTTTGAAGGCCTAAGAAATAAAAGTGAAGGTGAGAAGTAAGCAACCATTCTCCCCCTTTTTTCTCTCCTCTATCCCTTCTTTTTTTATCACATTTTTCTATATTTAAAATACCTTGGGGCATAACAAAAAAAATAACAGGCGCATACAATAAAAAAAGCAAACCTACTCCAACAAAAAAGAACACGCGTTGCATTTCATTCTCCTTCATTCCTTTATCTTTTCATTTCATTATATTTTATTTTTATTTTTATTTTTATTTTATTTATATTTCTTAGCACAACATGGATGCCACTTTTATTCCAGCCAGTGCGCGACTTCCTACAGAACTTCTACTGGCCATTTTCAGCAGACTCACATCATACCAGGACGCACTCCACGCGTGCATCCTGACCTGCCGACGCTGGTCGCAAATAGCAATTCCGCTTCTCTGGAAACAACCGTATTTCTCTCGCATAAGCAAAGTATCACTATTCGCCTTTACTCTCGTATCCACATCCAGCGGGCAGACGCCGAGCCCATACGCCAAACTCATCAATACTTTGTCGTTCAGTGGGATGCCGGAATGTGACCGGAACAATCCGCGTTTGGGGTTACTTTTAGACACGATTATTAGCTGTATGGCAGTTCGACGCAGTGAGCAGCCGGGTTGTTTGTCTGGAAAAGGTTGGCAGGAGGCGGCAACGGCTCCAATGATTAAGAGGTCGCGCAGTCTGTCGAGAACCACGGAGAATACGGGTTGCACCAGGCCGCTGATAACGGCAGTAGATGTTGGAATACCAGGAGATTCCGCCGCGGTGGAGGCAGCGGCGGCGACCGTAGCAGGCAACCACACGGTGGCGCATCTGTCGCGGCTCGACGGGTTCCAGGAGGAGCCGCCAGCGCTTTCGCTCACAATGGACAGCGCGCAGCCAAGCTATGATCAGCACATGTCCACGTGTCCGTCCATTTTGCGGCTCGCATCCTCAACAGCAGACCACACATACATGTCATCCCTGCAGAATCTCGACCTGAGTTTTTGCAAGGGCACGCGTAACTATATGCTGCAGCGACTTGCGCCCAAACTGGCATCCTTGCAGGTACTCAATCTGGCGGGCGGGCAGCGCACGGACATTACAGTGTCAAAGCTCGCGCAGCATATGCCTGGCGTGCGTCGCGTGTCTATCGCTTGGACTATGAATTTGTCAGATTTTGGGGTCAGCGAGCTTGTGCAGAAGTGTCGTGCTGTGAGTGTTCTGGATCTGACGTATTGTACCCAGATTGAGGATACAGCGTTATTTTCGATTGCTCATTGCTTAAAGGATAGCTTGATGGCGTTGAGCGTGGCATATTGCGCGGGTGTGACAGATATTGGTGTAAGGGAGGTGGCGACGTCGTGTGGGCGGCTGGAGGTTTTGAATTTGGTAAAGTGCTTGAGGGTTACAGAGCGGATGCGGCGGTTCTTGGAAGGCATGAACGTGGTTACGCAGTGTGACACGCGTAAGCTATTTTCAATCAATTATGGTGTGTCCAATAAGCGCAAATGAAATACAAGGATATTATAATGGTGTATTTTTGTTGTTGTTTTATTGTTTTGTAAACAAGAAACATTAGAAAAATTAATTAATTTAAATGCTGTTATTAGGATCCGCACGTGGTTATAATTGTTTTTATCCCCATTAAACAAGTTTCTAAATGATAATCCCAGCCACGGCCACGGCGTACACGAAGGCAACCAGCAGATCACTCTGTAGATGCACGCCTTGCGAGTGATGGCTCATAACGGCGATACGTTCTTCCATCGAGCTATCCTCGGAACCGTCACTTTTTTCCGTATCACTCTCATCTTTGTCTGCGCTTTGCTCATCGGCACGTCCCAGAGCATAATGCTGGCCGGGTTTGTTGGGCGTGTACTTCTGGGGGGCGTAGAGTGTCGGCTGAGGTAAAGTGGCAGCAGCGGCCTGAATGTTGTTCTGAAGGTCGCTGCTGGCGTGGGCGAGTGAATGGTTGGCAATGAGCGCGGAAATGACCACGGTCAGAGAGAGGATGAAAACAGACGATTGCTTGAGGAACATTGGACACTGACGGTGAAAAATAAATAGAAAATATACTTGGTTGGTACGTGGGGTGAAATTTGAGAAGGGTGTTGGTTTTGCTGGTTCGTATCGCCACGTCTTGAGCCGAGTTTGTGCTATTTAAATTAATTTCAATTTCATAAAGAAAATAACTTATTATGCATGTTTTTTTGTTTTTTTGTTTCAGCCACTTGTTTTGTCATCAAATATTCATATTCATATGAATTAATTTTACAGGTGGATTGTGTTGGTTACGAATAACAATACAGCTAATTTGTTTTTGGATTGAATTGTCTATTCATTTTGTTGTTTTTGTTTTTGTTTTTATTTTCGGCTTTGGCTTTGGCTTTGGCATTTTGAAATTTTTTAGCACTATTGATTTTGACTATTTGAATTGTCACATGGCTCAAGCCCCTTAAGCTGAGTCACAATCAAACTAATACTGGCAAGCAAGAAAAGAAAATAGCTCTCAAGAAATACTTTTATATTTGGACAATCAAAATATCCAACCACCAATGCCACCTTAAAAATCTATATTTTTATTTACATTTTACATTATCAAAAATAAACAAAATGCTATTGTTCCGTAGTGCTTCATACTGCAAACAGGCGCATTTGCCAGCCATCTCCCATCTCCATTATATCCGACCCACAGGTTCTCGCATATTCCACAGCACCACCCAAAAGCAGCAGCAGCAGCAGCAACCACCCACCCCCTTACGTATTGTATTCTTTGGCACCAGCGATTTTGGCAAAAGCATCCTCAGCCACCTCCATGAATCCCAGCACCAGGGAACGCAAAACACACAGAAAACACAGTTAATCCGGGAACTCCTCGTAGTCTGTCCACCCAGCGCAATACCCCGAAACCCCCAATCCACTTATAAAAAAAAACACCAGCAACCCACCGTTGTTTGGGAGTCGCCAGTGGACGCATACGCGCGCGAATTTGATCTTCCTACAGAGCATGTGCAAAGCCGAAACCTCAACCGCTGGGTGTTTCCCTATACAGGGGGGCGGTTTGACCTCGCAGTGGTTGCCGGATACGACGCCGGGATTCCCCCTGCTCTCGCAGGGCAGTTTCCCAGGGGCGTGCTCAGCGTACACGCGTCGTTGCTGCCTAAATACAGGGGCGCAGAGCCAGTGGCAGCGGCAATTATGGCAGGGGACTCTGTGACTGGCGTCACGGTGTGCGAGTATGATTGTGCGCAGATGGACGGCGGCCAAGTACTGGCGCAAATCCCTCTGCCACTGTCGCCAACGATGACCCGGTCGGACATCCTGCGGGATCTCGGGCACTTGGGCGGCCAATTATTAGTCAAGTGCCTAGAGAACCTAGATTTTGTACGCGCGCATTCGGTTGAACAGGATCACAAGAGGGCTTCGTGGGCGCCGGTGTATGCGCGAGAGGAGGCAAGGGTGTGTTGGGAACGGATGGGCGCAGAGGAGATAGTGCGCCGGTACCGTGCGTTCCACGGACTATGGACAATGCATACGGTGCTGCGCAAAAAATCCCAGATGCGTGAGCTGTTCCTCCACAAGCTCTACCTGCCCGAAGAGCCGCCCGTGAAGCTACCAGTGGGCTCGTCCACCCCGATCAACCCACTGGAGCCCCTGGATCCCAAGTGGGCGAATTATCCGCCTGGGTCAATGTTTTACCGCCGCAAGATTCCGTATTTGGAAGTTCCCTGTGTGGATGGCCGAAGACTGCATGTGCGTATGCTGAAGGTCAAGGGCCGGACTATGATGACTGCGCTACAGTTTGTTAATGGGTATTTGAGAAAATCCGGCGCTATGCGTATGCTGTCGGAACCGGTTGGGTCGAAGATGCTAACGCCTGACTTTGTTTACCCTGTTGGCCATCCGAACTATGTGGATCCTGAGGACAGGGAGAGGAGGCGGAGGGAGCGGCTGAACCACAGGCGCGCGGAGAAGGCGTGCGATGGCCATGAGGACAACGAGAATGATGCCAAGGAGGATGGTGATGAGGAGGTGGACCATGACGACACGCATTTCGACGTGCTCGAAGAAATCGACGAAGACACGATCGACAGCGACAGCGACAATGGGCCAGTGGACCGCCCGCAGCCTGCAGCCCGCAAATGAAATAAACATACAGCAATATATCAATTGAAAATCAAATCAAATCAAGAAATCAAGGGTAATTTACGGCCTCAGAACTGCCAGCTCTTCGATTCCCTCTGGGTCCACACGCGCGCGCCACTGCACATTGGGCGGCGCCACTGGACTGCACAGTGCCACAGCCCAATTGGCCAGGCACGATCCCTTAGAATAAGGGCTAGCGGCGGCCAAAAAGTATGGTTTTCGGCTGCCCGTCATCGGTCTGCGCCCACCACCAGGGCCATCCTCCGTCTCGTGCGCCTGCGGCATCGCGTGCTTGGCCCCCAGCACCTCATGCGTAGTGATATTGCGACTAATCAAAATCGTATGGTACCCGAACAACCCGCCGACCATACTGAATGTCAAAAACACATATATAACCATTGCGAGCACCACAGGGTTATGCCTAACACTGTGTGCGAACGACTCGTACCCGGGCTGCTCCCTATGCACAGGCAAGATAAGCCGCACGAGACTGAAAGCAATAATGTACAGCGCAGTCACCGTTGTGGCAAACAAAAACGAGTAGAAGTAGCGGTAGTTACGGCGCCCAATGCAGTTGTTGAGCCAGATACAGTGATGGTCCTCGTTCTCCACACAGTTGTCGCAGAATCGGCAATGTGAGGACCGGGGCGGTCTGTAGATCCGGCAGGTCTCGCAGTACTTTAGTCGCACTTGGGTGTTGTTCACCGTCACCATTTTGGTCATTGGCGGGTACGCCAGGTATGGGTCGTTGGACGGGCGTTGGCCGGGGGCTGCCGGAGGATCGTAGATGCTCAAGGGTCCGCCAGTCTGACCAGGCGATCCCACCTGCACCCAGGGCGGCGGCAGCTTGTAGTGGTACTGCAGCGGCGGCTGGTCCTTCGCATGCTTGTGTCGCAGCGAGTCTCCCGCGTCATTATCAGCGCCAGCGCCGCCGCTGCTCACCAGCGTGCCAGGCTCAGCCTTCTCCGCCGCCTGGGCGCCGCCATTGGAATTCCCATTGTTGCTGCAGTTGCCACCGGCCACCACGTAGTTGTCGGGTGCCGTGATCGCGTCCAAGTTGCGTGGGATGATCCCAGGATCTGTAAACGACGACATCATCATTGAAGTATAGGTCAGCGCCGCCAAGTACGCAAACACAATAACCGCAGCCTTATGCACATGTACCCAGAGGTAGGGACACACCAGAGCAGCAAAAAGCGACACGGGCGCTGAAATGATCAGCACCGAGACGACAAACGGCGCTGGCCGACTGCCCGTGACTGACCGCCCACAGAACGGATGCCAGTTGTCGTGGTCGTACAGCTGGTAGATCGGCTCCTTCAATCGCTGGCCGTCGGTCGTGTATCTGCCGGGATGCTTCCGCCGAGTCTTCTCGTCCACCGGCTCGTAGAGCCCCACGGGCTGCGGGACGCGCCGCAGTGGTGTTTGGCTGGCTGTCAGGTCCGTGTCATTGCTGTTGCCGCGCCCATGCGGTGACGCGTCCTCATAGCTGATCTGAACCAAAGGAACGCGCTCATTCATTGACATGCGCATGACTGTTTGGCGCTGCGGACCCAGAAACCGGATGCTATTAGGCTGCTGGTGCTGGCTGCTACTACCGTTGTTGTTGGAGGAGGCCTGCTCCCGCCCCAGAACCTGTGCTGCTGTCCTTGATGGGCTGCCCGCAGAGTGCACACTGGTGGGTGACATTGGCGGCGACCTCCCTGAGAGACTCAGCTGAGAGTATGACTGGCTGGCCAGCAGCGGAGCCTGTTGAATCTGCATGGGCTTAAGCGGCGGCGAGAACTTGATACCAGCATCTCTCGGCGGGTAATCATGCGCATACCGCTTCTGCCCCCCACTACTACCTCCAGCTGCTGCTGATAAATCAGGGCTGAAATAGGGGGAGGTCTCGACCTTGTGCGTGCTGGGCGTCATTGAGTCGCGGCCCTGCTCCGGCCTCTGTACAATTTCTCCACCCTTAAATTGTCTTTGCTGTAGTATTTGCTGTTGCTGTGCCTGGTTGGGCTCGTACAGTGCCTGGGCAAAGGAAATGTTTGATGTGCTCGGTGTTTCTGAGTACCTTTTGGTGCTGCGTGCTGGTGAGGAGGGTGTCAGTTGGACTATTGTCGGCCGCCTTGGTCTCGCCTCATGGTGGCCTTGTGGTGACGGTAGTGGGTTGGTCATTTTATTTATTTATTTTCTGCTGCTGCTTTCTTTATATTGACAGAAAATAATAATATAAAAGTGTATATGAATTGAATAGAAAAATAAATGTACAAAAAAAATAATAAATAAAAAGAACTGAAGAATGAAGAATGAAGAATGAGGCGGGAGCACTATGGCCAATTAAGATAATATAATGTGGGTTGCAAGAAAAACTAGAACGCCCCCCATGAAAAAAGTATAAAAAAATAAATGTTAAAATTGAAAAAAGCGCAATAAAAAATAAAATAAAAAAGCTAAAGTGAAAGAAAAAAAGAGGTAAATTTAAATTCCTATAGAAAATAAAAATAAAAATAAAAATAAACAACAATCAACTTTTACTACGTGAAAAGAGAATGAAAGACAAAAATAAGGTCTTTTTTTTCTTTCTTTCAGAGAACAACGTATTTTTTTTTTTTGCTTTCTAAGCTAACCAAAATAGAAATATATATAAAAGAGGGATTGTCTTTCTTTTTCTTTTTCTTTGTGCCCCTCGTCTGCGCGAATGTACGTATTTTTTTAAAAGAGTGCTAAAGTGACAAAAATGAGGCGTCTTTCCACTGTTTTTTTTCCAGATGTCTGTTCCTCACTCACTCAGCATCTCCCACCTACTTGCCCCCTCCAATTCATGCATCTATTTGGTGGGTAAAGTTTTTTCATCATGTTTCTTTTTCAACAATTATTTCCAATGTGGCAATTTCTGAAATAGACAAAAAGACATTCGATATAGTGCTTAATGCAAGGAGCGATAGATGCAAGCAGCAATTTGTTTTATTGTAAATGAAAAAAGGGGAGAGTATACTGCAAGTAAATCATTCGTCTGTCTTTAATTTATTTATTTATATGTTGAGAAAAAAACATTCATAATCTATTCTAATCCTTACGTTCAATACGTACAACAAAAAACAAAGTTGATCGTACGAGACATAATATGTTTTTAAATTATTATTCCGATTAAGCTAAATAATGGTCATTTATAATTTTGCCATAACAATCCCAATTGTAATATCACCGCCGATTGAACTAAAACAGGTTTTTTTGGATTATTTGTTGTTATTTTGATTATGAATAGATTTAGTTTTTTTCTTCATCTGCTGCATTTACATTCCTCTTCCCTATCCACCCGCAACGTCTCGGCTTGTTTAAAGCAAGTTTAAGAGAATGAAATAAAATCATTACCTCATTTGTTTATTAACTTGTTTGTTTGTTTACGATAGACAGCCTCTTTCAATCAATTATTATATCTCTCATTCAATATTCACACTGCCAAATAAATGTACATATCCTATGCGCTCCGCCTACGCGCCCAGTCCCGCACCATATCAAAAGCCCTTCAGCAGCAGCCCAGGCGACACCAGACAACGCACACGCTGCGGCCGTACCAAAACGAATGCATCGACCAATGTCTTAGCAAGCTCAGCGCCGGCATACGGCGACAGGCAGTGTCACTCCCAGTGGGCAGCGGTAAAACTGTGATCTTTTCCAGCCTTCTCCAGCGCATTCCCAACCCAACCCCACAAGCGACAAAAACCCTCGTGCTCGCGCACCGCGAGGAGCTCCTCGTGCAGGCAGCGCAGCAAATCCATCGCGCAGCTCCACACCTCGTGGTGGAGATTGATCAGGGCGCAAGGGTAGCCAACCCTGCAGCGGACGTTATCATTGCCAGCGTGCCGACCCTGGGCCGGCGCGGGTCTGAGCGGCTGCAGAGGCATGATCCGCGGAGATTCAAGTGTGTGATTATTGATGAGGCCCACCATGCGGCGGCAGAGTCGTACGCGCGGATTGTCGAGTACTTCGACTGCACGGGTGATTTATTTGTCTGGGGGTGCTCAGCAACGCTGTATCGCGCGGACGGGCTGCGGCTAACAGGGGTGTTTGACGAGATCACCTTCCAGAGGCATTTTGTGCAGATGATCAAGGACCGGTGGCTGGCTAGCTTGCGGCTGGTTACGGTGCGCACCGGCGGTCGGCTGGAGGGCATCCGGTCGTATGCTGGGGACTTTGCCCCGGGCGCGCTGAGCTCCGCGGTGAACACCGAGGAGCGCAACGTGGCGGTGGTCAAGGCGCACCAGACGCTGGCAGCGGGCCGTCGCAGCACGTTGGTTTTCGCCGTTGATGTCAGGCATGCCAAGGACCTGGCGCTGGCGTTTGTGCACTTTGGCGTGCCGGCCGCTGCCGTCCTGGGCACGACGCCGGTGGCCGAGCGCGAGCGGCTTTTGGCCGAGTTCCGCGCCGGCACTTTGGGCGTCCTGGTCAACTGCGGAATTCTGACCGAGGGCACGGATATTCCAAACATCGACTGCATCATGATGGCCAGGCCGACGAAAAGCGCTGTGCTGTTCCAGCAGATGATCGGCCGCGGGATGCGCTTGTTTCCCGGGAAAGCAGACTGCCTTGTGGTAGACTTTGTCGACTCGTTCAAAAGGGATCTGACGCAAGTCACCGTGCCCACGCTGCTCGGGCTTGACCCTGCGCTGGTTCTTAAGGAGACTGACATTCTGGATGCAGATGCCTTGGACAAACAGAACCGCGACTTTGTGTTCCATGGCCTGGAGCCCGAGGCGATGAGCGAGGACGAGCGCGAGCTCAGTGGCATTATGGAGAATCAGCGGGTCTTTGAGCAAAATGAGGTGCACGCGACGGACGCCGGTGAGCCATTGGCCTTTGGCGGCGAGCTGCCGGACTCGCTGGAGGCCATTGGGTTTCGCGCCAAGGAGCAGCTCGACCCGTTGGGCTTCTTCACGCTCCAAGGCCAGATCCCAGACACAGCGCAAATGGACAGGTGCCAGCAGCTGGACGCGCTGTCCTGCGGTAGCCGCAACCTGCGCAGGCTCAGCTCGTTCTCGTGGGTATGTATCTCGTATGACCGCTACTTGCTGAGCCAGAGCAGCAACTTATTTTTTCTCACGCGCGACCCGAAAACCAGCCTCTGGCAGGGCACCAAGCGCAAGCGGCTGGTGATGGCTGGAGTTGAGAGCAGAAAGTTTATCTACAGTGTGGAAAAGCCGCTCGGCCTCATGTCGCCGACGCTCGACCATGCCGTTCATGGCGTTGACTCTATGGTGCGTGCTACTGTGCAGAGGTACCAGCTGGATACGCTCAAGTGGACTGCGGCTTGGCGCGCGTTGCCGCCGACTGAGGCGCAGATCGGTGCCCTGGCGAGGCTCGGATTGCGCGTGCCCAAGGGTGAATATAACAACGCCTTGCCCAGGTCGGTTGTGGGCAAGGTTGTGCAGCGGAAGAGCTTTGAGCCTCGGGAGAGTGGAGCAAGGGCTGGGGATGCGAAGCCTGCCTCTTCGTCTTCTTCTTTTTCTTCCTCGAGGACTGGGAATACCAAGCCTGCTTCTTCTTCTTTGCGGGCTGGTGGGTTTACGCGAGGGAGCGCGATGAATTTGATTTTGCGGCTGACTCACGGCGGCGGAAAAGTCTCGAGACACGCGGAGATGCTTGAGGAGCGCGTGAAGGCGGCGCGGGAAAAGGCAGACAACGAAACTGCTAAACGGGCACTTTGGCTACACATGCCAGACACTGATTAAAGATAAAGCTTAGTAGCGATGCTGTAAAGTATAAAACTTAGTAACAAAAATTGTTTTTCGTTTGGTCACAGGAGCCAAACCAAAGGAAGGGTCTGCTTCATTTTTTTGTAATTTGAATGGTAGCGATGGGCCTCGTCTGTTCTTTTTCCCACGCTTTTATATCCAGACAAATGGGAGCACAGAAATGAGCGGACTGAGTTGATGTCACATGGGATTGTTCTAAACAAAAAGCGAGAATACAGAATCATAATACAAAAGGGATCGCATGGGCGACCCAGTGCACAAAATGGCCGTGGGAACATTTGAAGTGGTCGCTTTTTTCCAAGCAAAAATGAGGCGCCATTTCAAAAAAAGCCATGTTTTGCTCACTTTGTTCGTTTTCGCCCCTGGGCTTACGTTGCCTGTTGGTAAGCGGTATTTATACTTTGGAGCTGGTCTCTTGCTTCTGCATTTACTTGTTTCCTCATCATTTTCATTATAGCTTGGCTTTTGTTACTATTTTTATTTTTATTTTTCTGTTTATTTTTCTTAAAACACTAAGTACATTAACGCCAATGTTTTCCCGCGCCCTTTCATCTCTCGCACGATCCAACGCAGCTGCCTCTGCCTCTGCCACGGCCGCTGCTCGTACAAACCTGTTAGCTGTAAGTCTCCGCACGTCTGCGCCGAGCCAAGTCCAATACAGTTCATTTGAGTCCGACCGCTTGCGAGTCCAAACCAAACCAATCCATATTGAATCACATCACATCACATCACATCACATCACATCACATCACATCACATCACATCACATCAATACAACTCAGAGCATTTTACCTATTAACCCAACCCTTAGAGAAATGCCCCGCAAGCCGCGCGGCTGAGCACGTACAATTCGGCCATCGCCGGGCTCACCGACGAGCAGGAGGAGTTCCGCTTAGCCGTGTCTGACTTTGCGCAGCGCGAGCTAGCTCCACGCGCCGGCCAAATCGACCGCGACAATGAGTTCCCCATGGACATGTGGAAAAAATTCGGAGACATGGGTCTTCTCGGTGTGACCGCTGGAGAGGCCCACGGGGGCGTTAACCTGGGCTACTTCATGCACACCATAGCCATGGAGGAGATCTCGCGCGCTTCGGGGTCGGTGGCATTGAGCTACGGCGCGCACTCCAACCTGTGCGTCAACCAAATCAACCGCCATGGAACGGATGCCCAAAGAGCAAAGTATCTGCCGCCGCTGATTTCCGGAGACCACGTTGGCGCCCTCGCTATGTCCGAGCCCGGCGCCGGTTCCGATGTCGTGTCAATGCGGCTGCGCGCGGAAAAGCGCGGAGACAAGTATGTGTTGAATGGAAACAAAATGTGGATCACCAATGGGCCCGATGCCCACACCCTAGTTGTGTACGCCAAGACAGATGTCGCGAAGAATAAGATCACCGCATTTATTGTTGAGCGCGGCTTTAAGGGGTTCAGTACCCACCAGAAGCTCGATAAGCTGGGCATGCGCGGGTCCAATACCTGCGAGCTGGTGTTTGAGGACTGCGAGGTTCCGGCGGAGAACGTTTTGGGCGCCGAAGGCGGCGGCGTCTACGTGCTGATGTCAGGGCTGGATCTCGAGCGCCTAGTGCTTTCGGGCGGACCTCTTGGCCTTATGCAGGCTGCTGTTGATACTGCAGCGCAGTATGTTCATGAGCGGCATCAGTTTGGCGTCCCCATTGGCACCTTTGAGCTGATGCAGGGGAAGCTGGCTGATATGTACACAAAGCTCAATGCGTCGCGCGCATACGTCTATGCGGTCGCCCGGGCGTGCGACCAGGGGAAGGTCAGCAATAAAGACTGCGCCGGCGTTATTCTTTACAGCGCTGAACGTGCCACCGAGGTTGCCCTCGATGCTATCCAGTGCTTGGGCGGTAACGGGTATATCAATGATTACCCCACTGGCCGTATCCTACGCGATGCTAAGCTTTACGAAATCGGCGCTGGAACAAGCGAGATCCGGAGAATGCTGATTGGCCGCGAGCTCAACAAACAATACATGGCTTAAAAAATTTTTCTAGAGAAATGATTTGTAAAACATGCAATTGTTGTATTCTAGCATGCATTGTCCTTTAATATTAATATTAATAGCAACGCTCTTTTTATTAATGTTTGTGCAACACCTGCATCGACCTTGCATTTCTGACTATACATAACAGCACAAGTTGATTTTTATTTTTTATTTCTGCACATGGTTTTATTCGCCAATCCTTTTTCTACTCTCATTATTTTCCTTCACGTTTTTCAATTACTTTTATTTCAAGAAAACCATGTTTGACTACAAAAAAAGCATCCTCTAAGCAGAAATCAACGAGCTGAAACAAAATTTAAGCTATCTAATAGCAAGTGAGACCAAGGAAAGATTTGCTCTCAGGCGCGCAGTGGTCACTGGCAATCTGCTCTTCCAGCTCAAGTTTGCAGATGATGATCCCAATACGCAGTCGTTAAAGCAACTTATTCAAACGCAAGAAGAAATAATGGAAAGTTACGATAGGAATAGGAGAACCTGGCAGAATATTGTTAGCCAACTCACGGTCAAGCTCGCAGGCCTGTGCAATATTGGGGAAAGAGGACTTAATTAATAAGGAGTCAGTGGTTCAGGCTAAAGAGGAGCTTGGCCGCACGTGGCTTTAGCATGGTAGACTCAATTTGGATTACCAGAATGCCAAAAAAAGACTACGAGGAGGCAGTGAACCAGTACTAGTCGCATATTGGCCTTGCTCAAAAAGTATATTTTCGGGCTAAGGCCCAGTATTTGGATATCTGGTAAAGTCACAATTAATCTATGCTCACCAAAATTAAACCAAAGTTTTAAACGCAAATAGTCTAAATTAATTTAAAAAAACCCATTTCTAATTACTAAATAAAATCAACATTATCAAATGAAAAAACGTATGCTGACAAGCTTATCTCCTACATATTCTTGATTCAAAAAAGTATATCGCTTATATTTTCAACTTTCCAACGCTTAATCATATCTCTAACATGCTCAATAATGGTAGTAATTTTTGGGTCTGTTGCGCAGACTGAAGACATGGAAGCAGATGTTGAGGTCGAGAACCGCGAAACAAGTTCCCACCTGCGCGCTGATCGATAGGACGCTAATTGGATAATGCAGGTGTAAATCAGGGAGGCATCACACTGATGCCCAAACATGCTCCCCATCCTGTAATGCACACGCATAAGCGTACACGCACGAAAACCACAACATTGGCTTGCCAAGATACTGGTCTACTCGCAGAAGATCCAGTTCTCACCAACAGAGCACACAATGGACAATGTGCACAACAAAGGCGACTGGGAACATATATAAGATGAGGCTGGCCCCTAGTAGTACTTTAGAAACATCAGTAATAAAACCTTTTATAAAATCACCCCTAACTTTTAACACTAGACAACTAGTGCTCCTCACACCCCCCTCTTACTATAACAGGTCATCTATTATTTTTTCATATTCTATATAATGCTTCTTGTCACACATAAAAAGTGCATACACAATACCGTCGGCTTCCAATCTTGTACATTTGTCACAAATTATTAAATCATTTTTAATAATATCTAAAAAACCATATGTTGTAGTTGCCAAAGGGATAGGAATAGCCTTTACTGTTTGGTGTTTATCTCTAGTACTGGTATAGAGTAGATTATATATATTAAGATTTGCCATATTTAAAAACATTATAGGTATATTGTTGTGATAATGTATGATTAAAATTGGTATTATAAAGTTTAGTAGTTCTAAGTTAGTGTAATTTTGTGCAGCCCAAAGGTATAAAAGTGGGTTTCAAGGCTGAGAATCGCGAAACAAGTTTCCATCTGTATGCCGGTTGATAGGACACTAATTGGATTATGCAGGCGTAAATTAGGGAGGAATTATAATGGTGTCCAGACATGCTCCCCATTTTGCTATGCACGCGCGTGAGTGCACACGTATACAAAAACCACAACATTGACTTGCCAAGATACCGGTCTGCTCATAGGAGAGCCAGTTCTCACCAACAGAGTACACAATGGGCAATGTGCACAACAAAGGCAACGAGACACATATATAAGATTAGGCTGGTACTAGTAGCACTTTAGAAACATTAGTAATAAAAACTCACTTTTCTAACACTACCACCATAGTGCTCACCTCCCTCTCTCATAACAATCTGTTGAAAAAATATGAAGATGAGCAATTCGTATAGATTTTTGCTATATAATTTTCTTGTACATTCCACTACTGTTTATTATAGTTCTATTAAGGGTTAGTCGAGTGGAGTATTCGAATAAAGTATTACAATAATTGTATGGACTCGTAGAAAGGTAAATAGAAGGGAGGGCTACCTTTAGCAGAATTAATGCTATGCAACCCAACAATACTTCCAATCCAAAAAGGTTTGCGCAAGACTATTTACAAAAATAGTGAATGAGTGCTTTTGTTGGGCACACACTTCCTTTGTAGCCTAACACCCATCAGTCGCCCTTTTCTTTGTGAGCACCAAGGCTCACAGTCATAAAAAAGGCAAAACAACAACATTTGTTAGTTCTATTGCTTCTCTTTTTTCCTAATTTTTGAAGATAGTTTTATGATTACATTAATTGGATTCACTCGTTAACAAGGGGTATAGAGACCTCTGATGGTATAGATTTTGCTTATTTGTCTAAAAAATAATAATATAGATCCGGGCCAATAATTGGGCTGCACGCTATCTTAATAAATAATATCTGCTAATCTTCAAATTCAACCAAATATGCATATTCATACCACATGCATATTTAGTCTCAACAGCTGCTTTCACTGCAAAAAATTGATTTTGGCTTTCTATAAAAAAAGTTGGCTATTTTACGCGGATGAGACATTCTAAAGGTCAGTTAAATAGTTTTTTGTTTCAATAAATTTTGTACATTACAAAATGTAAAAATTAAAAATGATAAAGGCTTGGGAAGAATTATAGAGCGTGGAAAATAATTATCCTTATATTATTATTTTTTATTTTCAACACTTGAAACAGATAAATACCAAGACTTAAAATAAAATTGTGTAAAATTTTGTAATAATAGATAATTGTCTACTATTTTGCTACAAATAAATTAGCTTTTTTTACAATTCTTGTGCACAGTTTTTGCTAGAGTGACACCAAATAATGCCAAGATATGGAGGGCGAATGAGCAGCCGAGCAGTTGAAAGAAACATATGGGAGTATAATATACTCCTTATTTTATTTTTTGTTGCAATAGATGCATAGATAAAATGCTTTTAAATAAGTTTATACAATTATAAGTCATTTAAAGTTTTTATTGGAAAATAAATTATAATGCCAAAATAATGTAAAAATAAAATATTATTAAAATGGGAGTAAAATAAAAAATTGGTTGGGTCTAATTTTTTTATCTGTGACCACCCATTTTTATTATTTTCTATTAGTATAAATATTTTTTAGACATTTTGTTTATCTATTAGGACAACAGGTATAAAAGGCAAGAGATAGGACAAGGCTATGCAATTTTTTATTCTCTATCTCACCAGACTCATCAACATTTACATTAGCACATCAGTTTTATATAGGTAATCCTAAGTATACATTATCAAATTTATCAATCAATTGGACATTATCAAATTACAAATGGCAGGCAAATCAACCAATTCGACTGAAGTATTTAAAGTAATTGATAAAAATAATGCTGAAAAAGATACTTTATTTTCCGCACATTTAATAGTGGGTAAAAAAGATAATATAATCATGGAGCGCATATCATCTAATCTTAGCTTTCATACTATAATGGATACTATGTTGAATCATTATAATGCTGAAGGATGTTTTCAGTTTGTTAATGAAAAACGTGTAGAATTTTTTAATGGATTACGTATTTATAACCTAGATGGTGATTCTATACTCTACAACAAAGCAATTGACAAGGGCGATACAAAATTATCTAAGCATTCAATTTCAATTAAAAATAAATTGTATAAGTTAGGAGAGTATAATTTTGTTAACAAAAATAAGGAATACACAATCAATGTAAGATTCATACCATTAGATAAAAAGGAGTCTTACAAAATATATAAGAAAATGTTGGTCAGACTAAAGAGCGAACCAAATGATAAATAATACCAAAGCTAACAAGAGCTTATGAAATGTAATCACATTTGGGAAAGAGCAAAATGAAATTCAAACTCTTGAATTATAAATTTCTTGCACGCATAACCAGTGACTATTATTTAATTTTTACTTGGGGGTGTGACTACAAATTATAATGAAATTAAGGCAAATCTAAAAAAAAATAGAAACAGCCCTTTTCAGTGCTGTTGAATCAGTTTTATTATTATTAAAGGTGCAGTCCAAGCTGTCAGTTCCAAGCAGCAATAGCACGCATGGTAGTATTTTATTGTTCTTTAAATTTAGTTTTTATTTTTTGCAAACATAATATTACCAATAAACGCCTATAATTATGACCATACACGCTAAAATTATAAATGAATTCAGTATATGTAAAGAATATGAACCAAAAAAAGCAAAAAAATACAAAACACTACAAGTATTTTTGTTAACCAACAAGCATATATTCATTTTCTTTTTTTCAATCCTCCTCATCCTCGTCCTCCTCATCTTCCTCCACATCATCCTCGACACTAGGTACTTCTCTTCTAGCATAAAACTCCTGAATAACCTTCTGCGGAATACGATTGAGCATTTCCTTTGGAAAAATCCGCAAAAGGCCCCAAGCCAAATCCAACGAATCATAAATCGTCCTATTCTCATAAGCGCCCTGAGCAATAAACGTGCGCTCAAATTTCTCCAAAAACTCAAGCGACAGCTTATCCTCCGGCGAAAGCGCCTCCTCGCCAACCACAGCCTTCATGGCAGCGGCATCGCGGCCAATAGCGTATTTGGCATAGAGCTGGTTAGACACATCGCCGTGGTCCTTACGCGTGAGTCCCTCGCCGATGGCGGATTTCATCAGACGCGAGAGCGAGGGGAGAACGTTGATTGGAGGGTAGATCTGGCGGTTATACAGCTGGCGGTCGACGTAGATCTGGCCCTCGGTAATGTATCCTGTGAGATCAGGGATCGGGTGGGTGATGTCGTCGTTAGGCATGGTCAGAATGGGGATCTGAGTGATCGACCCGTTGCGGCCTTCGACGCGCCCGGCGCGCTCGTAGATCGTCGACAGATCCGTGTACATATACCCGGGGTACCCGCGGCGGCCGGGCACCTCCTCGCGGGCGGCCGACACTTCGCGCAGCGCATCAGCGTACGAGCTCATGTCGGTCAGGATAACCAGCACGTGCTTCTCCAACTGGTAGGCGTAGTACTCGGCAGTGGTCAGGGCCAGGCGCGGCGTAATGATGCGCTCGATGGTCGGGTCATTGGCCAGGTTGAGGAACAGAGTGACGCGCTCGAGCGAGCCGTTCTCCTCAAAGTCCTGCTTGAAGAACCGCGCCGTCTCCATGTTGACGCCCATGGCGGCAAACACGACGGCAAAGTTGTCCTCGTGCGTATCGTGCACGTCCTTGGTGACCTGTGGCTTGACCAGGCCGGCCTGGCGCACGATCTGTGCGGCAATCTCGTTATGCGGCAAGCCGGCAGCCGAGAAAATAGGGATCTTTTGGCCACGCGCAATTGAATTCATCGTATCAATGGCGGACACACCCGTTTGGATCATCTCTTCCGGGTAGATGCGCGAGTAGGGGTTGATCGGCATGCCATTGATGTCCAGGTAGTCCTCAGCAAATACCTTGGGTCCGTTGTCAATGGGCTTACCGGATCCGTTGAAAATGCGCCCCAGCATGTCCTCGGACACGGGCATCTTGAGCGTGTCGCCAGTGAACTCGACGTGCGTGGACTTTGTGTCGACGCCCGACGTGCCCTCAAACACCTGCACGACGGCACGCTGGCCCTGCACCTCCAGCACCTGGCCCGCACGCTTGGTGCCGTCCGGGAGCGTGAGCGTAACGATTTCAGAGAACTTTGGGGACTTGACATTGTCGAGAATGACCAAGGGCCCGTTGACGCCGGAAACCGTTCTGTAGTCTAAAAAAGAAATGAATAAAGAAGGGGTTGGAGATGTATTAGGTCTGTGTATTGTATAATGAAGCGAAGTGTGGCCAGCTTCAAGCTGAGTTTGTCACAGTGTCCGCACATTACTACATTTGGTTATTTACCGATAGTGGGCTTGACGCGATAGTCCTGGACGATAGACGACGCATTGATGGCGGCGGCCGCATTGACTGCGAAAATGTCGCTAGATGACATGATGAGTGTTGTCGGAATTAACGAATTGAAGTGCTTATAATAAAATAGAACAAAAAACAGGAATGGGAATACGAGTAGGAGTAGGAATTGAGCACGAAAGTGGAGGAGAATTCAAAGCAATGCCAAAGCTCACTCCCAGCTAAAAAAGAGGTAAAAATAAAAAGCAAGCCTCGCCAAAAAGTGAAGCTATCCTTCATTTATTTATTTTGTTCATCGCACTTTACCAAATGGCCAATCACATTCTCGTGTGCATAGATTATGACGTATGCGTTTTTTTCGGTCCAAGATAGAGTGCAGGTTATGCTTTGGAGAAGGAAAGAAAAAATTATTTAATTAATTATTTGGATAAAGTTAACGATACCACTTTGAACAGGGAGAAAAACAAAGCGTTGGCAAAGAAGGCGCTGGTCTTGTTTTGCCCGCTCAGCCCGAGCACATCATGCATGCATCGCGGTTGTCAATAGAGCACTGCAGTCTGGCCAGCTCCTCCTCCTCCTCAGCAGTCAGCACCGGGGCCTCCTCCTTCTCGGCCGCCGCGTTCATCTTGGCCGTAACCTTAACAGCCTTGCTGATATTCTCGGCGTCAATAGTGAACTTGATGGCGTCCACAGCAGGCTTGGTTCTCAAATAGTACATGCCGGTCTTCAGGCCCTTCTTCCAGCCGTAGAAGTGCATGGACGTCAGCTTCTGGTAGTTAGGGCCATCCATGTGAATGTTCAGCGACTGGCTCTGGTCAATAAAGGCGCCGCGGTCAGCAGCCATGTCAATGATGACCTTCTGCTTGATCTCATAGACGGTCTTGTACAGCTCCTTCAAGTCGCTCGGCACATCGTCCAGGTGCATGACCGACCCGTTGGCGGCAATGAGCTTCTGGCGCATGCTGTCGTTCCACAGGTTGCGCTCGACCAGCTCGCGCAGAAGCCACGGGTTGACCACTTGGAACTCGCCGGCCAAAACACGGCGCGTGTAGAGGTTCGACGTGTACGGCTCAAAGCACTCGTTGAAGCCAAGGATCTGCGACGTCGACGCGGTGGGCATGGGCGCGACCAGAAGGGAGTTGCGCACGCCGTGGCGCGCAACGTTGGCGCGCAGCGTGGCCCAGTCCCAGCGGTCCGACGGCGTGACGCCCCAGAGGTCGGGCTGCATCTGGCCCTTGGACATCGGGCTGCCCTGGTAGGTCTCGTAGGGCCCGTGCTGCTGCGCCAGCTCGCAGGAGGACTCGAGCGCCGCGTGGTAGATGGTCTCGAAGATCGCGCGGTTGAGCTCGCGCGCCTCGGCGGACTCGAACGGCATGCGCATGGCCAGGAAGGCGTCGGCCAGGCCCTGCACGCCGACGCCGATGGGCCGGTGGCGCATGTTGCTGGTGCGCGTCTCGGGCACCGGGTAGAAGTTGATGTCGATGATCTTGTTGAGGTTCTTGGTGACCACCTTGGTCACGTCGTGCAGCTTCTGGAAGTCGTACTCGGTCGGCGACTTGACGAACGACGGCAGCGCAATGGACGCCAGGTTGCAGACGGCAACCTCGTCGGGGCTCGAGTACTCGACGATCTCCGTGCACAGGTTGGAGCACTTGATGGTGCCCAGGTTCTGCTGGTTGGACTTGCGGTTGCACGCGTCCTTGTACAGCATGAACGGGTTGCCGGTCTCGATCTGCGCATCCATGATGGCGTACCACAGCTTCTGCGCGTCGATGGTCTGGCGCGGCAGCCCAGGCGTGCGCTCGTACTTCTCGTACAGCGCCTCGAACTCGTCGCCCCAGACGTCCTGCATGCCGGGCGCCTCGTGGGGGCAGAACAGCGACCACTTGCCGCCGCCAATGACGCGCTTCATGAACAGGTCCGGGATCCACAGCGCGTAGAACAGGTCGCGCGCACGCACCTCCTCCTTGCCGTGGTTCTTGCGCAGGTCCAGGAACGCAAAGACGTCGGCGTGCCACGGCTCAAGGTAGATGGCAAAGGCGCCGGGCCGCTTGTTGCCGCCCTGGTCGACGTACCGCGCGGTGTTGTTGAAGACGCGCAGCATCGGCACAAGCCCGTTGGACGTGCCGTTGGTGCCGGCTATGTACGCGCCGGTCGCGCGGATGTTGCTCACGTGCAACCCAATGCCGCCGGCGTTCTTGGAGATCTGCGCGCACACCTTGAGCGTGTCGTAGATGCCCTCGATGCTGTCGTCGTGCATGGCAACGAGGAAGCACGATGAGAGCTGCGGCCGCGGCGTGCCCGAGTTGAACAGCGTCGGGCTGGCGTGCGTGAAGAACTTGCTCGACATCAGGCTGTACGTGTGCAGCGCCGAGTCGATGTCGGCGCCGTGGATGCCCAGCGACACGCGCATCAGCAGGTGCTGTGGCCGCTCGACAACGCGGCCGTTGACGCGCAGCAGGTACGAGCGCTCGAGCGTCTTGAACCCAAAGTAGTTGTAGTTGAAGTCGCGGGAGTAGTCGAGCGCCGCGTTGATCCGCTCCTCGTTGGCCAACACGGTGGCCAGCAGCTCGGCCGACACCATGGGCGAGTGCCTGTTGGTCTTGGGGTTGATGAACGCGTGCAGCTCCTTGACGACGTCCGAAAAATTGTCGTGCGTCTCCTTTTGCAGGTTCGAGATGGCAATGCGCGCTGCAAGGATGGCGTAGTCCGGGTGCTGTACTGTCATGTAGGCGGCGGTCTCGGCCGCCAGGTTGTCCAGCTCGACTGTGGTCACGCCCTGGTAGACGCCGCTGATCACCTTTTGCGCGACTGAGGCGGAGTCGACAAAGTTGGTGTCCAGCCCGTAGCTTAGCTTGTTGATGCGTGCGGTGATCTTGTCGAACTGCACCTTTTCGCTCTGGCCGTCTCTCTTGACAACAAACATTGGCGAATTTGGGGGAATTTGGGTAAAGGGGCGGGTGTGGCTGGAGGGGGGGAAGAGAATGCAATAGACCAATAATATAGGCGGATTAATAGAGAGAGTCGCGATAAAGTGGATAGAAAAAGAAGAAAGATAGAAAAGGGCAATAGTTGCTGCGTTAGTGATAGCTATGGGTGCTAAAGCAAGAGTTAAAAAACAGAGGAGTAGAAGAGAGAGGGGTGGCAAACGTTGGGCTCTTTTTATACCATCCAGGCGGTAAATGGGCACACCAGTCCGGATTTTTTTTATCTAGTCTTCCGCCTTTTTTTCTTCTGCTTTTTGTTTACTTCAAAAAACGGCGAGAAAAATTGTTGCTGAGCCGAAAAGAAAAATAAAAGCAGCCAACCAACCAACCACAAAGCAAGTCGGCTTGTTTAGCATTGCGCGTTCACCCCCCACTCAGAACAGAGACGCGAACACGAACGCGTTCATCTATTCCGTTCTGAACACGTATTTTTCGCGTTAGCCGATCAGATAATCATTGCCGCTTGATTTTTCTACCTTCTTCCACACACGCCATTCCAAAAAGATGACGACACCCAATACGAGCAAGCATGAAAAAGAAAATATGGAGAAATAAGAAAAATTCATAAAAGAAACATAAAATTAAAACGAAACGAAACGAAACAAGACAAAAAAGAAAAGAAAAACACAAACAAACCCATGCACACAGCAAGAGTAGGGTCTTTTAATGTTGTCAAAATACGCGTAAGAAGGAAGGAAGGAAGGAAAGATGGATGGATGGATGGATGGATGGAAATGGACGATATGCCGCCAAATACGCCCTACGCCATGGCTATGGCCAGCTTGCTTTCAGGCGAAGCGCCCGAGCGAGCCAGCCACATCTGCAGTCTATTCCTATTAACCTCAAGCCAGATGTCCGCAATAGGCCTCTTGATCAGCCCCTTGCGCACAATCTTCAAGTATGAGAAGAAGCTGCAAACAGCGACCATGCGGCCATGGCAATGGTGGCACAAAGGCTTGTTGTCCTCGTCGTTATCACTGAACCGCATCCTGTACATCTCGCAGCGCACATTTCTGCCCACCGTGTCGCCGCTCGACAAGGACAGCCGGTGGTCAGACAGCGACCCTGGCTTGGGCGTCAGCGGCCGGTTAATCGAGCACCCGCAGAGGTAGCAGCCCAGGGAAAGCACGCGGCCCATGCTTGTGCGCGGCGAAAACGACTCTAGCACCAGGGTGTTCTCTTGCACCCCGTGGAGCAGCCGACGGTGCCGGTGCCAGGACGACAGCGACGGCAGACCGGAGGCCACGTCGGCCATCAGAGTCGGGCCAATATCCTCACGCATACATCTCTGCATAAAAGTACTGCCTTGCACTTCCTTTTCCGAAACGACATTTAAAAAGTCCAGAAATTCAGTCAGCCTGATATCTGTCCTCGAAGCGTCGTTGCCGAAATACATCAGCCCAGAGATATGCGGCTCGCCCGCCATGTTTTCACACTCTCCAGACGCTGCAGACCCAGACCCAGACGCGGAAGATCCATTGGCAGCACCAGCACCAGCGGTAGAAGCAGAGGCAGTCGCATAAGGCGTGGTTTGTCGCTCAAAAGCCTGCATTCCACTGCGCATCCGCTCAGTCTCCATGCGTTCGCGATCCAAAGCCACCGTTGTGGACTCCAGGCTCTGTTTCAGCGCGCCCACCTGCGACCGTTCCATAACCAGCAGCTGATCAATCTCCGCGTGTCTCTTGGCCATCCTATCCAGCTCATCCCTATGCTCGCGGCGCTCCTGCGCAACAAGGTTTTGCGCCTCATATTGGATATTTGAGCTCAACTCTGCCAGCTCACACTCCATCAATGAGCACTTGGTTTCGGCCGCCGTGCGCAAATTGTACTCGACGCGGAGATTGCGCATGGCAGCGTCCACCTCCGCCTGCAGTCTCTGGATCTCGGCATTGCTGCTCTGTCGCAGGTAATCCAGTTGTATCTGGAGCTGGTTGGCCTCGGCCATGGCCTCGTCGCGCTGCTCTTGGGCGCGCAGCATTAGCTTTTCGTGGTGCTCAGTCATATGTGGCAGTGGTTGTTCCGGATATTGCGAGTGTCTTTCGTCTCTTTGCGATAAAAAGGAGGTGAGCGAGGCGTTGGTATTGGAGCGCATGGTTTGTCGCTTGAACCAGTTGGACTCTGCGGATGCCTGCCGCCCGTGCGTGTTGAGTATCGGGTGGGAGTTTTCGGCGGTAGCTGCAACCATCATTATTGTGGATATCGGACGACTGCTGCTGCTGCTGCTGGCTGAGATATCGGATTCTGGACTGCTACTGTGCTTGGATAAATCGGAATTATTTGCACGTGTAAAGCCACATTTGTCTGTATTTGAAATGTGCGCGATGGCGCAGTGCGCATCTTGACCCACCGTATCCGGCAATACCAAACAACCACTCTTGTCTTTGCTGCTACCTCCAGTGGTGATGTTGCTGCTGCAGGTAATGGACACAATCGAAGATGGTTGCGACCCATGCACAAAATCGCTGGCGTGCATCTGTGGCGAAGGCAACGAGCACGCCGCTGCCTCTGCTGCCGCTGCCGCTGCCGCCGCCGAATCTAACCGAACCATAGGCAAAGTATGAGTAGACAAATCCGATGGGTGAGTATTGGATGTAGGCAAGTGATTCAACTGGCGGCCACAATCAGAATTTGCTGTAGCCAAGTTGTTTTTGGTCAACGCCCGTCCCTTCTGCACGCCAGCTACTGCCTCTGCTGATCCGGAATATTCAGTATTGGAGACACCCTCCTTTTTTAAATGAATTTGGGGAGTCGGTGACTGCGACCTTGTCCTGTACAGTGTGTCGCCAGGCAATAACATTATTGAGACTCGGGCCGGAGATGGGGATGAGGGACCCGCAGACGAGCAGTAACTTGATGATCTCACATTACCCTCTGCTGCTGCTGCTGCTGCTGTTGTCGCCATTGGCACTTTGAGAGGCCGTCTGCGCCGCTGCGATGGGTGATCCTCAGAAGTTTCCGATTTTGGGGAAGACAGTAAGTCAGATTCGTTGGGTGCGTCAAAGGACCCGCTGCGCCGCATGCTGATTTCTGTTGGAGTGGCTAAAAAGGGCGACTGGGCCTGCGCCTCATTTGCTGTCTTTGAGGTATCTATGGGGCTGACAACTGGCTTGCGTCCTTTTCTCTCGCTGCTGCGGTATTTGTTGGAAATAATAACGCCCTGTCGCTTTGTCGCCGTGCCAGGACCGCTCGAGGCTTTTTCTGCTGAAGACACGTTGCCTGTACATGGCACCTCGGTCTGTGCTACTGCTGAGTCGGAATACAGAGGTTTGGCCACTGATTGATTGGGTGTCCACAGCTCTTTGTCTGTTATTGTCTTGGTCGAGTGGTGTAGCATTTTGGGAATACGCCGGTTATTGCGAGTAGGGTTTGTGTCTAGTATAAACTGGGTCAGGCGCTGCTCTTGTTGTTCTTGTTCTTGTTCTTGTTGTGGTGGTGGTGGTGGTGGTGGTTGTTTGGGGATATCTGGTGCGAGAAGGTCTTCCAAGTGAAGCTTATTGGCGATGTCGACAAATAGCGAGGCAAGCGAAATCGCGCCCGATGATCTTTTGTGTGGACGGCGCTCTCGCTTTGAGTGTACGGGTGTGGGGAACGCAGATTGGCCAATCTACAGATTGTGTGATAAAATAAAATGTTTTAGAGAATGTAAATACGCAAATATGTGTTTTTATGTGTGTTTGAAGGAGCAAAATATGAATAAAGCGTGATGTGGAAAAACAGAATATATAAGAGAAAGTAAGCTATAGGACGCAAAAAAATTGGCGATATCGAGTTACAAATATGAAAAAGAAAATAATAACTGGAGACAAAATACAAGTGTAATTTTTTTGTGGCCAGAGAAAAAATGATAGGGGCCATGGAGAGAGCAATAGCAAAAAATCAAGGCGTGGACATTAATGGCGGGGCGCCGAAAATAATATTAAAAACCTGCTCAAACTTGATGACACGTAAAAAATAGTAAGACAATCAGGAGCGAAAAAGACAAGTAAAAAAGAAAAAGAAAAAGACTGAAATTCTGAAATTCTGAAATGCCACCATATGCTCGTAATTGCAGAGCAGACGTAAATAAAATAAACCGTCATTGTACTATTTTTGGGTGCCGGATATTGTTTTATTTCTCTCTTTTTTTTATCCCGACAAAGTGGAACTCGTAGGATAAAATTAGCAATATTATGTGGCTTGAATGTGTATTGTATTGTTTTTGCGAGTATGTGCTCAAGAGCAGTCTGCAAAAAAAGGACCAAAGCAAAGGCCGAATTGAAAGGAAGAACGCTATTATGAGAGGATGGATATAATGGAAATCCAACCACTTTGAGATCATAATTGCACTCTCATGGAGGTTTCCGGTGTTTAGCATTCCTCAGGGCACAAAAAACGTATATATATGTGCTTGGCAAGCACACAATATATAAAATGACAGTTTAAAAAGCCATACACAAGCATACGGAAAATAATGTTTTTTTTGTGTACAATGTAAATGGTATAGTGCCAAGATAATGGATTGCGGTAAACGAAACAATAGGCAAGTCTATCGAGATATGTTGATATTGTTTATAATTTGCTCGGGTATAAATGGAAGAGGAGAAAAAGGAGGAATGTAATTCGAATATAAGCATCATCAAAACAAATATGGCTCAAAAATATAAATGGGAATTTAGAAAAAATATAGCCACCTCACTGATGAATTACGATTGAGCGATAAAGAAAAATAGTGAGAATAAAAGACAATTAGGATTTTTGTTCATATTATGTTGTTCAATGGATCGTACGATTTGACACTCGTATGTCTTTTATCATTGTAAAAATAGAGAATAAACAAGCGTCGACATTAGGCCAAACAGAGAATCTATTGAATTTCGACTAGGTATATTGGTCAAAGATTGAAGCAGAAAAATGGATGCATACCCGGTATTACGAATAAAAATATAAAAATTGTACAGTCAATAGTTATATAAAAATCGAGTGGAGACAAGGAAAAGGACGCGAGAATGTTCTGAGCAAAATTGTAATTTTGTCGACAAAGCATCGCATAAGAAAACGTTGGTTAATGAAAAGTAGTTTGCCAGGAAAAAAAGTGTTGTGTATGACGCAAAAGTAATTGTAAACAAAAGAATACCGTTGTGCCAAAACAGAGTTACTAAATATACTTATAAAATGGTTGGAAATCCTAGATATATCAAGCACTTGCAACTGGAACGTGCGGGGGCGTGTATTTGTATTTGTGTGATGGAGTTTTTTTTTAAACTAGGCCCTAGTTTTTATTTTGGTTATGAAACATTTGCCATGAAAATGTTACTGCATTACAATTTTATAAGGCTCAGAGCAATATTAATGGCCACTTGTGATGATTGAGGCGAGGAAAGTAGGCTATTAGCTAAACCAGAGCCAATATTAAAAAATGAATTAAAGAGGGAGCAGGCACAAAAATTCCCGGCGCAACTGCTAAATATATGGCTGGGATTGGGCAGAAAGCAGTATTTGCACTTTGTTCTTGGAAATGGGACTATGTTTTTGAGATCAAAATACTAGTTTAAAAAGTACTGCTCTTCGTGTTGGTCAATTATAAAAAATAAACTGGGGCAAGCACTGCACAGAAGCAGAAGATGTGGCTCCAAGGGCACAGATACTCGATAAGGGTAAAGAAAAGGAGCAACTAGCTACTCGCACAATTAAAAGGAAACGGAAATAAGGGATGTTGCGGAATTTAAACAATGGTGCATTATAGTCGTTTGAATACGACATTTGCGCATTGTATGATGAATCGGGGGAGTGAGAAAAATAAATAATGTAATAGTGAGAGAGAGATAAAAAGATAAATACTAATTTGAAGGCGTAAAGATATAATAAATGACAGGGAATATTAACTTACCGTACTGTTGTCAAACACCAATGTTGAAGAAGCCAAAGATGATGTGATCGAGGAGGATGTAGTTGAAGACAAGCTTAGGTCACTGCCGATGAGGCTCGACTCTACGAAGGGTTCCAAAGAGTTATTTGTATGCTGATTCTGCTGTTTCTGTTGCTGCTGCTGTTTCTGATGAGTAACCAATGGCGTAAGTAATATAAACGTCATTTTGTGCTTTCTCGTTAGTGTGGTTATTTACTGGTAACAAAAAGTGAATCAGGAGTAAAGTACTATAAGAATAAATAGAAATAGAAATAGAAATAATGAGAATGAGAATGAGAATGAGAACGAGTAAAGGTTGTAGAATATAGATTAGAGATTAAAAATAAATATGTAAATATAAAATATGTTGCAATGACAAAGGCAAAGGCAAAGGCAAAGGCAAAAAAGAAGGAAGCTTAAAAAACATTGGTGTTTCCTGAAATATCAATTTCGGACCGATAAAAAACCAACACAAGAATAATAGCAAATAAAGTATTGAAATATTTTTAATAAAAAATTGTGCGAGAAATTACAAAAGAAAAATGAAAACCTAGAGGGGCCGCGAACAATGAGATAACAAGAAGTCGGTCCCAAGCATAATGCAATTCAATGATTTGAGGGATCAAAAGTGGTCTGCTGTCAACAGGAGATATGAAAAGACAAGGGATGGGAATGAAAAAAGGTGTCAACAATCTATTATTCTTCCTGTTGACAAAGAAGACACCCGATACAAGCGACAGATTAAAGAAAATTTTCAAGGCTGGAAAGGAAACAAAAATAAAAGGGAGGCAAGGGATATTTGATGGAATAATATGATGGGTATGTAAAGCAGAGACGACATTTTGTGTTGAGTAAACAAAAAATGTTAAGAATACACAAACTTGTCGTTTAGGCTTAGAGTGAATTTTTTGCTGACTGAAAGGAGTAAACAAGTTTCCGACGTTTTTAGTTTTGCTCATTTCGTCTTTGATAATAAGAGCTATTCGACAAGTTGAATTTCTGTTTACTTTCTCTCACTGTGTCGCTGCGCTGGTTGTCCCCCCCCCGCCCCGAAATTTGTACCAACAAGCTGCGATAAAAAAGAACAAGAATGTGTGTGGCCGCTAGTCACACGGTCCTACTTTACATTAAAACAGGCAATTGCAGGGTAAACAGTTAATTGTTGAAAAATTAACAGAAAAAGTGTTACTTTGGGAAAAGTGTGCTGAAATGCAGTAAATGCAAAAACAGTTCAAATTTAAATGTACACATAGCCAAACGTAGTTATCGAGTTAACAGTCAACTGAAGCACGCGAGCTAATTCAGACTTGTAATCTAATTTCCATTAATATTGGTTACTTTGGCCCTACCAACGTTGAGTTGTGTTGTGTTGCGAGCAACGTTTTATTGCGCGTTATGACGATGAGAGCACGGTCTACTGCTATTACATAATGTAATCAGTGCGTATTTGCAATGCATTCTTCCAATTTTGTTCACATTGCTTTGCCTGGTGTTGCTCTGAGGAAACGAAATGACACTTTGCTTAAACAAACGCACAGCCACCTAACTTTTCTAATAACCGAAAACTCTGAAACACGTGTCGTGTGTTATTCTTGTAATGATTCTCCATTTTATATTTTATGTTAGAAAATAGTAATAATAACGGGAAAAATGAAAAGAAAAAGAAAAACCACAGGATTAAATATCTTCCATTATCAGGCGCGGCATAATATTCATTGCCTGCAGCTCCTGGAACAAGAGCTTGCAAGCATAGGGAATCTTGATTGGAACCATGTTCTTGCTCGAACGGCACATTTGGCACCAGCCCTTATACCCAATATACCCGCATGTTCCGCAAACATGCACCTCGAATACGTCCGACGAAATCATCAGGCGCTCGAGCAAAAGCATGGATGCGCCGTAGCCGATAAGGCAATCCTTCTCCATCTCTCCCAGACGCAGACCACCATCACGAGATCTGCCCTCTGTGGGCTGGCGCGTAAGACCAGCGCGCGGACCGCGGGCACGAGCGTGCATCTTGTCGGCCACCATATGCTTCAGACGCTGGTAGTACGTATTGCCATTGAAGATGTAAGCGCCGATGGGCTCACCAGTGATGCCCGACGTCACGTAGTCCTTGCCCGTGTAGCTGTATCCGTTCTCAATAAGAATGCGGCACATGTCCTCCATCTTGCTGCCGCCAAAGCAAGTGCCGTACTGGAGCTCGCCCTTGATGGCGCCGGCCTTGCTGGCAACAAACTCCATCAGCTTGCCGACGGTCATTCGCGACGGGAAACCGTGGGGGTTCATAATGATGTCGGGGTAGATGCCGCGGTCAGTGAACGGCATGTCCTCTTGCTGCACAATGATGCCGCACACACCCTTTTGTCCGTGTCGCGACGAGAACTTATCGCCGAGTTCAGGGCGGCGCGTCTGGCGCAGCAGAAACTTGATCAGCGTCTGGTCGGTCTCTGAAGTCGTGAGCATGACCTTGTCAACGTATCCGTGGTCTGGGTACTTGAACGACATGGGCGTCTGGCGGTACTCAACGGAGCCACTCGAGGCCGAGCCGGCCATTCCGGCGTTGATGTCGTTTCCGCCGTCAACGGGCGACTGCTTGTTCAGATAAATCTGGCCGTTCTCCAGACGCGACCCGGGGGGAGCCATGCCATCAGAGTCGACAAGAGCATAGCGGTCCTGGACGGTGCCATCGGGTAGCGTGGGCGGGCCGATGACGCGGTCGTAGGTACCGTTGGCGTACTTGCGCACGATGGCTGTAAACTTGCGCATGACCTGGCAGCGGCCGAAACCGCGGTCGAGCGACGACTTGTTCATGACCAGAGCATCCTCAATATCGTACCCAGAGTATGACATGACAAAGACGGAGCCATTCTGGCCGGCGGGCAGCTTGTCGTAGTTGATAAGCTCGATGGTCTTGGTCTTGACCATGGGCTGCTGCGGGTAGACCATTAGGTACAGCAGCGTATCAATGCGGTTGAGCTGGTTGTAGGCAATGGCGCCAATAGCCTGCTTTCCCATCGCAGACTGGTACGTGTTTCTGGGCGACTGGTTGTGGTGCGGGAACGGGATGAGGCCGGCGACAGCGCCCAACAGCGTAAAGGGCTCGATCTCCAAGTGTGTGGTGTAGGGCTTGATCTCGTGCTGGTAGATGGTAATTATGCAGTCATTCTCCTCATTGACATCGAGGTACTCGATCAGGCCGAGGCGCAAAAAGTCGTCAAATTGCAGCTTGCCTGCCATCAGCTCCTGGATGTGGATGTCCTTGACGCGGCTGACGCCCTTGTCGACGATGATCAGCGGGCGGCAGATACGGCCGCCGTCAGCCGAGATGTTGACGGAGGTGCGGTGGTCGTCGATGAAGATGCTGACAAAGGCTGGGATGCGACCACTGCGGCGCAGCACGCGGAACTGGCGCACAAAGCGCTGGGCGGCACGTGTGATGCCGAGAATCAGGCCGTTAAGGAACACAATGTGCGTGCCCGGCGCGTGCATCTCGGCACCGGTGATCAGCGCCGCGTCCTCGACGCCGAGCGCATAGGCCACGCGGCGGATGGGGTCCTCCTCGTCATCGGTCGTAATGTGTGTCATCAGCGCAAGGTTCTTGACCAGACCGCACAGCTCACCCTCGGGCGTATCGGCTGGGCACAACATGCCCCACTGCGATGGCTGCAGCGCGCGCGGGCCCGACACCTTGCGCGTCTTCTCGAACTGACTGCTGATTCGCGTCATCATTCCCAGCGCTGAGATGTACGACAGCCGTGACAGGATATGTGTGACACCGGCGCGGTCCATCTTGAAGCGCTTGAGCGACCAGTTTCCGGTGCTGATGGCGCGCGTAAGGCCCTGGGTGATCAGGTCGCCATGGCACATCAGCTGGTTGTGCGCATCAAAGGCCTGCGCCAGGTTGGGCTTCTTGAGTACCTTGTCGATGTTGAGCTTGAGGTCCGAGTTGAAGCGCTTGAATAGATCTTCGAACAGCAGCGCGACCAGCTGCCCGGCCAGCTCGAGTCGCTTGTTGCCCAGGTAATCCAGGTCGTCAACCATGTCCTCGCGCCCTGCGGCCTGCAGCACGCGCCGCGCCATCATGGCCACGTACACACACTTGGCGCGGAAGTCAGCGCCATTGACCGGCACGTGCGCCAGCACCATGTTGGCCAGCACGTCCAGCGCCTCCTCGTGTGGCTGGCGCTTGGGGCGCCGAACCGCCGAGACGAGCCCTTGCTCTTAGCGCCGATATTGTCAAGCGCCGCGCGCTGCGTGAACAGCTTGGAAGCTGCGCCCTCCTCCAGCGTTGGCGACAGCATGTCGAGGTACAGCGGGTCGAGCCCGGCGACCAGCTGCGCGATCTCCTTGTCTGAAGTCATGCCCATGGCGCGCATTGCGACGACCAGCGGCACATCCTCGCCAAGCATGTTGTGCTTAAGGTACAGGCGGCTGTTCTTGTACACGACGTACGTGTTGGACTTGACCTCATGCGTGCTGGACGTAACGTTGGCAGACATGAAGCCCTTATTGTCCGTCTTCACAATGATTCTGTTCTTGGACATCTGCTCTTGCACCAGAATGACCTTCTCTGTGCCGCGCACAACAAAGTAGCCTCCGGGATCCAGCGGGCACTCCTGCATTGCCGCCATCTCGGCCTCGTTGCGCCCCGTCAGCACGCACCGCGCCGACCGCAGCATTATGGGCATGCGTCCAATCACCACGCCCTTGCGGATCACTCGCGACCGCCCCCGTGTGTACTCAATATCCACTGCCACCGGCGCAGCGTACGTCATGTCGCGCAGCCGGCACTCGTGCGGTGTGATCGACCGGTTGGCTGCGTCCGGGTCCATACGCTCGGGCATCTGCACACGGATACCGTGTACTTGAGGTAGAACCCGGGTCGACATCCGATGTCACCATCTCGTTGGCCTTGACGATTTTCTTCAGATCAACCTCGATGAAGTAGTTGAACGAGTCGATGTGCTGTTTGACCAAGCCCTTCACCCGCAGGAACGCCGGCAGCAGCTGCCATTTGTCGTCGACCGTCGGGATTGGGCTGCTCAGCTCCTTTGCATCGAGCGGCTGGCCGTTTCTGCCGCTGAGCCCGAGAAGCGCCTCGACGTCCTCCTGTTGTGCGTGTGCTGACAGATGTTGGTGCTGGAGGTAGCTGCCCTCGACATTCATTCTGGAATTGGGGATGCGGCCTTTCTAGCTTGTCTAAAATAGAAGGAAAAAGAAATAAGAAAATTAAGAAACAAAGGGGGCCTGAATTCGAATCGAACGAAAAGAACGTTTGGATTGAAAATGAATTAAGGAGCGTTGAAAAAACGAATGAATAACACTTTTTTATTTGTGGGCCTCTGTTGCTTCACGTAAAATTTGTTGAGACGAACATTTTTCTTTGTGCTGTATTCAAGCCATGATCCGCAGATCAAATCATCATCAGCATCGTCTGGAAACCCGAAATGGTGATGATCAGGCCAACTCCAATAAACACCGCTGTTTTCCTCAAATGCAAAGCGGAGGCAGCTCCAAAATTTCAATTTTTTTATATTTTTCTCTAGACGCTGCGGCATTTCCATCTATTGGCGAATTAGGAAAGGGTTGGGCTGTAAATGAAAGGCGCGGTGTTCTTATTGCCATCTGAGAAGACAGTGAGTAAACAAAATGTTCAAAGTAAACAGCCTGCGTTCAGACATTTTGTCTTTTTTGTTTTCGTTTCTTTTTAAATTTCGAGTTTTAATCGTACGGCCAACTAGACCAGTCTCACGGCCAAGCTACTTTTCATTTTGACACGGATAGCAATTCATCTGTAAGCAAATCAATAACCTTTTAATTATTTTTGATTTTAGTCCGGAACTTATTTTTCATATCTGCTCAATATTACCATGTGTAGTTCAAACCCGCTCATCCAGCCATTGTATTTTTTATGTTCGCTCCAAATGTGCCTTTCAGGCACATCTTCCAGACAAACGGATATTTGTTGGAAATATAAAAAGGACTACATATTTGTGCGGGGGTATAAATATTACTCAATTTCATCATCTCCGCCTTTTTTTGCACACTTTTTTTCTCCAAAAATAGGCGTCTTTGCCTCTCCTCACCCCCCGCACACACACAGACATACAAGCATAAAAACACACTATTATTTCCCCCATTTATTTTATAATGAGTGTTTTAATCTCTAGTGGAATAGATACGCGAGCCAGCCTTGGTTCTAGATGCCAGTCGTATTAATAACCTACTTTGAATATTATATTGCCGATGACCGAGAATAGGGCCTCCATTATAACTCTGGAATCACATTTTTATTTGCCTGAATTTTTTTGCATATCAAAACGAAATACATAATTGAAGCGCGAAATTGATGATCAAACCATGCTCTTCAAAAAAATTTTTAGTTGGCAAGAACCATCCTTATATCCACATCATCTTGTCTTTCTCTAGACATTCTATTTCATATTGATAGGCTTTTAACACTATTATAATTATTTATTTAATTACCAATGAATAGTGGTGGCGACAACAACGACGAAAAAGAGAGAAACAGGCAGATCTGCCTGGACACCGAGTCGAGCATCTGTCTGCATTTGATAAGACGCTGTACCCGTCGCAGATGCTGGGCTCAATGGCGGACATCAAGTCCCTGGACCTAAGCATCGGCCAGGACATCATGATGATTCCAGCCGAGGTAGCCTCGTCCGACACACATTTTATCCCGCGCATCCATGAAGTCAACGGATCCAGCGACAGCCAGCAGCAATTCACTCACTTGCTGGGTGTGGGCAAAAAGCCCACTGCAGCTGGCAGCAGCAGCCTTGGCCAGAGCAGTAGGCATTGCAGCGTGGCGACTACCGATATGGCTTACGCGGGGGATACTGAGGACTACTTCCAGGGTGTCTCAGATGCAGATACAGAGATGGATCGGGAGCTGCAAGCGGCCATCGACACTGTTCTTGAAGGACGCATGCCAACCATCAATGGTGTGCCGTCTAAGCAGAACAGCCAACATGCTGTCTACAACCGCAACGGCATTCTGGGCAGCGCGCGCAAACTTACTGGGAAGCTGTTTAGGGCCAATGACAGCGCATTTGTGCCTGTTGATTTGGGTCAGCAGCCGCAGCCGCAGCCGCAGCAACAGCAGTCGGCCATGGTCTACCTCCGCTTAGCGAGGCGCTGGGGCCTGCGGATGTTCAGCCGCAGCGCCGCACTCTGGGCAAACTATTTAGCGCCGGTTTTCCAGACGCCGCGAAGAGACACCGTCGCTCTCAGACGGCCAAATGTCCATGTCATCGATGGAGAAAGAGTCCACCGAGAGAAAAATCGACAGTGTAATCCCCGATGACCAAAAGTCCATTGTGCGCGCTGCCTGCTGCCTGCCAGAGCCCGTTACAGGCCCGCCTCGTCGCGGCAACAAATTTTTGCGCCCAATCACAGAGTTTGTGCAGAAGCGCCCGCTGGCCAGCCTTGGCATTGCACTGGCCGGATTGGTGGTATTCCTGGTCATCATAATCATTCTGCTGATCTGCGCTGTCTTCCCGTTCCTGATGCGCTCAACACTCCAGGACGTTTCACTGGTCGTCACCTCGGTGCATGCCCTCCCGCCGGCGGAGGTGTCCCGCGCGCTGTCGATTGCTCGTGCAGACCGCGTGGATTCGCGCGATGGGTTTGGCAGAAATGCCCGATTGGGGTTGGAGCCTATTGGAATTCAGGCTGTGCACAATGCGCCAAAGGCATTGTGGGTTCGCGACATTCAGAGAGTGTGGCTCCAGTGCAACATCAGCAGAGCCAGCATCAGAGCCACCGGCATCATTTGGCTGTTTCCAGTGCTGTTCATAATGGTGGCTCTTCGCTGACTGCCTTGCGCAACGAGCCAATGACGGTCCGTGTATCTGCACATTCTTCCAGAGACACCAGAAGCTTGGAAATTCAGGTAAGTGCTTCAAGTGCACTACCACTACCAGCTCGCACGCGTCGCCGCAGGGATTCAAAAGAGTAGTTGAAGACGAAATAGTAACCCTCACCAGCATCTCCATAAGCACCGTACATATTCCGATGCAGAGATCGAACATGCTGCCCACTCACACTGCAACTTCCACATCGCTGACTCGGGCCACGTCTGTAGCCGAAGTTCATAGCGCGCCAGAGAGCAATATGGCGGGATCAATTACAGCTACCTCATACATGCTGCGGGTTGGTGGAAACTTGACTTCAGGCGGGCCGATCGGCGTGAATATCGAGTTTACCGAGCCCCTGCGCATGATATGGCGTGACATCGAGGTCGGCGTCATAGAGCGCCCGGAGAGCATCCACATACCGGGCAAAGGAACGGCGCAGTGGACATGGCCGGACTTTGAAGTCCTCATCCCCAATTCGAGCGGCGACAAGTCTGCTGTAGTTCAGCGCCGCATGCAAGACGGCAGCGCAGTGCTTGGCAGAGCATCCACAGACAACACGCGCGCTGACATTGATCAGGCTGGGTCTGCACACGAAGGCCTGACCAACTGGTTTGGTGCCATCAGTGCGCACCGCTCGTTCACCATGCTGTGGAAGTCGCGCGTCAGGGTTTCTGCTATTGGATTGCACACCGACAACATTACGTTTGAAAAGCTTGTGAATGTCGTTTGCGGCGAGTCTGGGAGCTGCACCATCGACGGCACATCATTTGTGAGCTAGGCCTTTTTTCAATTATTTTTAGTTATAATAGTTATCTTTATTTAATCTTGATAGTAAATTACATTTTGCCTACATATAATCTTTTAATATGCAGCCAACATTTTTTAATTGTACATGTTAGGGCTCAAAATGTGTGCAAAATATTGTTTTATTGGTCAATTTGCGTGTCTTGATCGCGATCAACATTTATTTTGATTACATCGATCATGCTTTTTTTTGTAGTCTTTTTTTTCTGCCCTCAACAGGACAAACATGTTCTGTTTTCACTGTTCGTTTTTACTCTTTCAATTCTCACTCAACTACATTACACTCTTGTTTTTTACACTAAAACACAATTCCTTATATAGAGAAATGCCTAAATCCCAGGACAACGGCGAGAGCTCAGGTCGCCAGGAGATCAACTCGCAAGAAAAGGAGTTCCAAAACTATCAAAAATCGTTGCAGAACAAACGCACAACGCCCTAAATCGCAATGCAAACACCGGCAGCAACAATTACAAGCAGAACAACAAACCCGACGCCAAAAAGAAGGACACTGAGCGCGACGAGCGGATTCCCAAGAGCGCGTCTAAATGCAAGAAGCAGGTGCGCGACATCAACCGGCTCCTCAACAGCAAACAACTGATGCCGTCGACGAAGCGTCTAGAGCTGGAGCGGCGAATCAAGGCACTGACGGTGATGCAGACACAACTGGCCGGCTCGCACAATGACAAGGCCAATGCGACCAGATATCATGGTGTCAAATTCATCGAGCGCAAAAAGGTGCTGCGCAAGCTTGAGCAGCTTGACAAAAAGATTATTGCCGCTGACAGGCACAGCGAAGAATTTGAGGGCCTCAGGACAGAGAAGCGCGAGCTTCTGATGGAGCTCAATTACACCACATACTACCCTGATGAGGTCAAGTACATCTCGCTGTTTCCGGCTGATCCTAAGAGCACCAGCGAGGACACCAAGGAGAGGCAGGCAAAGATTAAGGAGGCCATTCGGGCGGCGATGGGCAGGGGCGATTTGCCCAAGGATGCGAGAGAGGTGGCCGCTCGGGATCGCAAGGCCATCCGCCGGAGCAACAAATTCCTGCTGCGCTCGGTGTCGCTCGCTCACGGGCTGAAGGACACTGGCGGCAATAGCGAAAACGAGGACGACTCGGATGACAGCCAAGACGACGACAACGAGGGTGGTGCTGCTGCTTCTAGCGGTGCGGCGGACATTGAGAAGGACGAGTTTTTTGCGTAGGGCCATTTTTTGAGTATAAGAAAACAAATTTGCGTATTCAACAAACATTGGGAAATGGAAAATAAAAAGACGTTAATATAAGCTATATTTTACTGTAAACATGATTGGCATCTGCGCTGCTTCCAACGGTCGGGTGCCGCCTGACCAGGTCTTTGTATGTAGAGGTGGCGGCCGTCGAGTACGCCTGCGCCACGTCGCCAGCAGTGTCAACATCAAATGCTGGCGCGCTGTACTCCGTGTCGAACGATGAGCGAACCAGCCCCAATTCGGCATCCGCAATCCTTGCCTTTATTAGCATGGACTTCAGCGAGTCCATCCTCTGGTAGTGAGAGGAGCCACCATCCAGTGCATCCGCTCTGTCTACCATCGTCGACATACTTTCGCGACGACCTCCAAACAAGAGGGCGAGCAGGGACTTGCGCACTTCGCCATACGCCTTGACAAATGCGGGGTCGGTAATGAACACGATAAAGTTGGCAAATGCAATGGCTGGGATGGAGAACCAGGAAAGGCTGACCATGTACACCCACCTGTTGGCGTCCTCCTTGAACGTCATTGTGAGGTCGTACTGCAGCGCGTAAAACATGGTGTTGATGACCCACCAGGCAATGGGCGCACAGGGGTAGAGGGCAATGCGGATAGCCGCGCTGTTGAACTTGTGCATGATCCTGAAGCTGCGCTCCAACTGCCGCCTTGTTTCTTTGGCCTGTACGTCATATTTCGGAGTTCCAGACACAGAGGTGCTGACATCTGTCGGGCAATCACTGCTGCTGCTGCTACTGTTGCCATCGCTGCTGTGGATGAGGAACTCTCTGTTTGTCTCCGAGATTTCCTTCAGAGAGCAGCTAATCCTGCGCTGTTGCATGATGAGGCCGACGATCACACGCACAGATATGACAACATTGAACAGCAGGGCGAGAAAAGGAATGAGGAGCTGAACACCAACAACATATGCAATATACTGTGGGGTTCCGGTTGGCACTGGGTCAAACGCCGAGCAGTAGCCGTGTGTGGCGGCCCAAATAGTTGGCGGTACCCAGTGCAACAGTGATACGCCCAGCGGGACAGCAAAGTACAAATACTCGATGTACCTCGGCAGACTGGCCAGCCCGCCGCCGTGCAGAGTGATGTAGAGATTGACAGCAATAGATGTTGATGTGTAAACGCTGGCGTATCCAAAGAACACACTGAAGAACATATTTGTGCGGCAGGAGACGACTCCGGTTGTTTTTGCGACGGCTTGAATGAGGCACTCGATAAAATCATAGATACTAATAGCAAATATTAATCTCAGAGACACGCGGTTGACAATGGCGGGACGCCAGAAATGAACACAGGCAAGGAATATGACCATTGCACCACAGAGAGAACTGCCAAGTCCATTGGCCATGTGGGACCCCCATTGCTTGGTGCGGAGAATATCCATTGCGCGGTAAATAATCTCTGATGGGTCTTCAGGGCCCATTTCAAGTAGGCGCTTGACGATCATGGTAAAAGCAGAGATAATGAATAATAACGACGTAACTTGGGGCAGAGCAAAATAAAAGTAGAGTGTGGTTTCAATAAAGATAATAATGTATTGTCTACAAGTTTATATGATTAATAGCTTGGCCATTATAATTTGTTTTTAGCACTGGATAATGGCAGGATGAGAAAACCAAGCTACATTTAAACAAATCACGCAGGAGTTCAGCACATGTGCAGCATTGATTGTACATGTTTGTAACTAGTTGTTTGCGCTGTGTAATTTGACTATACGTCAATATATCTTTATCAAAAATTTAAATGTTTTTCAGATTGAGTGTTTTCAAGCAATATGCAAACATATTATCAATATAAGCACTTGTACATGGGCTTGTAAAATAGACACCGCTTAATCAGAAATCAATTATGTCGATGTTGTCAATCCTTAAAAGAAGGGCAATATGTATTCGCCACAAACAATAAACAATGGAAAGAGGCATTACACAATAGGAACCAAAGTTGAAAAACGTGACAGAGGATTAGTGGTAAATGAAAATGAGCGCATCTCGTTTCTGGTACATGTACTGCGGGTCATGTAAATCAAATAATACTAAATTATTACGCAAGCTGGTGCCAGGCACACATTAAAAATGGTGATGTTGTTTGCATACACTATGCGTGCAACTGGCGGCGGCATTCCCACGACGTATTGCTGAGTAGAATTCAAACTTTATTTTATTGTTTTCAAACTGAGTCTGATTGTAAAATGGTGTCAATTGAACAATCCTGCTGCCTGGGAGAAATACAAAACATTAGCAAAATAGAAGCTTGAAAAAACAAACACAAAATATTTTCTGGATTTCAAGCAAATGCAGCTGCATATAAACGGCGCTCAATGGCTTGTGTTCTATGTATTCCAAATCAAGCGCCGCTTACAATATACAAAAAAACGCAAGCATACATAATTAAATGCAGCCATGAGAAATATAAAATAAATTAATAGTATGTTTGTGGTGGTGTGCAATGGCGGGTGTAAAACAAAATAATTACCACAGATTTATTACATGGGTGCAGCGTCAATCGCAGAGATTTGCCAACATTAAATGTAAAAAATGGATCACCACGAAAAAATGCCATATAGCAACTTTGCTGGGCTTGTTTGAAAATTTGGAATCTGTACAAACAAGAAAACGTAGGGTTAGGAACAATTAATAATACACTAATCAGAAATTGTATACTAAACCATGTTCTTGGAGCCAATAGGAATGTCATTATCTATACTCTCTCAGTCATCCAAATGTATCTCAGACAAGTCATGAGGTACAAGTCCAAACATGACAATTCCAGCTATAAGCATTGAGACAATACAGCAAAAAGCGATATTATTTTGTGTGCTCACATACGCATCCTGAAAAATAGCTCGCTGGTCTACAGGCAATTCCAAAAAGTAAGTGATATTGTTTATCGCGCTGTTAATATCCACGCTCATGTTTAATTTACCCTCAAGCTTAGCCGGAAGCATATTTACCCAAACAGTTATTGAGGTGCCTTCACCAACGACACTTCCAAGACAAGCCACCATTCCATATAATGTAATGGCAATCGGCATGTCTACAGTTGATACGGATTCTTGCACTCCAATACCGACGCAGCTGGTGACAATGCCACCACCAATGCCTTGAACCAATTGCACAACCGCAATTTCTACATTATAAACACCATTTCCTTTGCTACCGCACGAGTGAACCATCATGCAACTGTTGACAAGCTATAGTGCCCAGCCGATCCACGACCAGCGGCGGTATCACTTGGAGTACTGAATTGCCCAACCGCCAAAAAACAGACCAATATAATACCCAGTTGTTCCCATCTGCAGTATCATAGCCATGCGCGATGTCATCTCGCTTGTGACCTGAGTGTACGGGTTAAAGTAGTACAGGGATATGCCTGATGAATAGTTGAAAAATACGTTGACAATGACTGCGCATGTAAATGTGCGCAACTTGAACAGCTTAAACGGCACTACGGAAAACGTGGCCAAGAAACGCTCGTAGTACACAAAGAGTATCAGGGGAAACACACCAATGAACAGGGGCGCAATAAATTGCACGCCCACCCACCCATATAAAATGTTGAGTTGCATTCCCATGGGTGCAAAAATAGAAATAATCCCACCGCTGAATAGAATTAGTCTGAGAATGTCTAGATCTGTCATAATGCTCAAAACCGGTGTGAATAAAGGGTTCTCCTTTACACCACTGTCATTTATTTTTCCCGTGGCAACACGAGCACACCTGTCCAAGACAAACAAGCAGTAGAATGCAGGCATCGAGCACAGGACAGCCAAAATAGCCAGGATTCCATAGACCCATTGCTACCTGTCAACCAAGCTATTACCAACCTCGACTCCCAAATAATAATTAACAATGCTGGGTACAGACACATATGCCGCAACAGAGGCACGCAAGTGGATGGGCAGAATGTCGGACAGAATACTAGTGATAAATGTTTTGAAGCCGACCTGCCCCAGTTCTGAAATGACAGTTCCGCCGAAAATGGCTGAAAAGTTTTTGGCGGTCGCACAAGTAACAAATTCTAGTACCTGCAAAACCACGGCTGCCATTAAAAGCTGCAAGTGACTGAATACATAAGAAAGCTTTGCAAATACAGGGAAAATTCCAGTGACAAGCAGACTGGTGACCGTGCCAATGAGACCAGCGCGCGACATGGCGTTAAAATCGCTGAGACCTCTGGGCTCAACTGTATTCGTAGCGCTAGAGTCCATTACTGTGAGGAAGTTAATAAAAATATACCAACAATAATTATGATTTTGTCGAAGCGATGCCATTTAGTATCCAATTTTGATATTGTGCTATTTGAAGCCATATCAAGAAGATCCTGTGACTTGGTCTCGGAACCAACAGTTGGAATACACAACCCACTTTGGTGTCCCGTGCTGTCAATTATACTGCTGCTGTAATTTACATTATCGGCTAATGACTGTAGATATCTCATGGCGAGTGTGCAAAACTGATTGTCTTTTTGACTATATTTTGGGTAATAAGGCGCAAGTTTATAGAAATTGACAAAGATAAAAAATCTATTATATGTATAGACTGAAAATAATTCTTTAATTGGATCACTCTGCTCAGCAATATATTACAAATATGATTTGCCAAGGTAAAAAATAAATATGTACAAATTGTGACCAGAAGACGCATGTTAATTATGACATGTCACTCATTAATAAATAAAGTTTTAATAAAATACATAACCAGTGCCGACGTAAGCTTATGTGCGCAGCTGTTACAAGATATACTTTTTTGTTGTCATAATTATCTAAACATCTACATCCAAACTAAAAATAATTGATTGTGTCTGCGACAATATGCAACTTTTTGAATATCCAGTGAAAAAATTAAGCTGCCAAAAATAATCCTGAATAGGGTTGAGGCTTTCATTGAAATACATCGGTTGTTGGCGACTTAAAGGGGACGTTGGTTTTTGGACAAGCATTCAACTCATTTGACATTGTCCGACAAGTTTGAAAATTTTTTTAAAAAACATTCTGCTTCGGAATTTGTTCGCTTGAAATTGTTTAGCAGCCAAATTTGGTTTGCTTGCATTATGGATAATTCCTACCACTCGCAATTGATTTTTCACTTTTATGTGATAAGGCATGTTGATCAACCTGATGATATGGAAGTGAATGTTAATGAAAACTCGTTTCACAGTTCTTAACCTCAACATGCCAATTAACAGGGCATTGATGGTACCATACACGATCAAATCAGGGGACACAATAATGGCACCCTGATATACCCCCAATTCCATAATGTATATGCTTGAACATGCATATACAAAGAGTATAGCCTTGACACGCCAAGACACCAGTCTGCCCGCAGAAGAACCAGTTCTCACCAATGGTATGACATCAATTATTGCAATGTCACGTGGCAATTACAATTTCTATTTTCACTGTCAATAATTTTGAATAGATAAGCGGAGCTCTTTAAGCTCCCTTATAGTGGATTTTGAATAATAAATATATTTTTGACAAACTATTCTTATTACAAATGGAGTGCACAATTGGCAAAGTGCACAATAAAGGCAACGATATATATATGAGGTCGGTCTCAGTTACGCTTTTGATTCCATTAATAATAAAACCTTTATAAACTAGCACCCCACCTTTTAACACTGCATTGTAGTGCTCTACACACACCCTCTTATTATAACAGGCTAAAATATTAAAATGGAAAATAATTAATGGGTTTTTGCACTTGCACTACTTGAAAAATGAATACTACCTTAATTGCGGTATGCATATGTCTGTCATCCGCTATCAACCTGTACACATGCTTTTCACCCCTCCATTTTAATGTGTTCCAATGCACGCACACGCGTCATACAGGCACAGCATATAACGTATACATATTCAAATTATAAGTAATTATTTGTTAATAATAAACAATCTAATAATATAATATAATAAAGTTATTATGTTGCTATTCCAATTTAAAAATAGGTATGGATAACGCAAGATGTGTGGCTAACTCAGATTTTTAATATAAATGTTGTCTTAATTAATTAAGTAAATAAGTTTATAGTTGCTGGACATGACATCCAAAATTCATCCTATATAGTGATGCTAATTGTAGAAATTGTATTGGTTGATGGTGATCAACTGATTAACCAGTCTTGGCTGTTTAGCAACACAAACAATAAGTCACACAGTGACCAAATCAATATGATCTCTACTCTTTACCTTTTACAATGCATAGCACTTATTTATTAAATATACTTTATATCATTATAATTTATCTACACGTTCATAGAACGTTCCTATATTCCAACAAATACTATACAACATATGGTTACAATTAGTTGTGTTTTTACGTACGCGTCTTGCACAATGCTCTGCTGGTTCATGGGAAAGCCAAAAAAGTAAGTGATGTTGTTTATCGCACTTTTGACATCTACATTGGAATTGAGCTTGCCCTCAAGCCTTTGTGGTAACAAATTGATCCAGATTGCTGTTGCACTAGCCTCACCCAAGATGCTCCCAAAGTATGTAAACGTGCTATACATTGTGGTAGCAATTGGCAAGTCCACAACAGGCACTGAAGCTTGAATTCCAATGCCTAAGCAGCTATTGATAATGCCGCTGCCAATACCCTACAGCAATTTCACAGCCACAGTCTTCCCATTAGTTATATTGTTGCTGCTACGCAAGTGTACCATTAAACCAGCAGTTAGAATCCACAGTGCCCAGCCAACCCATGTCCAGCGCCGATACCGCTTGGAGTACTGCATTGCCCAACCACTAACAAACAGACCAACGTAATACCTGGCAACTGCTATCTGCAGAAACATGGCCATGCGCAATGATACTCCACTTGTAACCTGCATGAATGGGTTAAAATAATATAGCGACATGTCCCACGAATAATTAAAAAATAGTTGCAATAATGGCGCAGGTAAATTTGCGCAACTTGAACAACCTAAAAGGAATAGTGGGAAACTTTGCCAATTGTTGCTCATGGTACACAAAAAATACCAACATCACCACACCCATGCCGAGGGGAGCAACGAATTGCACACTGCCCCATCCGTAAGTGATGTTCAACTTCATCCCCAGTGGTGCAAGTATGGCGACAATGCCACCACATAAAAGCATGAGTCCGGGATATTTAACTCTATGGTCACATCAAGGAAGCGTCTGAATAGTGGCCGCTTTTTAGTTTTAATTTTAGCGACTTTGCCTAAAACTGTACGGGCGCGCCTATCCAGGATAAATAAACTGGTGATTGCCGGAATAGAGCAGACGGCTGCCAAAATTGTTAGAATCCTATAGACCCACCGCCATTTTTCAATCAGACTGTGGTCAACCTCAACACCGAGGTAATAGTTTATGATGCTGGGCACAGACAAGCATGCAGTGATAGCAGCACGCAGATGGATGGGTAGAATGTCAGCCAGAATAATTGCAATCAAGGCTCTGTGTCCCGACCGTCCTATATTTAAAATAATAGATCCGCCAAAGATTGTCGAAAAGGTTTGAGCCACTGAAAATACAGCCAAACCTAACGCGTGCAGTACACCAGATATAATTAGCCCTTGCAAGTGGCCAAACACATTGTAGATCTTTGCAAATACTGGACGGGTACCTGTAACAAGAATATTTGAAATCATTCCAATGAGACCTGCACGCGTCATGGAATTGAAATCGCTGAGAACCCTAGGCTGTATCATGGCGGTAAAACTCATGTCCATGGCCATAATAAAGTTGATGAAAAAGATTCCACAATGACCATGAGCTTGTCGATGCGCTTAATTCAGTAACAATTTTTCTTGACGCTGTTTAAATTAGCAGTAAACTTGCTGTTGAGTTTGTCTTCTGAGTAAACTGGGGTGGTGCTGGAGACATCAAAAAAGTATGCATTTCCAACGCTGTTGTTGTTGCTGCTGGCGACAGGACTCGAAATGTTTAATATGATCCCATCGCAAATTTAAAAGGTAATGCTTGTTATAATTATATATGTATGAGGCAACGATAATATTTGTTTTTTATGTAGTAAATTTCTATAAAATTACAAATAATCTATATTTTCTACAATAATGGATTTTACTCAAACTTTGTATATGGTCAGCAGAAGCATGCTTATATACTTTATTATTACCCATGGGGCGGGGGCATCATCACATGTAACGCTTAAAAATAGTAAAATGTAAGTAAAAAATTAAAGCAGGATATCCACTGTATTTAACAAGGTCACTTAATGTTGCGTGCCTAACATAAATTTTAAAGGCATACGCCAACTTTTGAATAAGCATTGATGCCCAAAATGAGTTGTGATTTTATAATTAGTAAATAATTGAAGACAATAAAGTGGCTTTTATTCACTTTATTCTGCTAATAATAATTCCTGATTGAGCACATTCTAAATTGGTATTTTTAAGATAATATAAAATTCAGGTAGCCAAACATCATGCAATAGTATTGTAATGCAGGGTGAGAATGCTTCCATGACACTTTTATAAATATACCATTTTTGATATGTGCGCAGCATTCTATTTTTGAATTGAAGTATACATTTACTTATACTTTCAATACCAAAATAAAAAATAAAAAGCCGCTTGTGGCTACAGTATATTGGTTGAAGACAATTAACTGATTAACCAATTTTGACTATTCCAGCCAAACACAGTTATATGTTATTATCTTTGCTTTTCCCAGTGCATAGCACATATATTTAATACACTTCTACACATAATTTTTATTTTTCATGTTTACAAAACGTTTATATAATTTCCCAGATTTTAACAACTGTGGTAAAAAATACCATTCAAGTATAATTTTAAATTGAATTAAATTATTACTATTTGCTAAAAATAGTTCATTACATTGACCAACGCGCTAACAATTGGGGGACTAGAATATAATTTGTATTCAACCTATATTCCCGGTGTGTTTATATTTTTACACTTATTTACTCATCTTTATACACATGATGCTGTACTGCAAAAAATAAATCTACATATAGGTTCAATTAATAATAAGTGGTATGAGCATTATAATAATGCATATAAAATAAACTTTTCAAGCTAAAAATGCTGATATAATGTTTTATATAAGCTAACTTTTTTGTTCAACAAAATTACTAACAGTTATATTTTAATTAATATAGATTGTATCTACCCAAACTTATTTTTGAAGTTTTTCCACAAAGTCTAGGGAAATATCCGCAGACGAATCCTTTTGATCCAGCACATTCTCCTTATTAACTGGTTCATTATCTGCGCTGATTTCAGACAAGTCATGGGGTACAAGTCCAGACATAGCAATTCCAGCTATAAGCATCGAGACAATACAGCAAAAAGTAATATTCTTTTGTGTACTCACATACGCATCCTGCACAATGGCTCGCTGGTCCACAGGCAATCCTAAAAAGTAATTAATATTGTTGATCGCGCTGTCAATATCCACATCCATGCGCATGTGTCCCTTGAGCTTTGAGGGCAATGTGTTGACCCACACGGTTGTTGCTGTGGCTTCGCCCAGGACGTTTCCAAGACAAGCCACCATGCTATACAATGTTATGGCAATCGGCAAGTCTACAGTAGATACGGATGCTTGAATTCCAATACCGACGCAGCAGGTAACTATGCCATCGCCGATACCTTGCAGAAGCTGCACGATGGCAATCTCTGTAATGGCTACTCCATTTGCTTTTCCGCCGCGCGAGTGAACCATTATGCAAATATTGACAAGCCATAGTGCCCAGCCGATCCACGACCAGCGGCGGTACCGCTTGGAGTACTGCATTGCTAGGCCGCCAAGAAACATGCCAATGTAGAACCCAGTGGCTCCAAGCTGTAAAAACATGGCTGTCCTTGATGATACCTCGCTTGTGACCTGAGTGTAAGGGTTGAAGTAATATAGTGAGATCTTGGATGAGTAGTTGAAGAATATGTTGGCAATAATGGCGCAGGTGAATGTGCGCGACTTGAACAACCTGAAGGGCACCAGGGGGAATTTTGCCACAAAACGCTCATAGTACACGAATATGGTCAGGACAAGTGCACCGATGCAGAGGGGCGCAATGAATTGCACACTGCCCCATCCATACATAATGTTAAGCTCCATGCCAAGTGGCGCAAGTAAGGCCAAAAGGCCGCCGCTGATCAGGACAAGTCCGAAAATGTCAAGATCTACGAGCGCATTATTGATGCGCTTCAATATTGGACTCCTATTGTTTTCAGCCTTTAATTCTGAAATGCTGTTTAAAACAGCACGCGCACGTCTGTCCTGGATGTATAAGCTGCAGAGTGCCGGCATAGCGCAGGCAACAGCCAGAATGGCCAGAATTCCATAGACCCACTGCCATCTGTCAATCAAGCTATTACCGACCTCAACTCCTAGATAATAATTAACAATGTTTGGAACAGAAACGTAAGCTGCAACCGATGCTCGCATATGAATAGGCAGTATTTCGGCGAGAATAATTGCCACCAAGGTTTTATAGCCGGCTTGACCTAGCACCGAAATAGAAGTTCCGCCAAAAATAGTCGAAAAGTTATTGGAAAAGGAACATATTAACGAGCCCAGCACCTCAAACACCATGGCCAGCAGTAGGGCCTGAAAATGGCCAAATACGTCAGACATTTTGGCAAAAACAGGACGTATAACGGCAATCAGCACGTTAGATGTTGTTCCAATAAAACCGGCGCGCGACATGGCATTAAAGTCGCTGAGAACATTGGGCTGCACTGTAGTGGTGGAGCTTGTGTACATGGCAATAATAAAGTTTAAGAAAAAAAGTCCAATAATAATCAAAATTTTGTCGAAGCGGCGCCACTCAGTAACAACCTTTTTCTGAGCACCGCCCAGAGTTGTATTAAGTGCATCATTGTTTTTGTCTGCTTGTGAGTTGTTAAGTTTAGTGTCCAGCACACCGTACACTTCCGCTTCTTTAATGCTGATTTTACTTTTGCCGGCCCCAACATCAGGAAATATCTGCTGGGAATGCATAGCAAAAATAGAGCGTTGTTATTGTTTTCACTGAAATATGTCAAGGAATTGTGCGTATTTTCTTTGAATAAATAAATCAGTAAAATAAATATGGAAATAAAGATCAGGAATACTGTTATCTTGTTATCTTATTTATAAACAAAATGCATTATATGCGGAATATTTATTATATATGTGTGCAGATGTGTGCAGATGTGTGCAGTGGTTGGCCAAAAAAACAGGCAACATAAGATATTGCTTATTTCCACACAATTAATTGCGCGTGACATAGCCAGTATCCACATTGGTTTATGTAAAAACGTATGCCAATGGAGAAATCATTATGTATATATTTTCTTCAAAAATATGGAGAAAAGCAAACAATTTATAAAATGCGTCTTGAATTTCTTCGTTATAACTCGATTTGCAAATGGCCTGTGGATAATTAAAGATAATTGTAAATGCATTGATTGGCATTATTCAACTATTCAATAATTCTTGAAATTTTTTGAATTGATTGCCAGCTTTCAATATTGGTTTAGTACATCAATTTATTTTTAAAATTTTGAATAATGGGTATGTGATTTCTACAAATACATGATTAAATTGCATTAATGCAATATAAAGCGTTTTATTTGAGCGGGTAGTAAATTTACAAATTCAGTATAATTAAGCCTTACCATTAATAATTACCCAATATTTAAAGTTGTGTATTTCAAGTTTAGGGCATTATAAGTTTTTTTTGGTAAAATAGGCAATTTGGTTGCTTAAATCGACTAAAAAAGTTCAAAACGGAATTCCAATGGAAGAAAAGCCTTGCGCATTAGCAAATTTGGAGAGTGAGGCAGCATGCTCCATTAAAATATATTGCATAGATGCTAAATATATTTTCTATATAGAATATCAGCTGTGTGAGGCTTAAAAAAGTGGCGCAAGATTGTGGAATAACTATTTGTATTTTTGTAGAAAACTATTTTCAATTAAATCAAGGTGTAATTATAATAATTTAATATCGCCTTGATTTTGTACTTGATCGCATGTTTATTTAATTACCATTACCATTACCCATGTTTTATATTTAATTTTTCCAGAGGCAAGTTGTAATTGTGTGACAGCCAATTTGTAAATAATAAAAGTACAATATGCAAGGTGATATGTAAGTTCTGCACATGTAAGCAACTATGCAATGCATACGCAGCACATGTATTATTTTTCGTTTTCATTTGTGAATTATTATTGTAACAATAAGCTTTTGAATATAAAATTCCAATAACTTGTACTTCACATTTGATTTTTCTTTCTGATAGCACTAACAACAACAATAATAACATATATTTTGGAGAAATAAGCTTATATATTTATGCACAGCCAAGAAAATCAAATATGAATTGGAAAATTGAAAATAATATAATCACCAATTAAATCAGTAATGAACGATATAAATAAAGAAATAAAAAGATGAGGGTTGAGGTTAAGAAGGAAGATTAGTAGTAATAAAATTATAAAGCCTAAATGGTAAACGTAAGCCAATATTTTCTGTAAAACAAAGGCGTATTTTCAGAAAACAAAAAATACAATGTGTGTGTGGAAGAGTCAGCACATATCATAGAGAAACATACATGGAATTGTGTCTTATTCCAGTGTACTTGGTCTTGGGGTACCTCTCTCAGCTATTTTCTTTTGCTCATTTATTATATGTACTTGGTCAAACATGAGGTGGTCAAAGTACTGGTCCCAGCTGCTCATTGAGCATAAGCATATTGTACAGGTGGGCTCAACCGCCGGCTGGAGTGTTGCTGTGAAGGGGTTTACCCAATATCTCCGTAACTGCGCAGATGGGGAGACTGGATGAGTAAGTCCCTGCTGTTGCTGTTGCTGTTGCTGTTGCTGTTGCTGTTCTGTTGCTGTTGCTGTTGCTGTTGCTCATACTTGTTGTTTTGTGACTGCCGCTGTTGATTATTTTCTTCGTGGTTGCAGTGTCGATACACATAGTCCAAAGTAAGTATAGTAATAGTTAGAATAACTAAAAGTGAATGCACTGTAAGAGCGGGCAAATAATTATTTAATAATATTAAAATACACAGAGGAAAAAAGAGAAAGTGAGGTTCGGTAGTGGTAAAGGTAAAAGGGTATATAAATAAGTGGCTGCGTGGGATTACAAAAATAAAAATAGGCGATGAAGGGTGAAAAAAATAAGTGGGGGAAGAAAGAGCAGGCGGTTGACTGCAACAGGTACGCTTGATTGTCAGCAAATATAAAAAGAAACCTATTTTCTCATTAACCAAACCCAACCTCTTTTGAATAATGTAATTCAAAATAAAAAACATTCAAGCCAAGCAAAAAAAGAAAGAAAAGAAAGAATAGGCTTTGCGTGTAAACCATGTGAGACTTCTCCATCATACTCCGCCTCTCACCCACCCACCCGTCCCCGCGCTTTTTTCCCTTCCTTTATATGAATGGTTTGTAGGGGACTTTTAATAGAAAGGTAAAAAGAACAGACGATGCTAACAAATAAAAATTATGTAAAATAAAAATTGTGTTGCTAAAGAGTGTGTGATGGAACAATTGTAAAGTTGTTACAGCAGAATAATGGACATTGGGGATGGATGGGATGGATGGGATGGAGAGTAGACGAATGGACGAATGGTGAATGACTATCACAAGACATAGTCTTTTTTATTTTGAGTAGCGTGGTTGATGTTTGAAAAATAAATCGGAATGAAACAATAGATAAAGTGAGAGTAAATATACATGCAAGGTGAGGCGAGGCGAGGCGAGGCAAGGCGAGGGGACGTGAGGTGAGGAGAGGCGACGTGAGGTGAGAAGAGACGTATGGTGTGAAATCGGGTAATATACTCAAAAATAACAAAGGTTGTAGTATATTTATTTTTACTTGCAAATGATAAAAGCAACTATATTTTCTAAAAAGAGTTTGAAACATTATTGAGTTTTCTCTGCTTCGAGTAGGGCGGTAAACCTTGCATTGAGGTCAACTTGGAGCTGCTCGAGGCTGGTCACCAGGGTAGCTGTTCTGACAGTGGACGCAGTGGATGTAATGGCAAATGGCTCGTGGCGGCGGCTGCCATCAGTCGAGGCGTCGCAGTAGTATTCGGCAGATATGGCAGACATTTTGAATTTTTTATTTTGTAAAGGCTGGTGACGATTTAGAGGGGAAGTAAAATAATGGTGTGGTTTGGTGAAAATATATGGAGGGAGAGTGATTAGATAATTTAGATATTTGATCAAGGCGCGCCGTCGGATTTTGGGAATGCGATCAATTAGGCCTGACGTTGTATGCGCGCTATGTTATTATCCCTGCCCAACACTGTATGCGCGCTATGGATCCATTTTTTACGCGAAAAAGACGGGCGAGACTAACAAAACACAAATTCGCCTTTCTAATTCCTGTTCGTTCATTCCACTTTTCTTTACATACAACTAGAATAAATAACCCGAATCCATAAGCACACCCTTTCTATATCCTTAGCACACCGCACTGCATTACATTACTCTAGAATGCAGTACCAGTACGTCGTATCGGCACACAAGAGCAGCGCGGTGTCGGCCTGCGCCAGCGGCCGGTTCACATCACCACAGAACGACAACCTCATAGTGGCGCGCGGCAACCGGCTCGAAATCACATGTCTGGACAAGGCGGCCGGCGCGCTGGCGCCAATGGGCAGCGAGCATCGGCTCAACGGGCACATCGCACACCTCTTTGCACTGCAGCCAGCAGACCGCCCCACAGCACTTCTCCTGGCGCTCTCAGCGAAACAGCAGTATGCAGTTCTCTCGTGGGACGCGGCTAGCGGCCAGGTGGTGACGGAGGGCGCGGGCGAGATCAGCGAGCGCACCGGACGGCGGCGCGAGGGCCGCAGCCTGGCGGCGGTGGACGCACAGAGTCGCGCGTTTGCCGTGTGCGCGTACCAGGGAATAGTGCACGTGTTTGCGGTGGACGCGCGCGTGCGGCGCGGGGTGCGTGCGGCGCCGGCGCACTTCATCGACGAGGTGCGGGCGCTGGACATGTGCTTTTTGGCCGGCGACACGCTGGAGCTGGCGGTGCTCTCGGAGGACGCGGAGGGCGCGCGGCGCGTGCGCGTCTACGCTGTCGGCGCCGAGCGGATGGAGGAGCTGTGGGTGTGCGCGGTGGACGCGGCGGCGACGCACGTGGTGGCGCTGGGCGGCGGGCGGCTGCTGGTGGTGGGCGACGACGCCGTCTCGGTGGTGGGCAGCGGCGGCCGGGTGCGCGGCGTGGCGCGGCGCGCTGCGCGGGTGGCGGCGGTTGCGTGGGTTGAGCGCGGCGCGCGGCTGCTGGTGGCCGACAGCGACGGTTTGCTGTCGCTGGTGGTCGTGCGGCCAGCCGGCGTCTTTGTTGAGCGGCTGGGCGCGGTGCCAGTAGCGTCGGCGCTGGCGTACCTAGGCGACGGCTGTGTGTTCGTCGGGTCTGCGTGCGGCGACTCGCTGCTCGCGCGCCTGCGGTTGACGCCAATCCCCGAGCCGCAGCTACCCGCGGGCCTGGCGGACAGCGTGCTGGCGCAGCGCATGGCCACGGGCGACTCGTTCATCGAGCCGCTGGCGGCGTTCGCATGCCTGGCGCCGCTGGTCGACCTGTGCGTGGCCGGGCAGGGCGCCGGCAAAGGCGAAGGCGGCGGCGGCGGCGTGGCGGCTGGCAGCGTCGTCGCGTGCTCGGGCCATCGCACAACACCGTCCATCCGCGTCGTGCGCAACGGCGTCGGCGTCGAGCCTCTGGCACAGCTGGACTGCGACGGCGTGGCGCGCACATGGGCGCTGACGCTGGCCGGCAGCACAGACGCGGGCTGCACACAGCGCCGCGTGCTGGTGGTGGCCAGCCTGGCCGCGGCGTCGCGCGTGCTTGCGTGGACCGAGATGGCCGGCCACGCCGAGATGGCCGACCACGTCGAGATGGCCGAGCTGGCGCCGTGCGGGTGGGCGACCGACCGGCCGACGCTGGCCGCCGGCGCTACGGCGTCGGGCGCCTGTGCCGTGCAGGTGACGCGCGACCATGTCACTTTGCTCGACTTCGGCGGCCGCGCCGTCGCGCAGTGGCCGGCGGCGCCAGGGCAGCCGATTAGCGTCGCGGCTGTTAGCGGCGACGCGGTGGTCGTGGCCAGCGGCGCCCGCCTTGCGCTCCTGCACGTGCGCGGCGACGCCAGCGTGGTCTGCGTGTCGGAGCGCGTGCTGCCTAGCGCCGTTGCGTGCATCGGTGTGCAGATGCCGGATGCAGAGCACGTGGCTGTGGGGCTGTGGGACGGCGACGTGCAGGTGCTGACGCTGCCGGCGCTCGGCCGCGCGGCGCTGCGGGTGCCGGCGCTGGGCGCGCCCGCGCGGTCGCTGCTGCTGTGCACGCTGGGCAGCGCCTGCTACCTTCTGGTGGGCACGGGCGACGGGCGGCTGCACCAGCTGGCGCTGCTGGACTTGTTCCTGGGCGTGCGCGACCACCGGTGCGTGACTCTGGGCGTGCAGCCGCTGCTGCTGGCGCCGTTCTTCAACCGCGGCCAGCTCAACGTCTTTGCCGCATGCGACCACTCAGCGGTGCTGTTTGCTGCGCCGGCGCACCGCGGCCGCCTTATGTATGCCAACGTTGACGCGCCCGAGATCGCCTGTGCGGCCCCAGTCGTCGGCTCGGCAGAGTTCCCCGACGCGCTGTGTCTGGTGTCCGGTGGCCGCCTGTGGGTTGGCCGCCCGGACCCCGTGCAGCGCCTGCACGTGCGCGCCTGGCCGCTGCCGCCGTGGGCCGCGCCGCACCGCATTGCGTTTAACGGCGCCGTCTACGCGCTGGCGACCACGCACGAGGCAGTCGGCGATGCGGCGGGCGGCGATGGGCCTGGCGAGTTTGGGCGGCTGTCGGTACTGTCGGCGCAGTCGATGGGCGTGCTGGGCAGCGTTCTGCTGGAGCCGTTTGAGATGCCCGAGAGCCTGTGCGTGGCCGACGGGCTGGATGTGCAGCGCAGCGGCGTGTTTGCGATGGGGTCTTCCGTAGTGCTGCCGGGCGACGACGATGCGCGCAGTGGCCGCGTGCTGCTGGCGCAGTGGGACGCGCGCGCGCGCAGGCTGCTGGTGGTCGGCGAGCTGGCGGTGCTGGGCGCCGTGTACGCGCTGGCGCCGTTCCGCGGCATGCTGGTGGCCGCCGTCGGCAGCCGCCTGCTGCTGCTTGCCTGGCAGAAGCGCACGCAGCCGCTGGCGGCGCCAGCCTCCACGGACGCTATCGGCTGGGCGCTGGACGCGGACTGGGAGCTCGTTGTTGTGTGCTCGCAGCAGGCGCAGATTGCAGCGCTGAGCCTGTGCATTAGCGGCGACACCATTGTGGTGGGCGACGTGCTGGCGTCCGCCGCGGTGTTCCGCTACCGCGAGGACGGCGGGCGCCACCGGTTGGTGCCTGTGGCGCGCGATGCCGCTGGCGTGTGGACAACAGCCGTGGCTGCGCTGCCGCCACCGCTGCCGCAGAACCGCGCACTGCTGGCGCCGCCGCCCGTTGACATGGAGATGTCCGCCCGACTGCCGGTGTTCGACCAGGCGTTTGCCTCTGCTGAGTGCGTCCGCTTTGTGGTTGCCGACGCGCACCACAATATCATCCGCATAGCTGTGCCCGGTGCTGCTGCTGCTGCTGCTGCTGCTTCTGAGGACGCGGATGTTGAGGACCGCACGGCGGTGGAGGCGCGGTGGCACTTGGGCGACCAGATCAACGTCATCCGCGCAGGTGCGCTGGTGATGGACATTCCGGACCCGGAGTTCCCCGATTTCTTGCGGCCACATCTTCTCTTTGGCACGCTGCAGGGCGCGCTGGGCGTCATGGCGTCGGTGGAGAACGGCCATATTGGCCGCATCCTCGACCGTCTGCAGACCAACTTGGCTCACCTGGTGCCGACCCCCGGAATGTGGGATTATCAGAAGTGGCGCGCGTACAAGAGCGACCAGAGGGAGTGCATGGCTTTTGGTGTGTTGGACGGCGATTTGATCGAGACCTTTTTGGATTTACCCACAGAGATACAGCGCAAGGTGTTTACTGGTAACGAGACTGCCACTGCCACTGCCACTGCCACTGCCACTGCTGCAGGTGGTGATCCCAGTGATTCTGAGAGGGAGAGAAAGTTGGAGTATTGGTCGAGGTATGAGCGTGTTGAGGTTGAGAGTGCTTGCACTTGTTTGGCGGTCTTGGGTGTATCGAATATCGCTTTGAAAGAAAATGTCGACTTGGATTTTGTCATGCGATTGGTTGAGAGTTTGACTCGATTGCATTGAGCCACTCTTTTTATTTATTGGCTTATTTCTTTTATAAAATAGAGTATGTGTGCTTTCTTTTATTTTTCCTTTATTTTTTGTTTAGCGGTTTTTTTTGTTTTTGTTTAAAAGAAAATTTTCTTTTATTTTCTTTTTTGGCTTTGTAAAATACAAATTATTTTTTGATTGCTTGGCTTTTCTTTATTTTTGGTTTTTGGTTTTCTTATAAAAGGCAGCAACCTAACGTCTCATCCTCCTACCTTTTCTTTTTTATTATCAACATCAACATCAACATCAAAAGCATAGACATTTGTACACTTTACTTCAATTATTTAAAAAAAAACATTATTATTCTTCATAAATTAATTTTATATTTTTGTATCATCACAACCCTAAACATAATGTCCGTCAAGATTGCCAGATCCCCTGCTCAGTTCTCTCAGCTGCTTGCAGACTATCCTAAGCTTGTCATCTTCTTCTTCCGTCAGTCCTCTGTGCCGGCAGATATTCTCGCACGCTACGGCGACGTTGCCCGCCGCATCCCCTCGCACCAATTTGCATACATTGACGTTGAACGTAGCCCTGTGCTCTCCACCGTGGAGTACTTTGCATCGGCACAGCATGGGATCTCCGTGTTTTACAACCACGCTCATGTGAAGAACTTTGAGGGCCTGGAAATGAGTTTTACAACAAGATGGATTCTTTGGATGCTAAAATGCTCGAGGATATGGTCAGGGTTGTGAATACGGAGGGAAGCGCGGCAATGGTTGGCTTTTACTTGCAGAAGCTGGTTGATGAGCAGATTAGAGCTTTGAAGGCAGAGGGGGTACAGAAGAACATTACCTTTAATGTGTCTATTAACCTCAAGGTCGAGTGAGTGGTTTTTTTCAATTAGTTTATTTCGTCGTTTTTATATTATATTTATACAAATACCATATTTACTAACCTTCCAGCTTGATATTATTTTATTGAAAATTATATTATTAACCAGATACAATTGGTGGTCCCGGATTTGAATATCGCAAAATTGGCTACTCCTTAGATATCTCTGGAATTGCAGCTCTATATGTAAAACTAATTTCCTATCCAGAGCTGGTGGCTTTCATGCATGATGTACTCTTTTTTGCTACCAGACAGATATGAAAATACTTATTCACATTCCCATTTTCATTTTCATTGCCATTCCGCTCCTTTCTCTACTGGCAGATAAAATTAAATTAACCATAAATATTGTTGTACCTGGCGCATCACCGCTTTTGTCGCTTCCTTCAATTTCAACTCCCTGCGGCGCAGTATCTTTAGACTATTGGCTACTTTATGCGCTGTTCACCATTTTTTTTGCTTCTGGCGCGCATTGCTGGCGACTTTTTGACATTTACCAGTATTAACTTGATTACAGTCAATGTTGCGCCTTCAAGGGCAGATCTGGGCTTTATGAATGGTGCACAGCTTGATAGTCATATTGTTTACAAGATTTTTAAGCTCTGCTTGTTTTTGGAACTGCATGAAGTTGGTCAATTAGGCACTTTCTGCCATTCCTGTTTAACTCGCATTTTGTATGGATGCTGTGAACGCTATTAATGGCCATTGCTTCTAACATGTTCCATAATCTTCCGAGCTCTTTCAAAAATAAAAGTTGCCGCAGATATTAAAACTAGAAATAACCACATTAAAAATAGAAAGACAATGTCAGGACAAGGATTGAGTTAACGAGGGTACGTATTGGTTGATGGCGATCAACTGATTAACCAGTCTTGGCTGTTTAGCCACACAAACAATAAGTCACACAGTGACCAGAGCAATATGCTCTCTAGTCTTTACCTTTCGCAGTGCATAACACTTGTTATTAAATAAACTTCATAGCATTATACTTTATCTACACGTTCATAGAACGTCCTATATTCCAACAGTACGCAATTGCAATTAAACAACAAACTATTCTTATGTGAACTCAGCTTTTGAAGCGCACGTCTCTTTAGTTTACAAGTAATGTCGTAGAACCATAGCTTTTTTTGCTTTTTATATTTAAAAATATGTTAATCAATTTAGAATTATTGACACACCTTCATACAAAACGCTGCGGCCACTTTTTACAAAGCAGCTAGTGTAGTGTATTTGAAAGGCCCAGTACATTTTTTTTCGAAAAACAAAATAAATTGATAAATAAAAATACCCTTTTTTATAAAAAAAAAATTTCTTTCTTTCTCACTCTACATACTGAACTCATTATATATTTTTGCATTGACACCACCAGCCTATTACCCATTTTTATCCATTGCCATGACCAACGCCAACAAAGTTACTGTTGCTGCTAGCCGCATGGCGGAAGTAATTATCCGCGAAATACTCACTTACGTCGCCGACTGCTCGTTGGATATTACGAATTGGAAAAAGTGTCTTCCAATCCTAGCCGTTTGTCGCAATTGGAGAGAAGCTGCTTGTCCTATTGCGTATCGCACCGCGTATATTGAGTACAAAGGACATCGCCGATGCATTATACTGTGGCCAGAAAGCCTGTGTACTGCTGAGGCTTGGTCCAACAATATTCAATTGGCATATGTGACTGGAAACTTTAAGTACGTGAGGAGTTTTCATTTTGGATTATACACGCACTCAGTTATCGGGTGTTTTATTGATAATGCTCAGCAACTGCTGCAGCTGCAATATCTCGACTGGTCCAATGTTACGTCTCTGAGCTATAGAGGTTTATTGGATAATCCCTCGTTTGAAGAGACAGATACAGTTGACCATATGATTGAGCTGGTTGCATATCACTTGACTGGAATTGAACATTTAAATGTCAAATTATTTGGCGTATTCGCTGGTAAGCCCGTTGCTCAGCAAGTTTTAGTTGAAAAGTATGCAAGGCAGCTAATGACTCTCAAATGCAATACTATGGTTAAAGCGCCTGAATGCGGGTTTTCAAATAGGTTGACTGCGCTGTCTATCGGGCTACCTAAATACCACGCACAATTATTCTCGAGCATTGATACTCGAACTCTGAAAAGGCTGTGTTTAACTAATGTCCGAGAAACGTTTAAATGGATGTACACTGATAATCAAAATACAAATCGACTGGCAGAGTTTCCCAACCTGGAAAGCTTGGAAATGGGATTTAATGACCAGTATGAGAATGGCAACAATGCAAGTGATTTTGAGAGTGATTATGAGAGCGATTATGAGAGTGATTTTGAGAGTGATTCTAAGGGTGATGGTGATAGGTCTGCCACATACCATCATTCGTTTTTTATCGCAGAAAACCAAGCCGTCCAGTTTCCCAAGCTTGAAAATTTATTTTTAGCAAATTTGGTGATTACTTTGAAGGATTTACTTGCAGACAATGTTCAACATAAAATTCCCGTGTTTGAAGACCTACAAACATATGAAGGCATAGAATGGCTAAGTGAAAAACGCACCCAAAATACGAAAATACACATTACAAAGTGGTATTGTTCCAAGATGTCAAAAAAAGCAGGGTATGGTGGAAAATATGTTAACTATGGCAGTTACATTCGTGAAACTAATTTGGCACTAGATGAAGAGACGATGTGCAATATTGGAAATAGTATTGCAATGCAGCCAGGCAATATTGATTGCTCAAGCCTGTGCAAACTCTGCTTGCTCTATGACATGGGAATCAGTGAGATCATCGTGATTTTGCACCACCTGCCAAACCTTACGGAACTGGAGATATGTCACTTTGTATGCCAGGGCTATGTAGATCCCGAAGGCCATGGTATAAATAAGGATTTAGAAAGCCCAGTTCAATCTATTTGCAGCAGACTCAAGAAATTGATGATAAAAAAGCGCTGGCAAGTAAATGATCCACATTTGGCAAATGAGTTGGCCAATTTGTTTATTCGGATTAATTTGTTGAAATCAGTGTTTGTGCCGCCTGGTATTCTCAACATCATGGGCGGGCTCGCAGAAAAATACGGCAGGACATATCCTCATATGAAAACCCTGCAGTACAACGTGTATGACTCTGAATTCTGTTGACGTGAACTGCAACCAGAATGGGTGTGTTGGTATATTGGGATCGGCTGATCAACCAGCCTTCATAGCTGCTGTTGATCTACCAGAGCTGGATGCAGCCAGGCATGATTACACTACATTGTTTACCTTTTTAGTTACGCAGTGACACACACCACATATTTTTTCTCCCTCACCTCTCCAATGCATAGCACTAATAGTATTCATCTTATTTAATCATATTATATTCTTGTTGGAATATAGGAGTTTTCTATGAACGTGTAGATAAACTATAAGGATATAAAGTATATTTAATAAATAAGTGCTATGCACCGCGAAAGGTAAAGACTAGAGAGCATATTGCTCTGGTCACTATGTGACTTATTGTTTGTGTGGCTAAACAGCCAAGACTGGTTAATCAGTTGATCGCCATCAACCAATAATTCTTTTATACCCCGTTCACAGAGCGTACATACTTCAACGGGGTGACTAGTGTTAATAAAAATTAATACGCGCAATTATAAAGTATATTTTGTAAAAACGGATTGGGACAAACCAATTTGAACAGCACTTTTCTATGTCTTTGAATTTTTCTAATCTTCAGATTCGTATCGATATTTATTTTGTTCTCATACTAACCTCGTTCTCTGCCAATTTGCACATCAGTTACTATATTAAAACAGCATATTAATTGCCGTGCTTGTGTGTGGTTTGCTGATGTGCGCCAACTATTTATAAAACAATGGATGAAAATTGAATATTATTTTGGAACGAATTAAATGAAAAATTAGAACACACCGAACTATTTATAAAGCAATTGCCCCTAGTTTTTTTTTATCGAGTCTGCATGTTGTAGTAATAGTGGAGGCCAAAACGTGACGTGAGCAAAAATAAAATAAGTGCCTGCATATCCGACTTTTGATTTGCACATATTCTTGTCTTATCCCCTTGTTTTCTCTACCCTTCCTTGCATCATGTTATGTGCATCTCGAGGTCACCTGTCGGGGATTCGAAAGTCGGAAGACCCAAAAACAATGAAAAAGACGCCAAGCTTGCTTCTGCTCATTTTTTACAAGAAAAAAGAAGAGCAAGGGTGGGAAGCTGAGGAGAGGGAACAATTTAGTCTTTCCTCTCTTTCCATTTCCTTCCTTCCTTCTTTCTCTTTCTGCTATTCTTAAAATAATAAATCGCTCTACATTGCCCTTTTTTCTCTCGTGCGTCATCCAATTAATCCCTTTATACAATCCAAGGGCTTGGCAGTTTTTATACAGAAACACGCGCATACACGAATAAGCTACACACAAAGTGTAATTTTTTTTGAAGCAGGGCCATCTTTGTATCTTTTACTTCACATATACCTCTGCCATTTTAATCCTTTTCATTGTTATCGTTTCGTAAACCACACTCACTCACTCACAAATTCCAATGAACAATCAACCTCCGGTCAATCAGAATTCGGGGGAGAGACCGTTTTCGCCAACAAATCCATTCAGCAATGTGAACGACATAACCACGCGGGAGCAGCAACCACACCACCAGCAGCAGCAGAACTCGCAGCCGCAGCCACAGCCGATGCAAAGTCAGAGCGCGACTACCAACATATTTCCGCCGGCATCGGGCGCCATGCTTACACCGTCAATGGCTGCAATGTCGCAGTCACTTCCAAGAAACAACGAGATGGCTGACGCTGCAGCCAGGTTGGCCAACCTGCAACTCGGCGCGACAACGGCCGGAAACCAGGCACAGTCCCCACTATACCAGCAGCAGCAGCAGCAGCAGACGGGTGCCTATGCAGCAGGGTACGGCGGTGCGCACATGACAGCGGCACCTGTCACTGTCTCTGCCACTCCTCAGTTTAATTCTTTTTCTTCTTCTCAAGTGCGGTCAGCAAACCAAGGCTCGTTTGCGCCTGGCTACGGCCCGCCGCCCGTTGTTTCCACTTCGCCCGCCAATAACGCGCCCGCCATGTACGGCTCGGCATCGCCCGTCTACCAGCAAGGACAAGCGATGGACCCGCAGACCGTGGGTGGCGGCCGGCCGGTGCAGCAGTTTTACTCGAGCACCAATGGGCCGCAGCCGCTGGTCCTGCCGCCGCTGCTGGGCCCGCTGCTGCAGTTCATCGACGTCGACCTTGAAAGCGCGACTTGGCGCGGCTCCGTGCTGGTGCTGACCAACGAGTCCCTGCTGCCACACGCCGTGCGCCCGCCGACTGAAAATGCAGGCGCAGTCAACACACTGGGCTCGGCGATGCACGCGGGGCCGACGCCCGGGGCATCAACGCTGCAAGCGGCGAGCCTGCACGTGCCCATAGTCGAGGTATGGGACGACGGCGTGCACGGGCCGGGCACGGGCAAGCCCAAGACATTCACGGCGCGCGCGATCTACACCGAGCCGACGTTCAAGTACACGTTCTGGCGCGCCGACATCGCGCTGCCGCTGCCGCAGGAACGCGAAGTCGACGTCGTGTACCAGGTGTACTGGAGCGCCGACGAGCACGCGATCCAGTCGCCGTCGGCGCGGCCGTCGTTTGGGTTCCGGCTGCCGGCACAGGCGCTGCAGTGGCGCACGTGCGTGACCAGCAACGCGCAGTTTTCGCGGCGAACCGGCGAGGCGGCTCGCGCGGGGCTGCGCGGCTCGGGGCCGGTGTTCGGCGATCTGCTGGCCAAGCACCGCGCCAACCCGTTCCACGTGTGGCTCGGCACCGGCGGCCAGTTCTCTGGCGAGGGCGTCTGGGACGACTGCGAGCACGCGCTGCGGCCATTCCTCATGCACGGGCTAGACAACCAGCGGCGCTCGCACGTGCCATGGACCGCCGACATGGCGGCGGCCGTCGAGCGCTGGTACTTCCTGGAGTACCTGCGCCAATGGTTTGGCGTCGGCGCCGTGGCGGCGTCCGAAGCCGAGGGCCAGGCGTTCTTCCGCCAGGCTGCCGAGAGCATCCCATACTCGTTCACGCCCGACTGCGAGATCTTCCCCGAGTACGGGTCGTACACGCCGCTGCTTCACTTTGCGCCGGTGTTCGGCGGCGTGCGCCATGTCGGCGCCAAGTACTTCGCGCTGTTCCAGGCGCACACGACGCCGACGCTGGCGCACAACGAGCACGGGTTCCTGGCCGAGGGATTCAACTCGATCAAGAAGCTGGGCCCGCACACGGCGATCCTGACGCTGGACACACGCACAGAGCGGCAGCCGGCGGGCATCATCGACCGCCACAGCTACGACATGCTGTTTGGCGAGCTGGAGGCGCGTGTGCCTGCGACAGCGTCCAACCTGATTGTCGTGACGGCCAACCCGGTCATCTTCCCGCGCACAAAGAGCTTCGAGTCGATCCTGCGCAGCGCCAACAGCACTGGGCTGGCGTCAATCATCTCGTATGCGGTCAGCAACACGGGCAACAGGCAGGCGCGCAACGACTGGGTGGCCAAGGACCGCTTTGGCGAGCCCGTGGCCGTCACCAAGCTGAATGACTTTTGGACAGCGGCCACGCACAAATCCGAGCGCGCCTTCCTCGTGCACTCGCTGCAGGAGTTCTCGCGCCGCCGGTCGGTGCGCGTCACCTTTGCATCCGGCCACGTCAACTGCCTGTCGTCTGGCCACCTCCGCACGTACACTGACACCAAGTTTGACGCGCGCTGGTACCCCGAGCAGCGCGGCTTTGTTTCGGACTACCGGTCGATGATCCAGCTGACAGTGTCTGGTATCGTGCAGGAGCCTGCCGACAGCCTGACCCTGCGCGCGTACCACTTTGCCGGCAAGTCGGCGCCGTTCGACATGCACACTGAGGAGGCGCTGTACCGCACATTTAACGCCGACGTTAACCAGCTGGCGCCGCCCAACGGCAACCAGAAGCTGCTTGCGCGCCGCTCGTTTGGCATCATCATTGAGCATGACTTTGATAACGACCGCAGGCACCCTGGCTTGCTGTCCTTCTTCTACGTCGAGAACGAGACCTGCACGGGCACTGCGACCCCGTATATCATCAACATCCCACCACTGCGCTACCCGCAGCTGCCCTCGGCAGACATTGCCAGCTCTGGGGTGCAGCCGGCGCCCTTTCTCAGCAACAACGCGGGCCGTCCACAGCTCCGCCCCAGCGTGACTTATCGCAGCTACACTGCGGACGCAGCTAGCGCCGGCGGTTCCTTTGCAGCGCCAGCAGTCCTGATGGGTGCTGCAGCATCGGCTGCTGCAGCGGCTGGAGCTAACGCCGGAGCATCGGGATCCTGGCCTACCAACGAAGCCAATAGGAACGACGTGCTTGCCGACGACCCCTATGCCTACGATGTGCCTGGGTACGAGGGCGTTGCCACTGGGGGCGGCCGCCTGGACGCAAAGTCAATGTCGCCGCCGCCGTATACGCCGGTGCCGCCGATTGATATTGCGGCTCAGGGCGGGGATGCTTTGCCACCGCGTACTGATGGCACGTACTCGTCGTCGTATGAGCATACGGCGGCTTGGGTTCAGGGGAGCGCGTCGCATACGACTGGTGGCTCTGAGCCAGGCATTTCTGTTATGCATACGGGTGGGCAGCAGCAGCCACGGCTTGTTCAGAACTCGATACAGCAGCAGATGACGTACTCTCAGGCCGTGCCCCCTCAGGCCCAGGTTCAGGCCCAGGCCCAGGCTCAGGCTCAGGCTCAGGCTCAGGCCCAGCACCAGCAGTATGGCCAGCACCAGCAGCGCCCGCGTATTAGTATTAGCATCACGTTTTTATTCTATTTTTCTTCCTGTTTATCCGATTTGTCAATCATTTTCTACACTTTATCGCGGTGTCCTTTGGTAATCTGCTTTCATTTTGAGCATGTGGCAGCAAAACGGTCGAGGCGATAACGACATCCTCAAGAGTGGTAAAGGCGTGGGAACAGATGGTCTGTGGTAAAAAAAACCAGATTATTAAAGAAGAAATAAATAGATGCCTTATATTTTTTTCTTCTTCCGCACCTGTCCTACCCCTTCCTCTCTCCGATTAATTCCGCTCAACTTCGCCGATTTTCTCCCGTCCACTTGGTTTAAACACTTTCTTATCTTATCACAGAGCCACGCGAACAATGGTTCAGTCCTCCAATGTATACAGAAAATGAAATGGCAGGAGACCGTGCAAGTATTTTGATAACAAGCGAGAGCACATGCGCAAGCACAAGCACAAGCACGAGCACAAGCACAAGCACAAGCACAAGCACAAGCACAACCAAAGCACAAAACCGGCTCCACTCTTTCTTTCTTTTCTTCATCTTCCAATATATTCTTGCTTTTTTTATTATTTTTGCTCATCGATTTCTGTAATACTATTATACTTTTTGCTTATCCAAAAAACCCCTTTTCTCTTCTATACACGCTCTTTTATATTACTTTTTCTTTGTCTTTACAGAAAAAAGCAAAACGAGAATTAATAACAGGATAAACTAAAAAAAAGTTTTGCCAATGCTGAGCTCTAGACTTGTTACCCAGAGGCCTACGGTCTCGGCCCTCCTCCTCACCAAGGGTCTCACCAAGCGTGTTGCCATGGGCTTCAGCCCCCTCGCCTCCCGCCGCACCTACGCAACGGCGAATACCAAGAGCGCCGAAATCAAGGCACGCATCGACAACAAGCGCCAAGCATCCCTCTTAGGCGGCGGTATCGCCCGCATCAACGCGCAACACGCCAAGGGTAAGCTTACAGCACGCGAGCGCATCGAGCTCCTGGTCGATCCCGGAACCTTCCGCGAGTACGATGCCTTTGTCGAGCACCAGTGCACGGACTTTGGCATGGATGGCCAGAAGATTACCGGCGACGGTGTTGTCACCGGTGTTGGTAAGATTAACGGCCGTACGACGTATATTTTCTCGCAGGACTTTACCTCATTCGGTGGGTCGCTTTCCAAGACTTTTGCCGCCAAGGTGTGCAAGATTATGGACCGTGCCTTGCAGGTTGGAGCCCCCGTTGTTGGTCTGAATGACTCGGGAGGCGCGAGAATCCAGGAGGGTGTTGATTCGCTCGCTGGGTATGCGGAGATCTTCCAGCGCAATGTGCTGGCCTCCGGCGTCATCCCCCAGATCTCCCTGATTATGGGCCCTTGCGCCGGTGGTGCCGTGTATTCGCCGGCTCTGACTGACTTTACCTTTATGGTGAGGGGCACTTCGTACTTGTTTGTCACCGGCCCGGATGTCGTCAAGGCCGTGACCAACGAGACTGTCACGCAGGAGGAGCTGGGTGGTGCCGGCCCGCACACCAAGAAGTCCGGTGTTGCACACGACGCCTTTGACAACGATGTTGTTGCCCTGGCGCGCACTCGCGAGCTCCTCTCGTACCTCCCCCAGTCTAACCGCGCACCCGCCGCCCTGCGCTACACGGCTGATCCTTCGGACCGTGCTGATGCCGCTCTTAACACGCTGGTGCCGACGGACTCCCACCAGGCGTACGACATCAAGGATGTTGTCAGCCGTATTGTCGATGACGCCCGTTTCTTCGAGATCATGCCTGACTACGCGCGCAACATTATCATTGGATTCGCTCGTATCGGCGGCCGCAGCGTCGGTATTGTCGGCAACCAGCCCCTTGTGTCCTCCGGTGTCCTGGACATTGCTGCGTCGGTCAAGGCTGCGCGCTTTGTGCGTTTCTGCGACGCCTTCAATATCCCCTTGGTCACCTTCGTCGATGTCCCTGGGTTCTTGCCCGGTACGCAGCAGGAGCACAACGGTATTATTCGCGAGGGCGCTAAGCTGCTCTACGCGTACGCCGAGGCCACTGTGCCCAAGATCGCCATCACCACGAGAAAGGCGTATGGTGGTGCTCAGTGTGTTATGAGCTCGAAGCAGCTGCGCGGTGATGTTAACTTGGCTTGGCCTACGGCTGAGCTCGCTGTCATGGGTGCTAAGGGTGCTGTTGAGATCTTGTGGAGGAAGGATCCTGAGGGTCGTGTTAAGGCTGAGGAGGAGTACAACCGCTTGTTCGCTAACCCCCTGCCGGCTGCACAGCGCGGATACCTGGATGATATTATTGAGCCGTCGACTACTCGCCAGCGCATCATTGAGGAGCTCGAGATCCTGCAGCACAAGGAGCTTAAGAATCCCGTCAAGAAGCACGACAACATGCCTCTCTAATTTATAATTATAATTATTATTTTTTCTTTTCTCCTCACTCCTTTATTCAGTTCAAAAAATCAACGTCGTTTTTTTCATGTCACAACCACTTTGGTTTTTTATTATAAAAATTGAGAAAGTAAAGTGAAAAGATGGATAAAGGTTATAGTAGCATTATTCAAATGAACCCACCATTTGGGGAAAGGGAGGATAAAATGTATAACACTGCTTCACTTTGCAAGCAGTGACATGGCCGCAAGCAGAACAGAGATTGTCGGAAAGTAGCTCATCTGCGCCGCCGACACTGCAGCATTAGATCTAGCGTTATACGCGATTTGGTTGCCGTTACACGACGCCGCCAAGTCCTCGCGCTTAATGCCCGTGGTCTTTGCGATATAGTCCAGGTACGTAGCCACATGTGTGTAGAACCCGGCGCCATTAGTGGCTGCGCACACAGTATCGTCTGACAGCTCAGAGTTATCGCCGTAGCTGGTGATGCCCAGCTGCAACCAAGGGCCCTCCCCCATGGTCCCGCTTGAAGCCAAGTTACTGCTGCACCGACGCAGCAGTGGGCCGCCGCTATCCCCCGAGCAAGTGTCACGGCCATCAGGCGTGGTTACGCAAATATAGTTCCCATCGTTACTGTCAAATGTTGGACGAATGCGGTGGCACAGCGCCTGGTTGCCGATCTGCAGGTTAACAGCCTGCAGGACATCGGCTGTCACATGATGGTGCAAGCTAGTCATTCCCCATCCAATTCCCGTCACCGTCATCCCATCGCTTATCGACCCTGTGTCGATACGAATCGGCTGCACAGTGTCGCTGAATTTCAGCTTAGTCTTGAGTTTGAGCAGCGCAATGTCGTTGTCAAAGTAGTCTAGGTTGAGGTCAGGGTGCACGTGCACTTTGCTGACTTTATATGGAGAACTGTCTGCGTTGTAGACGTTTCCAACACCGACGACGATGTTTTTGGCGCTAACTGTATTGTACTTGCGACCTTGCAGTGATCTGCGGTTGGGCCATAGGTGGTTGCGCACGATGGTTGCGTTGTGCAATCCCTTGGTGCCTGCAATTAGCGGGATGCTGACATTGAGGCTGTTTCCCCCAGACGATGCGTCGACGACACAGTGGCCAGCAGTAAGGATCCATTGCTTGTCGATGATAGTTCCGCCACAGAACGCTGTTTGGTCGCCCTCGTCTACTATAAGGAATGCAGCAAAGGGGAACTCCCCCTGGGATGCGTCGCTGCCCCCGATCACCCGCCCGAGGTGCTCCTGGGCGGCTTGGCTAATAGACCGCTTGAATACAACCTTGGCAGCGCTGAAAATAGGCAGCACCAACAGAAGGCTGCTGATAAATGTACTGAGTTTTAAAAGCATGCTTGTTTTAATATTCTTTTTTGTGTCAAGAGCATGGATTTGTTAAATAAAATAAGTTTGTTTTTTGTGGTTGCAAAAAAAAATATATGAGGGAGCAATGGATAGCTTGGTTACAAAAAAAACCTGTCTATCGGGTGTCATGATATGGCAAGTTCAAAAAAAATAACTACTTTTATTCACCTTTTTGCTTATTCGCAAAGAACTATCAAAAATATTTACACTTCTATTTGCATCGTCCAGTGCACATTTCTATTTTACGCTCAGCATTAAATGTGAAACACTGCTGCTGAATTGCCTTTAATTCTTTGTACATCACTAAACATTTTTTTGCTGCATTGTGTTGACTGCATATCTTTTTTTACTTTTTTTAATTTGGTGGTAGAAGACCAGTCGAATGTTTCACAAAGAAATTCAAATATCATTTGCATTTTGAACCGCAAAATAAAAATATTTACTTCACTGCTGAGTAGCGAGGAGGCCGATCAGTTTGATCGGCGGGTGGAGAAAATGAAACAAAGTAACTCCCCACCGGCCTGGTAACTTGCAGATCACACATTCGCAAATTTTGATTGGCCATCGTTGCAAGCAGTAATTTAAATTAAATAACTTTTTTCTGGCTTTACTACTGTAACCAATGTGCACGCACGGCCTCGGCCACACGAATAAATAGTTGAATGCTTAGCCTAACAGCTAAATGGAGTAGTGGGCAATTGCCCTTTTCCCTGGGTTTCTGACCTTTATTTTTCCAAATTCAAAACCCCAATATCCAAGAGGCAGCTCTTACCCCTTGAAACCCCATACTGAAATGCTGAACGTCTTCTGCTTGGGCTGGGATGGGTGGGCACCCACTACTCCAGTTAACTGTCAGGCTAACCACCCAATTAATATTTATTTAATATGATGAATACTATGAGTGCTAATCATTGGAGGGGTAATAAAGAAGAAATAAGTGATGTGTGTGTCACAGTATGACTAAAAAAATACAAAATGTGATGTGATCATACCTGGCTGCATCCAACTCTAGTAGATCCATATTAACAGTAAAGCCTGGTTGATCATTTAAACTCATTCAACTAATAGTTTGCAGTGCAATATATTTAGCTTCAAAATAAACGGCAGCAAGGAGTGTTGTAGCAAAAAAACCAAGGCAACTTAAGAATAGGGCAAAAAATCCGAACGGCACGCAAAATACAAAGTAAAAAGAAGAAACATACAAAGGAATGGTAAAAGGAACTGCAAAATAATAGCAGAAGCAAAAAAATGAGAATGAAAATAAAAAAATAATAAAAGGGTTTGTTGTGATTTGAGGAGAGCGCTAGTTGTCTAGTGTTAAAATTATGTTTGGGTTTTGTTACGGTTTTTATTACTGATGTTTCTAAAATACTACCAGGGCCGGCCTCGTCTTATATATGTGTCTCGTCGCCTTTGTTGTTGTGAATATTGCCAATTCTGCGCTCCGTTGGTGAGAACTGGATCTTCTGCGAGCAGACCAGTATCTTGGCAAGTCAATGTTGTGGGTTTATGTGTGTGCACTTATGCATATGCATTGCAAAATGGGGAGCATATCTGGGCATCATTGTAATGCCTCTCTAATTTACTCCTGTATAATCCAATTAGTATCCTATCAATTGGCATGCAGATGGAAACTTATTTTACGATTCTCAACCTCGACATCCACTTCCATATCTTTGGGCTGCGCAATAAGTTATTGAAGAATACATTTAATGTAGGGCTCTTTTAACAAGGGAATACAAAAGCAATGAATAAGACACGTCAATTCTCACTTAATAAATCATTGTGCCAAATTATTTTGCTTTCTTTGCATAAAACGCATAGAAAACTGTTACCGTTAGAATATAGTTGGGCGCAAAATTGCAGAGCTCGTCATATATTTGTTTTTGTCTTTACAATTATTATTATTTTACACAATTTTCTTCTAACGCAATTTTTATACTTTTTTTAAAGATAAGCAGCAAAATACAACTATGGCAACTACGACAACGACTACACTACTTAAACATGCGCGCTACTAGATATTAATTTTAGGCTGTATTGAAATGGACAACATGGATAAACTAGCAACAGAATTGGCAATCCTGAACAATCTTACTGCCAAGGATTTCTTGGTGTATTTCAAGGAACATCTTATAAATAAATGTGAACGTGCCGAATTTGAAGCTGGCAAAATTGTAAAGTCTCTTATGGCTTATAGTGTTAAGAATCATGAAATGCAGTATTCAAAATTGGTTGAACAATATCCCAATAGGCCTTTTGCTGATGCTATGATTGCATGTTTAGAACAAATCAGTTCTGTTAAACCCACTGATGTATTTGTTGTTATATTATTATTAAAAAGAATAATCTAACAACCAACTATATTTTAGGCTTCAAGTAATTTTTGTTTTTTAATCAGTTACATTATATGCTATAATAATAATTAAATTAATGTAATATAAATCATATATATATACGTAATAATAATGCAACTACTGGAAGGGCCAGGCAGTTAGCAGGGCTTAAATCCACATTACTAAGCTAACCCATTTAACTTTTAAAAAAACTATACAAATGTGTGAACAACGCCTGGCTACATGCTATATCGTGTGCACTCTAAATTGTAATCAGCATGTTAGTTATGATACAGCTGGCTACGCTACATGTATCAATGCTTAACTATGTAACCATATTTTGTGGACGTTTGCCTAACCTTGTATTATTGCGCACACTTACAATACATGACCGATTAAAAATATAAAACTCGGGGAAATGGGGGAAATGGGGTTCTAACCGCATTTAATTTGTAGGTTCATGAAAATATTACGTATTAAAAACGGTATTTTCTATATGATCATGTTTGTAATGCGCTAGTAATGTCTACTATTTGAATTATTTGCCTTTACTAATTAAACAGCATTCATCTTCTTTTATGGACCAAATGAACCAAAACAAAGTGAATTATTGGATGGGTTGCTAGTCTGTTGTCAGCTACCCGTCAGTCCAAATATATTGTCTGCGTTTAATTGTTTCCTGCTTCTTTGGAATTTTCACATTGTGGCCCCGACATGACCACTTCTTTTTAGCATTTTTGAATATATACATATATATCAATCAAACTAAATAATTATTATTCATGCCTAACAGTAGACAATCCATCGCCCCAGGTAGTATGTGCGCAATGGTGTTGCCCAAGCAGAATAGTTGGCTTCAAGTAAAACAGCAGAAAAAAGCAGCAAAAGCCAAATTAAATGAATAAAAAAGCGGAATTTGTCAAAGGCGGCTTATAATAGTGACAAAGGGCGGTGAAAATATAAAGAAAAGATTGCGGATATTGCCATAAAGAAAATAATAAAAAGAAGAAAAGAGAAAAAAGAAAAGAAAATTTCTTTTACACCATTCATAATGCAGAGGTCTGTTGGATGAAATAATAAAAATGTGAATAAAATTTGTTTCTGCGACCAGTATACAAATACATTCTGGTTTTCAACTTAGAGATAGCTTAGGACGCAATAAACAGAATTTTCTGAAACTGAAAACCCCGTTTTGTATTTTGTTTTAGCTCCTATTTTTTATTAGCATTTATTAGTATAAAATTATATGCGTCAATACGTACCACAAAGAACGACAACAGCAACAACAAGAACAACAACAACAACAGCTAGTTAAGTATGGGAATCCCAGATAAATTTGAATTAATTTGCACTAAGGTGGGTGAACCACTTGGTAATCCAAAAAAGGTAGTTATTAAGCTTGGAGATACAATTGAAGAATTTCAAAATGCAATCCTACCTTATTTAAAAAAAGAATGCAACGGTAATGAATCAAAGGCTCGAGGTATTTTAAAGAACTCAAATTACACAGTACAATAGGCCGTCGAATAGATCTTCAAACATTGGCAAATTTTAAATTAAAAATGCCCATTGTTTATCTCATAGTTCTTACTTTGAATTATGTTCAGAAAAAGCTTGCAGATTCAAAATCTAAATTGATAGTAAAATCAACTGACGTGTATTTTTCAAACTTAGAAGCCCTCAAGATGAAAAAGGGAACCATCTATTCATTTGGATTTGTGAACTTGCCAACGCTTAGTGAGATTGAAATGATAAACAAAAATCATATACATTTTTCAAATTGTAATGACAAAACACAGTAAGAAAACTCAACTCAATATTCGACATGCCAATTTATTATTATAATATGCAAAGAAATTGCCACTGCTATCATTTTTTCTTTTCAATCGACAAATTCTAACCAACTATTTAGTGTTCTAGCCTTTTGCTCCAACATCCTCGGACTATACCCACACGCATCCACCAAAGCCCGAGAGACACTCAATTTAAATCCCAATACTTTTACCACCACAGGTACGCCATCCAAGTACTTTGCAAACAGGACGATTTCAACGTTTTCGCTTATTGCTATTTCGCACATATCCTCGTGCATCTCCAACATACAAATGCCGTTGATTGTCAGGATAAACATGTGGCATGGGCGGCGGGTGGCAAGTGGCAGCCATTTGATACTGCCCGGTTGCATTGCTTGCCACATTGTGTTTCTCCTAGTCTCGTGGTCCACGCTCATAAAGTGGACTGTCAGCAATGAATGGTTTTTAACGAGAACCATGTTTTTTGTCGTGCTTTTATAATATAGAATAAATAAAAAACTAAGTAGTGCGTGATACTAGAGACAAGAGACAAAAATGAAAATGAAAAGCCGAAAACCATCATTTAATTGTCCACATTTACATTTGTCAGGTGCGCTAGTTCAAGGGCCACCGCCATAAATTTAGCGTCAGAGTCAGAGTCAAATTCATTAACCAACATATCAAATTTGGGCCCATCATCCAAGAGCTGCCACAGCCACACATATGCCGAGTTCACTTATAGCTGTGCCACGAAGAGTGGTCCAGCTCGTCCAAGCTCTCCAGCCGCGCAATCTTGAGCAAATACCGAGCGAGCCTGAACAGCTCCGTATCAGAGCGAGGCTGCGTGTCCGCGCGCTTAAACGGGCGAATCTTCAGACCATTCTGGTAATTCAGCGCAAAATTCCGGCTAAGGTCGTCAATATGGATGGTGTTTTGGCTGCTGTAGTGCTGGGGAAACGCGACCAAATGAATTCCAGCGGCTTCACCTGGTGGGTCCCCAGCTCGCCATTGCGGATGGATTTTACAGTGAACATGGTTGATATGTCCAGCGCGGTTGTGATCCTGTACAGCGGGTGCGTGAGCATGCCCAGAAGCGTTATTTTGCTCTCCAGCACGTGCCACCTGGTCTGGCTCCACACTATCAGGTCGTAATGCGGATAAATGGCCGCCAAAAACTCGTGCAACCCCGGCCTTGCCATATCGGCAACATTGCCCGTGATGTTTTTGCAGTCAAACAGCGTGTAGTCCAGGTCCAATACTGCAAGCTTTTTGCCAGGCCGCGGCGCGTTGAGCACGCGCAGGCTGGCGTCGCTGACGATTTTGGCCAGGCTATGTTTCCAGTCGTCGGAAACAACCCGGCTCCGGCCATGGCCCCGCCGCAAACTGCCAGACGCACGGTCAACAGGGTCCGCTCCCGAGGATATACCAGTCACACCAGTGTCCTCAGGCTCTCCCCATGCGTTCTTTGCGTCAAACTTTAGCCGGTCAGCCATGCGCGTGCCCATCAGCCTGACCCTTGTGCCGTTCCTGACCCCCAAGCTAACGAGCGTGTCGCCGTCGCTGGGCAGTCTGCCCTTGACCAGGCCCAAAAGCTTCTGGCTATCGGCCTCGATTTCTGTCAGCTCCTCAATCAACACTTTTATCGAAAGTACGGTAGCGTATTTGGGGATGCGCATCTGGTACCGCTCGCTGCCCTTCCACAAAAGCTCTATTGAGATTGACTCGCGGACCATCTCGTCATCATCGAATTCGTCATCGGCATCGGCATCGGCATCGCACCGTCATCAGCACCGTCATCGTCATCATCATCATCATCATCATCCGCATCAGGATTTGCAGTGACCGGTTGCAGCTCAGTGTCGTCCTTGCAGATGTCCTTGCTGCCGACGCCGCCGCCACCGCTGTCACCACTGCCGGCACTGGTGCTGCCATTGCTGCTGCTGCAGAGAGTGTGCGCTTCATCGGTAAGCAGCTTCCGTCAGACATGCTCTTTAAAAAATTGGTTGTCGTGAAGCGGCGTCGAATTTAGAAGATACAAAAATATATGGAATTAAAAATGAAAAAGAACAGGAGTTCAGCGAATTTAACTGAACTGGACTTAAATGAATTGGAGCAAAAAGAAAGGCAAAAAGAAACCAAAAAGTGCAGAATACAAAAAATATGATTATTGGATATTGGATAAACAAAAGAGTAGAGCCAGTGAACGATAGATGAGGAGTGAAGTGAAGTGAAGAGAGGAGGAACGCATGGCCTTGTCCGCTCCATCGCCTCCCACACACCTCTCTCCTTCGGCTGATGCCCAAAAACTCGCCTCGTGTCTCTCGCTGTGCACAACAAGCACAGAAAAAAGACAATCAGTCAGTCGGATGGAAAGGCGGCCAGCTGGGAATAAACAACAATCATGTGATGCATATATTATAAAGGAACACCCCCGCCAGCCACACAAAAACAGCCTCTCGGGCCCTTTCTCAGACTTTACTCGCTCACTGGCCGCGCCGGGTACAAGCCGCATACGTTGCAGAAGCTGGTCCATCCTTGAGCCTGAACTTGCAGTCCGGACATGTGCCTGCCCATACCTGTGCATCTGCGCCATAACACGGGGCAGTCCACACAACTCTCCTGAACGAGCGGAAATACGCTAACCGCTCCTTATCACGAACCACAAATCGTATGCGCCAAGGCCTCGCGCGCTTCGCTCTCAAAGTCTGCATCTGAAATCAGCAGCTCCATCAGCGCTGGAATAACCGTGGTACCACTGCCGCACTCAATCGGCTCCTTCCTGCGCTCTGCTGATATCACTTCGGGAAACGCCTTGCGCAGAATAAGCTTGCCGTGGGTGGCTCCGGCAAACTCGCCAATCTTCAGCTACGCGCGCTGCCGCCATCATCCGAAACCGCATACTCTATGATGCGCGGGTCGAGATACGGCGACCAAGCCTCGAGGCCCAGCTCCTTGGCCAACGGGAACGCGCAGAACGACATGGTCTTGACCATGTTTCTCGTGTATTTGCGCAGAGCCGGGTCATCCATCCTGTGCATAAAGCTGTAGCCGGCAAATAGCTCATCAGCACCATCGCCAGTGCACACACGCGACAGCCTAACTTTTTCGCAAACATCAGTGAGCTGGCAATCACCACTGCGTTGCGCAGCTCCATGCCGTCGAAAGTGCGCAGGACTCTGACGCACAGTCCATCGTTGGCCCGTTGATGAGGTCGTCCAGGGAGGGCTCAATGACGTGGTGCTCGAGCCCAAGCTTTGCTGCTATTTTGCGAGCGTACAGGATGTCCTGTGGCTGCTGCGTGAACAGCCCGTTTGCTTGCGCCACTGTGTTGTTGTCCGGGTCGATTGTCAGCGTGATTCCGGTGCGCAGCTTGGACTCGTTTTTGTTGTCGATTATTGTCTTGAGCGCCTCGGAGGCTATTGACGTGTCCAGGCCGCCAGACAGCAAAATAGAGTCGCACGATAGGGCGTCCTCTGACGAAGAACATTGAGCACCAGGCTGCGTAGTCTTGCTGATTCGGCGTCCATTGTTACTGATAACTAGATAATCAAATAATCAAATAAATGTGCATGGAAATATATGCGTATCTCGCCCATCTGCGAGTCATCAGGATCAATGCCCAGATGATTGCCAGTGGTATCAGATCTTTATGGGCGGGAAAGCACACCTATAAATGAGAAAGCGCCATTTTTTCCTAACCACACAACTCCTACAATACTTCGTGATAGGAGGGCATGTATTCAGGTCTGCAATAGACCCGCAGTAGGCAAGGTGGCGTGGTAGACAATAGGCTCACTCAATTAGTATATTTTCCTTCTCTCTTCTCAACGACAAAGCGTCAGTTCACCAAAATACCCAAAGGTATATTAACAAAAAACGTTTAAATGTAAAACTACCGCGAGTGAATAAATGCTGATTTAAATGAAAGAAAAATATAACAATAAACTTAAAATAAAAAAGACAAAAGTTGTGAAAAGTTGTAAAAATATAAAGTAGCGTAAAAAAGGATTAAGAAAAAATAAATGGGTCTAATTATTTTCTTTTAATACCTGGGATATCGGAAGAATAATCGGATTCTGATGAACACTGCCATTATTGTGTGTCAGCTCAATATGGCTCGGGACGCCATTAACAATAACCAACGTAGTAGACATTTTATTTTGCCCTCCAATACCGTTAATACCGCCTGCACTCTGGGGAATAGGCAATGAGGATACTTGCGGTTGCGTCATAGAATACACCGGCGGCATCATATTCCCACCCTGTATATTGGACTTGACCGGCGACTGAGAATACACTTGATGGTTCTGTTGGTTCGACTGCATAGGCACCTGGTACTTGTCTATGCCAAACTGCAGTTGTGTCAGGTTACTTGTGGAATAAGATCCTGTCAATGAGCCATTCTGCGCCCTGGTTTGCTGGATATTGGGCGTGCGCGGAGCTGACTCATTCATGGTACCTTCGTCAGACCAGCTATTGGGGAGCTGGAACGTGAACCCTGACTGGTTACTGCCAAAATACCTTGCGATTCCGGTCCCGCTGTCACTGACGTCAATGCCGATGCCGAGGCATCGTGCGGAGCCCAGTACGATAGTCCATTGGGCGTGTACTGTTCATCGGATAGTGCGCGGGATAGCAACGACGGATACTGGTTGCTTTCTGGCGAGCCCAGAGTAAATGCCAGTGGAATATCCTGACCATTGCCGTGCTGGATACCTTTGTGAGACTGCATATCGGAGAATTTGGATTTGTTGTTGGCAAGCCGCTGCATCTTGATAGGCGTTGGGTCATGGGCAGGCGACGTCGAGTGATGGTTGTAGGTATCCGCAAATTGGCCGTTCTGCACTTGGTTCGTGCTATTTGCGCCGGTAGAGCTGTTGACTGAAAGATTGACAATGGCCTCGAGAAGGTCTGAGGGCGGCGTGCTGGAAATGGACTGCTGGTTTGCACTGGAGTCTGCATATCCCAGATTATCCGACGGGTACATGGCAGCCTGGAGGGCAACCGACGTAATGGGTGCGGATGCATTGGAGTCAAAGTTAATAAACTGGTTAAAATACTCGTCGTCGTGCTGCACCTGGTTGCTCTTATTGTTGTTCTGAGCAAACCCGTTATTGGCAAGCATAGACATATTTGCATAAGAGGATAGGTCGTAGAAGGAGGCATCCTGCTGGGCGTCGTGGCTTTGGGATGATTTGTCCGAAAACACGAGCGATTTTGACCGCTTTATCTGCGGGCGCATAACATCCTCATCGTAGTTATACTCACAGCTGTTGCCGTATGCTTGCGGGTAGCTGTGATTAGGACTTGTATCTCTTTTGTTGCTGCGTGGAATACCGCTGTTCAATGCAGTCTGCAGGTTGAAGCCTATTTTCAAATCAGCAGGCCGCTCGATTCTTTTGGCAAACATGGATGATTTTGTAGGCTTGTCGGCGTGGAAAGCTTGCATTTTTGTTTCTTGTGCGGACATGGGCATTTCCTTAGCGCTTGAAAGTCTGGACTTGCGCGCGGCCTTGGGCAGGGAGACGACTTCGTCGACCAAATTGCTGATTGTCGACGCCAGAACAGCCCTGGGAGTATCCGCAGTGTAAGCGTCGTGGGTAGATACCCAAACACCCTTTTCCTTGAGTTCCTGGATATATGTGTTGGCAATGTTGACGGTGCACTGGTCCATGAAGTGCACCATGATTTTGCCATGTCTTTTGATCATTGCCAGTGTCCAGCGCCCAGGCTCGGGCGTGTCCTCAGGCATTTCATCGGTTTTCTCCAAGTGGGCTAATGACTTGGGCGCAGGAATGCTGTCGGTCTCGTCGCACCAGAATAGGTGCCGGTGGGTGGTGTATTTAAGCAGAGCCTTGATAGCCGCCAGGTTTTTCTTTTCAATATTTGTGCGTTGCGGCACGGACTCACTTTTTTTGACCTCCATGGCTTTGGCTCCACGCTGGCCTTGGTTTTTATTAGGTAGCCGACCTCGTACAGAGACAGAAAGGGCACCGACCAGCGAGAGCGCGTATTAATGTGTTTGGTGTTAATTTGGCGCACAGTGTACTTGTTTCCGGCGGCATTTTGTAGTTTGCGGAGAAGCCCAAAGACGCGACGGCAGTTTTTGCCTGTATTGGACTCGTTGGCTTTTTCCAGCGCAGCGATGATTTCCTCATCGATGGCTTCGTTGCTCTTGGTTTTGTCGATTGAAAACTTGGCCTCCATTTTCTCTACAATGCTGATGTCTCGGGCATCGAGGTAGCGGTGGTTGAGCTCGAGCTTGCCGTTTTTAAACTCTGTATGTTTTGAGAGTACCCAGTGGAAGTTGTCCGTGTCTTCGGGGTTCCAAGTGCTTCTCTCGTTGACACTGTCTGCTTCGTCACTGTCAGTGCGCAGGGTGTTGAATTCGCTTCTTGAAGACTTTGTTTTCTTTGGCATAGCAGTTTCTCAATTTTCTTGTGCTAATAAGATGGGTTGAACAAGATGTGGGTGAGGGTGCTTGAAAAAACTGTCTAGTTGTTTTTTGTTCAGTTGGAAAAATAAATAAAAGTGCAAAACCGTGTCTTTTATGTGGAATATACGTAGTACCCGCAGATGTGTTGAAACAAAAAAAAATTGATGTTTAAAGACTGTAAAAAGAATTATACAAAAAATATGAATAAAAATGCAGGACAAGATGAAGAGAGAGCAAAGGCTATACAATTGAACAAGAGCTGTTATTTTTGCAACAGTTTTTTTTTTTTTTCAAAATACGAGCAGGCTCATTTTATATAATTAAAAAAGAGGAGCAGAGGGGGGCAGCATGTTTCTTTGCTGCTGTCTTTTTTCTTTTTGTGTACATTCTTTTTGTATATTTTCTTTTTATTTCTTCCCTTCTTTTTTATTGTAAATTTTAATTGACAGATGAGCACAGGAATACATCGGGACTATCTTTTTTTTTGCTCGCACCTTGTTATATTTACGCACATTTTTTATTTACAAAATTTTTTTAGAAGCTGGAAATACAAAGAAAATAAAACAAACTTTATATAATGTGTATAGCGCGCTCAAAAGTAAATGAAAATTAGAGAGTAGAATGAAAATAATGAGAAAATAGCATACATGTAGAAAAACATGGACTGATGATGTATTGGTGAAATTAAATTGTTGAACAAAAAATACCTTATACAATGAAAAATAGACAATGTGTGATATCATATTACCTGTGGCTCTTCCTCGCCCCCACCCCCCAAAAAACCACATTGGATGTATAATGAAATGGCATGTTTTGGTGAAAGATTGGGTATGTACATAGTCGTTTAGAAACAAAACCGAATTCAATTTTTTTGGCTGGCAAAACTTTGTACTCGGCAATTTTGACGCGAACAACATGTCATTAGTACCTTTTCCATTACACTATTATTTTAGCGAATGACGCGACCATTCAAACTGGGCTAAATTTGCACTTTACCTGTGCTGTTGCTGTTGTGCGTGCGTGCTCGAGCATGTGTTCTAATAAAGTAAAGAATAGAGAATAGTTATTTTAAATTTCATCAGCAGCCTCAGTACGCGTGGTTTTAAAAAATACTTAATATAATATCTTGTGGAATTTTTGTAAGCATGGTGAACGTTTGCTCACAAAATTTCCACACAAGCTGAATAAAATATATTGACAGGCAGGCAGACAAGCAGGCAGGGCAGGTGCGGGATTCACCTTGGCATTTTTCATATTAAAAAGGAGTGGCATGTGCACAGTTTTTGAGAATGACGTAATGTGTATTCCTCTACATCCAAATTATTTCTTCTTTACTGCTGGTTCATGAGCAGAACCAAAGAGAACAATGTGTGGAGAAGGGAAGGACCGATCCACCGATCACTGATTTTTAACCCAATTTTACTGATCAAGCAATTTATCATAAATCACTGTTAAACTTAGTGTTATCATTCACAGTATCCGTGATTGGATTTTCTTTTTTTTATTGAGTGTGATGAATGAAATCCAATCACAGTCCGCATACAAAAAAAACGGGTTGGCATGTATTTTTTTTGGAGAACAATGGAGGAAGAGGCGGAATGGAAAAAAATAACATTGTGCTTTCACCTCCCCTTTCCTGTTCCCATCATCACCAATTATTTGTTATATTCATTATTTATTTTTAATACCATTTTAACAAATATCACCAATGGCAGTATTTGATTATTTCGACACTACATACCACCCGCGCACTTTGCTGGTAGACAACTATGACTCTTACACGTTCAATCTCCTTCAGCTACTTCTTGAGCTAGGACAAACCGACGATCAAATCCTAATAATCCGCAACGACCAATATACATGGGAGCACGTGCGTGACCATATACTCCCTTTCATCGATAACATCATTATATCCCCGGGGCCGGGCAACCCGCTGTGCAAAAGTGATTTCGGGATCTGCCACGATCTCATACGTAGCAGCGGTAGCTTTGAAGGGCCGATTCTTGGTGTTTGCCTAGGTCATCAGGGAATTGCAGCGGCGTTTGGCGGATACATTAGGCAGTGTGTGGTTCCGGTGCATGGACAGATATGCACCGTTCGGGTGGAAGAGAAGAAGGATAAGTCTGGTTGTCCAGGCGGTATTGGGTTGTTCGATGGCGTGCCGCCGGTATTTAAGGTCGTCCGGTACCATTCATTGACAGTCAGCGAGGACGAGTTTCCGGAATCACTGGAGGTTTTGGCACGCGCCACGGGATCGGTGAAGACACTGGTGAATGGGCAGCTGGTTGACGTGCGGTCGTCGGAGATTATGGCGCTACGACACAAGCAGAGGAATATTTTTGGCGTGCAGTTTCATCCAGAGTCGGTGTGCTCGGAGTACGGCGCGCGGATCGTGGGCAATTTCCACCAAATCACAAGGCATAGCGGCCCCAAGTACATGGGGGCACAAAAAGTATTCCTAAAGATGTTTTGGCGATGTCATTGAGGGCGAGTGATAGTTGTGTATGGCAGCGGAAGGCGGTTAGTGAGCGCCAGATGCGGGTGGTGCAGAGGTCGGTTACACTGGCCAATTGTGGAAATAATAATGGTAGCGGAGATGTGGGCGGCGCGCTGTTCGAGCATCTGTACAGTGCCGACCCAATGCCTCTGTGGCTGGACAGCGCGCGGCCTGCGGACTCGGCAGCAGCCAAACTGTCAGTTATGGCATCGGCGGCAACACAGGACGGCGGCATCACTGTGCGCTACAGCGTGGCCGATCGCCGCGTGTCCATTGTAAAGTTCATCAGGGAAAATGACAATGCGCTGCTTTTGCTGCCCCAGGTGCGCCGAGAGTTGGTTGCAGAGATTGATTTGGCCTGCGGCGGCGGCGAAGAGTCCTTTTGGACGTGGATGCAGCGGATGGTTGACTGCACGCAGGCAGGCGAGGTGCCCGGAGTCGGGTTTGTCGGCGGGTGGCTTGGGTACTTCGGCTATGAGATGAAAGCGGAGTGCATGGCCGCAGCAGGGCCTGGTGATCGGCTGGGCAGTGGCAACGAGGCAGCGCCAATGCCGGATGCGCAGCTATCGTTTGTTGACCGGTGCATGGTCGTTGATCACAGCGTTAGCCCACCGGTTGCGCATGTGCTGGCGCTGGTAGCTGCCAACCGCCCACAGGCCAAACACAAGCAGCACCAGCAGCAGCAAGAGGGCAAAGAAGTGGAGGAGGAGGATGAGGAGGGTCTGCAGTGGATCAGTGAGTTGGGATTCGCTGAGCCGCGGCTGGCGGCCGAATGGGCCGACCAGCAAGCAGCGAGGATTGCCGCCTGGACCCAAGCACCGTTGAGGATCCTTTGGCGGCGCCCTGCGCAGGCAACTCGGATAAATCAACGCCAGTGGATCTGCAAGCAGATCTCGGGTGCACTGCGTACCTCGGCGCCATTGCGCGAGCACAAGAGCTGATCGCGCAAGGCGAAACATATGAGGTCTGCCTAACGACGCAATTCCGGGCTTCCACATTAGGCCCTCAGACATCGCAGCAAATGCAGCAGCTATACCGACACATGCGGCTCGTGAATCCAGCGCCCTTTGGGGCACTGTTATGGTACGGCGACATCTCCGTGGGCATAGCATCATGCAGCCCGGAGCGTTTCCTCTCTGTATCCAGCGGCCGCATTGTCGAAATGAAGCCAATCAAGGGGACCTGCGCTCGCGCCCCAGAGCCAAAGCCAACGAAGGCCCCTAACCCAATGCTGCTGCGGGCGCAATGGCTGGAGGACGACCGGCAGCGAGCACAGGACCTGCGAATGAACGCAAAGGAGCGTGCGGAAAACCTAATGATCGTTGATCTGATCCGCCATGATCTCAACTGGATCGCGCCTGGTCGCGTCAAAGTCACGCGGCTAATGGACATTGAGTCATACGCGTCCGTGCACCAGATGGTCACGACTGTGCGCGCGCAGCTGGACAAACATGTGGGCGCTGTGGCGGCATTGGCGCATTGCTTTCCGCCGGGCTCAATGACTGGCGCGCCCAAGCTGCGCACGACGCAGATTCTGGACTCACTGGAGCCTGGGTCGCGCGGCGTGTACTCTGGCTGCTTGGGGTACTTTTCGGTGTGCGGCCGCGCTGATTGGAGCGTGGTTATTCGCACAGCGGTCGTGCAGTGCGGCGAGCTGAGCGTTGGCGCTGGCGGCGCACTGACTATCTTGTCGAATGCCCAGGATGAGTGGGCCGAGGTCGAGACCAAGCTGCAGGCCGTTCTGCCTGGCATCCAGCGGTACATCAATGAAATAGACTCTATTTGATTACAATAAAAATTAAAACCACACAACCTACCAAATTCATTCATTTAGTCTATATCTGCTGTTTTGAGAACTGCGGCAGGAGAACGTCGGTCAGCTCGGTGTCCTGTTTGATATCGCTGGCGTCGACGAACAGCCGGCACAGCGCAGGCGACAGGCCCTGCGTGGCCAACAAGTACCGCTTCCACAGCAGCAGTCTGCGCGCACTGCGTGCCAGTTGCGCCTCTGGCGGCGGCGGCTCGGGGATGTCGTACGAGGAACCAATGACGAATGAGCCCTGGGGAGCCAGTGTTCCACCAGGGGTGTTGTATCCGCTGCCGCTGCGGCTGGAAGCGTTAGGCCTCGGCGGGCTGCCGCTGCTCCTGTTGGCTGGTGTGTTGAGATCTATAGTTGCTGCCGGGCTCATCGCATTGGACGTGTTCTCGGCATTCGCCTGCTGCATCTGCATCTGCATTTGCTGCTGTTGTTGCTGCTGCTGCATCTGCATCTGCTGCTGTTGCTGCTGCATCTGCATCTGCTGCTGTTGCTGCTGCATTTGCATTTGCTGCTGCTGGTAGTGCTGGTGGAACTCGGTCGGCACGGCCTCATAATCGATAATCTTCATATTCTGCTCAACAGTCGGCATAAATATGTGGGCATATCGGAGATAACTGCGTGTGGGCGCAACATAAAACTGCTGCGCATAGAATGCCATCCACTCCTGCGCCTGCTCACGCAGCTGGTTGATTTTCGCCTCAATGCGCTCAGCTGTATTCAGTGGCACAGAGTCAGATGCTGAATCACTTTCTTCCTGTGGGGTATTCGCTAGCTGGCCACTTGGTGTCCAGCCTCCAGGCATTCCGTTGGCCGTGACAGCTGCTGCTGCTGCTGCTGGCAGTGGTCTGCGAGGCAAGGCTGGCGCAGATGTGCCGGAGGCTGTGGCAATGTAGGGCGCCTGGGCAAGGGACGTTTTGCGTGGTGGTTTTGGCGGCGCCGATACCGCCGCGCTGTCATACGTCGGACCCATAGCCGGGAACAAGTTAGATGGCCGCGACATACTGGGCCCATTACCACCATTACTAACACTGCTGCCGCCGCTGCTGCTGCTCAGGTGCATTGGCTTGGGCGGTACCGGCGGCGGAATACCCGGCACCAGCGGAAGCACCTTGTTTCTGGGATGTGCTCCTTCCAGATAATTGAACTGGCGAAGCTCTTCATTAAGCTGGATCAAATCCTGCTCCTCTAGTTCCTCAGTCGCGCCCTGTTGTCTCGACATCGACGGCCGCACGATACCGTATGGGATCAAGCCATTAGCCACGTTGTTTCCGGCAACATCCGTGTCTGTGGTCACCGCAGCCACGCCCATCGGCGCAAACACGTCGCGGATATAGATCCGCAGTACGCGGTCCGGGTATCTGCGCGCCAGATCCGTGTATGTCTCCAGGTCCTGCTCGCCACAGTCGCCGACAAGAACGTACTTGCGCTTGGGGAATGTGCGGAAGAGCAGCTCAATGGTGTCTCGCTTGAGCTGCGGCGTACCTGTGTAGTTCTTGATCGACAATAGGTCGTTGGGGTCGAATGACCGCAGGTGGGCGCTGCCGGGCGGAAAGCGGTTGCGGTGGAAGAACTCGTCCAGCGAAGGGTATAGCTGCCAGGGGCTGTTGCTAACATAATGAAACTCCACGCCCTTCTCGTACCACTGCTGGTAGAGCGCCGCCATGCCGGGCACAGCCTGCATTGGTTTGGCGAAGACTGTTTCGAGGACTATGCGCTTTTCGGCCGTGATGTTGGACGCCTTGATTGTGTCGTCGATGTCAGACACCACTGAGACGCCCTGTGGCTCAACGAGGTGCGCCAATCCGGTGACGATGGCTGAGTCCGCCCATGAGAACAGGCGTCCGCGGAGCTCGACTAGTCGCCGGCTGCCGTCGCTGTGGCCCATGCGCGACGCCTTGTAGCTCTGCACGAGCCATTCGAGCTCGTTGAAGCCCAGCAGAATCTCGCCCTCAAACAGACCCTCCTCAATGACCAGGTTCTGCCATGCAAACGCGTCGATCTGCAGCGCCTTCTGGATGATCGTCGGCTGGATGCCTGCGAGCTGCCAACTGCCGCCAGCCGCGGTGCTGCTGCTCTCCTGGTCCGCAAACGGGTTCCCTGACGCCTGGGACACTTTTTTGCACTGGTCGCCGTCCTGTGGGTCAAACTGCGACGTCAGCACAATGGGCGCATCCAGCAGGCTGACGGGCGCCTGTGACGACTGCATTGATGCGGATCTCGGCGGCTTCGGTGGCCCCCCAGTGTCGCGCAGCCTGGGCGACTCATTGTGCCCAGGCGTCATGTGCAGCTCAAAGGGCGCCGGCTCAGCAATTCCGGCCATGGCCACCTTGACCATGTCGCTGCTGGCCGGCTGGCCGGCGAAAAGATACGAGACGCGGTCCAGCAGCATCTGGTCGGAGTCACCACCTTGTGGGATTCGGATGAATCTCCGCATCAGTGACGCCGCCAGCCGCACTCGCCTTGTGTTGGGGTTACGGCAGTATGCCCAGCCTCGGACTTGGACGCGCCAGACCATGAGCCGCTCGTCGCGGTAGGCATAGGTTGGGAAGAGGAGAAGCTCTTCGACTGGCTCAATGGTGTCTGTGTCCCGCTGGCTGCTGCCTCCTGCGCTGTCCGATGTGCTACTGCCGCTGCTGTACTGGGCCCAGAGGCCTTTGAGCTTGGACTTTACGCTGTCAATGTCTCGCTGGCTCATTTGTGGGAGAAAAAAATAAAAAAGGAAAGGGGCCTTTGAATGCCGAAATAACAAAGATTGGAAATTGAATTTTGAAACAAAAAATACACTAGACCCTTCCTTTGTTTTTTTATCGTGTATATATAAGGCTGGGGGAAATAGCTGTAGAATAAATATAGAAGCGGGAAACTTTTTGGCAGAGTAGAAAGGGGCTTTTTTGGTATTCAAGCACAGCGCGTGTGGCAATGAAAAAACAAAGCGTGCTCACGGATTAAATTTGTTTGCCCTTTCCTTTTTTTACCCGACTGAGACATAACATGAACGAGAGAAAAAATAAGGTGATCATCGGACTGCCCTAACAAAAAGGGTATTTCTTCTAAACAGGGAGGTGTAGTTAGTTGCACATGGCAAAGAAGAAAGCCAAAGCGCAGCGTGGGGCTGCGGGGCAGCCATCCAAAAGCGTGCAAAACAACGAAATAAAGACATTGCTTTATTACTTTTCATTTCATTTTCTTTTATTTTCAGCTCGTGTTCGCTTTGCGGCACGCTTTAATGGTCATGAATTCCAAGTCTTTTTTCGAACAGCCGACATATACTAAATACAAAATACAAATTAAAAAACCAACTTTTTTTTTGACTGCTCGTGTAATGCGATTTGGACTAGCTAGAATATATATTAATAGAAATGAGACTACGGAAAGAGCTAAAGAGCTCACTATTCAGAATTCGCCGTACGCGTAAAATATCATAAACATATTTTACGCGTCTGCGCTGTCACGTGACTCGGCCCCCATTTCTGATGTCACATTCGCCCCTACTTAAGATCAGACTCCGTCGGTCTTGGCGATAGCGCGCGCGGTTAAATATCGTTCATATGCTTCTGTCTCATCCACGCTACTCTTGTCCTCCCATGTTCGTCCTTCTATTCCATATCCTTCCCACTGCACCAGGTATTGGCGTTTTCGCCTCCACACACGGTCGTCAACAATCTTTTCGACCTGATACTCGAGGTGTCCTGCAACTTCTACAGGTGGTGGTTCAGAGCGGAGTGCGGCACGGTGATCGTCGGCAGCATGGTATTTTTTTAGGTGTGACCACGAAATGACCGGGTGAATGCGCATGTCGAGTGGGAGTTTGAGGCGGAATGCATTTCGGCCGATCTGTTCTTCGACCTTGTAGGGCCCAGCCCATTTATGTTGCAGTGAGTTGCTGGACCGGTTACGCAGGTAAGGTGGCGTTGTAAAGTTCGTCGAGATCATTACTTCATCGCCTGGCACAATGTCGGGTGAGGTTATCTTCTTGTCGTGGTTTCTGATCATGCGTAGCTGTGCGAATTCGATGTTTTCCTTGACTATTTCGCTAATCTGTTTAATCTTCAGGATTGTATCGTCGGCGTCGGTATTGGGCTCAGCAGTTTCCATGTTGAAGGCGATGGTGGCGGCGTTCAATGGTTGGAAGCTATAATTTGCATAGAATGGGCTGTGCTGTGTCGAGCTGTTGCTGCGACTATTATAGGCGAACTCTGCATGCACTATGTGTTGGTTCCAGTCGTTTTGGTAATTGTTGCACGTCGCACGCAGCATTGACTCCAGTATCTGGTTCACACGCTCAGTCTGTCCATCAGTTTGTGCATGGCCGGCAGTGGACATGTTGAGTTGCGTTCCAGTTTGCTTCCACAGTGCCATCCAGAATGCAGAGCGGAATTTCGGATCACGGTCTGATATTATGGACTCGGGCAGGCCATGTTGGCGGTAGATGGTCTTGAAATACAGGTCGGCGGTTGTCTGGGCGGTTGCGGCATTGTGTGTTGGTACAAAGTGTGCCATCTTGGACAGGCGGTCAACGACGACCATGATTGCATCATATCCGTCCTTTGTCTTAGGTAGGCTGACAATGAAGTCCATGCTCACACTTGACCAGTTGCGTCGCGGGATCTGTAGCGGCTGTAGCGGTCCATCGCTTGGCCTGTTGCTGCCTTTGACTCTTTGGCACAGGTCACACGTTGTGACATAATTCTCGCAATCCACATACATGCCTGGCCAATAGAATAGTTCACTCAGCTTGTCGTATGTTGCTTTTATACCCGGGTGTATTGCAGCATCATGGAACTCGGCCAGCAGTAGTGATCTGTCTTGCTTTGTTCCGACGCAGCGGCGTCCTTTCTTGAACAGGACACCACCCTGTGCATGGAATTTGTTTGTAATGTCGCGCTCGGCTCTGGATGTTGGTTCTTCGCCACTACTAATCCTCTCCATAATTTTCTCCAACTTGCTGTCGCCCTTGTAGGAGTTCTCAGGGTTCGCGCTCGTCTTCAGCGTTAGCGCTTTGACAGCAGCCATGCGGACTGCTATCCTCCCCCCTTTTCCTGAAGAGCCGAACCCGTTGGCTCCACCGGCTGTCTCCTCAAAGGACTTGACCTCAGTGATGTGTGAGTGTGCGATCTTGGTTGGAATCAACTGTGCTATGCGGTCATGTGCAGCGAACGGAATCTCTATATTGCCTGTGTTGAACAGGAGTACTGAAATCTCACCGCGGTAGCCCCCGTCGACTATTCCTCCGAGCACCACAACACCCTTGGCAGCCAGGCTACTGTGTGGGGCAATGCGCAGGTATGTGCCTATTGGCGCCTTGGCGGCGATGCCTAATGGGACAAGGTGTTGGGCCTTGGGCTCGAGCACAAACTTGGTTATACAGTATACATCAAATCCAGCGTCATCTGGATATGCCTTGCAAGGCATCGTCGCATCGTCGTGTAGCAGCTGAACCTCCATGCTGTTGGCAGTTGTGCGTGGCACAAACAGTGCGCACAGTTTCCATTTTTCAAATTGGTCTATCAGGTCGTCGTTGTGCGTATTGTCCTTTGGCTGGTCAGTCTCCATGGTTGCACTCGTCGTTTCTGCAGCCACTGTCTCTTGTGTTCGTTTGGCTTCTGTTTCGGCTTCAGCGCGACATCCGCGTTGGTAGTTCTTGTAGTGCAGCGACTTGCGCACATATTCAGCACGGTTTAGTTCTCTGCGCTCATCGGCAGTCAAATATGTTCTGTCGACCACGGCTGGCGTTGGCGGAAAATTCGTTGTCTGTGCAGCTGGAGTGGTTGTCTTGATATTGGGCATGGGTATGGGCATAGGTATAGGTACGGATGTGTGTGCGGCGTCATCGTTTTTACTCGTGTTGTTCAGCGGGGCATCATTTAGTGGTATAGCTGGTGCAGTCAGTCCTGTCGGTGGCGTCAGTGCCATGTGTGGCACCTTGCCTGAATGTGACGCTGCGTATACTATGTTGTCGGGTTGCGATTCGAGTGAGCGTGACAAGCCGTCAGCAACTGCATTTTGAGCGCCCTTGCGGTAAATGATTTTCATGTCGAATTCCTGCCAGATATCCAGCCAGCGAGCCTGGCGCGGGGATATGTTGTTTTGCGTCTTAAGGAACTCGATTGATTTGTGGTCTGTAATCACTTCAAACTTGATGCCATGTAGGTAATGCCGCCAGAGGACCAGTGCACGAATGATTGCAAGAAGTTCTTGCTCGTGGACTGCATAGTTGCGCTGTGCTGGTCCCAGCTTTGCCGAATAGAATGCCACTGGGCACCACACCTTGTCATGTCGTTGGTGTAGGACACCGCCAATTGCAGAGCCGGATGCATCTGTCTCGACTCTCGTTTCGCAAGTTGGATCATACTGATGGAGTATTGGTGCTGTGGATAGTTGCTGCTTCAGCTCGGTGAAAGCCCTGTCAGCCTGGTCGTTCCACGAAAAGTCGGTATTGCATAGCAAATCGGTCAGCGGTAGTGCTATTCTAGCATAGTTTTTAATAAACCGGCGGTAGTAGCCGCTTAATCCAAGGAATGCGCGGATGTCTGTAATTGTCTCTGGCGTGCGCCACTCTTTAACGGCATCTACTTTGCGTGGGTCAGTCGCAATACCCTTGCCTGAAATGACAAACCCAAGGAAGTCGACTGTGTCTTTGAAGAATGCACATTTTTCGGGTTTTGTGTGCAGGTTGTGCTCCTTGAGGCAGGCGAGTACATCCTCGAGATCTTTTGCATGGTCGGCGTCATTCTTTGAAAAGACTAAGATGTCGTCTAGGTACACGATGCACGTTTTGCCAAGTAGGTTGCGCAGCGCATGGTTCATGACACGTTGGAAGACGGCAGGGGCATTTGTCAGCCCGAAAGGTACAACTGTGAATTCAAATGACCCTTGTTTTGTGCGGAAGGCAGTTTTGGCGATGTCTGCATTGCAAATTCGCACCTGGTGGTAAGCCTGTACCAAATCGATTTTCGAGAAAACTTTTGCGCCACGGGTGTCGTCAAGCAAATCGTCTATACGCGGCATTGGGAATGCATCTTTTATCGTCACTGCGTTCAGGCCACGGTAGTCAACACACAGGCGCATTGATCCATCCTTTTTCTTGACAAAGAGGACTGGTGCACCCCATGGGGAAGATGACGGGCGGATATACCCCTTTGCAAGTAAGTCAGTCACTTGTCGGTCTAGTTCATCCATCTCTGCATGTGACAGGCGGTATGGTGCCTTGGTCACAGGTGCTGTGCCCTCATGTACATGGATTTCCATCTCAGGGCCGCCTGGTGGTGGTCGTTTGGAGGGCGGCTGATCAAGGACTTGGGTGTATCTGGCATGTAGCTCCTGTAGCGCCCTGTCTTGTGTCGTCGTGGTTGCTGCCACATGGATTGCTGGATTGGTATCGTTGTCAGGGAATGTAATTCGTAGCCATCCCCATTCCTCAATTTGGTCGTTTGCACGTGCAGTTTTCAGTGCACTGATTGACATAGGCTTCAGCTGGTCCTCGTCGGTCCGAGGCTCTGCATTACCCCGGATGGACCAGCTTTTCCCGCCATAGTCAAATGTCACCTTGTCAAGGTGGCTGTGGATCGTGGCCTTGTGTTTTTTTAGCCAATTATTTCCTAATATTATATCTTCGGAAACTGGGAGAACAAGGCAATGTACTGTAATTGTTAGGTTGCTCAGGAGGCGCAGCGTTACTGTGCACGACTCGGTGCAGTCCTTGTAGTGTGCGCCATTGGCCAGTTGTATTGGTTGGCTGTGTTGTAGTCGTTCGGATTTCAGTTTAAGTCGGTCGCGGGTCTGTTCGTTGATGATGGTAATTTGTGATCCATTGTCGATGAGCACACGGATGGCTTTGGTGTCTATAGTTGCATTTAAAATCAGTTGGGGCTCAGGTGAGGTTTGTCTGTTAATAGCGGTTTTATTTGGGGGGCAAACGGCAATTTCAGAGATGATAAGGGCAGAGGACTCACATCCACTCATGCCCTTCTTGCTTTTGGGTGTGTATTCTTAGGGCAGCGATGCCACTTGTGTTCATCACTGCCACACCCAAGGCACACGTTGTTGGCAGCCCACTTCTCAAACATCTCCTTGGTACAGCCCGACTGCTTGGAGACACTTGCAAATGGCGGCAGGCCACTGCGTCTCCTTTCTGTCTGCACTGCATTCACCATTATTGCATCCACATTCATAGCTGTATTATCATGACGGCCATGAATGCGCAGGAAGGCTCTGGCACGGGAAGTCAGTGCATCAATCTCGTATACTGTCGAGCTTGTCGATTCGCTCAGAATCTGCTGGTTGAGCATTGGTGGTAGCTTCATGAGGAAGGTCGTGGTCACATGCCTGTCTGAGAGTTTGAATTCCAGAATTTCCGCGAGGTACTTGAATTGCACCACAAACTCCTCTAAGGTCTCTAATGTCCCAGGCTGTTGTAGGTGGTAGTATTTGTGCAGTGTGTCATAGTATGACACTGTACGCGAGTATGTAGTTGTCAGGAACTCCTTGAACGTTCCCCAGTCGCGGTGGTCCTTGTTGTGTTCTGTACAGTGTCTGCGGTACTCGTTTTTCTTGTCTGTTGGGATCTTGTGTGAGGCTACAAATACCCACTCACTCTCGTCTAGCTTTGCGTGGATAAAGTGTTCCTCAGTATCTCTCACCCAGGGTCCAACGGCAATTGCCACCTTCTCTGCGTTGTCCTCGTCTGGTGCCAGTGTCGGGCTGAATCTCATTGCCGATTCGTATGGCGACATTCCAGTCATGGTTACTGTTTTTTTTTTTTTTTGTTTTTTTGTTTTTTTGTTTTTATATATATATATTAACCAGTTTGTCTGTCGGTCAGTCAGTCGTTGATGAGGAAGCGCGGGTTTTCGAACTTGAGGTGCTACCAAATGTAATGCGATTTGGACTAGCTAGAATATATATTAATAGAAATGAGACTACGGAAAGAGCTAAAGAGCTCACTATTCAGAATTCGCCGTACGCGTAAAATATCATAAACATATTTTACGCGTCTGCGCTGTCACGTGACTCGGCCCCCATTTCTGATGTCACAGCTCGGGTTGTGAGGTCATTTGCATTGTGCCGACTTTATTTTTTACTTCTTGCGATTGTCTCCTTGAAGAAACGGACCCCAACAAATATATAACCGGTTTTCAATTTATTTATTGTAAATGACATTGTCGTGGCTAGAGGCTGAGGGTAATAGCTATATATATTTTAAAGAAATTAAAGAAAGAACCACTGCTAGGGCTTGTCGATGCCTTGTGTCGAAAATATTGTCACCGGTCGAACTCGCCGCTAGCCGCTCGCGATTCGTTAGTCCACATCCATCTATGATCAGGCAGGGGATGCGGCTGTATCAATATCATCTGCGGATTTCGTTGCAGCGAGTTGGAGCCCCAGCCAATTAACAATCAAATCAAATCAAATAACATCACATATGCATTTATTGTATCATCGAAAATTGAAAATAAACAGTAGCAGAATCATCATCAACATGCCGGAATGTGCGTTGACAGCTGCGCTTGCAGCATCTGACTTTTGCACCGCAACCTATCACAACAAAATCAAAACAAATATAAAAAAGAATCGTAGTAGTTACAAATGACAATTATCTCATCTTTACAAAAAACAATGCGCCTCAGTAACCTCCCCTCCTGCAAAAAAAAAAATCAAAAACTTAGTCACTTTACCTGTCGGTCTAGAATCACAGGCTGTTCAAGCTGCTGTCTAGTCATCCCTGTAACGTTAGTCAAAAATGCCTCGTAATGGCCAATATGCGTGCTAAACCCAAATCCATTAGGATCCCCGCATGCGGGCCTCACATCATGATTGATATTATCTCCATATGAAGTCAACGCGACCAGCCGCACATCGCCGCCCATCCCCGCACGCAACCCCGCCCTCATCCGCACACCCTTCCGCAGCGCCCTCCCATTATCAAACGTCACCACCGCAGGCGACCCGCTATCGCCATTGCACTCGTCTCTGCCGCCGGGCATTGTGCCAGTGCATATGAATGGCCCGTTGCTCGATGTGAACGTTCCATCGACATTCATGCACTTGTTGGTAGGCGCAACCGTGAGGTCAACGCGGTGCATTATCGGGACGGTCTTGGCCCCAGGGTTATTAGACGTAATGCCCCAGCCCATCGTGGTCACCGTGAGACCCGGTTCAACAGGGCCAAAGTACACCGGAATCCGGTGGGCCACCTCCGTTGACTTGATGGGCTCGGCCAGTTCGATTATGGCGATATCGTTGAAAAGCGTTCGCGGGTTAAAAAGCGGATGAATGGTGTATTTCAATGGTTTGGTGGTTATTTGCTTGTTCGTGTGTGTGTGGCCGTAGCCGACTTTGATTGATTGCGCGGAGGGTGCGTGGTAGAGGCAATGTCCAGCGGTGACGATGTGCTTGGGCGAAAGCAGCGTGCCGCCGCAGACTGCGTGCCAACTCGGCTGCGTCTCTATGCTGAGGTAGACGGCGAACGGGTAGTCGTGGTTTTCGACCGGTTGGCCGCCGATTATCGGCCTTTGCTGGCTGAATGACATGGGAAAGAAACGGTAAAAATAGGAATAGAAGTGGAAATTGTTAGTATATTTCGAAGAAAATGAATGCAGAAAGAGTGAAAAAGGAATATCAACGCATTCCGGATTATAGCAGTTGAACCAATGTCTTATATTTCACTGCGAATTGGCCAGAACTCGGTATATTTATTTATATACAAAAAATTCATTAACGTAAATAAAGTGTTTTTTTGTGAGGGCCCAAAAAATTATTGTCGAATAAAGGCATATTTAATACAATCATGGTTATTAAACTTGTTCTGGAACATATGTCTACAGCCAAATCCACGCATAATAAATAAAAAGTATATTGCTTGCGCAATATCGTTAGCGTCTTTTACAGATAAATGAAAGAAATATAATAAAAATATGTATATGTTTACTTGCTCTCGACAGCAGCAGAAGCAGAAGCATCAACTCTTTGATCACTGATTGTCTCAGGGAAGTTGGACAACTGCAAAGGAGTGTCAATAGGCTTGACAGCTAGCTCGTCGGACTTTACATCAATGGGTTTGTCAGCCATAGCCTCCGGCATGACAGTATCACTGACCGTGATGGCTTCATTTTTCTCGACCGACTCGACGGACTCAACCGGTTCCTCGGCCAGGGCAGGCTCAACCGACACCCCTTCTGAGCCAGACACCTCCATGTTTGCAGACAACGGCGGCAACGACGCCGACTCGGCATCAGCAAACACCTGCACACTCTCCACACTATCCGCAGACGGCGACCTGGCACTGGGCGACAACCCCGGCGACAAAATCCTCGGCGGCAAATCCGGAGCCAACTCGTTCATCGGCGACTTGACCCTAGGCGGCAAAGCAGGTGACTTGACCCTGGGTGGCAAAGTGGGAGACTTGGGTCTTGGCGGCAATGCTGGCGACGGGGATTTCAACCCAATAATTTCGCCCGTATTCATGCGATCAGCTATCCTGATGACCTCCATTGCGGGATCCACTACCTGCCCCGCTTGGCCGCCCAGGATAAGCCCTATTTCGCGCCTAAACACCTTGTCGTACATCTGCACCATGATCTGCACAACCGACCCAACAGTCGGCGCAGCCGGACCAGCCACGCACATGGTGACGTCCAGAACGGGATTCGATGACCTGGCCAAATTAGGCGCCCACACAATAGCTAAATTATACGCAGTCATCCGGTTCGTTTTCTCATTCCGGGCAACCATCTGGAGAAGCCCAAAAGTGAAGCAAAGCAACAGGCGGTATTCGGGTTTCAGCGACGGCAGAATGACTTCTTCAACGTAGCGTGCGCGCACATGGTCCATTTGCTTGGCAATTTCCACGGTTTCGCTGCTAGGGTCCTGCGATGCTGTGGCTGCCGCCAATGGGATGGATGCCGGGAGTGCGCGCACCAGGCTGTAGTTGTGGTTGCTAAATACGGGCTCGGGCAGCTCGCGGAAAAACAGTTTGAGCAAGACTGCGGCTACGTGTACTCCGGCCAGCGAGAGGTCGACGGCCTGATCGTGGTTGTAGCTGTCCTTGGCCGACCGCAGCGCTGTTGATGGCGGCGAACGTCTGAACAGCCCTTCTGTCGATAATCCGTGTGGCCGATGAACACCAGGCATTCGCGGATGGGGCGAGGCAGCACGCGGCGGCCCTGTTGGTTCATCAGGTGCTCTAGCGACATGCCGTAGACTTGGGTGACTGGCGACTCGCCAAAGTCCTGCTGCTGTTGCTGCGACCGCTGATGGGGGTAGTGGTTCCTGTGGGCGCCGAGCCCCTCTGATGGCAGGGTGATGGATTGCTCGACCTTCATGTTGTATCTAAATAAGAAATGAAGCATTTGTGTGAAGCAAGGAAGAATGAGAATGATGTGTGCAAGTGTATGTGTATGTGTATGTGTATGTGTATGTGTATGTGTATGTGTATGTATATGTGCAATTGGAGGTGTGCTGGAAATATAGTACAACTACGAATGAATAAAAAATAAAGAAACAAATGCAAACGATTCTGATTTTGCTGGCTGTACAAGCAATAAAGTGTAAAAAGAGAAAAGAAAGAGTGAAAAAAAACTGGACAAAGTAAAATATATGAACAAGATATATCAAATGTGTACAAGTATAGCGAGCAGCAATGTTAAAAAGTAACAGCAAGAAAACTTGCCGATACACGATAAGAAAAGTAGCGAGATAATAACGCAAGTGTATATCAAATAATAAAGAGTCAATTTGAACAATAAGAAAGGAAAAAGGAGCAACTTTGGCTTTTATTTTCATGTCCTTTCTTATTGCACTTCACATTATCATGCCTCTCTTTATTCACTTTTTTTATCCAAGACAAAAATAATTTTGTGACGACAGACAAAAGAACCCGACATCCTTCCCATGTCTTTTTGCGTCGCCACTATAGCAGATATAATGAAGACGAAAGGGCCAGCCAAAAAGAGAGAGAGACATGCGGCCTTATAGCCATGCCCAATGGAAAAGAAAAAAGGAATGCATAAAGGTAAAAAAAGAACACATGAACATTTAAAATAGCAAATCGATTGGGTTTCCCCTCTTTTTGGGGGCCTAATCGTCTCAGCAGACATAACAAGATGGCACGTGCAGACAGCACGCCAAGCAAATGGAGAAGTAAAAACAAGGTACACATCACACGGACATTGATACTTACTCGTACACCGGCTGAGGAATGTTGATTTGGTTCATCGGAACCAGCGTGGCCAGCTGCGAAAGCGTGTCGACCCAAGTGACTTTGGCAAAGAACTTTGGACTACCCAGCAGCCGTCCGCGTTTCGTTTTCACAGGCAGTTCACGCATCGATTGCGACCCAATGGCCAGGTCCGAAGATCCATCAGAAGATGATGATGACGCGGAGGAAAACGACAAAGGCGGTGGCGGTGGCGGCGATTCGCGGTGGTAGGTTGATTTGTTGGCCGACCGACGAGCCGAAAAATTCGGATCCAGCGAGTGGCGCGACGACAGCGTTGTTTTCGGTTTTGAGGTTGAGGTTGAGGTTGAGGTTGAGGTTGGATTTGTGAACAGCGTTGATTTTTCGTCAAGTGCGGATTTCAATGGGCGCGTGTCGTCGAAGGAAAGCGTGCCGCGTCCAAAGCGTTGCAGAAACAAAGGTATGATCGCCATGATTTTTTGGATTCGATTTTAAAAAAGTTGCGTTGAGAGCGGGCGACAGTATTAATCGAATGCGAGATGGAAAAAATAATAATAAAATATATGATTACAAGTGATTTAGTACAGAAGATGAAGATGTGTGGCCACTTTAATCAAGCTTGTTTCGCTCGCTTAAACTATATATACGCACAAAGCAGAGTGGAGCAGAATGGAGCGGAGTGGAGTAGAAAAGCAAAAAACGTGTGCACGCTGACAAAGGCAAAAAAGATAGAGCGCTGAAATAAGGCAAAGTTAAACAAATAGCAGTAACCGCAGATAAAAAGCTTATGAAAGAGAGTAGAGGGCATATGAAGATGAAATACAAGGCATAGCCTGGGATGAGAGAAAAACAATCACAGCGCCAAAAACTGGGTCTTTACAAAACGCCTCGGAATCATGCTGCTGCCATGTCTACTTTTGTATACTTTGTCTACTAGTGCGCAATTGTCTCTTTTCTGCTCGGGCTTGTCGCATGTGTACGTGTGGGTACAAATAAACAAGCGAATGAACGAGCGGATGGAGGTAAAGTGTGAACAAAGCAGCGACGAAAAGAAAAAAGTAATCATTTTTCACACAAGTAACCGCATAAAACACCGAGACAATAGACAAGCAAACAAAAAAGCCCACCCAGCTCGCGCTTTACTACGAAATCATGAATAAAAATCAATCACGAAATAGAGAAGCCAAGCCAACCCAAGGCAGCCACCGGCCGCCAGCATAATGGTTCTGGACTCTCAGAAACAACCAGGCGAAAAAGACAGGCGCAAACAATACAAGTGAGCATAATTGTGGCACATAAGCATAAATGGTGGCCCACTTCTCTCTTTTTCTCTCTTGCTCATCTAATGCAACATCAAAGAGACAATCGAAAGACGTACCTGACAATCTTGCCAAAAATCTGAAACACCAGCTTTGACCACATCGACGGGTGAACGACATAAACATTCTTGACGTTCTTCCGATACTTGCGATCCAGCCTACGATACGCCTTGGTCATCCAATTCCACCCCGGATTATGCTGCGCACCACTAGTAAACATGACCACTGTGTAATCGCTCTCGACAAACTCGTCCAGTCGAAAGATGATTAGATTAAGCAGCCTGTCGTAGTCAACTTCGCGCGGGCTCGGCAGGCTGCAGGCGCAGAAAACCACAATGGGCTTACTCTCAAAATCCACTCCCGCTTGGAAAATCACGTTGGCGTTGACGTAGTTGAGCAGCCGTCCGCCGTCGTCCCCTTGCATTACGGATGCCTTGAAGTCATCGTACGTTAGTCGGCTCTCGAACGCTGCCAGGCCTTGTGTCGATATGCGATCGCCGGAACCGCCGCCTGTATATGCCAAGGCGCGCTCTTCGATGGCATTGCGTCGCCACTGTCGGTACTGCTCTTCCATTTGATTGTGATTGCGAGTGTTTTTCTGAAAACTTTTTGGACTGTGGCCTGTATAAATGCGTGTAAATTAATAAAATTCGACAAAGAAGAGAAAAATAGAATTTCAACAAAACGCACTTTACTCATTTGGCGTCCACAAACTTACAAAACGAATTGCACTGCAGGATGAGGGCTCAACCAATTTGCTTAAGGCACAACCGTAGTCACACATTTAACCCACAACCTCGATTTTTAAACATTTTGTGATTGCAAAAATCAAAACCAAGCAGTTTATTCCGCCCCCTGGTACACGCATAGCTTGGAAGCCGCTGTTTAATGCCTAGTATACACCCCCCATTCCCATTACTTTTCTTGACTAAAAGAAGATAACTTTAATTTTACATTTATTTATACTTATATTTGCACACGCAGTGGCATTTAACAAAATATGTCGGCCAAACCAACAACCACGCCCACAGAAAAACAAGGCGCTAAGCCAGCAGAGAAGACGAGTGCCAAGCCTGCTCGCATGCTCGGTCAGGCGTTTGCCGAAGAAGAGAACTCGGACGAAGACCTTGACGCGCTGCGTTGGACTGAGCGCAGCCGGCGGCGACTAAAAGAGCAGGCAGCTGAGCAAGCGAAGCAGGCAAAAAAGAAACTTAAAACAGCACCCAAGACGCAGTACTCGGCCGCCAACCTTGCTGGCATCAAGGTTGCCCACAGCTTGGCTGACTTTTCCGCTGCTGGAAACGACGAAGAACATGTGTTGACTTTGCAAGACAAAAACATTGATGACCTGGATGACGACAGCATTGAGCTGCAGAGCACGGCGCTGGTTGACGCTGAGAGGGGAAGAAAGAACGCTGAGGCACGCAAAACACAGATGCAGCGGATGGGTGGTGTGCAGACAACGAGTGCATTGGATATTAATAGCGATGACAACGACAAGCCGAGCGCCTTTTTTACTATAAGTGCTGGCGGCGTCATTGATGAAACCCCCCAGGAGAAAGAACAGCGCGAGCTCAGGCTGCAGAGAGGCCAAGTGGCTGTCTCGCTTGACGCAGACAATATTGGTATGGGCGCAGCCGTAGTCAGCGATTTCTACACCGCGGCCGAGGCAGCGACCATGTTCCGCAAGCCCCGCAAGAGCAAAAAATCAAAGAGCTCGAGTAAACGCACGACGGATAACAACGATTTTGCCGAAATTGTCGATGCTGAGCGCGTGAACTCGCTACTCACGAGAAAGGCCGCTGTCGATGACTCGCAGTTTATTGACGACGACGAGGATTTGCAAAGGACCATTGCCAATGTGCGCCGGGTGTCCACCCGCAAAAAGAGTGCCAAGGGCGCGCTGACAGCAGAGGAGATTTCCAGGCAGGTTCGCGTGGAGGCACAAGCACAGATGGACGTTGCTCAGGCACAAGTCTCGGACGACTCTTCGAATCTAGTGCTATCAAGCACCATCGAGTTTGTCCAGGCGCTCAAGGCTGCGTCTGCTAGTGCAAAGAGTGCTATCGCTCCAGCGCCCATACCAGTGGATATTGCCATAAAGGAAACCAGCGAATATGTCCAGGCTATAGCCGAGACAGACGCCAACGAGGATGGCGAAGAGGAAGCAGCAGAGAGCGAGGCCCGAATAGTCAAGGGTGGCAGCTCCCGGAGTGTTGTTGCCGCGCCTATTGCTGCGACCAACAAGCGTGCAGGACTTATTGCTGCAAGCTCCAATAATGCGACAAAGCCAGTTGAACCAGCAGATCTGCTGACTCTCAACGAGCCCGAACCGATCGTGGGCTCTGGCCTTTTTGCCACGCTCAGCCTCCTGCGCCAGCGCAACATGATTGACCGGCTGAGCGAGGAGCAAAAGCAGCGCGAACGCCAACAGCGCAGCCGTGACGAGTGGATTGCCGAACAGCGGCGCAAAGAATCTGCACTTCAGCTCGAGCGCCAGCGCATCAAGCAGATGGGCCGCCAGCCCACAGACACACAGACGACTGCACCGGTGAAGGGCGGGCGCCGTGGAAAGGCCGATGAGATGACTCAAAAGGAGCTTGACGAAATCAAGGTGCGCGAGCAAGAGATGCTCGACCGCAAGTGGGCGCGCGAGTATGAAGAGCGCATGAAGGACTACAAGCCAGAGGTCAAGCTTGAGTATGTTGATGAGGCCGGTCGCGAGCTGACGACCAAGGAGGCGTACAAACAGCTGTCACACGCGTTCCACGGACACTACAGTGGCAAGAACAAAGTCGACCGCGTCAACCGCCAGCGCGAGCGGGAGCATAAGCAACAGGAGCATAACTCAAGCACAAGCACGCATCAGCAGGCAGCCATTATCGAGAACGCTCATCGCAAGATGGGTACGCCTGGCATTGATTTGACGCAGATAATGAAGCAGAATCCCCCGCAATCATCTTCCAAAAAGTAGTTGAATTATAAAATATTATTTAATTGTATGTTTAAACCCCTTGTTATCTTTTGCTTAGAATGGTCGGATTCGTTGTCGAGTGGCCTCAACATTTATAATTGAAACTTCGTATACATAACGTTCTATACGTGGTAACTTTTGCCAATGTCTCATGTGAGATTGGCACACGGGTGCAAAATTGTAGGCAATGCTTTATTGTACTTTTGATTTTGTCGAGTTGATCGTTTTAAAGTCAACAAAAATATACAAGGCGTAAGCAAAAGTGCGCGAGATACCGAATCTTTTGGTTTCGACCACAGCATTGTGTGAGTACTGTGCCTTCAAAATGTTCTTACCAAATGCATTTGAAAGCATCTCGCTTTCCTTTTTCCGAGATACAAATACCAGCAAAATTTATTCATCTTGCTTTCTACTTTATTATTGTATTGTTGAGCAGCCTGATAATATGGAAGTGGATTTTGATAAAGACTCGTTTCACGATTCTTAACCTCAACACATTGCTTAACAGGGGATAGATGGCACCATGCAGGATTGAATCAGGGGACACAATAATGACACCCTAATATACCCCCAATTTCATAATATATATGCTTGAATGCTCATATGCAAAGATCATAGTCTTGAAACGCCAAGACACTAGTCTGCCTGCAGAAGAACCAGCTCTCGCTAGCGGAGTGCAAAATCGGTGAAGTCTACAATAAAGGCAACAGGGTATATATATAAGGTGAGGTCGGCCTTAATTACGCTTTTGATTCCATTGATAATAAAAACTTTCATAACAACCAAACTTCTAACACTAGGCGACTAGTGCTTCAGCCAAATCACTACCCTCTTATTATAACAGTACATTGCACCTTATATTTACCTGTGAACTGGTCCTCCCGCCTCTACATATAATATTTTTTAATATATTAAAGGGCAAAGCAAAAAAGTATATGCAAACTTAAATTATCAAGAACTGTCACTTTGAAATAATGGAAGATGGAAAGGACAGATATGACACTATTGTTCCAAAGCAAAAATCGAACCCATTCAACTTGGTGCTATAATATGTGGACAATGAATCAGTCAAGACTATCGAGCGTATTACAAGGATAAAACTGGTCGGCAAAAACCTGATAAATGACTAGCTTTTAGAAAACTTTCTAGGTGTTGATGATAATAATACCTCGCCGTCTCTTCTGCTATGCCCCCCCATTTTACCCGAGAAATAAACAGTTTTTATAGATTAAGTCTGGAGCACAATATTGTTTTAGTTACACTTTATAATAATACAATGCTGAGAAACAAAGGCAAACAAACATCAGCTAGGAAAACAGTGTATTATAATTGCAAAAATAGACAATAGATGTAAGTATACGTGTCAATTTTTTTGTCTATCTGTGGTTATACAAATCTTTATTAAATAATTTTTTCCAGCAGAATTGCCCATCCAACTTCATCTTGGCAAGCAGGGCTTTATACGTGCCTCATTTTATTTTGTAGAAAAAAGCAAATGATCTGGCGGTCATGTACTCCATTGCGCATTCGCTGGCCAAATAAAATGTTTTCTTCACGGCAGTTGGATTGTTTTTCGTATAAAATGCACCATGTGGGTCTCTATTAAAACAAGTTATCGCAAAGCAAGACTTGACTTTATTTAAACAGGTAAAGATATATTAGCCAATGAATATGGGCACGCACGCTTATTTTGCTTGTTCGGCAACTGTAGCCGAATAATTCATTGCGACAGACATGTATGAAAAAAAGAAAATTTAATGGCATATGTAATATTTCAAAGCTCACGTGTTTAAATTTAATGTCCATTCCAGTGCTACGCAGTCCGAGGATATGGAGGTAGACACTGAGGGCAAGAATCACGAGACAGATTCCTGCCAGCTTGCTGATGGATTTGATATTAATCAACTTACAGGGGACTACACCAGACGCCACTGTTGACATCCAGATATACTGTTTGTCTCAAAATAGACGTGCTGAGCACACGAATACAGATACACCGATAATTCCATAGCAGAGCTCCGGGTTACTTTCATAAGTATCAGTTCTCGCAAACGGAGCACACAACTGCCAGTGTGTGCCACAAAGACATTGAGACACATATATAAAATGAGGTCGACGATAATAGTACTTTAGAAATACTAGTAATAAAACTTTATAGTTTAACACCTATCCTTCTAACACTATTACAATAGTGCTGCCTACACCCCCTTTTACATAACAATATTGACTAAAAACAAACTGTCTGGGATATATATAAAAGGTGGCCGTTTCCTCGTTATTTTTTATTTTACAACCATCATCAACATTTAGCTTTCCACTTTTACTCTTGCATAGCCTTTTTAGCACAAAATAGCTTTTCACTCGGCTACTGACAACCAAACAACCATATTTAAATTAAATTACTCAACCATGCTTATTATAGATTACGAGAATACTGCTGCAAAGGAAAATGACAAACTGGCTACTGTAACCGATAATGGCACGAGTACTATTCAAGATTTGTATGCTTGTTTGGAATAGCATTACAAATATAAAAAATTACGTTGTGCTATTTAATAGCCAATTATGAACACACTACTGGTAAGTTTGATGAAGCTAACATATCAGAAATAATTAATCAACCCCATTATTCTTATTGTAATCTTCAAACATTGCTTAATACTACAGAGTTAAAAATCATCAAAATAAATTTATATTGTATTCAAGGTGAACCTCCAAAAATATTAAACAAAAATTCGTAAATATTTTACAAATGGGAAAATAAGACAGAAAACCCCTAAAGAAGGAGTTTCGAAAGAAAAATTGAAAAATATGAAATGCGTTTCATTTGAAATTGATATGATTAACAAAACAATTACATTGGTGGCCAAAACCACAAGCTATATCCAACAAGGTTTTTATAGCTGTACAAGTCAGAGTTTTTACTAACGTAAACGTCTATATTTTTAGGTGTAAGCTATATTTTTTGTCTGGTTTATACGATTATCAAGTTTAAACACCTTGTTTTTCAGTCACTTATCTTACGAAATAAACAATTTTTAAACAGCTACACAAAAAATATTTTTCCATATTAATGTTAATATTAATGTATTGGTCAAGCAATCAAATAAGTTGTGTTGGAGGACACGCCCCAATCATGCACAACACCCATAATAAAAATGAGTAATCAGGCGCGAGTGGATTCTGAGCACATAAGCCGGCTTTGCTTGCCGCTCGCTCGCATTTTATTTCAATCTATCCACTCAACCAAGCTTTATTTATTTTATACCTTTTATTTTCAACAGTTTGCCTTTAATTCACACAAATTCACCTTTGCAATGGCCAACCGGACCGTCAACACTGCTACCACTATCCATGGGACCAACCCCAGAACCTGATCGACAAAGAGTATAGACAGCGCATCTACGACTCACTGTACTGGAAGGAGCACTGTTTGCACTTACAGTCACTGGCGTCATGGATAAGGCTGTCAACCTCACATGTATTGGCGGCTGCTTTGGCGACAACAAGCGCCCGACTGAATTCATGTGCTTGGTGCTCAAGCTACTGCAGTTACAGCCGACCGACAGATGGTTGACGCTCTGATTGATCAAAACGATTTTAAATACATGCGCGCGCTGGCACTGATGTACTTTCGTCTCACTGAGCGCCCTGTGGACGTTTACACAAAACTTGAGTTATTGTACAACGACTATAGCAAGCTCCGCCGCCGCATCTACGATGGCACTTACGTGCTTATGCATATGGACGAGTTGGTTGATGATTTGTTGAGGAGCAGCGCGTGTGCTCGATAGCTCTACCGCGCATTACAGACCGTCGCAAACTTGAGGACGTAGGCGAGCTGCCGCCGCGCATTAGCCCGCTGGACCAAAATGACAGCGACTCTGATTCCGAATCGGAGTCTTCAAGTGGCAGCGTAATGACGAAAGCGATAGTTAGTATTTGCAAATAAAAAATTACAAAAATAATGATCGTCAGCAGCAGGGTTTGAACCTGCGCGGGCAGCGCCCAACAGATTTCAAGTCTGTCGCCTTAACCACTCGGCCATACTGACTTGAATAACTTTGTTTAAACAAGTGACTACAATTTCTAACTCAGATCATTGAACAATATATTTCTAGTTAACAATATTAATAGCCGTAACAGCGGGGCACTTGGCGCGCGCAAAGCGCTTTTTGGCGTTGCATTTATTGCAAGTGTTTCCATTGACAGCATAACAATTGCTGTAAAAATAAAGTATTTCTTGGCGTTTCCACTTGCGTGCGCTTGTGTGCACTATTTCGCCTATTTTGCGTAGATAAAAATTTCAGTTCATCCTCATTATTCTTTTATTTTATTTTTAAAAAAATAGCAGCCATAACTTTATCTAAATCATAAGTGGTTGTGTCCGACTCATTCTATAACTATAAATTAATTAACTACACGTAATATGTTATAGTTTAATAAATATATCTTTTTTATATGTTGAAAACGAGGTTTATACGAAAAGAAGGGAATTTAATTTTACAGGACATTCTTGGTCCGAATCGCTCAAGCTGGTTCGGCAGCTACTCACGCCAGTTGATTCTGGGAACAAACCACATACTCGTTAAACACCACGGTTCTGCGGTCAACAGGGGAATTACTTGCGGTGCTGCTATTATTCAAAGACTGAAGTAGCCGTCCTCGAGCTCGTAGAAGACGCAATTGCTGTCTTTGAGGTTTAACTGGATGAGCAAATTTTGGTAGTCTCCGTGTGACAAAATGTAGTAGTCTGAGGCGGTCACTTCGCCGCGCGGGATAACAAAGGCAATAGCTTGTGCTGGTCTGCGGGAGTGCGCTTTCGCCAGACTGAGCGGACGGTTTCTCGGAGCTCGTCGTAGTCAATCTACATATTTAATTAATACAGCTGACACAAGTTCATATTGAGCAATCTGTTAGTTGAATGTGTATGATAATGTACACATGTTGACATAGTTCAATAATGCATTTATACATGCATTGTACTTACGGAAACCCGGTGAACGTCAGCTCAGGGTACTCTTCCACTCTGCTTTCTTTGTATGTTCTCCCCCGGCGAATTAACCCTCCAATTTTTCCGAGCATGCGCTTTTGTTTAAAGTTGAGCGGGTTGCGGAAGAGTGTCATGACAGGCATAATAATACAGTATATTTTGCGTACTTGCTTCTTAGTTGCTGGCTTCTTTATATGTAATAATGACAATGCGTGTGTAGTACGTGGGCTGTAGGTATATTTAAATATAAAAGTATGAAATAATGGTTAACACATTAAAAATAAAACAATAAAATACAAACACAAGAAACAAAAAAAGCAAGGAATGAGAAGTTGCTAGAAAAATGTCAACCATTAGATGAGACTTTACGAGCGGGATGTATGTGTAAGGGGTTTGGGCATGAGAAACCAAATTCTTTTTTTTGTGCAGCAAGGTATGTATAATAAAATAAGAACAGCTGATAATGCTGGTACACATTTTTCTCTTTATATTAAAACAAAATGAGATGGTCACGTATTTGTTTTGTATAATGAGCGTGCCGCTGTCTTTTATCTACAAGATGGGCAGGCGGCGGGAAGGACAGCTTGATGGTCAATTTACAAGGCTTGGTTTTTATTTGCTTTTTTTGCAGGGCCGTCAACAAAGCGGCAAATATAGGAAAGAAATACTTGATAAAAAAGAGGTGTTTCCGATTATTTACTGTTATTTATACATGTTTTGTTTGTTTTAATAGCAACTAATGTGAGATAGTGTGGCTACACCATTTTGTTTTATTTTGACCCAGAGGGTTTTTGTTAATTATATTGGCAATTGACCCATGCGTAGCTTCAACCCAGGGTTTAAAAAACGTGAGAAAAGCTCAATAATTTGCATAGTGTGTCCTACAAAAATGCATATATTCCACAATTTTTTATTTGTAGTAATAGAAATTGTGATATAAAGCGAATTGTTAATAAACGAACGAATAAAAAATAAAACCAGTATAAATAAACTTGTTTCGTAAAAGAAAAAAAGAAGCGCTCAGCGCATATTGTATCTCTTAATTTTACGATAATCCGAAAACACATGCACCAATCCAACCAGCGCAATGATAAACCATACCGAAATTAAAGCCATCATCAACGGAATCTGGCGCTTCAAAGAAGCCACATAACTATCGCACAAGTTGCCAACAAGACCACCCGTGTATCCGCCATATTTTTGCGCAGACACAATTTCCTCTTTAGTCAGTGAGTTGGGCAAAGTATCATAGTCGTAGCTATATAGTGAGCTTTCATCCTCTAAATCTCCAAGCTCACCGTCACTTCCCCGCGACATAGACTTTGAAGCACTATGGGTGGGCAGTAATGTGGATGATAGCGGCTTGGATGAGATGGATGAAATAAGGGATGAAGAGTCAGGAAGGCTTGAGATGGTCGGGATGTCGGCTGCGGTTTCCATATCGGATACTGGCTGCAGAACAACTTGCCGCTTTAATAGTATGTTTGTACCACCATTAATGCTGCTGCTGTCTAGCGAGGCGGATATGGCAGGCGATGTACCAGTACCAGTATCAGTCTCTAATCCAAATTCGCCGCCTGATTCAGATAGCAGTGCAGACATCTCTGACATTTCCAAAAGCTTTGAAACAAGTGCCTCGCTCTCCTCACTCTCCTCACTCAGCCGGGACTCTTGCAAAATCGACTGCACACTAATCCTAGACTCGCGTACTTCCGACCTCGAGCTAACCTTTAAGTCATTTCTTGTGGGAAACCGCTCGGCATCAATAAGTGTGGCATTTGGGATAAACTCGCCAACAGCAAATTTGCGCAATGCCGTAACGGTCTTATTAACGGGGCTCATTAGTTTCAAAGCCGGAGTGTACAAGACATTTTCGCTGATTCTAGGCAGATCCACGCCGCTAGCGTACTCGTCAATAAAGGAAAGGATTTTTTGCAGAGAGCGGATGTTCTTGGTCAGCGTGCAGTTAACCAGGCCCTCAACGGGGTACTGGAGGACAGTACCGCCAAAGACCGAGCGAATACCGTTAATATACGTGCCGACGAAATCATTGAGCGTGTTGTTGAGGGAGTCTGTGCCGTCGTTGATGGGGCCGAAGAGCGTGCGGTTAAGGTTATACTCGGAGCCATTAATGCCATTGTTAATGTCATAGGCTAGCTCGTGCGAGTCATTGCGCACGCTGCCGAGAACCTGGTTGCTGATAAAGTCGTACTGGAAGGCGTCAAAGTCTTGGGCCAGTCGGGGAACGTACTCGGCGCGCAGGGCGTCAATGGCTCTGACCTGCATAAAAATACAGGCTAGGCCGATGGCGCCGGCAATGAGGCAGGCAAAGGCTGGCGGGTACCAGACATAATCCATCCACCAGCGCCAAGCGGCAGTGCGCTCAGAGTTGCCAAAGCTACCAATTTGCCAGCGTGTGAGCTTGTTGAGAATCGGGTTGCCAGGCAGCTTGAAGAGGTCCATTTCTTCGCGGGTCACGGGCACTGTGGATATTGTTTCTTTGCTGGGGATGACTGGCGGAATGTACTCAACGAGGTCTTGGCGGAACTCCTGCATGCGTAGTTGTTCTTTATTGTATGAGCGCAGAACCATGATGATCTGGAAGATGATAAGGGCACCGGCGGCGGCAATGACAGCGAGACCACCGATAAAGTAGATCATGGCAACGGCATCTCCAATATCCTTGATGGTGTCTTGGCCAACAGGGTTGTCACACATAGTCATGTTCTTCTCGTCGGGGAACTTGATGCCGTCAACAAAGTTAAGGTCAATGTCGTTGAACCCCTTCATTGCGATATTGCGCAGCATGTTGAACGGGATGTCGAGCAGCTCCGTGATGTTACCGAAAATATCATCCTCCGTCGGAATTTTGTCAGCTAGTCCAGAGATGCTGCTAATCCAGTCCGTAGGAATCTTGACGTCAAGCTGCTGGCGGATATCGTCTATATGGAAGTCAACGGCATTGTTGTTGCTGCCACCTGTGAAAAACCCAACAATACCATTAGCAGCGTCCTGTATGCCACTGGCTACGGTCGCAGCAACATTCTGCAAGTTGCTTACGACGGCATCAACGGCGACATTCAAAAGGTCGGTAATAATCTTGCTCACTTCTTCGGCAACCATCAGGGCTGTGCGAATAATGACCTCGGCAATGCAAATGTATGTGCCAAAGTACATTTTCAGCACCCAGACAATAAGCGTCTGCAGCATGGTGAAGATCTTGAGGATGGAGCGACCAGTCAAGTCAATGATGCTCTGAGCAGCAGTCTGGACCATGGTTAGACTGGAGATAGCGGCAGTGCGTGGGGAGTTGATGACGGCCTCAGAGGCGGTTTGAACGGACAGGCAGCCGCTGTTAATGGCCTGCATGGAGTCCTGGGCCTTTTCGCGCGCGCCGTCGGCCATCATGAGAAAACCGACGCCCATGAAAACAAGCAGGATAACAGAGTAGGATGCCCAGGTGCGCGAAATCCGGCCCCACTTACCAACATAGGCGCTGATTTCGTGACGGCCATAATTCTTCTCATTCCGCAGAGGCTTTCCCATGTAATTCCCCTTGGGCTCGTCTTTGTAAACGCGCCGCGAGTCGGAGTAGTCATTGTATCCACTGGTGTACCTGCTGTCATATCTGCTATCGTGGTTGTTTTTGCGCGGAGTCACAATGGCTGTGGCAGCGGCAACTGCGGAAGCAGAAGGGGTGGGCTTAACGTAGTCATTCTTGCGAGAATTGTAGTTGCTCCTGGGCTCGTTGTAGTAGTCGCTTTGGGCGTCATAGTTGACACTCAAGGTCTCGTGCTTTGGCTTTGGGGCGTCGTAGTACTGGTCGTTGTATTTTTTTGAAGTCGCCGGCATTGGAGGAACAGGAGGCGCCGCGGGGACGTCCGCGTGGGTTGCTTTTCCTTTGCCTTTGCCCTTGCTAGAGGATTTTGCGACTGGTGAGCCAATATAGTCGCTGGTGTAATCGTAATCATAGTTGTCGTTTTCCTTATCATATGGGGCAAAATCTGTAAAACCCTTTGTTGAATCCACGTAGGTGTTTGGGTAGGGGTCGCGCTTAATATTTCCGGAGGAGTTTTCGACATAGTCGACCAAGTTTTTCTCCTTTGAGCTAGAGGGTTTGTTTGAGGGATAATCACGATCATAAGCGGGTGATTTTTTGCTGCTGCTGGTGGATGGCTTGTAATCGTTGTTTGACTTTTCTGAGTATGTGGGTTTGCCAGAGGGGTAGTCGTAGGCGGGCGCCTTACTGGTGGATGGCGGGTTGAAGGCATAGGTATTAGCAGTGAGTGGGTCTTGCTGGATCCGCGAGTAGCGGTCGTATTCCGACATGTCGTCGTATTCTGAGGCAGCGTCGTTATATTTTTTATCATTTGGGTAGTTGCTGTAGCCAGCGCCTTTGTCGTCGTTAAGACGGTTGTAGGGGTTATCCTTGGCCATTTTATGTTCAAGGAGGGGGTTAAATAAATATGCAAAGTAATGTAATGATGACCAACAAATATAAATAATAAATTGTATGTATAAGAATATATTGTTGGAAGTATAATAATGAAAATGTGTAAATGCAAAACAAAGAATGGTGAAGGTGGAAGAGGCCAAGGAGCATAAGGGAGAAAGTAAAAGTGTAAAAAAAAAACAAGAGGAATTATAGGCAGTGCCCAAAAACCCCTGAGTATTTCCTTTTCTTTTTCTTTAGTTTCTTTAGGGCGTAGAGGGTGGATTTGATAAAGAGAGTATGTGTAGCATTTTTAGTTTAAAAATATATAATACTCGCGGTCATACATGAGCTCGTTTTTATATTCTTTTTATTATTTGTATTGTCAAAGAAAAATTTTAAAAAGAAAAGGGAATGTAAAAGAAAAATAATTGGCATAAAGCTTTTTGGCATATTTTCTTTTATTATTTTTCTTTCCCTTATTGTATTAGTGTCGCTTTTCTTTCTTTTTATTTGAGTGTAAAGAAAACTCGTGCATACTTTGCACAAAATAAAAAACCAACACCGCTTTCTTGTTTTTCACTTTGACAGAAACCAATGACGGAATTCTTCACAATAAATAAAAAAATTGAAATATTTACTGTTAGTATTACACGTGTCACTTTTTTTATTTAACCACATAGCTTATCATATATATATATATTTAACGAAATGTAACTGAGGTCTAAATGAACATATAAAACATTTCGCATGTTTAGAAGAAAAAAATAAAAATATGAATCAATACATTTGACATGATAAAGCCTCAGCCTTTTTATTATTAAAAATTTGAATTGATGATTGAGGTATTTCATTTTAATAGCAATAGGGTAAAAAAAATAGGGATGAGAAGGAGAGCGATGCACACATTGTGTTGCGTTGCACTGCACTGAACTAAGCTAAACTGAGCTAAACTGCATTGAACTGCAGTGCACTGATCGAGTGTTATTTGTGATGGGTTGGTTTGTGTTTTTGGGAATTTTTTTTGGGTATTTGGCTGAGTATAAAAAAAAGAAAATTTGACGATATGAAGAAATAAGAAGAAAACATGTAAAGAAAGAAGAGAAAAGGAAAACAAAAAAACGAATAACCAAAAAACTAGTAACTTTAAAAAAAGAAAAAGAGAACATATACCATTTGTTTTCAAGTAACGATACACAGTTTAGTTTCCGTTGATATTGGAAGGGTGAGGGGGCAGCGTCAATGGAGCAGCAGCAGCAGCACCGCCACTGGATGCGATGTTCTGGGCGGCATGCTGCTGCTGCTGGTGGTGGTGATCGGCATTGGGCGACACGGGATTCGACTGGTCGTCGTCTTCCTCGGCGCTGTCTGCCGTGTACTGCGTTCCAGTACTCGGCGGCGTGCCAACATCGCTGTACGCAGGGCTATCGGGAGCAGCCGGCGCACCGGCAGCAACCGATCCCGACGGCACCACAGCGGCAGCAGCAGCAGCGGCAGCGGCAGCACCAGCAGCAACAGCAGAAGCCGGTGGCAACAGCCCCGCGCTATCAGCAGCAGCCGGGTGGGTTGGCGGCAATCCCAGCAGCGCAATGGCCTCGGCGTTCTCCTCTGGCGTGGGCTTGACCAAATGCTGGTTGAGCAGCTTATTCATGGTGTACATGTACAGGCGATCGACCTCAAAGAGCGTTTTAAGCTGCGTGTCGCACAGAATGTACCGCTTATCAGCCGGGTCCTGCAGATCCTTCTCCTTGATGTACTTCCACAGGTTCTTGACAACATCCGTGCGCGCACAGTATTTCTGGCCCAAGAAGGCGCCCAGGTCGGCCGACAGCTTCATTGGTTTGGACAGGCCGGTCTGGCGCTTGGGCTTGTCGGGGTCGACGACGCGCTTCTTGCGCTGCTGCTTCTTCTCGTTCTCGGGCTTCCTCGGCCGCCCACGCTTCCTCGGCGCCGCGTCTTCGGCAGCCGGTGGCGGCGGTTGGGCTGAGGCCTGGGCGGCTGCGGAGCCGTGCACCATGGCTGGCGGCATGCTCGGCGGCAGGTGCACGTTGGCGTAGCCGTTGGGCGGCATCTGCAGGCCAGGGAGGCCGCCGGGTGCGCCGACGCCGTAAACGCCCATTTGGCCTTGCTGCTGCGCGTACTGGTGCGCGTACTGCTGTTGGGCCTGCTGGCGCTGCTGGTTCTCGCTGTGGATCTGCTGGAACTGGTGCTTGATGATTTCGTCGATTTCACCCTTGTACGCGTCCAGCGTCGCGTTCATCTCGTGCTCCAGCTGTCGCCGCACCTTCTTGGCCGACACGGTCGACAGGTCCGAGATTTGCAGGATTTCCCGAATGCGGGGCGCCAATGTGTTGACGTCCATTGGCAAAAAAGTTAAATTAAAATTAAAAGTGACGCGTTCAAAAAGGGAGAAAGGAAAAATAAAAATAAAGTAAAGGAAAAAAGAAAGGGTGAAATAGCGAGAAAGAGAGCAAAAAAGCGCGACACAAAGAAGAAAAAAAAGAAAGATGAAGTGGGTTGGAAAATAAGAGATAAAACTTGATAAAATAAGAGGAAAAAATCTTTTTTTCTTCTTTTTTCTCTTTTTCTACGCGCATGCATACATACACACGTAAGGAGAGAAAAAAGATTTTGTGGATGGGGGCAGAAGGCGGGCGGGACGGCAAAAAAAAAGGCCTCTCTTTTTTCCGTTCTTCAAAAAAAAGGCATCTTTTTTCGTTCTTCAAAGCACGCAAGAAAATGCCATGAAATGAACAAAGGGCAGAAAATGCTACTGACACTCGCTCGAAAATTGCGCTTGCGTTCGCATACGCTCTGGCTCGAAAGTAATGAGGAGGGGGGCATTCCATTGGCCGGCTGCTATCTCCAACGTCGAAAAAAGTGGTCTTGCTTGAGGCCAATTCAATTTCCTTCATTATTTTCGCTCGTCTCCCCCTCCTCCCTATTTTTCCTCTTTGCACCAGTTGCCCGCGGCTGATTGGCCAGACCACATTCCCATTGAAAAAGAGGGGGAAAAGATCCATTGAACAAAAAAGAAAGCCCCAGAAATCACCGTCCGGCCTCACTGCAGTGCGGCGTTGGGTGACACGCCGGTCCAGGCGCAGCTCTTCTGCCACAGGTCAGCAGCCTTGTCCTTGCTGTTGAGCCAGAAGCTGGGCGTGGCGGCGGCGCAGTCGGCGAAGTACCCGCCGGACACGAGCCGCGGCTCGGTCGCGCAGAACAGCGACGTGCGCGCGCCGCGCCCAGGGTCCTGCGTCACCGACGCGATGCAGCGCTGCGCCCAGGCAGGGAAGCCGGCCCAGAAGCCCGACGCCGTGCTGCCAGGGTGGACGGCGTAGGCGACGGCCTTGGCCGGGTCGAGGCGCGCGGCCAGCTGGCCGACGAAGGCGTTGACGCACAGCTTGGACTCGCCGTAGCGCAGCGAGAAGAAGCCGCCGCCGGGCGACCGCAGGTAGTGCTCATCCGTGGGCAGGCCCAGCGTGTACAGGTGAGCCGACGAGCTGACGCAGACGATGCGTGCCGGCTCCGAGCCGGCGGCGCACAGGAAGGGCAGCAGCAGCCGCGTCAGAAGGAACATCGACAGGTAGTTGATCTGGAAGCACATCTCGAAGCCGTCGGGCGACAGGCCTGGCATGCCAGCAATGCCGGCGTTGTTGATCAGCCCATGCAGCGCGCGCTCGGCCGCTGGCCTCTGCTCCCACGAGCGCGCGAAGCTACGCACGCTGTCGAGCGACCGCAGGTCCAGCGGCATGTAGCTGAGCTGGTCGCGCGCGCAGCCGGTGGCCAGCGCAACGTGGTCCATGGCCGCTGCAAAAAGGTCACTGCTCTCGTGGCCAGCCAGCACCACGTGCGCGCCCAGCGCCGCCAGCCCGGTTGCGGTGGCCAGCCCGATGCCGCGGTTGGCGCCGGTCACGACGAAGCGCCGCCCGTCTTGGCGTTGCGTCGGCACCCATTCGGGCGCGGAGGAGTCGACTAGAGAAAAGCCCATTTGAAGCTGAGTGGGGTGTGGATGAGATGGAGATTGGAGCCAGGAATTGCAGAGCGAAAGAGCGTTGCATTGCCCTGGGCGGCCGCAGAAGAGCGCCCTACATGTGTATTTGCTTAATTGTTTGTTTGTTGTGAAGTCCTGTGTTTTTTGCACTATTAGGCCGGCCGGCCGGCCTAATTGGAGTCTCCGGCTGATCAAATCATGCAATTGGAGTTCCTGGCCGATCAAATCATGCAACTGGAGTTCCCGGCTGATCAGATCATGCAATTGCGGCTCCTGCATGATCAGCCCGTCTTTTGTGTGTGTATGCGTGCAAGCACATTTACTGCGTTTTTACGATCCCTTATAATGCCCAATTCAGGCACTATATCGCGTCCACCGTCGTCGTTGCCGTTGCCATCGTCGTTGTTGTTTTTGTATTTGCACTCGCCGCGCAGACTTTGCGCTGAGTGCTGAGTGCCGATGCCTCATGCCTCATGCCTCATGCCTCATGCCTCATGCCTCGGAGTGCCCGTCTATTTTTAAACCCTCCGCTTCCTCTGTCATCATCAACGGATGCCCAAAAATAAACGACCATTGCGTGTCACTCGATGCCATCCAGCCAACAAAAAATGACTTCTCAATAGTACAGAACTGAGCGAGCGAGCCTATATGGCATCAGCCATTCAGCAGCCGAAATAGTACTGATGCGCGCACTAAAAATACTGCTCTTTTTCCCACTGCAGCTTGCAACTGCAACTGTAAAAAGTGACTAGCCAAAACCACAAGCACATTGCTTTGCTTTGCTCCCTTTTCTTTTTTCTTTGTTGGAATCAAAAAGACGTGGCACAAAAAGCCCAAGGTTTTTGGCTCAAAAGCCAAGACCAGAGCCAATATTAGAGCCAACGCCAAACAAATAAAATAGAATAGAGCCAGTATTAGAGCCAACACCAAATAAATAAAATAAAAAACTGCCAAAAGCCAAAAGCCAAAATCATTGTTTGTTGCGCTTGCTACTGCCACTGCCAGCTACTTGTACTTCAAAAGAAAGAAGACTCAAAAAGACAACCACAACCCCGTCGTAAGCGCGTTCGTGCGTGCGTGGATGAGTGAGCAAGTGCGTGCGTACGGGCCCGTCGCTAAACGGAAACAACACACAAAGAAACTGAACAAAAATAAAAGCTGAAAAATTGATGTGGTCAGCAGCCTCATTTCTATTTTTCTTGTTTTTTTTTCTGTCGCCTCCTCTCCCTCCTTTTTTATATTGTTTTGCTGCAAGTTTTTTCTCTCTCCCACCGGGCACAAACATCACAACCACCACCGCCACCACCACCAAAAAAAACCAAACCAAACAACTTGTTCATATTTTTTATATCTCTTTTATATATTTTTATTCGTGGTTTTTCATTTTCAATTAAACACCTTTATATATATATTTTTTTTACTCAGCACGCTTTTAATTTCATATACCAATTTTTGTTAAATGGCGTCGACCACCGTGGCCGACTGCTCGGCCCAGCCATACTGCACGGCGCCCGGACAGAAGCTAGCCTACAAAAACCAGTTTGTCGTCCAATGGAATAACCAGCTGCCGCCTCTCACTACCGAATCGCTAGTCACCGTCGCTGTGTACAGTATCTACGACCCAAATACCCCCATATACCAGACTACCGGTGTCTCCAACCTCAATGGCCAAATTACTTTAAAGCCCGACGCATCGTGGTTCTCGCGCTACACCGGCAACAACAATGCCACTGGCGAGGACCAGCCCATATTTTTTGCCGCCTATCTGCAAGGAAACGACCCACCACCGCTCAGCTCCATGCTGCGCCTGCAGTTGACTGCCACGCCCGAGCAGTATCGCGAAATACAGGCTGTGCTCAACCCTGTTACCACACTGTCTAATATTTCGCCTGAGATATTACCTTCGTCCGCGCCGTCTACTGCATCGACCATGGCCAGCAGCAGCAGCAGCACAAACAGCAATAGTAACAGCAACATCAGCAATATTAACAGCAGCAGCAGCAGCAATAACAGCATTATCAATATCAGTTTGTCCAAAGGCGAAGAGTCTGCATTCACAGGCACAATGGTTAGCGACGTCGACACATCGAGCGCCAACGACAGCATGTCGACAAACGTCGACCCGTTCACATCAACAACAACATCTATGGTAACAACATCAGTCACCGTGTCGACGCAAAGCACGCTCACAGCAACTCCAACCGAACCAGCTGACGCCAACGCCCGCGGCCGCCACGGGCTCTCTGGAGGCGCCATCGCCGGCATCGTCATCGGCAGCCTCATCGGCTTGCTTCTCATTCTGCTTTTGCTTCTGCTGCCGCTCTACCGCCGGCGACAGCGGCGGCAGCACCTCCTCGCAAAGTCTGATGAGATGTCGGCCGCTGGCACCAGTACGTCAATGTCGGCCTTTGCCGGCAACGGCCGCGAGTCCGCCGCTACGTCTCCGCTCGCCCTGGCTGCTGGCGCAACCGGAGCCGCTGCGACGCTTGGCTTCAACGAGAAGCGCATTTCGCCGAGCGACCTTCCGCTGCTGCTGGCCGGCAAGCCCAATAACAGCTTCACGTCGCACGACAGCTCGCTCGCTGATCAGAACGCCAACCAGGTTTCCACCACAGCCTACCAGCCGCTGACCCTGGAGTCGCCCCGAATCCTGATGAACATGCCGCAGTCGACGCGCTCACGCCCGCTGGAGCCGTCGCCGCTGCGGTCGCCCGACCCAATCCTCAGCTCCGACGATGCGCGCCAGATCGGTGACAGCTTCCGCGACGCTCTGCGCAAGCCGCCGTCCTCCGAGGACGACAGCGAGGAGCCGCGCGGCCGCGACAGCATGCTGCAGGAGCTCGACGATGAGCTCGGCGAGGAGGAGGACCCAGGATGGCGCGAACGCGTGGCCAGCGCCCGCATGCACAGGGAGCTTGAGCAGGAGGCCTCGGTCATCCGCAGTGTCGCCATGCGCGCCCACGGCAGCGACTACTCGCAGTCGCGCCCCGCCACGTCGCAGTCTGAAGACTCGGCACCATCGCCACTGTCACCAAACTAATACTAGATGTTCAAAGAAAGCCACACCCAATTGATAGTTTTATATGTCTAATATTTTGCTGATTTATTGAACGAGTAAGCAATCAACCCAACAGCGACGGGCGTATGCGAGCTATTTATGGAATATTTTGTCTCGGGCAGCACCAGCGCATACAGCAGCAATTTATTTATTCAATCTCTAACCAGCGCATACAGCACACCACATGCAGCCAGAGCTTCGCTGGCAGCTGCACTCGTTGGCCTAGTTGGTCATCATACATATATAAAATAGACTCGCTCACTTGGGCATATATTAACATTTAAACCATTCTAAATCCAATAATCAAATCGTGCCCATACGAAAGCACAGCTGCCACCAGCTCAGAGCTTCTTCTCGCTGTTGGCCCACTCGGCGCTCAGAATCAGGTTGTCAAATCCATAGCCGTTGAGCTTGGCGATGGCCTTCTTGGCCGCGTCCTCCTCATGGAACGACACAAACGCGTAGCCCTTGCAGGCGCCAGTATTGCGGTCAATTGCGACGAACGCGCGCGACACAGAGCCAAACGGTTTGCACAGTTGCCTGACGTCCTCCTCCTGCGTGTCCTCAGACAAGTTGGTGATTCTGATTCTGGCAAGTCATCGCGACCGCCGCGACCGCTGTCGCCAGCCGCCGGCCGGACAGCACCAGCGCGCAGATGGGGCGGCACATACGAGTTCCCGCCCGCAGCAGCGCCAGCACCAGCACTGGCACCAGCGTCGGTGGCAGCAGCGGCCGCACCGGTAATCTCCTCGAGTGGAACCAGCGTGTCCTTGTACGGGCACAGCGCCGTGAAATGAAGGCCGCGGCACGTGCGGCAGCGAATCTGTGAGCTCTTGACCGCTGCCTTCTTCTCCGCCTCCATAACGTCCAGCTCCTGCTGCTTCTGCTGCGCTGCGTACTGCGAGAGCTTGAGCCAGACGACCTCACCGACGTTGGTTGTTGCAATTTGGGCCCCGGCGCGGAGTTCTTCTCGGCTCCGAACTTGGCCCACTTCTTGCGCTCAGCCACCGCGCGGTTAACCTTCTCTTGCACGACGCGGCCTTGCATGCGGCGCGTCACCTTGACTTTCTTGCCGTCCTCGTTCAGATGGTACTCAATCACAGTGCGCGTGCCATCGTCGTTCTGAATCACCTCGGCCTGGGGAAGCTCCTGCTCATCAAGCTCGTCATCTGCCCAGTTGGTTGTGGTTGGCTGTTGGCTCGACATTTTAAATGTGCAAGATTGCTGTTTACTATTCTAAAACGATCTAATTTACCGCGATTGGTGCGTTTGATACTTCAAAATTTAAAGGATATAGATTAAACCAAAGCGAATCTAAAAAACATGAATTATTATCCAAAGAAATAAAGGTTGAGAATTGGTTATCATAAGTCTGGCGCATCCACCCGCTCCCCCATTTAATTTATTGTGCATTTCTCTTTCAGCTTTTTGGCAGGAAAAACCAAAGCAGAAAATTATTATTTTTGCCTTGATCTTGATCAAACTAAATCAGTAAAAAATAAAGGGAGAATATCTAAAGTATAATTTTTAAAAAATGTATCTTGTAGGCACTTTTTTATCCCCATCAATTTTAAATATTTTATTTTCTGTCTAATCAGAGCCGCACTTCTCATCCATCAAACCTGCACGTATGATTTCTAGCCTTTATTTGGCATGCGCTGAGAGAAAGAGAGAGAATAGATACATTGTGCGAAATATAGAAAAGTAATAGACAAAAACTAGTTAGTGATTAAGACTGATCGTCAGCTACACCACCCCGTCCATCTTGGGGTCTGTTGCAGAACCTGGTTACTTGCCCCTATAATAAAAGTTATTCTAGGGGCACCGTAATTGGGGTTTCTCCAGACCTGAGTCTAATTGCCTGGTGGTGGAAGTGCCCGCCAGGATGTTAGTATAATTAAACATAGGCACTCGATCTGCCAGCTAGAGCATCAATTGCGGCCAGATAGCTAGTGTGCATATCTGCCATTCTCATTGCTGTTTGTCTGCGGCCACTTCGGCAGGCCATCGTTTTCATCTTGTCGCAGGTTTGATATTCAGAATGTTTGTTGAGATTGGAGTTCCCATCAACAATCGGCGTTTCTCAGGCGTCAAGGATTCCTTCATTTCCCGTTCGATCTGGAGGTCATACCATCCCTTGTACCAGCTATGCTGTTTATCTATAATCTTGTTTACAAACACTGTTGCTTGTTTTTGCGCACTCCCTTTGGAGTTTCTTGACCAGCATTGTGCACCTATCCTCTGTCAGCTCCTAATGAATGAAACTTGAATATTATTTTGGAATGAATTAAATGAAAAAATTAGAAAGCACTAAACACATACCAAATAACGCTCCTTGTGGGTGACCAATTATACTAGAGGTTTTGAATTCTATGGTTTGATAAAATGACAAAAGTTCTCTGTCAGCTCCTTCCAGCCGCGTCTCATATCCAAGGTCCAGCTTATTTCTCCTGGTAGTGGGCATCCACATGCTTTTTGATTTTCTCCAATATGTTATCTATCGCGATGTTCGATACACCCGGAGTTTGTTAACCATTTCAGCTGTTATGCAGCCCGAGGATATGGAGGTAGACGCTGAGGGCGAAAATCATGAGACAGACTCTCGTCAGCTAACAGATGGATCTGATATGGGCCAAATTACAGGGATCAAATTAGGCGCCACAACTGACATCCGGACATACTGCCTGTCCCGAAATGGATGTGCTGGGCGCAAGAATACAGACATGCCAATTATGCCACATCAGAAACCCGGGTTGCTTTCACAAGGACCAGTTCTCGCGAACGGAGCACACAACTGCCAGTGAGTGCCACAAGGACAAGGAGATATATATAAGGCGAGGCCGGCGATAATAACACTTTAGAAACACTAGTAATAAAATCCTTTATAATTTGACACCCATTCTTTTAACACTATTACAGTAGTGCTCCCCACCCCCCTCTTACATAACACAGCCAAGTGGTCTTGCAGCTGGGTCTTAAAGATCACAGTGAAAGTTCTCATATTCAGAATTTTATGCTCCGTCGTGGACACATGAAACATGTGGCTCTGTGTCTTAATTGGTCTGACAGCCAGGCGATGGAGCATAGACGCATCTCCGGTTCAGTGTACGCGTCAGGGAAGCATATATTTTTTACAGCAGTGAATGGCAGGGCCACTATGCTCCCAAAAGAAATAATATAAGCTCAAAATCAATGCACAAGGAAAAAGAACAATGCCGATTGGAAATTAATCCGTAAATATAATTATTTCTTGTTTCCATACTTCAACCAACCAAATGCAAGCATGAGAAGCTCAAGGTTTTTTGTTTATATTAAAAAGTTGTTTTTGTTTTTGGCGCAATCTATCACAACAATTTTTCACCTTTGCAACTTTCCACCTTTGCTTCTACTTCTAATATTTGCTTTCTTTCTCAATTCGTACCATTTCGTTCGTTTATTATTTTCTTCACTTTTTATTACTTTTACCATACCTCAGTGCTTATCACACACACACACACACACACACACACACACTCTCTCTCTCTCTCAATGATGTCTGAGCTAGCTCCTCTGAATAAGACTCCACCAAGTCAAATAGGCGTAAGTACTTGAATAAAAACGAGTTATTATGATATTGATGAATTGTTTGTTGTTTATTTTGCGTGCATATAAAACTAATTCGGTCACTAATTTAAACATTTTTTTTTTTTATTAGAACAGCAAGACAGGCGGCACTATCCAAACGCCCCAGAAATCAAAAAAGGAGGAACTGCCGCCCGGGGAATCGGAGCCCCCCGAAGTACGCGATAAGCGCCGTCAGCGGCTGCTGAAATGCTCGGCGATAACATAAAACACAACTATCTGTTCAATGCCTTTGTTGAATCGCTGGGTGTGAAGGAGCGGTATGAACGCTTCATCAAGGATTGGCCTGATCTCTTCCTCAGCATAGCCAGGGGTCGCCAGTGGCTGATAGCAAAGGCATCGTAGCCAATACAGATCGCCCTGTTGAAGAGTTCGGCGATTTCCCCATTGCTGATGTGTTCAAAAGCAACTCGGGGAAATTGATCGGGTTGGCTAAGGAAGCTCGCTTGGTCAAATATTTTATCCTCTCTTCAACGCGATGGCAATGCAGTTGTGTCGCAAATAAGATATTCCAGCAGGCGGAACTCCAATCCCAGACTGCGGGTTAGTCTGAGGACCATCAGAGTGATGCTATACTAGGCACTCCGCACAAGCCAGATATCGCGTTTTATCACACTACAAGAGACAGGACATTCATTCCGTCCATGCTATACTCGAGGCCAAGATGGATCCAAACCCCATTAGAACCCCAGAGGATACTTGTGGCCAGCTCGCAGATTACGGCCATGTGCTTAATGATCAGCAGGCAACCCGCACGTTTGCGCCTGTCTTCTACCTCCATGGGCACATCCTGACGCTTCACGCATATTATCGTGACAACTGTATATCATCGAGCTCGGCCAGCTATGCTTTGATACGAATTATTGGACGTCTGATGGAGCTAAAAGAATTCAGTCATGCCTCATGCAGTTCTGGTTCCTGCTGACTCTTGAGTCGGACATTTTCGGGCATTTCTGCGATGTCTCAGAGGAATCTGACTCTTTCTTTTTTCGGCAGGAAGTCGATGTGGAGAGCAAGGGCGATTCGAAGATCGAAGTCTTATACTCGGTTCCAAGATGTCAAGAATGTCAAGGATGTCAAGGATGGGCTGCTCTGTTTTGTATCAAGGAGACAATAGCGCGTTATTCATACATGATTGGGCGCCATGTCCATTTATTCAGGGGGACTTGCAAAGGTCGTGATGCTGTGCTGAAGCTTTCCTGGACCCCAGTCAATCGTTTGCCCGAGGGTGCCGCATACGCCATCCTCAACAAAGACCAGTCGATGTATTCCCAAGATCTTTTCGAGTGGCCTGCTCATCAGCGACCTTAATGGATACCGGCTGGAGTTCGTGCTCATGGAGTACTGCGGCCAGTCAATGGCCGAGTATCTGAAAGTCAAGACTGACAATCAGAAGGCGAGCTGGTTCCTGGCTTTGTCGAGCAGCTGACCCTGTGTCTTGCCCAGGCAAATGACACTGGTGTCCTGCACAGGGACATCTCGCAGGGAATGTGTGCGTCAAAACAACAAGGTGTATGTCATTGACTGGGGCTGTGCCAAGGTCATTGGCTGGGGCACTGCTGAGGATGCTGCCAGGGACACTGACCCAACCCAACTCAAACACATTGATGTTGCCGAACAGTGGGGGTTCAATGCAACAACAGTGGGACAGGTGGAGGTGGCCAAGGACCCATTTACAGGGACGCCGCTTTTCATGGGAATTCCCATGCTCAGCAGCAGCCCCATCCGGGGAATCCTTGACGACATGGAGAGTGTTTTCTATGTCGTTATGGATGCAGTGCGCCAGCTGACACTAAGAGGATGACGTTCAGGGTTCAAATTTCTGGACAGTCAAAGCCTGGCTTTGAGTCGGTACAGCATCATGATGGTTGAGGAAAAGTATCTGGAGTTGTTTGGGATAGGAAATCCAAGCAAGATATTCAGGGATCTATTCCACTCAATGCGCCGGTTCTTATTTGAACCGGGAAACCAGTACATTAGCCACCAGCTCTGGTGGGACAGTACATTTAAACGACAGGCTAACTGGGATGCTGCTCCCAGGTTTATGCATCTCCAGGCAATTGAGCTCCTCAAAGAGGATAGTGGCCAGCTTAAGCGACCAGCTGAGGACGAGATCAATGCTGGGTCATTCAAGAAGCTAGCACTTTAGGTTTTTTTGTTTTTAATAAATCTCTTTACGACCCAAAAAATCAACTGCAAAAATTAAAATTTTATTAAACTTGAAGAAAATATGAGTAAAATATAAATATTTTAACTCTTGTCTGTACCTCTTGTTTACAGATTCACCGATCCACCGATCACTTTAACTGTAAACAACAAATACTTTTAAACTCGCACATTGACCAATTTTACTGAAGGTTGATTGCATCCATAATTTTCGATTTCTGCTATTTTGCCAAATGATTTCAATTTAACGTTATTCTTTCTTATTTCTTAATTTACTTTATATTTTTTCTTTCCTTTCCAATTCACAGTTTGCATTTTACAATTTAGTATTTTTTACACACTTTCAATATTCTTTTGCTAGCATAGATGATAGCCGGTATTACCTCGCAATTAGCGTCGGAACAGCACTCGGCACATACCGGGTACTTTTGCATCTGCTGGACCAATTGCAGTACGGGTTAGATTTATGCTACGCACACCGACAAAAGAAGAAATGGCAACACACCTGCTATGCTGGGACTAATCCTGACGGGAGTGCAGACAGTGAGGCGGCGTTGGACATTCAGATGCCCGAAATGGTTAATTCCTTGGCACAATTGGCGCTGAAGTCGCACAACTTTAAGCTGCAGGATATTGCGTCTGAGCTGGTGCTCGATACGGCTATACAGTGAGAGATGCTGCAGCTGATAGTCGCACAGGCTCTGGGTAGTTCAGCAGTAGAGGGGGGCCGGTTGAGGATAGTTGTATTTCTGTAAGTGCCGGTGATGACGCCGCAACGGGTCGGCAGGGTGGTTTGGATCGGTAGCGTTGAGGTGCTGGTGGATGCTATGCGCGCGCCCAGGGAAAAGGAGGCAGCAACGCGGGCAGTCGCTGGAGCTGGGCGCTGTTGATGTCATCCCCGCGTGTGTCTGCAAGGATGACCAGGTTCAAATGGGTGTTACAGTTCAGGAGCTATTGGGGCAACCATTTTAATAAGCATTCGCATAATTTGTGCATTACACACTCTCGGCTCTTGTTAGAAAAATAGTTTTATGACACTCGCATCTACTCCCTCCTCTTGGCTTAGAATGAATGGACATATTTACAGCCATTTATTTATTTCTAATATGTATTCTTTACTTCATTGGTTTTATTTATTCTGTTCTATTTTGTTCTGCCCAACTTGGCTTTTATTGAAACAACCTTTTTAGCCTTTACACACAATGTTGCACAGCCAAATAACATGGATGTGAATGTTGGGATTGAGATTCAAGTGACTGCTTTTATTTTGCATGCCAACTGATAGAAGGCAAAGAAGATTATAGAGTATTAGATCAGGGATTCAATAATATTATCCAAATATGATCGCCCTTTTATAACATGCACGCATGCACAAAGATTGCAACACCAAAACACTCAATATTTGAGCTGCTTGCAGAAAAGTCAGTACTCGGCATTAGTGATTATAACGGCTAGTGTGTAAGACAGGGCAGGGTCGAGGATGGCATACACACACACATATGCGTGTGCCAAACCCGACCTTAATTATACTTTTGATTTCTTTTGTAATAATGCTATGTAAGAGGGGGTGTGAAAAGCACTAGTTGTCTAGTGTTAGAAAAGTAGGGGTGATTTTACAAAGAGTTTTATTACTAACTTTTATAAAATGTTGCTAGCGCCCGCCTTGTCCTGTATATGTGCCTTGTCGCCTTTGCTGTGCACATTGCCAATTGTGCACTCCGTTGGCAAAAACTAATTCTTCTGCAAGACCGGTATTTTGGCAAGTCAGTGTTGTGGTTTTCGTGTATGTGCACTCACGCGTGTGCATTGCAAAATGGGGAGCATGTCTAGACATCATTATTATGCCTCCCTAATTTACGCCTGCATGATCCAATTAGTATCCTATCAACCGGCATGCAGATGGAACCTTGTTTTACGATCCTCAACCTCGACATCTACTTCCATGTCTTCAGGCTGTGCAGCATTACATTAACGTTGCTATTTTTGAGCTGCACTAGATGTGGTTTTGCAAAACAGGCTGTATAAATGGGGCCATAGATTATCTACACAACGAATATGCCCATCTCGATCCTAACGAATAACTCCTAATTGAATGTATCATTAGCTGTACACTCTCCAATATCTCCTGTTTTTTCTTAACAAAAAGCTGAAGCATTTTTTTGCTGCGATAGCCTTTTGCTGCAATGGTCTCCAATACCAATCGCAATCCCAAGCGAATGTCAATACAGCCACATTGTTTGTATGCTTGCTGTCATCCTTATTTTATTTTTATTTTTACCAACGCTTTCTTATCAACTAAACAGCAAATTAAGCACAACGCAGATTAAGCTGGACAGGTGCCCAATAGTTGTACATGTATTCGTGTTCGATGGCTGTTGCACATGATCAACTAAAACACAGACTAAATCAGCGGCTGCAAAAGTGCATGCAAACTACAATTATGCAATTTATTATTCTAATATTATCTGATTTTTTCGAGCGATATTTACAAAATTCATTCTCTTGGCTTTTTCAGTCTAATTTTTGTAATTGTACTTTTCAATGGGATTTTGGGTGTGGTATGTACAGTGGTTTTATTTTCTGCCATGATGAGCGGCAAAGACAAAAATTAGCACAGTTAAAAGTAAAGCGCCATTTAAAATCATCACCGCGCAAATGATAGCTGTTTGGAGCTCATAGAGCTTCGAGTGCAAAATGTCGTTGGACGCTCAGAGATATTTGCAACTGGTTGTCATGTCTTTGGGTTTGGTACATGCGCTACTCTTTCTAGCCATGCCCATGTTGTGATTTTATGAGGAGCCCATCCAGACGCTGGCAATCTGGAGAAGGTATATGGGTAAACCCCGCCCTTCTCCTATTCTGCTGCCTCTGATTTCAGGTCTTAGGCGTATCACCAGCCGGATACCTATTGAACAAATGTTCTGTGGGCCCCCGTATATACCACAGTTACAGGTCTTACGGAATGGAACCGGCCCGATTTTTATTATAAGGGTGTTCTTTAGGTCCCCTTATATACCCAGACATCCCAGACATGACATTGATGAGACCAGTTGCAGATATCTTACCAAGTGTTTACTAGACACATTATTTTTTGTGATGTGCGAATGAGCGTGGCTGTGGTAGACGGCGGATATAATATATGGGCTGGTGTAGTGCAATGGATGACGCTGTGCAAAAACTGTTGTATGTGTCTGATCCCCTCCCACAAAAGTTGTGTATTGTGAACCGATAATCCATGTTGAAGTCAAAGCTGATGCTGCTGCGTGTGCGCGCGTGTACTGTAGTCGTGATGCCCTAATATTAGGAAAATATGTGTGTATTAGAAAAAAGGTGGTAGTATTTTAGAGGAAGTGGTGGTTGTTGGGAGGGAGATAGGGAACCAAAAAATATTTTGGAAAGTGAGCGCCTTTTTTATAGGAAATGAGACATGCAAATAGATGGAAAAGGGCAGCAAAAAAGCCCTGCCAGTTGAAAAAAGAGATGGAAAAATAAAAACGCAGTGGGTTTCTTTGTGTTCTGCCAGCCTGAAATATTTTTTGCACTCTTTTTGTGCACCAAGAGGGTTGCTTTGGGTAATGACACACTCCAAACCTGTCAAAAATGGCATCTGCACAGGCGTCAGCACACACGACAGCAGTGGCAGCAACAGCAATCAGGGCAAGAGTGGTGAATTAGAAGAGCTGCATGTTGAAAATGATGGTTGCTGGTAAATAAAATAAAGATGTTTGCAGTTGTGAGTAAAAAAGGAGCAAGAGTGTCTAAATAACTACCAACTGAATATTCGAGAAACCATGTCTTATTTATACATGGGATTTTAGCAATAATGGAAGCAGCATCCTGTACATGTCATTGCTGGAAATTATTCATTTTGTGAACATGCCTTTAAAGCACTGACATCCAATGCTATACAAATCAGTTTGTGAATTGACTCCAATGATATGCCACAGTTAAGGCACATGGCTTTGCATGTTGCCTTACTGAGATTAATTGATTACGTGCATGGCAAGTAAGCAATGGTGTAGGTTTTATTATAGTTTATTTACATGCCAGGGAGAGCATATAAGGAATGGCTATTAGGCAGCCAAGAATTGTTCTTGGAAGAAATAAATATCCTTTTGATTAATATCATTGGTTGATGGCGATCAACTGATTAATCAGCCTTGGCTGTTTAGCCACACAAACAATAAGTCACACAGTGACCAAAGCAATATGCTCTCTTTTCTTTACCTTTACACAGTGCATAGCACTTATTTACTAAATATACATGTAAATATTCAGAACAAAATTTGCCCTCCCCCAAAAAAAGATATCATTGCTTAGCTTGTGAAAATGGCCGAATGCATGTTTGTATATTTGAAAGTATCAAAATCATTTTCACTTTATTTCACAGCACAAATGATGCAATGTTAACGTTTTTTCAAGCAGGTGGAGATATATCTTGCTGCTATTTTTGGCAGTTTGGGCTTATTATATTGCCCAGATATAGGCCTCTTGGTGCAAAAAAAGTGGGAAAATTATTTTAGGCTGGCACAAAACAAAGAACTCACTGTATTTTTTATTTTCCATCCATTTCCAAATGATAGCTCTGTTTTAGCTGCCTTTCTCGCCCGTCCATTTGAATGCCAGATTTCATATAAATAGTGTCCACTTCCCAAGACATTTCTTTGGTTTCTCATCCCAACCACAATTTCTTACAACACTACTTACCAATTACACTTTATGCACCATGTTTTTATATGGAATATACCACCAGCGACCATGGATACCACTTACCTCCTCTTGACTTTTCAATAACCAACCCTTTGCTCGCAAAAACCCCAGTCCATATTTTCACTTTCAAAACACAACTTATGCCAGGGGATGTTTGAACACACACCTATTGGCTTTC